ATGTTTCGACAGAAACTTCTGTCATCTTCAGTTAATTTCTGTACAAAGCGTTGAAAGTTGAATTATAAAGTAAGTCAAACAACGCTAATTAAGATGAATAGTGACAACAAGAAGAGAGGTAAAGTATGCAAGTGTGAGAATTAAAAAGATAGTTTTAGATTTACGTGGTGTAATTGTTGATTCAAAGATGGTTGTTCTCTTTGAATATGAATAGCCTCTTTTATCTTAATCTGAAAACCGGTGGAGGCGTGATCTAAAACATGGAAGTTATCTGCTGAACACAGAGCGCGACAGTGCGGAGAATCTTTCAAATGCCTGAAAATGTGAGAGGCCCTGTCACTGACTAAGTGCTCTCTAACACGTGTGGAAATATTCCGGCAGGTTTCACCGACGTAACAGGCATTACACCAGCACATACTTATAGACCACTCGTGAACGGAGCCCGTCAGGGAAAGGGTCTTTCACACCAAAGAAGTTACCGATTTTGAAGGAAGAGAAACCAGTTTGATATCCAAGTCATTGCAATAGCGCTTCATAAAATGGCGGATCTTTAGTAGAAAAAAAGGGCCTATGTAAGGTAGCTTAAAGTAGAACGTAGGTGAAGTGGTAGGAGGGGAACCCCGGGATGATGATTGTTTTGAGTCCCAGTGATGAAACGGTTTATAATCTTCTCGATTAATTAAATGAGCAGGGAAAAGATTCTTTTTTAGAATATCAGTAAGCTTGTTAATGTCCTCGTGAAACCCTAACCAGGTGCTATTAATCTTGTAAGCCCTATCAACGAGTGTCTTAATGAGATCCACTTTGTAAGAGTACGAGGTGAAGCTGAAATAATTAGTTAGTAACCCAGTGAAAGTTTTCTTCCGGTAAACCCTAGTTAGAGAGGAACTGGGGTCATGGTTGTCAATCAGGACATCTAAAAAGGGTAATTTGTGATTAAACTGCTTTTCCACAGTGAACTTGATGTTAGGGTGCCTAGAGTTGATATAGTCGAAAAATATAGTGGCATCTCGATCTGAGTTAAATAAGCACTCTTAAATAAGAGCAGTACTTGAACAAGTCGCTAAGAACCGAGTTCCGGTTTTAAAGAAGAACCCGAGAAATGAAAACAATCAATAATTTAATAGACAGTGAAAACTTTTTCTCGGGCTTTTTAGCGAGCAAACGCCAAAACACAAAAAGCACCAGCGCTGTTGGGTGTTTAGCCTGTATTCTCGCCAATCGGGTCATTATTTTGTGCTAAAGTGACTTTAAAATGCAAACGCACGCGCACTACCTTCTTGATAGCATAGTTCTATTGAAGATGGGGATGGAGATTCACAACACTGTAGCTGTGTCTTGTTGTGGGTATTGCTCAGTGTCTTGATTTCTTTGCAAAAATGGGAGTAAAATTTATTATGTAAAGTAAACGTGGATCGAATTTCAATTATTCAGAATTGATAACGATGATCATGAATGATTTTGTTTCAGACTTTTTGAGTTCAACCCAAGAATTCAAGACATATTTCCCGCCTTTACGAGTTTGAAACTTGAAGCCGTAATCGACTCTCGATCTCTGTATCTTCACGTCAGACGAGTCATGACTGCGCTAGAAAATGCTGTGTTTTCTTTAAACGACGCAGAAGTTTTCATCGAGTGTTCAATTCAGTAAGCTGTTCATTAACATTTTTCACGTGCGTTGCAAAATATTTGAAGGATAAAAAACACAATAGCATGTATTTTGCGCGAAAATATGTACGGATATTTGTCCTTGGATATTATCTGTTCCTCGAAGCTCACAGTTTCCGCATCTTGGAACAGAAAATTCGAGAAAATGACCACGCGCAAATATCCGCACTTATTTTGGCGCCAAATTGGAGCAATTGTTTATATAGCGCTGTAAGGTGATTTAAAATTCAGTAGAGGGAAGCATAGAGCTATCTAGGGGTACATATTGTTGTGAAGCGTTGTCTAGTTACTGCATTTACGGATTTACAGTGCTACTCAGGGGTATAATGTTGTATTGTGCTGTATGATGATAAAACTTGCAGTACAGGGATGTATAGGGACGGGGAAGAGGGGCATATAGGAGTGCGTATTCAAGGAGACATGGAGTTTAATAATCGACGGAACGTGTTTGCTCATGATGAATCTCTCAAGTTGTCGTCGGCTATCTCTCTAAGCACTATTGTAACTTATCCTTTCTCAATTATTGTTTTGTCAAAACTCTTCCTCAGGGTCTTCTCTGCGTCTACATCCGAGATGGCGGCTACCGACTTAGTAGAGTCCGGCTGTGGATTGGCCTGCCGCCATCTTGGATACACATTGTAGGTGGACCCTGGGCGAGAGTTTGACCCATTCCCAATCAGATGATAGAAGAAGCCTTAATTTGGACATTGAGGGACTCGTTTCCGACTAAACGCACCGATTATGTCGCCGAGACTTGGAGGGAGCTCTTCCGCTTTGTAACTGCTATTATGATGAGAGGACTGAGGAGAGCAAGCACTGGCACCCTGTGGACTAGGAATCAATCGAAAGGAAAACTGAGATTTTACTAAAGATGACTTTAAGAGGACACCGTCCCAAAGTGGACATAATACGCATGATCACAACTACTATGGGGGAGTAACGAGGTATATGAGTTGTAAGAAGCCAGACTTTGCGCGAAGATTGAGACGAGTGAAAACTGAAACAGACAAGGAGAGAGTCGCGTCCTATGAAGCGCAGAAGAATAAATTTGAGGGCGATAAAAGAGGTGCGCGTAAAGATGGGAATAAAGGAAAATTGCGATGAAAAAAAAAAAAAAAAAAAAAAAGGAAGGAACCAGAGAAAGGAGAAAAAAAGGGGATGCGCAAATGTGAAAAGGTGTAAAAACTTGTGTGAGGAAAAAGATAAAAAAAGGCGTAAATATGTAACAGTATGAACACGTCCGTCGGCGTTCAAAACCGTGTGGCAATACGGAGAACGATAGACAGTGAAAGAGACACAATCGAAGAGATGACGCGCTTTTGTTAAGTGGGCGGGGGCTTAAAACATGGTATGTTAGTACACTGTTAGCTGCACACATTATCAACTTGGCGCGCGGGTCAAAATAAGCATTGAAGTCCCCATAGGATCTGCTTTCTCTACATCTTACGTGCATCCTAAGAATATGGAGACAGACAATGTAATCAACGCAGTTTTTGTACTTTATACACTGTATATTTCTCTTACACAAAGAAGTAAAAAAATAAGCACAATAGAAACTGCATTAAATCGTTCAAGGCATTAAGTAAAATACGCGCTAAACAAAGACGCTAAAATGAACCCATTTACTCCCAAGACTGATCATAATTTAAATTCTCCTCACGGTATTAATACACCGACAAACATGGAGTCAATAACAATTCGAGAAAATCCAAACTGGAGGATAACCTTTTCTAGAAACATAATGTTACATCGAATTCTTGGAACAAGCGGCAGCAAAGAGAAACACATTCTTATCAGTTGGGAGAATTTTTCTTCAGAACTTGGGAGTTCATGAGTTAATCAATATAAACTAAGGTAAATGAACAATTATCTTCAACTTAAAAAAAATAGCATCAAAACACTTCACACGAAATACACTGACATTATACAAACCATGTTTAGTTGAAACTGTCCCAGCATGTCTTTAAAATCCTAGTTACATTACATTCAACCACGCATATTATCAGACATCCTCAAATCATGCTGAGGTAAATTTAAAGCGATGAAAAAATTTCAAGAGGTGATTTTCAACAAATAGAAGTTTTATCCTGAAGCCCTGAACGTTTTCAGCTACGCACTAGGTTTACATTAATTAATGAGCCTTTTCACCAAAATAATTCCCATTGAGGATTACATGGCTTACGTTAACTGCTTCTCTCATTTATGAGCGTAAATATTGTCCTACTAGAAACAACAAATTCCATGTCACATACAATAAAAGTCACACCTATAGAAACGTTAATTATAGTGAACTCTGCGTCCCCCTTCCTAGTTTAGATTACATGGACAATTTTTAGTCTTTCCGTCGTCGTTCTTTAAAACGAACGGAGAAGTGTTTGGTAAAACGGACAAAAATTGGCCATACTCGTTTGATTGAAAACAGGGTTGTAGCCAGCTTTTTGACTAAATGAGCCTCTTCCCACACAAATTTCAATTTTTGTTTCAACGTTTGCAAGAGTCATATTATCTTTTAGTAAAAGTCAAGCGGGCAGAAAACAATTATAAGCCGGGCCTACGGGACTAGAGGCTGGCTACACCCCTAAAAGTAGGTGTAATGTCTAACATATGGTCAGTAAATTTAATAACATCACCTCTGATGTTTACTTCTTCAAATTAAGCTTAGAATGGCAATCTTGGCACTGACAGAACTAGATTGCATTAAAATGGATTGACTTGAAAATGGTAATCAATTTTTTTGAAAATATGAAGGTAAATTGTAACAAAGTAATTTATGATGTAGAAAACGGTCTAAGATCATTTCACATATTCAATTCACATACATATTCAATCAAAGTTTTGGAAATAAAATTCGCCAACTTTTGCAAATGACGAATTGTTTCTTTGCTTATCAAAAGCTTAGAGCATAAGGGTAATTAAAATCCGGTGGAAAAGCCCCTGGTTGGGTAAAAGAAATAACCTTTAAATTATTTTCCATACAACTGATTGTAATACAGGAACAGAGCTGAGTGACATGTTGGTGGAAATGGAAATCTCGTTCATAACAGAGGCCTTGTTGCATTTCGTTCTCTTCGCAAGCATTTAAATTTGTTAAGGTAACAAAGAATGACAATTCCACTGATCAAAATATAATGAAATAGACTGGTTTATTTCTTCACCATAGTAAAGTTGCACATCTCAAGTTCCATTTAACAAAAAAATAAAAAGTAAAGAAAAATAGCCAAAAAATTGTTTAAAATAGAGAAACATTTAAACCTTCCAAGTTCCTACTTCATTCTTTTGAGATGAAAAAAAACATTTTCTCATTTATTTGATTTTCTATTCAAATTTTCTCTTTCCTTTGCCATCAGATCAAACGTGAGGTCATCTCCAATCAGCAAAAAGGGCGCCCAGTATTTGATGTCGTGGAACTCATCTGAATCTCTGAGGCTTTTCATGGCCAGGTTCAGTGACTTGCTTGTAGGTTTACCTTCTGCAAGGTGTTGATAAAAGCATTTCATGAACTGGAGAGTAGCCTCGTCATCAATCGCCCACAGGGACACCACAACAGACCGAGCACCAGCCCCCATAAAAGCGCGCGCTATGCCAACCACACCTTCAGCTTTGATCTCGCCCCGACCACTGTGGCAGCAACTGAGCACAACAAGTTTAGCGCGAAGTTGAACATTCAACACATCTCGAATCGTTAAAATGTAATCCTCCGTAGGCACAGTAGATATTCGGTCTAGATCAGGTGTAAGAGCAATTTCGCCAGTTTCCGGACATCCGTGTGCCGCAAAGTGAACTAAGGAAACGGAACTGAGTCTTTTCAACACCTCACGTTTCGTGGCTTTTCTGCCAGTGATTGGCGTGATATTCAGAATTTTTCCGATCAATTCTACTTCTTCTTTAGCACACGGAAGCTGCTCGAGGACTTTCTCTCCCTCGCTGTTAGTAACCTCGGATACCCACGGATCTCCCACAAGTAACGCATCACTGCTTTTGTGATAATCATCTGGGCAATCGGCAATGAGTCTAAGACTTGCTAACGATGGAGCGACTCGGATTGTGAACGATTCACACAGGTATTTAGAATTACCATCCTTCAATGCAGCGTAAGGAGCGATCCACAGGGGTCCATCAGGAATAATGAGTAGCTCATCCCCTTCAATCAAGTCAGCCACCGGCTTCAAAACGATATCATACAAAGTGCTCAAGCATCCGTCTTGTTGGATATGAGGTTGAGGGTTGGCTTCTTTGGTTTTCTCATGCACTTTTGGACGGCCCTCCCTCAAAGCATCCAAAGATCGATTCTCGCATCTCACATTAGAATGAACACCAAGTTGTGTATAGACACCGAGCATGAACGACTCAAAGGACTGGCTAACTCCACTATTCTCTGAAACAAAACCTTTGAGTTTACTTTGTCTTAACCGAACTTGTTTTCCTTCGGAAACAACCCAAAGATTGACGTTAGCTTTGTCCACTGCCTGAAAGACAGTGTTTGATGGAACGTTTTTTAAAACTGTGAAATCTTCATCTTCTCCCTTGTGGTGACTTGTTCCACCACAAAAACTGGATTCCATGAGGTCGGTCAGAGCTTGAGCTCGTCCTTTCTCAGCAACAAATAAGGCTTCATCTACATTACCTTGTTCTACGAGAACTCTCCACAAACCCGTATACGCCATTTGATGCTGATTTCGAAAATTAACTTTCCACTCATCTTTAGATTTTAGAAGTTCTCTCAAGGAATTGAATAAGTTTATGCTAGCTTGGTAATGTTCAACGGCTTTTGGTAGTCTACCTTGCAACTCAAAAACGCATCCTAGTGAATAGTAGGCAATTGCCTCGAAGCATTTGTCTCCTACTTCTTTAGCTATTTTAAGAGCTAGGTTGTAGTACTCTATGGCTTTTTTGAAATCACCCAGACGGTCATAAGCATTGCCAAGATTGCCATAAGTGTTACCCTCCCCATGCTTGTCTCCTACTTCTTTAGCTATTTTAAGATGTAGGTTGTAGTACTCTATGGCTTTTTTGAAATCACCCAGACTAATATAAGCATTGCCAAGATTGCCATAAGCACCACCCTCCCCATGCTTGTCTCCTACTTCTTTAGCTATTTTAAGATGTAGGTTGTAGTACTCTATGGCTTTTTTGAAATCACCCAGACTAATATAAGCATTGCCAAGATTGCCATAAGAACCACCCTCCCCATGCTTGTCTCCTACTTCTTTAGCTATTTTAAGATGTAGGTTGTGGTACTCTATGGCTTTTTTGAAATCACCCAGACTAATATAAGCATTGCCAAGATTGCCATAAGCACCACCCTCCCCATACTTGTCTCCTACTTCTTTAGCTATTTTAAGATCTAGGTTGTGGTACTCTGTGGCTTTTTTGAAATCACCCAGACAGTGATAAGCATTGCCAAGATTGCCATAAGAGTTACCCTCCCCATGCTTGTCTCCTACTGTTTTAGCTATTTTAAGATATAGGTTGTGGTACTCTATGGCTTTTTTGAGATCACCCAGACGGTAATAAGCATTGCCAAGATTGCCATAAGCGTTACCCTCCCCATGCTTGTCTCCTACTTCTTTAGCTATTTTAAGATCTAGGTTGTGGTACTCTATGGCTTTTTTGAAATCACCCAGACTCTGATAAGCATTGCCAAGATTGCCATAAGCACGACCCTCCCCATGCTTGTCTCCTACTTCTTTAGCTATTTTAAGATGTAGGTTGTGGTACTCTATGGCTTTTTTGAAATCACCCAGACGGTCATAAGCATTGCCAAGATTGCTATAAGCACCACCCTCCCCATGCTTGTCTCCTACTTCTTTAGCTATTTTAAGATGTAGGTTGTGGTACTCTATGCCTTTTTTGAAATCACCCAGACGGCGATAAGCATTGCCAAGATTGCCATAAGCACCACCCTCCCCATGCTTGTCTCCTACTTCTTTTGCTGTTTTAAGATATAGGTTGTGGTACTCTATAGCTTTTTTGAAATCACCCAGACGGTGATAAGCATTGCCAAGACTGCCATAAGCATTACCCTCCCCATGCTTGTCTCCTACTTCTTTAGCTTTTTTAAGATATAGGTAGAGGTACTCTATGGTTTCTTCTCCCCGACTATAAAGATCTATGACTTTCTTGACATCACCTGAACTTGCACTACCATGGTCATGACTAATAGGATCTTTTTCCTCCATGGACTTATCTCCCACTTCACTGACAGACTGAAGTCTTAATGACAACAAGATCCTATTGTTTTTGTCAATCTTTTATATGTTAAGGGTAAAAAATGTGGAAAAAACAAAAAAGATTATGTTTCTGATCATATTGATATGTAATCGTCCATTTTAACATTTGCGTGCTTGGTTCCCAAGCCTCTGAACAAGAGGGATGATAAAGGGTGACCTTGTTATGATAAAAACATTGCTGCTTTTTAAATACAAACTACTTTGTTATTATCGTTTCTAGACAAATTTGGTCTGGAAATTAAAGGGTTATTTAAACTAATGTAACAGTTATTGGCATGGATAGTAGAACTAAGTCAAATTGGCTAAAAGGAGTAATTTCATTAATAAGTCATGAGGTAATAACGTCTCCTATATTTTTAATCACACACACTTAAAGTATATGAGCTGACAAGTTCCCATCATAATTAATACCCTTCTTTCTATTTTCTCCCTTGAAACATCAAATTGTGGAAACTTTTTTTTTTATACCCACGGTTAAAAATGAACGATTCCTTCAAAGGATACAACTAGTCCCTTATCACACCAACTGATTGCTTCTTCAAATCTCTTCAATTCAACACAAGTAGCGGCTCCTGTAGGCAACAACACAAAGAAGCATACTATTACTGTAGCTCAATTCTGAGAAAAGAACCTGAAACCATTGAAATCATTACAGACCAGAAGAAAAAAAAAAGACAAAACAAAACAAAACAAAGAAACTAAACGGAAAAGAATAAACAGGCCCTATTAGGTTTCAGTTAGATTTATTTAGCTTTACAGACAACTGAAACTTCTAAGAACACTTAAATTGGGATCAACAACTCCCACAAAAACACTAAGAGTTAGGTAAGTCCTGATCCTTCTTTCTAAAACAGCAAGATAGTGACTTAAAAGCGTGTCCACGAGAGCACCGGGTGGTCGTGCTACATGCCATCTCACCGATTTCAATGAAACTTTGTCAGTTTAAAGGCTCTACCCCAAAGCTAAAAAAAAAACAGACTGGTTTCTGTTTTGGTTTTTTCCGTGGGGAGATAGACCACCCCCCGGTTTTTCTTGGTTTTCACTAATGAAATCGCTTCAAATAGGTAAAATATATGAAGCTCTCACTGCGATGGTATTTAACTGATATCTTTGAGGATTTGCACACAAATTTTTACATCCTTAGTTAATGGCCGCCGCGAGCATCAGTCAGTTTGATTGACGGCTTGTCAATCAACAGAGGCAAATATACGGCTGTGTTTTTAGACTTTTCGATTCATCTAAATATTTTACAACTTTGAGGTTAAATATCTCCCGTTGCCAGAAAGCTACAACACTTATCTTAATTACCCTTTATAACCCATCATTTCATCTCTGAAAATCATCAAAAAAATCTTTGGGCACTACCGTATTTTTGTCTTGGATACCTTTTAAAATCTGCGATTGTGACAAGTTTCTCTCAACTACACCTGTCACGCACTTCTTGCTCTAGGCGGTCACTTGACAAAATAAAACTACATTTTTTAGTTCTTTATACAAGATGATTGATCAAGAAAGGTGAAAAATGTTAAAAACGTTCGAGATTTTTTGTAGGAATGGAAAATTTCACGTTTAGAGAGATGCATGTTGACGAAAAATCAATGGGAAAATCGTTGCGTTTCTTTCTTCAGTCGTTTATTACTTTCAAGATTTGCTAAAATCAGGACATAGGGCTCTTGTACAGAACAAAACATTCATTAGCCTATACTTTGATCGTCTATTATCATTATCGCACAGTTTACAATAAGGAAACTGTAACAGGAGAGGAGATTTTAAAGTCACATGTCGCCTGCTTGTTGATGTACAAGTTCCCGAGTGTAACAACTTCGGCTTTTCCATACCGCGAATGACGGGAAACTCTGCTCCCCTTATTTGATAGAAATAACAGTAGCCCCATAAATTCATTAATTACGTCATGTTTCCAGAAAATAAGACTGGAAAATGTTTTTTCCACTTTCCACCATCAAGAAATTCCACGTATAGAAATAGTATTTTTAGGGTTACTGCGTGACTTTTCATGAGAAGTAAAAATTGTTCATCTTTTTTTTTCAAGAAGATACTTTTTTTTGACTGCAAATATCATTTGCATTTTCGCTGATTGTCATGGCCTTTCCTGCGTGCACGTGCGAGCTAGTTCATATACAGGACTCTTTCCAGTTTCTCTGGGTGGTGTCGGGCTTAGGTGTGTAGGTCTGGCTCAAAAGATATCTGCACGCTGCAACACGGGTTCCTATGTTTTCTCCTTTTTCTTCATTTGGATTTTCATTCTCTTGCTTGCATTATCACACATTTATGTTTTTTTATTCCCTCAGCGCGTTCCCTCAGATTTGGAAGTAGGCCATGAAAAGTCAATATTGACCAGAACTGAAATCCTTTTCTATCACTATTTGTTTCAGAGAACCCCCGTCATTTGTGACTTTATTTCTCAAGAAAATGTGTTTTTATTTGCTATTTATTTCCATTAGAACATGAAACTAGGTCCTGATAAGTTTTTTTGTCTCGTGACTCCCAAAAACTGTGTTTGCGACAACATCAATTGAGAAATCAAAGGCAATTACGCCTGAGAAATTCGCTTGTAGCCTTCTACCCGCAGAAGGCAACTCCATATAATGAAACGTTCTAAGACCTCTATAAACTAGAGACATTGCGTGATGTTGAGGGGTGAAATATTTGCACTAAATCTGTGACCCTCAAGCGGATCACGTACTCGTACATGCATATGTAACGTCCGGAAAATGTCACGCATGTATAACACCGTAGGCGCACCTGGCGAATTCTATCCACTGGCTTCAATAGCAAAGAGACAACTTATTTACTATTTGTATATGAACAAGCTTATTTACCCCTACTTGAAAAAATCCTTGATGAAGTCAACTATTTTCAGACGAAAAGCGTGGGAGATAAATACAAGTTTTTACTTTCTCAGTTCGTGCAGAGATGCTCACTAATTTGTTCCGTCAAAAACGCTTTTAATGTGAAGTCACGTCGACCTCGACAGAAAAATTAAGCTCACCCTGTCATAATCGATGGTTTGATACCGTAAGTACCAATTTAGGTACATCATTGGGCTTTGATCACAATGATAAAAAAAATGTGCGTTTCCTCACGCTTGCCACGTTTATTCTTTGGAAAATTATTTTACTGGAGGGCGATGTCCCTTACCTTGGCGCGTCTTGACTCTGGCCGACGAAAATTATCGAGGTGAACTCCATGAAATTCTAGTCAAATGTTTTAAAAACTTTGTCTACCCTTGATTTGCACGCAGAAAAAAAGGCAAATTCCGAACGGTATTTCAAAACATTTTATTCATTAGTCAATTTATGAACTGTTTTATAGCAGCCCGAGGAAAAAGCAAAATTGAAACAACCGGCGTATCGGTCAAATGAATTCCAATTTTTTCAACAAGGAGTTGGTAAGTTCATTTTTCCTAGTAAATTTAAGTGGGGGTCATTTTTTGTGACAGCCTATCAAAGATAGACATCTCTGAAACGTCTCTGAAACTCTTTTTAAAAAGAGTTTACACTTCCGGTAATATTTTCCTCTTTCTCGCAACAGCGCAACAGACATTGTTAATCCTATGTACTGTAGGTGTATCAGTTGTATTACGTCTTCATAGTGATGCCATATAAGAAATCGAGCGTCTAAAAAGCCCTCAATTCAATCTAACACTCGAATTGATAAAGTCAAGATGGTGCAGTTGTCTTGTTCATTTGCAACTAACTGTAGAACCAAATGTTATTTTCCTCGCGCTGGCCAGGGACGGCAACAGCTCATACCTCTAAATTCGTGGGTATACAGCTTAAAAAAAAACATTTGAGAGACGTCGGTGTATCCCAAACATGCGTTTCGTCCGAGATGGAGCTTATTCTAGCGCGTATTGGCTTATTTGGAGATTACGAAGGCCGCGATTTCACGATGTACCTCAAATATCGTGCACAACTTGGTGTGAGATTCAGACCTTCGGGTTCGTAAATGCCAGTATCCTCCTGACAAAAATCGGAGACATAAAGTGAGAGAGAGATGAGTCTGCAGGTGGCAGTAGAAATCAAAGCTGGTGGCGAGTCTTCCTTGTGGCGGCAAGGTGACTGTAAACCTAAATAGAACGCATACTGTAGCTGCTATCTTAGAGTCTGCAATGAATAAGGAAGAAGGGCAAGAAGAGCGCTTATCTAACCATCAGTTTTCCTAACTGGTTATTTGTGACTGAGATAAACTTTATATCATATGATTGCTAGGGATACGCAGGTACTGTAGAGGCGCTCACATAGATAGAGGTGGCCGATCCTCCCTCTGACTTAAGAATTGCGACAAGTTTACAGCGCAGACCAACTGGCACAGTTTGAAGCGCCTCAGGGTCCCACTAGGCTCATCACGTTAGAAACCTTCAGCAAACTAATCGTAGAAGCGGGTGGTTATCAGCGACGTGCACAGATTTCTGAACGCGGGTCATCGCGAGAACTATACCCAATCCGTCATAGACAGAACAAGAAAGCGAGATATTCTTGCTAAAAGAAGGATGTATCAAGACGTTTCAGTCATTGGCTGCCATCCAAATGTACCCTGACAAAGACAAACTCAGTGAAGCTGACAAAAAAATTCCACTTAGGATAAGGTCAAGAGGAAATGGACTAAGACCGGCTTGCCATTCTATAGGGGATGGCTACGTTCAAGGTCAGACCTCAGGTAAAAATTCTGACGAACAATCCCTAACTAGCCAAGTGGACTTTGGATGAGCTGTTTGGAAAACACAAAAAACAGCCACCTTTTCTCAGAAAGCAGAGAATTATCTCCTAGACGTGTGCTGGACAAGGGAGGAAACTAGTAAGGCAACCAACTCTAATGTGATTTCCCAAATATCGAGTTTAAGAGACGACACCAGTCAGAAATGTTGTCTAAGACTGACCGGTTGATACAGCAGCAAATCGCTCGATACTTCAGCCGGTTATCTGCCGTAACAAAAATTGGTTTATTGATGAAATCCCCCTCTGTAAATATGAATGAGGACGAAAGGCCGATGCCAATGATCTAGCTTCAGAATTGGAAACCGACCGAACAAGGCAGAAGATAGGGAGGGACCTTGCAAAATTTAGACGAAGACTGCTGGAAAGGGTACAGCTGCTATTCAGCCGAAAAAAAAAAAAAAAAAGACATTTGCATCTCACTTTTCTTTCATATTTATTGTCTTTGCTCACGAAAACAACTGGCTATGTCTTGGGATTTCATCAAGTGAAATTTGCAGGAAGCCTACTCGTCAAATTATTGCTGGCTCATTCTTATTTAAAAATTTTACAAGTCACGCAATCATAGAGATCTGCAGATTATTTTGAAATTGTTATCTAGCAGATACCATGAACAACGCGCTTGAATAATTCCTACGGAGAGTCTTTGGGTCACACAACAGATGTTAGCATAGCGGAGTTCTGCATGTAAATGTTCAATGGCGGTAAGTGACAACGTCAACACCATTTTAATTTTATTTTCGGGATAGAAGCACAGTTTTTAGTCCGATAGAACTATTGATATTTGCTCTCGAGCGAGAGCGCAGAATTTCTCGTCTGTGAAAGCCGAAGTTGTAGCACACTGGAACATGTAGTAATATCAGCCAACACGCAGCATGTGACTTTAAAATCTCCTAAAATGAGCGATGATGATGATAAACAATCAAATTATAGACTAATGAATGTTTTGTGCCGTACAAAAGCCATATCTGCTGATTTCAGCAAATCTTGAAAGTAATAAACGACTGAAAAAAGAAACGCTAGGATTTTTCCATTGATTTTTCGCCCACATGCATCTCTCTAAACGCGAAATTTTCCATTCCTACAAAAAATCTCGAAGGTTTTTCACATTTTTTACCTTTCTTGATCAATCATCTTGTATAAAGAGCTAAAAAATGTAGGTTTATTTTGTCAAGTGACTGCCTAGAGCAAGAATTGCGTGACAGGTGTAGTTGAGAGAAACTTGTCACAGTCGCAGTTTTTAACAGACATCCAAGACAAAAATACGGTAGTGCCCAAAGATTTTTTTGAAGATTTTCAGAGATGAAATGATGGGTTATAAAGGGTAATTAAGATTAGTGTTGTAGCTTTCTGGCAACGGGAGATAATTGACCTCAAAGTTGTAAAATATTTGGAAGAATCGAAAAGTTTAAAAATACAGTCGTATATTTGCCTCTGTTGATTGACAAGCCGTCGATCAAACTGACTGATTCTCGCGGCGGCCATTAACTAAGGATATAAAAATGTGTGAGCAAATCCTCAAAGTAATCGGTTAAATACCATCACAGTGAGAGCTTCATACATTTTACCTATTTTAAGCGATTTCCTTGGCGAAAACCAAGAAAAACCGGGGGGTGGTCTATCTCCCCCCAGGAAAAAACCAAAACAGAAACCAGTTTGTCTTTTTGATTTTTGGGGCAGGCCCTTTAAACTGGCAAAGTTTCATTGAAATCGGTGAGATGGCATGTGGCACGACTGCCCGGTGCTCTTGTGGACACGCTCTTAACATATCTGATACCTGTGACTCATTGAACTTAGGGAACTAAAATATTCATGCTGAAATTTTGCTTTGCATTCCGCATTGAGTTCTTCATCCCGTTCAAAATAATATTCTCATCATGATTAATGGCAAGTAATGGCGTAGCAGCCAAGAACTGGATTCAAATGTACATCAGGGTGGTCTCGACCCCTTAATTAAAGTCAATTGAGACAAGATTGAACTCCATTTAACCTCATTTAACCTTAGAGTGTTGAGTTCTTTTTTTGTAATTATTATTATTACTATTATTATTATTATTATTATTATTATTATAGCACAGCTAACATATCTAACCTCTCACAATTGCCTTAAGGAAAGTTGGATTTAACTCAATGGCTGCTTCTGCATCCCTTAGTGAATCCTGGTGATTTCCTGTTATTGAAATAAATATCTCTGATTAACCATACATGTTCCAAACCAACTACCATTACTATAATTTTGGGAAAAACTTGTGATGCTCGTGGATATCTGGGGTAAGAGGTTACTTCTTTGTATATTTGAGAGGCCAAGATAAGATGTAAATTTGTCCGGGCATGCCTTCAAAATCATCACCTTTTTCAGAAAACTACTACTAACAACTTAATGGCTTCAAAATAGAAAAAAAAAATGCATATTAAAGCTCTCATCATCTTACCAAGTTTAGAATGTGCAATAGCCCTGTTGTTGTGCAGTTTGGCCTTCAGTTCTTTCTCGTTGCAGTTCATTTTAATTCCTTTGGTGTAAAAATGAATAGCATTGATGAAATCTCCTTTATTGAAGGCCTCATTACCCTCATTCCTATAAACATCAGCTGTGGCTGCAAAGAAAAAATAAAATAATTCGAAAAAAAATTAAAAAATGGGTGTCAAAGTCTGTGGTCGTAGTTAATAATTATTCGTGTATAGTCAGAGCTGCCAAGATCTGGAGATTTCAAATCTGCAGATTTTCAATAGTTATGATGATGCTAACAATGTAGGTGACAACATGGGTAAGAATAATGATGAGAATTATAAGCATCACTTAATTCGAGGCAAACCCCTGGAGATGAGAGATTTTGGAGATAGGTTTCCAAAAATTCCTGTTCCCTGGGAAAAATTAATAAAATGTTCAAATGCCCCACACAATCTTATGTAAAAGGCGAAATAATAAGCAATTTCACTTTCAACTAATTGATCAAGCTTTAAAAACTAATTGACCAAGCTTTAAAACCTAGACCTTGAAGCCTTATTTCTTCTAAGCCATTTGTTAGTGAAAGTACACTATCTGCCTTAAACACCTCCATATTCAATGATAATTAACACTTGCACTCTACTGGAAATTAGATGTGACAGTGGGTTGCTCGAGGAGAAAGGAGGGAATGTTGAAGGTTTCAAAGTGATTATGTTTCATTAAAATAGAAAGATGATGGTGGTACCTATGATGCAAACTTACAATGGATTTTATATGATGATCAAATAAAGTCTTAACTTATTATAACTTTGTGTTATTGCTTTGAACTGTTAGGAAAGAAAATAACAAAGGTTTCTGTGTCATAGATCTTCTCAATGAACAGCATCTTGTAATCATAGAAGAGAGTCACGACTGGCCAAATATCCTTTAAAGCGGTCATACACTGTATATATCCTTTTCCACATCTGCTGGCATTCTTGAAACTGATCGAATAGAAATTGTTCTAACAATAACTGAAGCCGAAGTTGAACCTAGCTCACCTTGTAAAGTGTCCTCGTCAAAATTTGGTGCATTTTCTTTGTCAGGTAAGTCTTCATTTTCACATGGAACTTTAACTGATCTTCTAGCCATAGTAACTGTAAGAAGACTGACGCTTCTTAAAAAGTTGTTCTTTTAAGTCATCCTGGCCTGAAAAAAAGGTGATTGAAAATGGTTGCAAACATCAGCTCAACATATTACCCAGTTGCAAAATAAATATTTTTTCACTTCTGAGAATGGGAGGGATACATAGACACAAAATCAGAAGCCAATTAATAGCTAATGTCAACATGCATCAGACAAACAGCGGCAAGTCGCCCAGATTCGTTTTCTCTCCTACTTTCATTTTTTGTAGCCCAATATGTCCCAATAATTGTGGTGTAGGTTTTTTGTGAAAATATATTTTAGTTTTTGAGAAATGATTTTTTTTCGGTCGACTGCTCAAATATGCAAATTTTCGCTCTGAATATTGCCCGAGTTGTGTGACCTCATGTAACGAATTTACTTGACCTTCGGTATTTCTGTCAGCATAATCCTTTGTTTTATCATCCTAACTTAATTCCCTGAGATTATTGAGGCTGGCACAAAAATGTTTATCTTTTGGTGTATATTTTTTCTATGTCGAAAAGTAGCATCAAAACAAAGACAGTTTTAGCAATGACCGATACGACAGAATCTACTGAGCTTCTAGCTTTTAAAAGACAAAAGGATGGTTATAAAGTAACTGTAAAAATTTTCTTGTGTAATTGTGTTGTTCTATCGTGGGACGAACTCAAAGTCCAGCAAAATTTACTTACTAGCGACTATGAAATACTATTATGTAGTACATGGTGTGCCTACTTATCGCCACCTTTTATTGGCATATCGAGGCATAAATCACCACAGTTTGTAAATATATCTTAACATAACACACTCTTACCTAGTTTATTTATCATTTTATAAGACCAATAATCTGTTTCGGTCATTATATTACGCTTGGGTATTACTTTTTGCCGGGAGCCCAGGTTTTACGTTGTGTTCTCCCCTATCCCAGTTATATCAGAAGCTAGTCAAGCAATAATTGATACCAACACAAATGAATATTTACCCTGTGTGAAGATTTTTGTTTATTTTGAATTGACAATATTACAATATGTTGCTTTTGTGGTCACTGATCGTTGTTTCAGTGTTAGCGTAGCAGTTCAAAGCGGGTTGTTGCTTCAACGCTATTGAAATTTATAGTGTTCTGGCAGGAAAGCAAAGCATGATGCTCTGGGAATAAAAACTCTTAGGGGCCTTTTATGTGATATCGGAATGAGTTTTGTTCAAGAAAGAGTTCATTCCGGTTGCCAAATGATACCAGAATAAAATTATTCGAAGCGAGTCATTTCTGAATGAGTTTATTGAGGTTTTCATTCCAGAACGAAACACTTATTCTGGACGACCTTTTGTACCTGTGTAAAGTAAACGCGGTACGACACTCATATCTGTATGAATCCTCTGTAGGAGCGAGGGAAGCATAGAAAAGGGACGTAAATACTTGTTTTTACTACTTGTTTTTATAATCTAAATTATCTTGCATGTAAACGCGGTAGGAAATTCATTTCATTCCGAAATGAAACCCATTTTGGAATAATGTAAAAGGTACCACTTGCACGATTTGTTTTCTTTCATTCAGCCCGTGCTCAATTTTTTCGGGGGTTATTGCCCAACACCCCAACACCGCCCTTCCCCCCCCCTCCCATCCCGCATCAAAAATCTAATGGTCCGTCCCTAAGATGCTATCAGGTCCTACAACTTTTCAAGTGATGAAAGAATTTGGATATATATGTATTACTCGCGTTGTTGTTGTTGTTTTTTTCACATTACCGAGCGAATTTCAAGTGATAATTTCAGGAAGTAAGAAGCAATATTTATTCATCATCTGTATGTTGCAAGTTTATATAATTTGTAACAGCAGCAATTGAAATTATTTAAACCAGAGGCTGTAGGTAGTTAGGTAAAGTCTGTCTTTAAGAGTGGCCTATCCAGGCCCTGAGCTTATAATCCTGGATTCCTCACATGAAGCGACTAGGTATTTCTACTCCTCCCTGTACATGATGACAGTCCATCCCATGGTTACCCCCCCCCCCCCCCCTCTTCCCTTCTGCCATTTCATCAGGTTCCCCTGACTAATTTCTGGTACCCATTTATACTCCTGGGTGGAGAGGGGTACTGTGAGAGTAAATTATTTTGTACAAAAACAAAACACATGATCTGGCCAGGTTACAAATGCAGATCTCTTGACCCTGGCTCCACCTCACTAATCATAAGACCACCATGTCTCCACAAGAGGAGAGAGTTTATGGTGAATCCTTTCTCATAAGAAACAACTTATGCAAAACCAAAGTAAAATTCTCTTATCTGATTTTTAAATAGGGATTACTGGTCAAAACTTACAAAATATGTAAGTTTTTTATTCAATTTCCTCCAGTTGAACCGACATCCATATTTGTGCAGCTGACTGTTAGTTCAACTGGACACTTATGACAGGAAAAACAATGAAATATATACACTAATACATGCTGATGTTTGTGGTTTACCAGTATATGTATATTAAACTAATTGCTTTTGCAATTGTTTCATGTTTACATTGTTTTGTGCACAGAATTGATTTGTCTTTGATGCTAACTTTAATTATCCTGATAATCTAGACTGGTTGTTTTTCAAATATCATAAATTCCTTGCTGGCTATCCTCACATACAAAAAATTTCAAGAAATGTAGAGTAACAAGGAAATAAATTGTTCTGGAATTCAAATAGCCTGAGATACATGTACAGTGTAGATCATTTTTTCGAAAGCCAGTACTAACTTCTTAATAACCATTCGAGCACGAGTCTTTACTAGGGAATATTGGCCCAAGGTTACGGCAGTATAGAAATGTCATAATGCCAATATTTCCCAGTACTGCTCAAGAAAGCAAGGCAATGGTCGTGCACTAATGCCACTCGCAGTAAACTAGTGTATTGTGAATTTTCTAGCTTCCAAGTAAAAACATAGGCATGCGTAGCATGCAAGAGTTATTTTTTTTGACAGGGTGGGATGAGATGGGACACTGTACCTAATGTTTTCATTTTTGTTACAGAAAAGAGCATAACTTTATAAAAGATCGAAAATATTGCATTACTTTACCTTAAGAGAAAGAGAGAAAAAGGGTAATTTAGCTGAACTCACATAGGTATCTTATGGTGTATTTTCTCTATTGTCTAAATACTTCTAAGCAACAATAAAATGGATTGGTGCCACGCTTACTGTTTTCTCCTTCGCAGCAGTTGTTTGGTCTCGTCACACAACGCTATTCCCCGACGGAGAGAGAGCGCGTAGTATGATGAGACCAAATAATAGTTGCGAAAGGACCACGCTTACTGCCTTTCCTCTAACAGAGAGAAAATCAAAATTATTCGTCTACAGTTAGATGCCTGAAAAATATAATTCCGTGTAATTTTACCACGAAAAGCAAACTGAAACTCTGTTGTATCTCCAATAGACTCTAACCAAAGATATATTGCGATCTCGACCAAATGAAGATACATTTCACACCAGAAAAGGATAATATTTGAGAGAAGGCTCCTTGATTGGTTGTTGCCTATCTGGACCTTACCCACTGTGTGTGAAATACCTCATAAAATGCAGGTTGTTTACAAGGAATAAACACGCGATTGGATTAAGTCCAAGGGAGTTAAAAGCCGAGTTTATTCGTAGAAAAAGTCAGAACGCGGGAGAATTGCCGAGATCTTTACGGATCTTCAAAATTTTATTGCCAAGATCGTTCAGGATCTTGGCAGTAAAATAAAAGATCCTTGAAGATCTTGGCAAGAAAATGAGAGATTCTCAAAGATCTTAACAAGAATTTTTAAGGTCCTCAAAGAATTTTCAAAGATCTTTAAGGGATCTTTAAAGTTCTTGTCAAGATCTTTGGAGATCCGGACAAGATCTTTAAGGATATTGACAGGAAAATGAAAGATCCTTAAAGATCTTGGCAAGAAAATGAAAGATCCTTGAAGATCTAAGCAAGAAAATTAGAGATCCTTGAAGATCTTTACAAGAATTTTGAAGATCTTTAAGATCTTGTAGGATCATTAAAGATCCTTCAAAGATATTCACCAGGGATGTGTCACAACAAGGTGAAAAATATAAAAAACACTCGCCACATCGGCACTTTTTTTTCGTTGTTTTGGTAGCCACTTTGAAAATTTAGCCAGGCATTTTAAGGTAGGTAATTCAAATGGGATTTGTTATAGTGTGCACGCAAATACGCTAGTCATAAAATCAGCAGCCCACTGTTTGCAACTCTGCACAATTATAATGATAATACGCGAAACTTTGCTCGACGATTTCTGCTTGCTGACAAGTCTTTCCACTTGATAAAATTTTAGCTCAGGTTTATATTTCCTTTTGCCTTTAGACGCAATAATAATCTACACGATCTTTACTTCTTACCGATCGCACCATGTTGTTTTTGCAACCTAACACCTTCGGGCATGCTCCGTAGAACTTTGAGTACACCACAGTCAGGGGGTATGGCATTAACGAAATGACTCGGATTAATTGTAATGTTTTCTTTCTTTCATATTGGACTATTTCCTTCTGTCATTTCAAACTAAACTAATAGATAAATATTCGCCATCCAAAATGCCTTCAATGAAAATTACTAACGGGTAGCACGTGGTGCACTCATGATTTTATGTGGAACAAGCAAATGCAATTAGGCAATCTCATTTCAAATTTTCGTTAAATTTCCGACTCGAGTTATGACGAACAAGAACGAGGAGCATGTGGTTCACTCGTTAATTTATGAAGGACAAAAAAAAGAGCAAAGAAGACGATCATTTAATTAAAAAATCTATGTACCAGCTGGATTTAGGCTTATTTTCATTTTCCACAGGTGTGCTGATAAATATTCAGTTACGCTGTGTTCTAAATTAAACCTGCATTTTTTCAAAAGAAGTCAAATAATGTGTTAAAGAATTCGTATTTTGATTTGTCGCTTTAAATTTTTCTCTGACAGAAAATACCTGCCAAGTTTTGTATCATTTAGTAAGCAAGGAGCATTTACATCTTCCCCTCGAAAAATGTGTTTGTGATAACTGTTTCCTCTTTCAATTTCTATAATGCGAACAGGAAGTAACACGTAGACGGTAGTTTATAATCAAAATAAAAAGGAAAAAGGCTTCAGATTATCTCGTAACACTCAGTTTTCTTAGTTCTAACTAAATACTCTTGTAAAAAAATAGAGTAAGCAGGGACACAGCACTTTAGATCGATAACATTTTCATAACGTGCTCTTGTCTGCGATCATATGGCCTAGTGTGTTGTTGCCGGCTCACTTTGCTGAAAGACCTATATGAAACCAAGACCCCACGCCTCATACCGGATTGTCTATATTTTACAATGTAAAAAGTTTTTCTTTGTTAATATAAACTGGCAATGTTACTGATGGAACACTGCGAGTGGGTGAGTCAAAAGTCCACTTGGTTTAATGAATTATTTCAGAGCTTACCTTAAAACGACGTTTCGTCAACGACGGAGCGTGGAATTCGTCCTTAAGAACCTGTTAAATTTGTAAAATTTTGCAAGACCGAAGATATTTTGATGAGTTCTTCAGAAGGTGACTTATAACAAGAACGGTGTCGAGAGGGTACTCTTTTCCTAGTACTCGACCGCGACAGGATGCAAATGACTCACTTTTTGTTTCACGACCATACTGATGTTTTTACCATTGCGTGACACTTTCAGGAAAACCAAAAGTTGATGATACATTGTTAACTTTCCCGAGGAAATGAGTCATAAAAAGTGAATAATACCCGGGCGCGCGTAAATGTGAATTTGGTTGGTGGAATACAATTCAAGCACGTAAAAAATTGACTAATGTTCATGTAGTGCAATGACTGGGTATGTTCTAACGGACTTCGGACGTTGTTTTAATGGTACGTGATGGGATGTGAGTTGTTAGGCATGTAACAAAAAAAGAGCATGACTTTCAGACGGACGAAATATCGCGTTACTTCACCTTGAGAGAAAAAAAACTTAACTTATCTGAACTCACACCAAAGGCAGCCCAAGCTCCAGCTGTGAGATGATCATCTTGCGAAATAAGATTCAAGGTGATTTTTTCGGATTTTCTTTATCTGGCGGTGACATACCTGAGTATTTTTAGGAGCTGTGCCATATTTTGACTTCCCCCACAGGCTCGCCGAATTCAAACAAGGAGTGAAAATACTAGGGAATACTTCACACCAATGAATAGTCTACTAGGTTATTTATGATCCAACTGCTTTTTTTTCCGCCAAGTCTTTCTGCTCATTTCTCATAAGGCGGGAAGAGCAAAGTGGTTTTTTTTACAGAACAAAATAACCAACTGTACACATGTGGTATATACATATATTCGCGTTATTTGAACTCTACCTTGTGCAGTTGGATTATAAAACCAAATTATCTTGTTGTACCCCTCACCGACGCAGCACCACAGTTTCATTAGAAACTAAACCTATTTATTCATACGTTGTTAATTACAATGCCTGCAGCTGATGCGAGGCCAAAAGCAACCAAAATATTCTTAATAGACTGCGCTTGGAGTAGAAATCTCCAAAAAACTCAGCATACCTCGTATACACATACCTTAACATTACTAAAATACTTCTCGAGCGCTTCACATAACATTATTCTCTCACTTTCATACGATCTGGCTAGCTATACTTTATTTTTATTATTTTTACATTTTTTTTATTATTTTACATTTTTTCCAGTCTATCGAGTTCACGTTCCATACAAAGCCGTTTTCTTCTTGATTTGTGTTCTTTGTTGAAAGAAATTTGATCATATGAATTAGCATTTAAGCGTTTGACGAAAATGAAATACCGTATGCATAAATCAATTGATTGAACAACTTCTCATTTGAGTCGTTGTCTGAATCCTTGAAAACAGCGAAACTGTCGATATACTTCTTTTCATTTCTGTTTACGGCGAAAATATACATATCTTTCATTGATTTATGATATATTTAAATGAATGTTGAACGTAAAGATCCTTGTTAATCAGTTCAGGTTAGGTTAGGAGTATCCTTTGAATCAACCTTACCTTTTATTATTTGAAACACTGAATTAGTTCCGTTTAAACAGGTATGTAACAAAGAGATCTAGAGCAAGCAATCTTAGTAAAAATGAAATGGAGTTGGATTATCAGGATTTAAACCCGTATAGATGTTAAAGAGAAACAAAAGAATTAACTAACAATTTCGCTTGAGACACGAAAACATGAATATTGTGCCATGTGCATTTCTGACCAGACGAGGAACAGGCTATTTACAATTCGTTAAAGCCATTTTCTCTGTCGTTCGCATAGAGAGAAAGCAATAGAATTACCAAAAGTAATGGAGTGTAATGAAATCAAAGCTGAAGTAATTACATCGGCCAATCAGAGGAGAGGAAGTTATCTCAAAGAACCAATATGAATTCAAAGAAAAAACAAGCAATTTGCAAAAATCGCGGGAACACGTGAGGGTACAAGTCGCGATTGGGTTTAGCGTTGTATCTGATTGGTTGTGAAAGGAACGAGAGTTTTCTGGACCAATCGCAGAGCGTGGCGAAGCAAATCTCGAATTATTTTCGACACTCGATCGAAAATTGCGCCAAAAGGGATGAGAAAATTCAAAAGGCTGGATTGAAATAAAAATTCATTTTTCTCACCTTGATATAACTCAAATGTTGTGCGTTTAGGCCAAAATCTTCAGGTCTCTGCAGTTTTGGTGAAACTTTTGCAAGGGTCTGCTTAGGATGATGCTTATGACCACGAGTACTACGTTAGCAACGACCGAAACTTAGAGTAACCAGTAATCGTCGGTTCTACTTTTGTGGCTGACACCAGTTATAGGCAAGATTTTTGTTAGAAAATGCGTTCCCTGTTTCATGAATCTCATTTCTGTTGCTGACGCATATATTGAAAAATGAGAAATTTAATGGACTAAAATAGCGTCCACGTTAATCATCTGACAGCAGACTTGTAGTTCAGTGAGCTGAGCTTAAAGAAAATCAATTTTGATTTCAATGCGTTTATTCACCTTTAAGCAAATTGACGATAGTGAAACATTACATGCATAACATATGAATAACATTACATGTACTACTTAAGGATTATCTAACAGTTACCCTGTGTTTGCCTTAATTAAATAACTTTAAACCCTTTAACTTCCAGAAGTGATTAACATGTAACTTCTCCCTATTATAACTATACAGTATTTTGCAAACAGGTAATGAGAATACTCAAACTTATCAGGTAGAAGTTGTTATTATGATCTAACACCATATTCTCGTAACCAATTTGAAAGGAAATGTGTAGCAGCGAGAGAGGAGAATTAACAATCAGATCTTGGGAGTTAGAGGCTTAAAGTATTTGGAGTAATAGAATTATCATTAACTTTTTGGATTAGATAGAGATTCTCTGCAAGATTAAATTATTTTGTAAAGAATCCTTTGACGGTGGTATATGTGCGTTGATAACGAAAATCTGAAAAGGAGAGGCGAACATTAATTAATATGACGTGAGTCACAAAAATGTTTAATGAAGACGTACATCAATCAACTAAAAAGTCTTCCTTGACGCTCCTTTCCTAGTTCCTAGAAAAGAGTATGCGTAGCCTCCATGCTAAAGCTTTAAAGTGCTTTCTCCTATGAAGGGGACTGTCAGCGTAGCTCAGTTATAATGAACAATGGCTTTTTAAAATTAACTTAAAACATTTGCGCTCGTTTTTCACTTACTTGGATTTAGAAATGTGAATTCCAATTCCCTGCGTCCCTCAAGATAGATTGTGAACGCAGCCTCGTCTGGCTACCTCGATCGCAAAACACCTTAGCGATCTCCTGTTTACCAATTTCTTCACCTTCCCTGGACATGGTTTCTTGCTGCTGTTCACCTTCCTCGAGTGTAACATCAACGACACCACTGTCCTTTACCGCACTAACAAGAGTGGGCATCTCCTCTTGCCCTGTTTGCAGCTGATTATCAAGGACATTCGTCTCAACCATACCGGTCACTTCCGCCTGCAGGCCACTGAGGGGGAGGAGCAGGGCCAGGAAGCAGGAGAGGGACCACTGTGGATTTTTTTGCCATTCCTTGAAGTATCCGTACAAATGCAGTACATACTGAACTAAAAATTAAGATGTATGGGAATGATTTTAGATTCAGAAAACTATTGTTTCGCTTTTCAACTAAATGTGTTCAGCCCAGCAACAATAGAGGAATCTCTTCCATAAAGTAACGACATAAGCTCAAAAAAGATGAGTTTTGCCACTTCAAGTCATATTGACTTAGAATAGCTACGATCCTATCTTACCAGCAACTTGTCCAATCACTAAAGTGTTTGCTCCCAGCACCAAGATCTTGAACAAAACATCCTCCACGTAAGCATCAGTGGAGCCTGGCGGCAAATTTTCTGCTGGAATCCTGCTCACTGCCCCTATTCCTAAGTTGACAACAGTAACTGCGAGAGACGTCGCCATCATTCTGTTCTCGGTCTTGTCTTGTATGGGTCTGTTCCACGAAAATAGCATTCCATACATCCCAGCCATGACCCATGCTAAGCCAACGTAAGACCTGCTTTCTTGCCCCACAAGTATCAGACCGGAAGTCAGGATTACCTTCCGAGACATCTCAATAAGTTCCCAAAACCACGTGCGAGGGTTATAGTTTTCGAAAAGGAAGCGCAGTCCTGTGATAATTTCCATGCCAGAGTTTTCCTCCTCGTCACCCTCTGTTTGTATGATTTTCCGTTTATGCCTCCAAAGGACGAGAAACGAAGCAACAGGAAGGACAAAGACGTAAGCAGTAGAGATGTAGGCCACAATTAGCATTTTGTCATATTTTGGAACGTGACACTGAATGCTGTAATCACCTTTCAGGAAACTGTCGCATCCCGTTTCTTTTTCATCTCGGCAAATTTCGCGGCAAGTCAGTGGCATGACATTAGCTGTTTTGGTACAAGTGCTTAGGTATGTAACGTAGAGCAAGAAAAACAAATTCCTGTAAATAGCCTTTTTTGCCTCGGACAGTTTAGATGCCTTTTCATTTTCTTCCAAAAGAGGATTCCTGTAGATGACCACTCTCCGAAAGACGTAGATAGCACCAGACACGCAAATGAGAGCTGCATTTATTGCCATCGTTGCGTACAAGTTTCCGAACGCATCGACGGACAAGCCTGGGTACAGGCAGTCAATGGGTGCAACCTGAAGGACATTCATCTGAAGTATTTCAGAATACTTGCCAATAACTTGCAGAGAACCTGGCCATTTTATGTACGAGAATGCTTCCAATAGGCCGTAGGTGACCTGATAGAACCCAATAACAATCTTAAGTTTGGACAGAAAGATGTCCATCGGGGAACTTTCTTGAATCTTCTTCTTCTTTCTCCTACTCGTCCATACCACGATTGAAGCGATTATCAATAAAATTGCACCAATGATTGTTAACTGTGCAATCATCAGCCTCTTTGTAGGGCACTTCTTGCAAATTTGTAGCTGTTTATAGTATCCTGGACTGCAGACAGCGCAGAGAGGACCCTCATAACCCTTCTTACACTGAGAGTTTAACCCACCCATGCATGACCCTTCGACTGGACACTTGAAAGGTGTCGGTAGCGGATAGGGAATTTGGACACTAGAATTATCTAATGCTGGGCGAGATAGCTGGAGGTTTTTTATGAATTCTTTGTAGCGATCAATGTGTGAATCATTCTGCCAATCCCACCAATAACCAGGTTTTAGAGAAGCGTAATCATTTTGACATTCCAGTCCATGTCCACATTTGAAGCACTTTTCGAACATGTGAGTTCTGTAGAATCCCCCCAAACATTTACAAGCCCGATAACCAGCAAAAAAGTCAGTTTCAGTTCCTAAGGAACAAGAAAAGACCACTTGAGTTTTTTATCATCTCTTCGAAAATCGAACTTCACTGTTAGTATTATTTCATAATCCCGAGCGACAAACCTTTCTTTTCGTTGGAAAGACCATTTCTACATGACGATGAAGATATGCTATCACGAGTGCGCAATTTATAACGCAGTCATGAGCAGCAACACTGTATCACTGACAACTGCACGCTTTGTTCACAAGCACATTGTCGGCAGTCTGCAGAACGTACATCTGCCCTGCACAACTTACCAAATAAGTTGCAACTTGTTGAAGATATTTATTCGACTGGTCGCTGATTGCGGACGGAAGCTTATAAAAGAAAAGAGAATCTTTGTATTACAGGGCCTAAGACCTTTTACCTTCTGGGCAAGATTTGCAATCTTGTTTTTGCTTTCCGGGAGCTTTATCAAAGGGAACATAGGAACCAGTTGGACATTTCTTGCAATTTATCCCAACGTGGGCGAGAACATCTGAATAAAAACCACCTGTGGGAAAAATGAGACAGAAAATCTTTTTTTAACGATCGACGACATGAAAATAATTTGTAGTGTCATGGTTTTGAGTTTGTATGCTTTCCAGATTGTTATTTGCAATCTTCGTTCTCAGTCAAAACATAAGGCTACTGCCATAAATAAAGTAGGAAGGATTACTGGAGCAATACTGCATCAGTATCTGTTGACTAAATGCTTTTATTATCCTCATAATATGGTTTCACGGGGTTGATAACTTTAATGTACATTCTAATTTGCAGTTTCTTCGTGAAATCCCTTGTGACATTTCATAGCTTTCAATGCCAGCCTTTGTTCGTGTCATACACTTAATTGAGAAAATTGGCTAGTTCAACTGTCAAAAAGTGAAAACGATGTGGAATCACGAGGAACAATTTCCCTTTCACTCCTTTCGGCTCAATACCGTCCAGGACAATACTTAACAATCATGGGGCTAATACGCTGATGAACAAGTAGTACACAGATTTTACCTGGGGTGCACTGAGTGCAGCCTTGTTCTCCTTTAGTTGAAGAATTTGAAAATGTCCCTAATGGACAAGGAAAATGAATGTTCCGGTTCGTGGTATTAACGTGAATACGCCCAAATCCTGACGCTTTCAAAGCAGCACCAAAAGCCCTTTGTACAGTTATTGCGATATTGTCGACCATGATGCCTTCTCCTTCAGAATCAACTGGATTCCTAGAATTTCAGTTCAGTTTTTAGTTTGATCATTCCACGCTTTTTAAAGAGAAATACGCGAGTGGCAGTAAAAGCAGCGGAAGGGAATCAACTGGATTCCCAGAATTTCAGTTTAGTTTTTTGTTTGATCATTCCACGATTTTTAAAGAGAAATACGCGAGTGGTAGTAAAAGCAGCAGAAGAGGTTAGTGGCCTTATATGTTAACGTTAAAGAAAGTGAAGAAAAAGTATTAATAATAAGTATATGACATTCAAATAGCAAGTAAAATCTTGTGTTTCTAGTTCCTGAAAGCAAACGTGACTTGTACTTAGTGTTGCATATATTTTCAGTATCGTTGATTAAATTCTAAAAAACGATATTTATCTATTTCTGTGTGTCTGTGCGAGTAAAAGATATTTAGTAAAGTAATGAAGACGTCTTGTTTGCCTATCGACTGCGTATCTGTTATATTTCAGCACCAGCATATGAACTTACAGGTAAACTGAACAGAGAGCTTTTCTATTATGGCGAGACGAATAGTGCACGGTTGCAAGCGTTCTATCGTTTATCACTCTAAACGCCGAGTAGGATGAAAAAGAAATATTTTTTTTCAAGTCAACATTTTGTATTCACCTTCTATCATGGGGCTCTATACTAATCATTATTTTTTTGTCTGTCCATTAGATGCACGGTAACTTTTTCTCAGTCTGGAGACTATGAAAGTGTTGCGATCCACATCGGAAATGACCATTTCGTGAAGCAAACAATAATACATCATTAATAACAAAAACTTTTTGTACCATATAATTTTCTGATATGGTAAAAACATAACATGATCAATATATCAAAGTAAAACTGATAAGGACGAAAGGTAACGTTTTCTTCAGCTTTTGAGACAGCCTTTTACTCAAAAAGGGGTAAACATTTCGAAAGGTGGATACATCACATTTTAGCAGACGCTTGACTTAATCCAGAGAGATACTCTAAGCTCAACATCTTTAACTTCGTCCGCAGCAAATATCTGTGTAGAATAAATGGAATATAAATTTAATGTGAGACAAATTTCAAGACGTTTCAAATGAAACCACAACAACCTAGGGGAAAAAAACATTTGAGACATTTTGCATCATCAGCATAACATATATCCTTAAGTATGTTCAAGAGACTAAGATGTTTATTATTATTATTATTATTATTTCATGGTTGTAATATTGTAGCCACCTCCTTGAAACATTTAACGCATGTAAAGAAATGCATCAAAACAACATTGGACTTGGTACAAGAAAGACGATATTTACTTTTGTAACTAGGAGTACTCACATTCTTAGGAAGAAATGATCAAAAAATCCAGTTTTAAATGCTTCTCGTTCGATAATCATTATAGGGTTGTCTGACAGAATTCTACGATGACAAAGATATACTGAACTGAAAACTCATAAGGGAGTAAAGCATTTTATACTTGAGCGCTCAACACAACTAGACAAAGGATTACAGGATATTCCTACTTCACCATATCAACATGGCCAGTCAACGATTTTTGCTCCTCAGACTTTAAGATCATTGAGGGATCTTATCTACTCCTAAATTATTCATTAAGCTACCGTACTTACATTATCTCTGCATTTATTAGATTGTAGAAAGCTCGATATGGTATAGTCGTCAAGTTGTTTGCGCTCAAGAATCTTCAGTGAAAAGAAGACGATATGAACCATAATACCATGAGGGAAAGAATCCATTTAAAAACATTTCTTTACGGCATTAAGGGATAAGGAAAAGGCATATATAGGATTTAAAATAACTTCTCTTGAACACTCTGTCTTTCTGCAGTCATTCTAATCAAATATGGGGGTATGCACCGAGATAAGGTAAAAAGATATATATAGAAAAAGACTGTTTTGATACATACACGTATTGGAGCCAAGTAGATTTGGCGAAAGTCTCGTTAGATAGATAGCTTAACGAGTTATCCTGCAAGGAACTGAGAAGTTGAATGAACAAAAAATTAGGTAATTTTGCATGGAAGAAGTTGCCACTTGCAATAAAATTACGGGCCTAACGAAATGGATCAAAATTAAAACCTTAAGCTGTTTTAAAGCGTTGTGGAAAGTTTTTAGAATGTTAAAGTTGCCAGGAAATGTTTGTCTACGAGCATCATCTGTGATGTTTTTTATGTCCGTAAGGCGGACCAGTAATGAAAAATTGTATGCAACTTTCAACGATTGACACACGCGATGAAAGCATGTCTTATACAATAATGGTGGTCTTTTCATTCAGTAAATCCGCCTTAGAAGCTAAAGAATAAATTCGAGCCAATTGCCCGTCCTCCTCCCCCCCCTCCCCCCCCTCCCCGAGATGGAGCTACTCTTCCTTGTATGAAATGCCAATTCATCGCAAGGGTACCCCCCCCCCCAACATTTCATAAGGCTTCCCTGACAATTCGCCACCACCCATTTACACTCCTGGGTGGAAAGAGGCGCTGTGAGAGTAAAGTATTTTGCCCAAGAACACAACACAATGACCTGGCCAGGTCTCGAACTCAGACCTCTTGACCCGGAGTCTAGCGTGCTAACCATTACGCCATCGCGTGATTAATTTTTGTCGATAGCTAATAGGATCGGATAAGAGGAAGACACGTAACATGTACATCGCTTAAATTACAAAATAACTCATTACGGTGCGTTACTTACAAATATTCGAATGCCGAGGTCGTGCAACACAACAAGTTTTCTGGTAAGTTCCGTATCTTGTTGTAAGACAAATCTCTAGAAAACAAAAATGTCGAATTATCAACAATACGCTCTAGCTAACGGGAAAACGTTTTGCAGTTTTCCTACTCCGCCATCTCGGTAGCGCTGAATGCCTTTACAGGATATCATATGGCATATCAGATGGAGAGAGAAATGATACACCTGACCAATCGATACCCATTGTTTAATCGGACTGTAAGCGTGATTTAATGAATAAATCGTGCATTGTGATTGGTAGAGAAACTCTGTAAATGGCAACTACGTGTTTGAAGAAGGATCCACAATCTGGACATTTTCATAAGGGAGCTAATGGAAATGGCACAAGGTGGGGGAGGGAGAGGTTAGGATGCGACTCCTTCTCTGTCAAGAAAAATTACTAATATATAAGACAGATAAAAAAAAAATTTCCAACCACCCCCTCCCCCCCAACCACATAAATTCCAGCGAAATGCCTTAGTAGGACGCTTACACCACCCTATAATGGAAAACCTGCCCCCACACCTCTGAATCATTGGTTAGACCCTCTCTCCCCACCCCCTGTCCCTTTCTTGGATTAACAAAAATATCTCTTTACTAAACTCACAAATGCCTTAAGTTTGGAAGGCTGGCAAACACATCCGAGTTTAGTTTGGCGATATTATTTGACGTGAGGTACCTGCAAATAAGCAGATGAGCAGACAAGAATTGAATGATATGGCTGCATTTTAAGGAGGCCGCCACTAAAGAAATCAGTCAGCAGAAGTACTTACAAAGTCTCTAATTCAGCCGTGCAACAAAACAAATCCCTTGGTATTTCCGCAATTTTATTGGAAGAGAGATCTCTACAAAAGATGAAATAATTAATGTTGCTGTTTGCAGAGTAGAGAACAAAGCTGTGTTTGGCTTCATCGTATGTCGGAAGGGCGGTAAGTTTCTGAAGAAAATGTAATGCTGTATCGCTAAAGGACATTATATGTAAGATCATTTGGTCGTATCAGCTGAGTTGACAATGTAAATTGTTCATCGTAGAGTATTTCTTAAGCTGACGTTCCGTTCTGGAGAAGGGCGGACGCTCAAAACGTCAGCTGTGGAAACTCTGTGTGGCTGCCAATTTACATCATCGACTCAGTTCATAAAACTAAATTATTTGGTCTTATGTCTTTCTGGGTTTTCCGTCGAGATCAGGCGGGGATCTAGCCTGAATTATTTTAGTAATTATACACGAATTACCCGGAAACATGACGAAGATTATCCCAAAAATATCCTTGGGCCATCTTGGTGGCAATTCCAGCAAATTATTCATCAGAGTGACCATATTTTATCTTAAAAGCTACCGTTGATTTCCAAGATTCCTTGAATTCAGCCAAGTCACGGCTCATCACCAAGCAAGGTTGCTATGAATACTCTTTAGAGCGATCTTGTTAATGGCGGCTGTTGAGCGCAAACGGTACGGGAGAATGTACGGGAGAAGGTACGGGAGAAGGTGGTGCCCCTTATATCGTATAGTTAGCTGAGGGTGGTTGATCATATGATAAACATAAAATTATCTTCAAATCTAAGGGTTCAGTTTACAAATTGATCAAACGCACAGTAAAATTAATCTTCCAGTACGACGGAATAACTTAGCAGGTAAGTGATAAATATCGTTTGAGGCCATCAACCTGAAAAAAAAACTCTCATCAACCCTTAGGGAAATAATCAGATTTTATGATGTTAATCGTTAATCTAGTCTTATTTCCAACAATCACCAAAAACGGTAAGACTTCTATTTTTCGTGGACTTTTCAACAGCTCATGTTGTTATAAGTGAATGTCTCCACAATTTAAATATTCTTATGCAATTTAATCATGCACTGGTAAGAGAAAAGGATGAAACCAAAACGCTTAGCTCTTCTTCATTTACCTTTTGCTTTTCAGACTTACAGATTTGTTAAATAACGAAGACTAGAAAATAAATTGACGGAGAGGTTTTGAATGCTGTTGTTAGCAAGGCTTCTGTAAATTCAAGATAAAAAGGAAAATTAGAGCTATAAGCGATGACGTGAGTCGTTTATTGCTGAATGTAACTTGAAAGGTCCGTCTTGTTTGCCCACGAAAAAAGAAATATATTAGCAAAGTTATTGATCTTAAAGGAAACGTAGATGGTTGAATGATAATGGCGACTCAGAGAAACTCAGAGAATTTTACCAATGATGCGACGTTTAGAAAGTGAGCTGTTCGACTCGATATTGAGCGTTGTTCAAACGGACGTTTCTGTGCAGGATCCCAGAGAGGACTTCCGGTACGATCCCAGTGGTATCCAGCACGATCCCGTTGAGTTTTTGGATTGATACTGGTGGTATCCCAGCAGTATTTTCGGTATGATCCCAGCGGAATCCCGGCACCATCCCCTTGGGATTTTCGCTATGATCCCAGCGGAATCTCGGCACCGTCCCGTCGGGATTTTCGCTATAATCCCAGCGGAATCCAGGCACCATTCCATTGGTATATTCGGTATGATCCCAGCAGAATCCCGGCACCATCTCGTCGGCATTGTCGGTAATGATTCCGTAGTATCCCGGTCCATTCTCAGTGGGATTTTCAGTAAGATCCCAATGGTACCGGACATGATCTCGGTGGGATTATCGGAGTGCTCTCATAAATATCTCGAAACGATACTGGCGGGAATTTTCGGTAGAATCCCAGCGGGAGTCGGGCACGATTCCGGCCAGAATTCTGGTATGATCTACGCCGAATTCTAACATGATCGCGGACGAAATTCTGAGCGTTAAACGAGTACGCTCGATGCACGAATTAAAATACGATGTGTGGCCCAATCCAAACGTCGAACTTGACAAAAAACGAAGTTACATGAGACGAACTAAACTGAGAGCATTAAGTTCATGTTAAGTTCCACATTTGAATCAGTTGAGTTCTTCCAACTTAATTTGGATCCACTTACACGTTTTCTCGGTCTTCTTCGGACAGATAGAACATGTGAGAATTGACTGTGGAACAAAACGTCAATCTTTTCATGAATCCACCAATTGCTTCATTTGCAACCCGCTGACAGAAAGATTCGGTGTTTGCATCTCTGAATCTTATTGGTTTCACGAATTAAATTCGACGTTTAACCCAACAATCGCACTTTACCCGTTTGGGTTGACCAAAATTTCAAGTAGTTCGTCTCATGTGCTGTTCGGCGTTTGGACTGAGCCTAATACGCAAAGCAAGAGAAATAAATCGAAACTGAGATAATATAATAACAAATAGGACTTTTTGAAGAAATACCATGAGCAATTTTAACTTACAGCCATTCAAGATATTCAAGGCCATGAAAGACACCTTCTGGTAAAAATGTAATGGCGTTTGCTTGCAGGTCTCTGCGACAAAATGGGGGCAATTGCAACATTTGATTCAAAGCTATTTATGTCCGATACATTTTCATAAAAACCTTAGACTTACTCTAATTCATTTTTCTCGTCTCTATTTTGTAAGTTTTTGCACTCACAGTTGCTCTAGATGCAGTGGTAAGATTAACACTTCGTCAGCTTGAAAGGCAAAGCCATTTATGGATAAACCTCTGTACGGAAAGGAACATCAAAATTTTTCTAATCTCTGTATTTTACTTATACAAACAAAAACGGGGATGGGCTCAGAAGCAGTTTTCCTTGTATCGAGGTAAATCTCCATCAAAAGTTGTCAAATCAAAAGTTATAGCCCTATAAAATCGCAACAGCCAATCAAAATAGAAGAAAAGCAGCCAACCATAATAAAAAGAACATACATAGCACTCACATAAAGTATAGTTTGTCCAGTTTGCTCAAAACGTCGGCAGGTAGAGATAAAATAGCGTTGGAAGTCAAAAACCTGCCAGAGACAATTTCTACAAGTAAGATTATTTAGTATATGCCAGACAGGTGAATCTTGCTTGTCGCGCGCGCTGATTGGCTGGTAAGGAAGTGACTAACAAATACTACTCACCTCGAACTTCAAGCAGCCGAATAGATAACATCGCACGTCAACAAATTGATCTCCAACCATTTTTCGGTATATCGACAGAAATAAACTAATTGTTTTGGTTTCTGTGTGGTACGTACTAAAACAATAACTCACCTCAATGTCGGTAAATATCTGCCACTATTCACCCCCACTTCAGTGAATAATTGTTATATATTAAGCACGGCCCTAGTTTGGAGGCGCAAGAGCAAACTCTGAAAATACCATTTAAAGTTTGTTCAGAACTTACAGATATTCCAAGCTTGCCAGAGGAGAAAACGTATCCGCAGATATGTTTTGAATGTTATTATACGCCAAGTTACTAAACAAAAAAGAAACAAAAGAACTACTGTGGTCTGAATTTTTACGGATTGTATATCAAACGACAAGAACGTTTAATATCTATACTGACACACATCAAAAGTAAATCGAATAGCATTTTAACTTACAGCTCAAACAGGTTTTTTAATGGAGATAACAATTCTGTCGATAGATCCGAAATGGCATTTGAAGACAAATCCCTGTGTAATAAATAAAATTCCGAGCGTGTGTTGCGAATAACTCGTCTCAAAATCTACCACGGTAGTTTTTCCGTAAAGCGCAAATCAAGAATGTGTTCAACTCACAGTATTTGTAGTTTCTCCTGCGAAGAAAACACATTTTGTGGAAGAAAAGCAATTTTATTTGCCTTCAAGTTTCTGGAAGGAGACGTTGAAGACGATTAGCCATACGATCAAGCCATCAAGTTTTGGTTTAAAACAAGTGAAATAAAAGAGTGTTATTGTAAGAATCACTGAGATAAAAGAAACAACATTCTGCTCACAGAGTCCTCAGTTTCGTCAGGTTAACAAACACTCTATCAGGAAGATGTTCAAAACCATTCATTGACAAATCTCTGCAAGTTTGAAAATCAACGCAGATAATGAGTTAGAATTTCTCCTTAATTGACGCAAATGGCCCCAAAAATAAAAGTATCCTTTTATATAACAGGAAATTTATTTTCACTCACAGCTTTTCCAGGCGAACCATCTGGGAGAAAAGTTTTTCCGGGAGGATTTCCATGTCGTTTGCAGATAGATACCTGTGAAACGATTCAAACATTTTACCATTTTTACTAATTTAGTTCAGCTTTTGATCACTTTCACCACCTACATCGTCATCGTTATTGTCATCGTCATCGTTCTCCTCATTGTCAGTGTCCTTTTCAATAACATCATCTTTATATTTCTTGTGATCATTGATATCATCATCATTATTATCATTATTATAATCATCATAGTCATCATCATCATCGTCGTCATCATTATCGTTTTTGTTATCATCGTGTTCATGAGCTAATCCCCAACCAACACATAAGGCCTAAAGAATAACTTATGAGGCTTGGAGAAAAAATTGGAAAAAAAAACTATTAAAAAAAGCTATGTACACATAATTGAACGTATTTTATTTGTAAAGAACTGAAATTGATTAAAGACTTACAGGAACCGCACAGACTCTAGATAAGAAAACATGTCATCCGAAACATTAGCTAATTTGCTAAAGGACACATTCCTGTGAATTGAATAAAGGCAAGTCAACCTTCATCTCATTCGGTATAGTGAAAGGAAAATAAGGCATGGAACCAACGAGATCTAATGTTAAAACATACAAACAGTGTGTGAGAGGTCCGCCTTGATTTTAGTTTTTCATCGTATTGGTTAAGAAAGCAGGGCAATAATTTTTTTAGATTAATCATAGAGAAGAGTCTAGCTGGAAGGTCTCAAAACTACTTATGTCGCTAAATTGAAAATTGCTCTGTGTTACAAGGGATTGCTGATATGTTTAGAATGCATTTTCAAATCCCTAGTTCTTACATGTTTTCAGTTATTCCAGGGGCACACTGAATTACATCCAATGGCGACGATAGGTTCTTGCAGAGAAGAGTATTTCCGAAAAAGTGCCTCCATCCATAATTACACTGAGGTTTGCAATCTGATGAATAATTTTAAAAAAAGCCCGATTGAAATTAATTCACGAATGCATGTAAAATGTAGGAATTTCGATTGGACAACAATTCGTTCAATACTGAACTTATTGACCTAGAGCGCGTCCAGAAGCGTGGGAAACGGTGTGATCATGTTGTGACTGGCTTAACTTTGCACCTGATTGGTTGAGAGGGAAGAGAGATATTCCAACATTTATCACAGAGCAAGGTATGACTAAACTAGTGTAATCTAATCGACGGAAACGATTTAAGGTATGACAAAAAAGAAAATTATCGAATGTTTTTGCCAAAAATACTGAATCAAGTTATTTAGAACACTTTATATCTGCCGTCATACAAAATCGTTAGGGTATGCTTTACTATGCACCTTAAATTACTTTTCTTTTACCTAATCTGGGGGAAACTATTTATAACTTATCATGAGTAGGTCAAATAAAACTGATATCAAGTGAATGTCGAAAAACCAAAACCAAACTTATCATAGCGACTTTTAAGAACAAAGGTTAAGATCATCGTCGCCATTATAAAGTCGCCATTGTTTTCAGTTTTGCTTCAAATTGGTTGAAAGGATGGCACGAATTTTCTGGACCAATTACAGAGCAAAGTAGTAAAACTTAAGTAATCTCGAATCTATTCCCACACTATTAAAAAAAATTGCTCCATAATTTATTTCTTACTTGTGTTGATATGAAACATAGCCTTACCGTTAAAAACCACGGTAAAGTTTCTAACATCTGTACCATACTTGCTTGAGGCGATACAGGAGTAGTTCGCGTCTTGGTGAAACGTTATTTTTGTAGTCCTTGTTGTATTTATCAGTAGTGCGGAGTTCATTTTAATGGCTATGTACACAGGAGCGGTTCCAATGACAGGGCAAGACCACTTGTATCCGGGCAGTGCTTGTATGACAGACACTCGTAACATAACTTTTGGCAAAACTGAAGAGACAACAAGTAAAAGTATTAGAGCCCATAGGAACATTCTCGGCACTAGTTGGGATTTCGATTAATTATTCTCGCATTTTGATGGGTTTTCATCAGTGACACACTCAGCTGCGCCTCATGTGCCACTTTTTTGTTCTCAGCACATTTTGACGTCATCTGTGATCTATTTCTGAACAGATGAACGGCAATATAGAATCTATTTGTTTTTCTACTCTGTCCATTGTTATATTGATTGTATTATCACAAGCTAGGCTAACTTTCATTCCACGCTTTCGTACGAGCAACCAAAATGAAAATGCTCTTATGCGCCTATTTCTTCTTCTCAAATAGAAAGATGTTCATAGCCTGACTATGTTTATTATACATACCTATTGGAATAAAACTGAAAGATAGCAAAAATCTCCGCTGAAAACTGTAGTCTGAATGGAATGTTATCATGACGTAATTTCCAGCCACAATAATCTGATGATCATTGTAATTACCACAGTATTCACCGATCGTCTCGTTGTTCGCATCAGTGATCATAACGTAGTCATTTCTATGATCAACAAAACAATAAAAACTCTTTGTTTCCATGGTATCTAGTCTTCGATGACGCGTGGCCGGAGCGCACAAGTTGGAAAGAAAAGGGTGATGGGAAGGTGTGCTATACCCCATGATTCCATGCACTCCTCTTTTTAAGGAAAAGAACTGGGACCAAGTAAGGGAAGGTATTGACAAATAATAGAAATGGCATGCCAGGCAACCAAGTTAATGCTTCTCTAACATGATCTCCGCTTTAAGAGAGTCACTGAAGATCTACTAATGTTACTTACACACATGGATAAGTATCCTCAATATCAAAATCAAAGAAAGAGATGATCAACTCTGTCTTTTTCGGAATTGGAACCACGTAAACACAGTGTGCATTGTTTGGATAGTTTTTAGGATACCCTGGACTTTTCAGTGAGTTATTAGCCACTGAGCCACACTCTATTCAAGAAAAAGAAAAATTAGATTCATAAACCGCCTCTAAATATTTGAAAAAACTCTTTCATACAACTACAGCGCTCATTTTTGTTCATTGTGACGCCACGACAAGAGGTTTGGGATGGGGTGGGGAGTAAAGGGAGACGGGAGGGTAAGGTTCCGTTATATTCCTTCTTCGTTTCCCTTCATGCATTGAGGCCATGGACTCACAACAAAATTAGTTTAGGCAGTAGTCTTATAGGGTAAAAACAGTATTCTCGTGAGATCACAAAAATGTTTCAACAACGGGAACGATGAATTCGAACTCGGAGGGTTGAAAGGTTTTTGTTTTGATAAACAAGAAGGAATACAGATTAAACTTGATAATTGAGAAAAATTCAAAATACCTGAATCATTGATACTCGAGAACTTTGTACCGTTACCTGCATAGGAACGAATCAATTATTTGACCCAAATTACAAAAATGTTATTTTCATTATTTTAATCATTGCTGAGTTAAGTCATACGCTCCTCCTCCTGTTTAAGGTCCCGCATCCACGCATTTGTAACATCTTGGAGAGAAGGAAAACCCCTACACATAATTTTACGATTCTTTGATAAGTCACCTCCCTCAATCAGGGACAAAACATTTCGTAAAAATACCACATTCAGATCAGTTTGATCTTTATAAATCTGTTTACTGGCTCTTAAAAGAATCTTAGAAAAAAAGCCTTGTTCTGACATCCTAACTTATGCTCTGAGAGCACAATGCTATAATGACATGATAATGACGTCACTGGGACTAGTGACTGCATGCGCAATGAAAACATAAAACGGTTGCAAGTTAGGCCTTACCAAGCGGAACAGCAGTGAAGTATATCTCAAATCCTCTCTCCTGACCATACTCGTCTGATATGAACGTTATTAATACAAAGTCACCCGTTACGAGAATTTCTTTACCAGTCCACTCCCCACAGTACGTACCAAACGTCTGACCTTTGTCATTTGTAACCGAAAAGGAGTCGGCCAACCTTAACAAACAAATATTTAGTTTTGTATCAATTTAAATTGCTCCTTGGTGAGAATCATATTTTTCTCATATTTCCTTGGTTTTAATAATTACTCAGTAATTTCACTTACTATTCTTAAAACTGAGGTCAAAGTTAACTTAAGAAATTCTTCTAAAATACAACTTGAGGGTATAAAAAGAAATGAAAATGGGGAATACTCCGAGATTTTACTTCTTTCAAAAGGTAAATTTCAGCTTTCTCGGTTTGTACCATGGGCGGTTCTTCTATCTCCCCCATATTTTAGATGTTTCTATACACTGCAGCCATACTGCCTGGTTTGGACGTCACTCACTTTTTATGACATTCCCGCCAATTGTGGCGGTCACCACCTGATTTCGATGTCACTACCTGATTCACATGGGCTTAGTAGTCTCTTTAGGGGCAGAGGCACGGAAAAGGAGCACCTTAAGTTCCTGATAACAAGAAAAAGTATGCAACCGAGTCCAGTGGCCTATAGCCTATCCAGGTTTCTGTGGCATGTAGCGACCAGAAGAACCGCTATCCTGCGGTTCTGTGCGGTTCTGTGTTCTATGGGAAGCTAGTTCATGGTGGAGTTCATGGTGGCATGTTATCACTCCCTCCCCTTCCCAACCCACCCAACCCACCCAACCAGTATTTTGTTTGCCTTCTCTGGCAGTTCGCCGGTACCCATTCATACTCCTGGGGGGTCCTGGGGGGAAGAGAGGCACAGTGAGAGTAGAGTGCACGTCTCAAACACAAGTGTCTTGACCTGGAAATCCAACGTGCCAACCACTCGGCCACCACGTCTCCCACACAAAATACCTCATACAAGGGAAATAACAACAGCCTGTTTTGGGCAACTTTGAACACTTTTGGAGGAGCCAAACCTTCATAACAAACTTGTCTTTTCTACTCACTCGCATGACGAGTCAATAACCTCCACCAAAAAATAATGGAAAGTGACCAAAATTGCCATTCCTTTTGGGATCGGAACGGAATAGTTGCATTCCGATTCTATGGGATAATCGTTCGGATATCCAGGACTCTTCAGTGTGTTATTCACGACTGAGCCACATTCTGGAATAGCAAAAACAGACAGCAACTTTCAATTATATTTCCACAGTAGCTCACGTTATCCATGAAGTTATCTATTAATTTTATTACATAAACACAGGGCCTTTGACTCCATCACAACCACTTAAGTGCTGAGTCTAGTGCCACTCATATCACAATTGACACAGGTTACAGAGCAAGGAGGGCGAGGGGCCTCTAACTGCTGCCCTCTCCGCCACGCCCAAACAAGTAGTTTGGCAAAATATTCATTCGTGTAACCTTTTCTCCGATCCTTTATCAGAAAGACGCGTAACAAATATATTGTAGGACGTTTGGAACATCTTGACTCTTGTGCACTCTCGAAAATTGATATCGAGAACACCTGTTCAGATTACAAAGAGTTTCGCTTTGCTCGCGTCTCGTAGAAGCCATTTTTGGAAATTCGAACTAGAGTATACGTTTGGCTTGGTGTATCTTGATAACCCCCTTCCCCCCCCCCCCCACCCAACTATGTTTCAAAATGCTCCCTCGCCTCAGTGCCTGTGCGCAAGATAACAAAATTGATAGGTGTGAAGTAAAATCCAACATACCGTTAGAGAATCCAGGTACTGTAAGATTGCCTGTCAAGGAAAATGGATCAAGTAAACAAATAAGCTAGCCTGAGTGTGTTTACAGAAGCTACGTGTTCACATTTTTATTATTCGACGTTAAAAATATGTGAGGAAACTACTTCATAACATAGCACCCTCCTGTCCTGTCTAATTCCTATTGAGCCATTGTGGTCTATGTTTGCACCTCCGAGCGAACTTAACATCACGTGAGTAGCTAAATTCTACCGCAAAAGTTCCTGTCCAGTTTCAGCGCACTTTCCTGTTACCAACCTTTCAGAGTCAGCAAGCTCAATACGTTTCTCTCGCGCTCTCTGAACTTCCCATGCAAATCCATACTGCGTGTTGCGCACGCTTTATATGAACCAGTTCTTATGGGTCAGTAACTCGGCTTGTAACCCAAAGTAACCCTTGTCAATGATTCTTGTAAAACTTTTGTTAACGATCTTTATAATGAAACCTTTTGGTTATGACACAAATTAAGGCGCTCGAAACATACCCACTCGTGCGTTCAGCAATGTTTTCTTTGTCATTTTGTCTTTGTATTGAAAAATTTTGGTTGGACACAAAAGTTTGCTGTGACACACTCTAAAATCAATTTACGCATGTGTATGATATCTTTCCCTATGTCTTACCAATTAGACCAGTCCAAAAATGCATTAGAAATCCGCGTTCTTGAAACATTGAATCCGACTGGAAAGTTATCTGCGCATACTCTCCTAGAGAGACTATCGTTTTCCCAGTCCACTCGCCACAGAACGTACCAAGATTTTGCCCAAAGCTGGACCTTATTTGCACATAGTCAGCTTGGCTGGAAAAAGGAAACAAAGAAAATATGTCTACATGTAGGATGGCTCTGATTAGAATCAGCTCGTTTAGAAAGGACTGGGTAGGACTATTATTTTACTCTAGAGAGTCAAAGGGTTAAGTTATTTGGCAAAGTAATTTATAATTAGGATTGCAATGGTTTCCCATCACCGCGTTCTGTTATTGGCTCAAAAACTTGCACCATCTTTAAACCAACCGGATGCATAACTTAAACCTCTCGCGGCTGTGTAATCCGCGTTTTCCTGCGCATTAATTGGCTGCTTGTTCATGCTGACCGCTTTACCGTTAGGCTGAGGTTGTAAATGAAGTTTTTGTTTTTCTCCACAACTTATCAAAAAGTGCTTTAGAAGTTAAGAGGCTGTCCGCGGAAGAACGGATAAGGCAAATTTTGGCCCTGCACCGATTTCCCTAAGTTTTTCACTGGAAGTCAACAATATCATTCCATGTACAAATATTACATTTATTTTGATCAATTTCACTCTTTTTATTTTTTACGGGACAATTTTAAAGGTCACCCCAAAACTGCTCAATTTGTCTTCTGTGACCCCTATAATTAAGCTATAAATATCGAGCGCTGCCAAATCCTTATTTCCCAATCTAGAAAGCTGATTATTTTACATATTTAAGAATGACTTTATTTCAATACTTCAAAGGTGAAACAATTGCATTCTGTAAAATTTTGACCGAGTTATGAAACTTTCAAAATAGCTTATCGTGAGCATTGGAATTTGTGAGGAGTGAGGTACATGCGGTTGAAAGCTATTTTCTCTTACGTGGGACCTGATCTAGAGTCAAGTCTATTGCAGCTTAAAAGTACTTAGATAGAGCAAGTTAAACATAGAATAAAACCTTTGGGTACTCCTCATCCTGCGCCTTAGAGAGCTTTGTAAATTTCATAAATATCCGACGTCTTGATCGAAACCAATGATAACGCAGTCCGACCAGCAGACAGGTTTGTAAAGCTTAACGGCCCTAAAAGGCTTAAAGGTGCAGGAACAATTATGTGATGGAGTATCAAGATCGATGTTAATCATCATTTTGGCCTTTTTTTAACGAAATGAAAATACTTTTTAATTCCTATATGCAAATTAACTGCAGCCGATCGTGTTTATATGATACACGTCACAAACAGTTTCCGTAACAACAATTAGCCATTCAAAGAAGTGTTTTTAAGAATGTGGAAACTCAATTGTTGTATCCTTTCTTGAATGCATTACGTAAAATTTCAAGAGCCATCTTCTTTGAACACAATGCGCTAACGGAATCCAGTTTGTTTTGATAAATAAAGTTGTTCATTTCGCTCAAGTGTTTTTATCTCGATAAAACACGGTCCAACAGTTTATTAATATCGGGACCGAGAACCACCTTAAAATCAAATAATAAATAATGAGAGGTTGGTTTGTACAGCAGAAATAAGTATCATATCACGTTTACGCCGTTGTATTTGAGATATAGGTGTGCTGAAGAACAAACGATGAGGGAGAGCTTTCTTGCGGTTAATAAATTATGCAAATTAGCTACAGAAAGTTATGTAATATGTAGTTTAGGACACTTTTTTCTTTTGGCGTTTTCTTGATGACCAAGAGTTGTGTGTGTGTGTGGTTTTTTGTTTTTGTTTATTTTTTATTTAAGGGATTTTTTCCGCATTTCAAGACAAAAATATTGTATTATGTTTTTACGACCATTTTCATTTTCTATGAGGCGCTAAAAAAGAGCCGTGTGTTTCTGTTTCACCTAATTAAATTACTGATTAATTTTGATAAAGAAATTCGATGGCAGCTACATTTCCTTGTAATGCAGGTAGATCTCTTCAAAAACAAACGAAATTTTTTTTGCTTAAAGCTTATTAAAGTGAAGACTTTATAACTTTTCTGTGTGGCATTTCTATTTTTTGCGAAAGAATATTTGGCAAACTTGTTTATTTCTTCCTAGTTCAATTAAAATCTGTCGGGAACAAAATGATCTGTCGGCAACATTTTCAGACAAATCCGAGACAGTGTTTCTTGGGACGTTTACTTTGTTAGCACTAAAAATGCCTGCTGTCTCCCCAAATTGTTCTCTTTACGAAATACTGCAAAGTCGGTTCTAGTGGTGGAAGTAGAGCATGTTTTGTTCTCCGAGTGTAACGCAGATATATCCGCCCATTTGGCGAGCTGTTACTTGTCAAAATACAGCGAAGTTACAGAAGCCAAGTTAATCATGGCGAGAGCGGGAATTCAGCATTTGCCGAGAAGTTAGCTCGAGGGAATGACCATCTGCCCGAGGCACAGACACTTTACGACTGCTTTAAGAAATCTTGCGCTTTTTTGGAATACCATTTAAATCAAGAGACAGGAGAAAAGACCTGATTGGGCAACTGGTGTCCTTTATACAAGAATGTCAATGCTTTAATGAAGTGTAACACACGGGCCACGGTTGGGACGACTGTAAGCATGGAGCCCTGGCAAACCAGTGATAGGGCATTTAGAGTGAATTTGCTGAAGAGCAATGTGCACCGCCTCTAAGTACCCTGATGTACAGTTCTATATCGATGAATAAAAGCGCTTAAAGCGTCAACGTGTAATTAAACCCGTGAAAATCACTTTAAAATTAGCGCCTGTTATTTTGTAGCCATGCCTTTAATTTCAAAACAAGAAAATCATAAGCCTACCGTGACCGTGAGTCATGTTGACCTTCATCTATAGCATGTACGAGCATTTACAAAAGAGAATTTCTCTATTGCCTCCTCGAAATTTTCTCAATGATTTATACCTTTAACTTAAGTTACTAAATTCGCTTACCTACTTTTGGAAACATTTATTAAATTAAATATACCAATTTCTATCAGTTGCATAATTTCTCAATTTCTTCTGGGAGATTTTCATACCCTCGATGGAAACATCAACATATCGTGATATAAATGCCGAACTAAATGTTTCTTTAATTTGAGCTCACCAGCCGTGAGACGGTCTTTTAATGCTGGTATTGCGTGACTAGGCTAGTTCACGGCAGTCCACAGTCACGCTTAAAAATCTCCACGGCGTTAATCATGAGAACCAACTTGCTCACAATCTAAAAAACTTTCACAAATAGTAAGACGAAATTTTTCCCCAAGTACGGGTGAATTATTTTCCTGAAGAAAAACGGCAAAAGAGGTCTGAAAAGGTTATGCACAAGATAAAAACACTTGCGTGAAATGAACAACTTGGTTGTCAAAAAAACTGGATTCCCCTAGCGCATTGTGTTCAAAGGAAATGGCTCTTGAAATTTTACGTAAAGCTGTCAAGAAAGGATACAACAGATGAGTTTCACATTTATAGGAACACTTCTTTGAACGGCTAAATGTTGTTACGGAAACTATTTTTGACACGTATTATAAGACGAACGCATGAAGCTAATTTGCATATAGAAACTATTAACAAAGTATTTTTCCGAAAAAGTTTGAGCCATTTCGTGAAAAAATGGCCGAAACGATGAATTATATCGATCTTGATACTCCATCAGATAATCTTTGCGGCACCTTCAAGTACTTTAGGGCTGTTACGCTTTAGAAACCTGTCTGCAGGTCGGACCGCCTTATCGTTGATTTCAATCAAGATGGCGAATATTTATGAAATTCGCCAAGCTCTCTACGGTGCAGGTTGAGGAGTGCCCAAAAGTTTTATTCTATGTTTAACTTGCTGTTTCTAAGTACTTTTGAGCTGCAATAGACTTGACTCTAGATCAGGTCCCACATAAGAGAAAATAGCTTTCAACCGCATGTATCTCACTCTTCACAAATTTCTTTGCTCACGATAAGGTATTTTGAAAGTTTCATTACTCGGTCAAAATTTTATAGAAAGCAATCATTTTACCTTTGAAGTATTGAAATAAAGTCATTCTTAAATATGTAAAATAATCAGCTTTCTAGATTGGGAAATAAGGATTTGGTAGCGCTCGATATTTATAGCTCAGTAATAGGGGTCACAGAAGGCAAATTGAGCAGTTTTGGGGTGACCTTTAAAATTGTCTCATGAAAAATAAAAAGAATGAAAATGATCAAAATAAATGTGATATTTGTACAAGGGATAAATTTTCAACTTTCACTGAAAAACTTAGGGAAATCGGCGATCGGCCGAAATTTGCCTTATCCGTTCTTACGCGGACAGCCTCTTAATAGTTTTACTCACGTGCATAATAACCCGTCAACTTTCTCCAGGTGGAAGTACTCAAAAGTAATAATCAGTGCCGAGTTATTTGGAATTGGAATATTATAGGAACAGTACACATCGCTGGGGTAGTCATCTGGATAATGTGGACTTTTCAGTGTATTATTTACAACTGACTCGCAATCTAAAATAAGAATAGATACAGTCATCTTTGTGCATAAAGTTAATTTTTAGTTAGAATAAAACCATAAAATAAGAGTTTCCATTGGTTGATAAACACCAAAGTAGCAAGAAAACACAAAAATAACATAGATTACTTAAGGATGGCTAAGACCGAAACAGATTGCGAATGAAAAATTTAAGCATTCAGGATAACAACGGGGGAACTCTGTCATAAAGCTTTTCATAACTCGTGACAGCTGTGGTTTAGCTATTAACCCAATCCCCCACTAGGAGCGACCAAAAGGGAATTTATCTTTACAATAGCAGTGCATGTTAGTGCAAACATTTCAGAAGAAGGCAATTTCAAACAAGGGATTTTGTTTGATTTAGCAACAAAGTCTCGGGGCTAAAGCTTCAAGAGGTGAATGGCACACAGAGAGGAGAGCTGATGTGTAGATGTTTATTATAAACGGCCGGTGGAGTTGGCTTTGATGCGAATTCGGGAGTTGTCGGGAATCATTGATTTTAAGTTAGGAATAGCTACAAGGAAACATAAGTGATCATAGGTGTCGAAGAGTGACCGGACTGTACATTAAAAAAAAAATTGAAAAAATTCAGGCTTACTTTATTAACATCACAACATCATCATTCGAAATAATAAATGTCGCGAAATATTGACAGAGGCAGCGATCTTTTTTTTTTATTAAAAATTGTACAATTGTAACTTTACAAACTGCTTTTTTAGGTAAGGTTTAAAGGGAGAAAAAGCCTTATAGAATATATGCCATATTTTTTAAAAAATGTTTGAAGGAAAAGACCTGCAGATGGGGTTTCAAGGCGAGGACATATCAGGATTTTGAGCATACTTACGAAGCTATCACGAGGCTATCACAAACCTAATCTTTGTCTCTATTTAGGAATAAAAGGATTTGAATAAGTATCGTTCGATTCTTCTTTCAGGGCGATAACTCCCCATATTTCACTTTTTTCTCATTTTGCTGTTTCATTTGTTTTTTTTCGTGGACTTCTCTGTTCATTTAGATCTGATTTATTTCTATATTCATTCGTTCTTACGTACCTGGAGAGTTGAAAGCGTTTGTCTGTTCCATCCACACAAACAGGACAAAAACCAAAATCACCCTCATGGAGGTGACGTCCATTCTCAGCTTATATCACAAAAACACTGTCGAGCTCTATTGAGGAAGCACGAATCTCCGCATATTAGATAGAGAATATTAGTATTTTGGTGCTAACTTGAAAAGTTTTCTGAAACATTGAAATGTTTGCAACAGCTGGACCAGTTTATTTGGTTAAAAAGTGTTCGGCCACCATTCTTGCTAAAACGTTTTTCGAAGAAAGCGAGCAATTTCCTTTGGGTAGAATTGAAAATTAGAATTGAAAATAACAGTTCTTTAAACAGTTTCGCTTACCTGAATAAGCGCGCCTCAGATTCTACAAGTTCACCGTGAACTGTTACCTTAATCTGCAGATGAGACAAGCCCATCATCAATTTAAAGTGTACAGTGACCTCAAAGTTTTGGTTTCAATTCATTTGAACCATTTATCTTCAGTCACCCTGCGTGGTAAATGTTCCAGTTTATGACATAGACACAACAGATGTTCAGAATGGTGAAATTTTTTATTTTCAGGCTTTCAGTTGACGGCTTCCTCAAGCTTCAAAGTGACGAGGACAGTTTCTTCTGCTTCCAATATCGCTTGCTTCATAATGCGCAAAGCGAACTTAAAAAATTGAAGAAAAAAAAAAAAAAACCCCGAAGGAGGGTTTTATTCTTGATTTGAGCGAACTAATGAGATCTGTTCGTATCGTTTCAATCGCACGCAAACTTTCCTTGTGAAAAACGGATTTTCATCCCTTTTCATCAAAAAATGAAATACGATCACGAAAATGGTTTTGGTACGTCTACTGCTATCTTCATGAAGGAAAAAAAAAGTTTTAAAACTATCAATGGTGACGTATCAATTCGTGACTGGCTCATACATAATGTCCGAAATAAAAAACAAAACAATTTATGTTCTGCTGGTCCGTATGCATTTAGCGACACTAATAATGGCTAACAGCGTAATTATCATATTTTGACAGCCTTTTACACCTTTCGATTAGTAATTTAGAGGGTCACTGGTTAAGACAGTTACTCCCACTTTCGCAATAAATGCACTTTCTTTATGAAAGGTTCAATGTCCCACACAAAATCAGCACTGCAGGACCAAGGAGGATGGACCCCTTCGAAGCACAGTGTCACGAAAAATAAAGGATTAATCGTAATTTTTCACGCAGAAACTTCCTGCGTATTTCAGTTTTTCCTATCGATCTTTCGATCGTAGAAATGAAAGATAAGGGCCCTTTTACCGTCACATACATTTTCCCTATAAAATCTTGCACTAGGGTGTCATTTGTTTACGACTTTGCAACGAATTCTCGAGAAACTCAACAGTTGCTAAATTTGAAATGCACAATTAGTTGTGAAACAAGGCGGAAAACATGGAAAACCGTAATTGTTCCAGCTTGGCTCAGGCCACAGGAGAATCATTTATTTCGAAACCTTAATTTAACTGAGTATGAATAGCAATAGTAATGTTGTAAAATAAAACATTATTTTTAATCCTTAAGTTACCGGGGTCGCCACTCTCACAATCATTTCACGCCCACAACCTAATAACACTGTTATTACCTGAGGTAAGCCCCCCACCCCCACCCCCACGATCTCCCCCTTTCCCGCCCCTATCCCCCTCTCTCCTCATCAACACCCACTTCACTCTCATGATGGAGCAAACTTCAAACCTTTACAAAATTTATTTTATGCTCAAAATACCAAGCGAGCTAACGTTATACAAAGAAAAAAATTATTGAATTGTCAGAGTTTCCACTTTGTTGAACAGCACATTGACTGTGCTTCACTTCTGTCCGTAAACCTTCTCTTTCGTTGTGTGCACAACGGCCATGGAGTCTTCAACATGTTCAATAGTATACGTCCAATCCTCGAATCCTTCAACCTGCAAATTTTCTTCTAATTCGTCTTGCAGAAGCTTTGCAGGAGACGTTGAGCCTACCTCATCCCCAAACTTGTAAAGGGCGCGGTTGTAGATCTGTTCTGCGTAGGCAAGTATCTGTATGGGGACATTAAACTTACGTCCGAGCTGGTACCCAAGATTCAAGTCCTTGCAGTGAAGCCCAATGGTGAAATCTGGATCGTACGTTCCATTGAATACCAAAGGAGCTTCCGTCTCCCACGTGTACGTATTTCCAGCGCTAAATCTAATGGCATCAAAAAGGGATTTTAAATCGACACCGCCCCTTTTTCCCAGTAACATGGCTTCGGTCATGGTAACGACATTAACAGCAGCTATCATGTTAGAGAAGAGCCATACCTCCTGTGACGGGCGCCTCAAGAACTTTGATGCCTTTCTTAGCTTCAGAGGCAAAATATGAGTTAATAATAAGCTCGAGTGCAATTCAAATCCTTGAAAATCGTTTAATCCACGTCTTAATCTCTAATAACAAGCTTTAATATAATATTGCGCGCAAGAAGTTGTATCGCAGACGGCATTATAAGGCGAACTTCATCGGGAATTATAAAGTGAAAAGTGGCCCAAGAATTTGAACGCTGCTGGGCTGTATACAAACAATTAACAAGCTTTGATTCCAGCCCCACTTTTCCTTTACGGTGTTTCTCCAATAAGGAGTATAGAGAGTATATAGAGAGTATCGATTGAACTCCATTCAACCATAAGGAAAACTTGGTAAGCAAAGGCTGGCCTTTTCACATTTCCTTGTTTCCCTCGCAGTTCTGAGGTACCCATTAATGCTTTTGGTGGAAAGGGAAATCAGTGGCAACAGAGAAATATATTCCACGACGTCTGGGATCGCGTCCATGGTACCGTTGTGTTGCCGCCCAGAACCACACTGGGATCCCGCCCTGGAATACGTATGGTCGCTGGGTACCCCTCCCGGGATATCGCTTGGGATTTCACCGAAATTATAACCAAACCACACTATCCGGGGGCCCACCTTATCTCATTCTAACTACACTCTCTTGTAAAAGGTTCTCGCCCTAAGACACATACCAGCTTCTGCAGTAAGGTCCAAAGTCTGCTGATAATCCGTGGTTGAATGGTCAATCCATACCCCTCCTGACCGCAGCCCTGCCAATACCCCGTCCTCTCCCAACAGGACTTGTTTAACATGGGGTGGGGCAGGGAGAGCTGTTGTGACTACGTCACTCATGGCAGCCAGCTCACGTGGTGTCTTTGGGCGTGGTATATCCCCAGGTAGATCTTGCCCCACTTTTGGATCCTTGTCGAGTAAGGCGGACACTGTGAAACCTGACTTAATAAGGTTCTTTGCGACTGTTGAGCCGACATTTCCTAAGCCGATGATTCCAATTTTATGAGCCGTTTTAGTAGAGTACGCTGACCGGCGGGTGCTATGACGACTGAGGAAAAGGCGTAAAGCCGTTCTGCCTATCATTTCTCAAGAGCTGAGCGAATAGAAAAACAAAGTAAAATAAATTTATAAGGCAGACTGATTAAAAAACTTTGCTCAGTTAACTATCAATCTTTCCACACGTTCTTAGTAAAGCAAATCGAGGATGCGCGAGGGCAATTGGAGTGCACGATGCGTCTTCAGTTCTATAAGGATTATGGTGTGTGGCGGCTAAATATCCATATCAACCATCAGGAGTACCAAGTATTATTTTCTAAATAATTGAAAAAATAATTAAATAAAAACAAACAACAAAAAAGCATACACATAACACTAAAAAAAATCTTTTTAAAACCCGTGATTCCAAAGGCGCATCCCTTTGTCAAACTCGTCTCAACACCGCAATATCAAAATAAGCTCCACGCTTAATTTTTCTCCTTAAGTTCATCTTTTCTAATCTGTTTCAACATGAGAATATTCTCTTGATTTAAATAATTCTTTTCTCCTGTCGAAGTTTACTTATCGTTTCTGGGTCTCTCTTAATTTGTTTAAATCATTTTATTTCATTTTGTTAAAACTTTGTAGCATTTTTGCCATTAAGTTGTTCGTTACTCGTTAGCGCGTCACTCGTTACTGCGTTACTCATTACAGCGTTACCCGTTACTGCGTTACTCTGTTCAGTAACACTCATATATTGTGCAATTTCATACTATCGCGCTACCGAGGTTGGTTTGAAATGGTACTCGAATTGCTATTCGAGTACGGTGAACATGAATCGAGCTCGGTTGCCCAGATACTAAATGTGGTCCGAAACTCCTTCAGGCAGGGAAACTGCGTTCGCCGTGTACTTTTTAAATTATACTGTATGATACAATTCGGACTGATGAATCTACTGTCTTGGAACCGGAGAAGAAAAACTCTTAATGTATGTATCGAATGGTTTTTGTTCCAAGGTCGTTTCCATGAAGCATTGTTTAAAAAACGTCAAAAATCGAACCAGACATTAATCCAAGAACACCGAAAATGTGATTTGCACATTTGGTTTTTCACATTGAGGTGACAACTTAAATTGGACACCGCAGAGATATTCTTGAATTGACGTTTCGAGCAGTTGGCCTTCCTCGCTCGGACGAAGGGCTAACTGTTGAAACGCCATTTTAAGAATCGTCTCAGTATCTCTCTACGATGGCCGATTAACATAATGAACCCAAATTATCTTCTAAACCTCCATCTGTGAGCACCATATTTCCTTTTGCAATTTAGCCTCTTTATTCACTACAAATGGTACGCTACAGTATTCATTAACAACTAAAAAGTTGTAAAATTATTCATCACAAACCTTGCTTTCACGTCAAGACGATGAAATTCAAGATCTTGCTCCTAATAAATGTAATTAGAGCACCAAACTCACTTGAGAAGCTCAGCTGTGACAGCTTCTCGCAAGGGTTGTCAAGAATCGCGCATAATGAGTGGTCCAGTGGGGGAGTGGATGGGCGATGTTGTCAGCCAAAAAAGGTCATTCAAGGTGGAATTTTTGTTTTCAAAGAGGACACAAAATTAAGCAAATATTAACGAATACGCTCGAGTTGTCTCCAGTTTGCTCCCTCGAAAGAGAACAGCACTTGAGAACCCAGAGACATTCTGAAACTGTCTTCAGATCCTGTAACTTCTTTTCGAATATTAGGAGTATAATAACCTTTATTTACGTGTCAAATAAGATAGCAGTTTCCCACTAAGTAAGGACACCTAAACTAAACTAATCTAATCTATATAAAACTATGCATTTAAAAATTTATTGGAATATGATAAAAGAGCTCTTCCCATATAAAACTACCCTACCCCGAAAATAGTAGACCCCATGTTTATAATACCCTACCCTGTAAAATAAGATAATAACCTTAATATAATGAGATAATAAGATAATAATAAATACAATAATATGATCTTGATAATATTTAAAATATTTAAGATTTACCGTTTTTTAAATTAGCCCTCTTAAGGTGGGACTTAACCTAAAATTTGACTACAAAATGCAATTTTTGTTTTTGGAGAAATCTGAAACTTCAGGCATAGAAGAAAGCCATGACATGAGTTTTTAAGACTAATTTGCTTTATTTTGTTGCCTACGATAAGTTTTCTGCAAGCTAGTAAAAAAAATATTTTTGGTTACCATGGCAACGCAACGTAGCATCTTTCAGTCTTGCTCCAATTTGAAGCCCGAAAGTCCATCCAATTCCTAGAATTTCCTCAGTATTTTCAAGAGGAAGCTATATGACCCCTTACATGAAGTATAGCTAGTCGGAGGTGGCGTGGGATTGAAAGCTGGCGTGTTTTCAACTGTGGAGATACTGTGAGAGCGAGATTCGAGTTTTATATCAGCGAAGTTTTTGTCTAAAATGCCAGGAGGGAAGAAGAATACTGTATATAGAAGAAAGCGGAAAGGAAAGCCTTTTACTGGAGTGCAGAGATACGCAAGGAAAGCGAAGAAAATGCCGCGTGCGGATAGAGAAGTCACAAACTCAGCATCGAGTTCCTCGTGTGATGAGGCTCTGTCAGATGCCGAAAGTGCTTCCATCAGTGCTTCGAGACTCAAAATGAGACCAGAAGATTCACCAGATAGTTCATCAAAGATTTCTGATGTAAATGATTTTCAGGGAGAGGGATACAGACTTGTAGACCTCAAGAAATTATATGCCACGTTGTCTGAAGCACATGTGTGCGAGGAAGGTGAGAAAACATAAGTGAACATCTGTTTTACTTTTAACCTTTTCTTTACTGTTCATGTCTCGTAGCATATGCTAGTAACAGTGTGCAGTTTCCATTTTTTTCTCTAAGAATGTTTTTTTACTTCTCTTCAGTACTATCTTTATTGTTTTCATTTATTAAAAATTACAGTTGTAACTGTCTGTTGTGTGGTATGTGGTGAATAAATTTTGTGACTCATATACATGTATGAGAATGCACAAAATAACTTTAGTGTATACTGTTATTATGTTCTAGGGAGTTTAACTCTGAAGGAGAATTCTTCTGGGAGAAATGGGCTAATGGCAGACCTCTCTGTGGAGTGTAGCTCCTGCCTTGAAGCTACACCATTGAAAACATCAGATACAATAACAAAGAAAGGGCAATCTTTTGACGTAAATCGTCGTGCAGTCTATCATTCTCTGGAGACAGGAGGTGGCTATGAAGGGCTAGTAACCTTTTGCAGCATCATGAACATGCCATGTCTATCACTACCTGCTTATTACAGACAAGTAGACACAATACTTGAGGCTTTAGAAGCTGAAGCCAAAGATGAAATGACACAGGCAGGGATAAGAGTTCGCGAGTACATCCTGAAGGAAAGTGGAGATGAAGTCAATGATGATGTAGTCGATGCAGCCGTTTCGTTTGATGGTACATGGGCGAAAAGGGGGTTTACCTCTCTGACTGGAGTTGTTTTTGTTATATCTGTAGACACTGGAGAGGTTCTTGACTATCATGTCCTTTCAAAAGAATGCCGGAAATGTACCATGAAAAGGTCTCAGTGTCAAACTGACGAGGAGTTCAAGCATGGCAGATTGAGCATCTTGCTTCCAATGAGTGTGACATTAATTTTAATGGAAGCTCACCTGCAATGGAAGCTGAGGGTGCCATAGTTGTTTGGAGTAGATCTGTGGAACTGCATAAAATAAGGTATAAATGGATGGTTTCTGACGGAGACAGTAAGGCATTCAATACTGTGGAGAATATATATGGCGATGACTGCAAGGTGGAAAAACTGGATTGTGTTGGGCACGTGCAAAACGCATGGGCAAGCACCTACTTAATCTTAAAGCAAGAACCAAAGGTAAACTTGCAGATGGCAAACCCATTGGAGGACGGGGCCGACTGACTGAGAGCCGCATTAAACGCCTTCAGAAGTACTATGGTCTAGCCATTAGACAAAACACCCTAACTAAAGCAAACCTAACAGAAAGAGAGGTTGATGTTGTTGTTTACACCATGAAGAAAAATATCATTGCCATCCTCCATCACAGTGTCCAGTCACAAGATGCTGCTAAACAACATCGCTTCTGCCCTGTTGGTGAGGATTCCTGGTGTAAATGGCAACAAGATTGTGCTACTGGAACAAATACTTATGAAGCAGGTGACTGTTTGCCTGAAGTGTTCTTTGAACTGCTGAAGCCAACATTCATCACACTTAGTGAAACTAAGCTGCTTCAAAGGTGTGTGCGTGGCGCCACCCAAAATCGCAATGAATGCATCAACGGACTGGTGTGGGCACGCTGCCCAAAACACAAGCATCATGGTGCCAAGGTGATTAGATGTGCAGTTGCTTCTACTGTGTGCCATTTTCATAGTGGAGCTGCCAGCAGAGCAAGAATAATGCAGAGACTGGTAATTCCAGCAGGGGAGTACACTCAGAAGGCCTCAGAAGAAAAGGACAAGAGGCGGTTGAGAAAATCGGACCTTCAGACCTCTGCTAAAGAAAAGAAGCGCCGGCAAGGAGAGCAAATGAGGCGCACACGCAGAGAAGATGCCCTACGGGAGGCTGATGGTGATACCTATGAACCTGGAGGCTTCTAAGTGACTGAAAGAAACATTTGCTATGATATTGGATAGTTCATAGCCATGCAAATTTGTGCAGACAATCTTCGTTTTAGCTTTTTAACTTTAATCGCACTTTTCTCAAAATGTGCATTTTATGCATTCTAGAAAACATATCTCATAGAGGATTTAACCAATTGACTTGAAATTTTCAATGTTTATTGCTTTCAAAGAGTGTCTGGGAATGAGCAAAGGGTTTTTCTGTAGCTTTACTTTGTCAAAAGTTACAATGAAAAATTGTGGTGGAAATTCACCCCAAAAATTTTGCTTTACTTTAACTGGAGGCTGGAACCAAAGTTTTTATATTTTTTTTAAAACTCTATGCTCATCCCCATGATTAGCCTATATACTATATAGTTATAAAAACAAATCAGAGCTAGCTGCATTCCATATCAAGATTTCTTTTCTAGAGTACATGTGGGTTGTGCACAGTATGGGGTAACAATATTTTGCTGGTATCAGGTTACAAATAAACTGTGTGCAGAAATAATTGAAAAAACTGAAATCTGTGATTCATTAGCTTTTCAGTGATATATGGTTTTATATGGTTTAACTAAAAACTGTGGATGTGACAAGTCATTGAAAAAGGGGTCTTTTTTTTTAGGTTAAGTCCCAATAAACAGCTGTAAGGGCCCGTTCTTGTACCCTTTATGTGATCAGAAAATTTAAATTATCATCAATATTTACACCCAATAACTTAATAGAATTATGTGATTTAATGGCTGTTCCGTTAACATTTAGCTCTAACTGTTCATCATTTAGTCTACCTCCTTTCAATATCATTGATCCATATTTATCAAAGTTCCCTTTGAGAAAGTTCGTATCCTACCAATTTGTAGCTCTTTGTGCTGTATCCTGTAGTTTTGTTTGTATAGTATTGATATCCTTGTTGATTTTACTTGAGAGTAATTCACTCACCTGTTCCCCGCTTACCTTTCCCCTCTCAAAGGAAATGATCTAGCTAAGGTCATGTGGATTCTGTTTCAACTCACCGAGGGGGGAGGGGTGAAGAGACTTTACGTTTTTTGATACTTCAACTGTAATTCTCGTTTCTGCCACTTGCACAGTAGTTAATAAACTAGTCGGCAAATATTGTACAATGTAGTACAGAGGGCAAAGGTTGAATTTATTTTGGTTTAGATTGGACTTTCCACAAAACAAATATTTACTCTTCAGTTTATTAGAAAAGGTCTGCCTTTTAATAGTTAATAGGGGTTAACTATTAGCCGTAAAGTGACCAAGACATTAAGCCGTATGCTGTAAGAAAAAGTTAACTGTAAAAACATTTCTGGTTGAAAGGTATTAACCTTTGCCGTAAATTGGCCAAAATTTTATCACTCCATTGAAACCCTCTTTACTCTATAATTTGACTGTAAATTAAACCTTGTAAAATACTGAATCTCTGGTGTACAAACGTTTCATGCGCTTAACACCTGTCTCACAACCATTTCCCATAAAAAAAAAAAACATATACCGTTAACTAGCGCTTGTCAGCCCTGGGCATACACTACTTCGTAAAGGGTATCAAGAGGGCCTATAAACGGGGGGTAGTTATTCCGGCTGGCGCGAACAATGCTTCTCGTCTTCTCTGAATTGTCACGCAACGCTCGTCTTCTTTATTTGAAAGGGAAGAGAGATAAGAGGGGGGTGGAGGGAGAGCATCGCGTGACATCTCAAAAGACAACCGCGAAGGAGACCATGCAAAATATTCAAACAATAATTGACAACTGGTTGCCTTGGTGATTAAAACAGTTCCTATTTCAGTGGAGATATTCAAGAAACACGAGATGTTGAAGAAATTTCAACTAAAGGCCTCCTTGCAAGCCATGAGTGCATCCATGGCGTTGGGAGCGATTCTAAGCATTTGCAGAGGTATGCCATTGAAGTTGTAATTGTAATCTTTGTAAGTGACCCATTTTCCTTCCTCTGCGCCTTTGGTGTGATGCCCATCATATCGCCAGGCTCCGGAGGAATCCTTAAAACAATTTAAAAAACCTAATTCAATTAAAAAGGTTGCGATGAGGGCGTCTACCGTCAACTTGGAATTTTTTTTGTCTAGCTCGAGAGCAGACCTTCATCATGAGTGCTGCAGGACGTGCATTTTCCACCCGTGGAAAAATTTCAGACGAGTCGGGGAGAATATCACTGGAGATTTGGGACTAATAGTGCCAGACCCCTAGCAGACCTCTCCCTGGCTCGTACTGTTCAAGGGCGCCTACTTTCCCGCGGGCTAAGAAACGCTCGTGCCAAAGCACTAATAATGAGGGCAAGCTCCCGGAGAACACGTGCGAGGGAAACAGACGGAGCGTGTCTGATTTCTCCCGCGCTTGTCATTTGCGTTCAGGCCGCGCGCCTGCTTAGCGGGTTAAATTGAACTACAATGACGCAACCTTTCTGACACACCACCGTTATCCGAACGTACTCCTCACACTTTCTTGAAGGTCATCGAATTTTCAGATTCGGGCTTGTTCTTGGTTCTGTACATCATGATACTGATTGTGTCAAAATGTTGAGCTCGATTACCACCCGCTGTTCTGGGATATGAGCCCGCGTTCCTTCCCTCCCTCCCCATCCCCGAACTCTCTTCTCGGGGAGGAGCGAGGACCGGAAACGAGAGAGCGGCGGAAATCGACCCTAGCAAAATGGCTGTTATTAAAATTAGGATTGAACATGTGTCCAACGAACCATTCAATCCTTTAACACTAAGCTATGACAAACCTTGTAGACACGTGTGACGACTCCTTCATGGTATCTGACTCCCCCGGTGTTATTCCCCTCGGTAGCTCCGTAACCTCCCTGGGGGAAAAACACAATGGAGTCCACACCCACTTGGTCTTCACTTGGGATCTTGTCAATGGCCAGGTCCTAAAGTAAACCAGAGTTCAGGTTTGCTTTGACCTTCACACTTTAACATCAGAATTCACGTTCTCCATACTTTTCGTTATACATTTCTTACGAAGCTGTCAGGGAGAATTTTTTTTAACAATCAAGAGCTTTTTTAGTTGGCATCACATCCTCCGTTCCCACGACCTCGACGTTTAATTCAGCAGTTATCTGTGAGTGCTTCTGTTAAAAATTTCTTTTGAATGTCCATCGGTTTTTACCTAATTTCTCTGCATACCTTATATGACTGAACTTTCCCTGTAGGATCTCCGTCGTCCCAGTCCACTGTGTATTTCAAAGTCTCGCGGTCGAAGCTCACAATGGTCGCTGCGTAGTAAGCCCATTGTTGGTGATGAGAGATCACGTGATCGCCTATGACAGGCGCTCGGTAGCTTCTCGCTTCCTCTGCGTGACCAAGTAGAGGCAAAATGGCCTCCCTAAAAATTGCCGTATAAAGATTAGTAATTGCAAATTTAATATTGTGTAAGAAAGAGGCCTGGCGTTAACTTTTACATCTGAATGGTTGTTCGTTCATTTCAAGGGTGATCGTTTTCAGTATTACATGATGTTACTAAATATAGGTAGAATTTTGATAGTCCAGGAACGCAGGAATCAGCTTAGGGCTGAATTGATTCAACAAGAGATAGCATCCACTAGAATCAGGCAAAGGAGTTTAATTGTAGAGAGAGAAATTTCCCATTGAGTTATGAAAGCATTCTGGGATTTCATTGGCCTTTCCTTTCTTCGAGGAACGATTGGTTTGAAAACCTCACGCCCCTCTTTCCACCAATCAGATGCAACACTAATGCCAATCAGAGCACTGTCACGTGCATTTCACGCGCTCGAGGAGGTATAATTGTGTCCATTTAGAATTCTCATAGACTCTTACTGAAATTGTTTAGGTTCTAGTTTAAATAAAAATTAAATCGAAGGGCGCTCTTTCTGCTCTGGAAGGGCTAACTTGACCTCAACAGTATGATACTCACTGTATTTCCGCTAATTTCTCCGTAAACACGTCTTCAGAGTGGACGTCCTGTAAATTGATGGCTTGGATCTCCTGGCCACCCACTAACAGCCCCACCACTGTCTTTTGCCAATCATTGTCTGCGCCCACGATCACTGGGACCAAAGGTTTCTTCAGAGACTAGAAAAAAAAGCCAAATTCCATTAACAATCACTTTGAGTACAAAATCTTTTAAAAGCCCTAAAAAAAAGTTATAATGTACCTTGAGAGCAAACTGCAGTTCAATTCTGCAGTTTTCACTGTTGGCGTACTGTTTACTAACAAACGCCAACACCACTTTGGCCTTCCCGAGTCCTTCGGCGATTTGCTCAAACTGAAACAAAGCAAAGCATGGCATGAAAAATAAACGGTAGTAAATACATGTGTGTATTAATTGCAAAGCGTTGCAAAGGAATTCAAATTTAAGAACAGGTTCATACCCTGTGTTCATTTGTTCCTGGAGAAAGAACAGTAGGGAAGCAGAAAAGGAAAGAGAAGTAAAACCTCACAATTATTAAGAAGAAATGAATTTGTTACAATACCAAGGGAGGGTGGGTGGGTAGGGGCCCTAGGGAAGTAAGGTTCGTGAATCGTTCGTAGACACGCTTGTCCTTTAAACAGACATTTCGATGAAACGGATGTTCGTTAGATCGGAGTGCTGTTCCAAACAATGTTCCACTGAAAGGTGAGAAAAAAGAAACTTTTCTTTCTTTTGACTCACCATGCCTAAGGATTCCTCATTCTGATTGGTTGTCCTGAGCCGCTCGATGTCTATCCATAGGGAGAACTTGTTTGCTTTTACCAGGCTGCTGTGCACTTTCCTGGGGTCTGCAAATGGAGACCCGATGAACTCTGTCACCTAATCATTGCCGAAAAAAAGAATATAAATAAAGCGGAACATATTAATTGTATTGCAAGTAGTAGCTACAAAAACGTGTCATTATTCAGCCCGCTTAATTCAATTAGTCATTGTAACAGTCTGTCAGACATTAAACGATTTGTCAGTCAGTCAGTTAGTTAGTCATAAAGGGAGTAAGTTTCTAAAGAAACTGTGGTGCTACGTCGGTGGGAGAGTATAACAGGTAATTAAGTGTTAACAACTGAGTTGAAAACTTAAATTGGCCACTGTAAAGAGTTAAAAGACCGAAGTTTCGAGCGTTAGCCTTTCGTCAGAGCGATTGACAAGGGGCTAACGCTCGAAACCTCCGCCTTTTAACTCTTTACGATGGCCAAGTTACGTTTTCAACTCGGTTGTTAACACTAAATTATCAGTCAGTCAGTCACTTGGGCAGTCAATCAGCTAGTTAGTCAGTTGGTCAGTCAGTCAGAGAGTCAATCAATCAGTTTGTCAGTCAGTCAGTCAGTCCGTCAGCCAGACAGTCAGTCAATCAGGCATTCAGTCAGTCGGTCACTCTGTCAGTCAGTCAATCCATGAGTGAAACATAAGGATGGGCAGTTATTCATTAGGTTGGACAATCACTTAGTTGTGACACCTATCGTCAGCTTTATTCACAATGGCCGATTTGCTGCTGGGTTTTATGGGAGTTTTCGCGATCAAAGTACATCCAAAACAATATGCATCAACAAGTACTTACATGTTTGGCTTTATGTGCATTCTCTGAATTCAGCCAGCAATAACTGATAAACACGTCAGCGGAATCTCGGATTCCAGCGTCCGAGGTATCTCCAGCACTTTGCAAATCTGGAAAAAATTTTAAAAAGTTCAAGTCACTTTGTCACAAGTCACAAGTCTGTTTATTATGCTTCTCGTGGTGATTCCAACGTTTGAAATTGAGGATCAAACCCTTGTATGCGACCATCTAAATGAAAGCTATTGGACAGTACTTTCACATGTGTAACTGTGTATTACGCTGTGCAAGGTTGTTCTAACTTAAAATTCTGTGGATGAACCCCTTGCATGTCACTATTCAAAAGGTAGTTACTGTGGGGTAGAACTGTTTTGTTACGCTGGACAAGGTGGCTGTAACTTTGCAGTCGGTTGGTACTATCCTTGTATGTGACCGCAAAAATACAAAACATACCTTGAACGCTTCCCAATTCTTCGGGAAATTTAACTTCAGGCACGCTCTTCTTAACAGCTCGCAGAAGCTCTGTCATCTTAGAATCCTGTACATCTCTGTTGCTGAAGTGAATGTACACTTCACCGGCAATAAGCAAACCCACAACTGTCATCATCCATTCGAAAGATCCACTGCCTACTACAACGGGAATAACCGGTTTTCTCGCGGTCTTCTTAGCATACTGGAACTCTTGACGGCAAATTTCATCCCTAGAAAGAAAAAAGATGGTTATAAGTGGTGATAAGGAAACCAGATTTTCTTGGTCCGTGAAGGAGCGCCTTATTCTGCAACAATCACACGCGAAACTGAACGTCTTTGTTGCAGATGTTGCAAGAAACTGCGAACGAATTCTCGGGGCCTGCCTCACCACACTGACATGTACACTTAGTTGTGGTGTTAGTTTTGAAATCTCGATGGACAGCTGTAAAGGCGACCAGGTTCCTTGGATAATCTTGAAAAGAAAAACTAGGTAACAATTGACTAAATATGCTGCATAAGATGCCAATTTCGCGACATGTGCTCCGTGTTCACAGAGAAAGGTGTAATATCGTAAAACTTGGTTTTAATGGTCTGAAGTCAAAGGGAGATAAACATTTTTCGGCTTTAAAAAATATTATTCGTGCTTCGTCATTTTCTTCTATGAAAATTTGCCTCTTTCTCCTTGGTTGTCTGCGTATTTTAAAACCTTTTACTCGCTAACATCAGTATCCATATTCTCAAAACTCTTCTCTATATATTTTCATTAGTACTGACAAGGAGAATTCACTTAACGATCAAAGGTTCTTTATTTTCATGATTTTAGTTAATAAATGATTCAGCCATATTACTGTGAGGAGAAATTGGATGCTGATCACGCTCAGCGTTTAAAGAGTTAAGCCTTGAGGTGTCATCTGACCTAAAGACATGCTTTATAATGGGCGATTTGGTTCGTTACCTAAATTAAACAAAGGGTCTTTCTCCCATTTTCCCAACAACTAAAATTTTTATTTCTGTCGTAAGGTTGACCTTGGTGCCCTAAGTGATAAATGAATTCAATAACTTCTTACTTGACGTATTCATCGCTAAGACAGGCCACAAACACCTTTGCTGTGTTAATCTGCTGTACAGTCTCTATCAGTGAATTTTGAGCCTGTCTGTCGCCATTCACCGTAGCTCCGCAGCCTTCCAGTTGATATCGAATGTCACGCGGGTCGCAAATACTCGACAATACTGCTTCGTTGTAGCTGGGTGGAGGATCTGATGGCCCCAGCTCACGATTTCTGATGGCAGAAGGGCTGTTTGCCTGTTAAAAATATCATGAAAAATTTTTCAATATTTGTACAATAAATATGAGTGTAGTCTGTGCAACAAACATCCAGATAAGGATGTGCAACGGATTCCTGTCAGTCAGACCCGGGTCGCTCAAAGGTTGGATAACTCCATCCACTGGATAAATCACGATCCAGTGGATAGCGCAGAAGGTTTTCCTGGCGATTTATCTGTTAGATAGCGTTATTTGTCTTTTATACAACTGGCCCCTGTGGGCTCGATTACCCGCCGCTATTCAGGTAATGAGCCCGCGCGCTCAGCTCCCACTCCACCACCCCCCCACACCCCCTCTCTTTTCCCGAGGTTCTCTCTCGAGAGGATCAAAGACTCGAGAAAACGGTGGAAATAGAGTTTAGTCAGTCTGTTGGTCGTTCAAAAAGTGACCGATGGGAAGGAGGGGGGGGGGGCGAAGGCGATAGTTTAGCAGCGCAGCATTCTAAATCGTGTAATTTTGAAACTGAACAACAGAAATAGATATCTCTAAAAAGCGGTTTTGCTTAGGTAACGAATAGATCCCAGGGTACCTTGCATCCGCCCAGGAATAATTATCACAGACGACGTCAAAATATGGTAAGAGCAAAAGCAGTTCTCACGAGGCACAGCGGAGAGTGTCAATCTTTTGTTCTGGCTACAATTTAACGTCTTCCGTGATCTAGTCCTATTACTGAGCAAACAGCAACATAGAGTGCATTTGATTTAATAAAGAAGCAAAGTGATAAAATTGTGACGTCTGTACTTCAACAGATCATCAGTAAGAACGAATCAAAATGCGCGTAAAATTCAGCTTATCATATAAACTAAAACTGATATTTACCTTTGAGTACGAGATGAATATGTCACAAGGACGAATCAAGCCATCCACAGCGCTACCAGAGTCATTGTCAGACAAGATGTCTAACACGTTGGGTGAGATTCGTAATTTTGACAGTTCCATTCCCGTAAAATAGAAGTTGTACCCTGAATATGTGATCCACTTGTTGTCTGCCTCACCCTTGGTGTGCACACCGTCATAAAGCTTCTGACCCCCAGGACCATTCGAAACACTTGTTATTCGCCCCTTAAAATGATAAAATAAATTTATGAGTAACGTTGTTACTTTTCAAGTGAAGAAATAATCTTAGCATGAGGGCTGCAATTTAAGCAATTGCAGAAAAGAAGCGAAAAAAAAACGTTTGGATCAGGTCGCGTAGGCGTACAGCGTTTTTTTACACGACTTGACCCAAACCTCCCTGTTTTTTTTTTTTTTTTCTCCTCAGTACTATCACGCCGTTTACTATAATCATACTTCATTTTACTAACTCTGAATTCCAGGAACACGCAAGTTCACCATAATTGAGCAACAGAACGCTTACAACGTGCAAAGATATGACAATGCAGAACAGTGTAAAAATGCAGAGAGAAGAACAACATACGCGCGCACATTAAAAAAAGGCACGCGCACGAAAACGCACAGTCACACGCACACATACCTGATGGTAGCGTAAGCCACCCAGCCGAACACCCTCCTGACCTCGATACTTTCCTTGGGGAAACAGCACAATGGAACCAATGGCGACCTCGTCAGGTTCAGGGACACGGTCCAGAGCCAAGTTGTAGTAATCAATAATGCGGCCTGTTGGATCCTGGTCATCCCAATTAATTTTGTACTGGAGCTTTTCAGAGTTAAATGACACTATGGTTGCTGTGAAGTACTGCCATGGGGTTGATTCCCACATTGCTAAAACCTACAAGTTAAACATATCAATATTTTAACACCCATAATAGATGAAACGTTTACACTCACATCAGGATGGATTATTGTAAAACAGGCAGGGAAGAGAAGCTCATCTTAGAGGGGTGGGGAGATTCACAAGAAAGATTTGTGGGGAGAGGGGATAAGGCAGAACCTAGGTTTTTTTGTTTCTGGTGGGCAAGAGGAAAGTCATTCTGGGAAGACTGGGTAAGGGTAGAACTTAGGAGGGAATAGGGGGGAGTTGGCATTGACGCTTCAACTCCTCAAAGTTTTTAATATCTTACCAGTATTTTTCCAAAACCCTTGACTCAACTTAAAAATAGCCAAATGGTTTGCCTCCAGCCAGTTGGGGTTTTAAATCATGGAACCTTTTTATTTGTGTTATTTTTTTCCAGTTATCTGTGTGTTTTTAATCAGTGGCCATGATGAAAACTAATTGGTCTACTGTAATTGTGACACCCTCATGAATTAATTTCTGTCTTTTTTTTCCAATAGAAAATATAAGTAACTTTAGTACCACACAAAGTGAGAGATCCTCAATATGACTATATACAGTTACAAAGATTACTTCATGAAGCTTTAGAATTAATCCTTTAAATACTCACTGGATCTCCAACTTTTGGAAGATTTCTGTTCTTATTAACAAACTGCTGCAAAAGAATAATTATATTGTACAGTTATCCATCACAAGTAAGTCTCATTTTGGGCATTTAATGCTAACCAAAAAGCAGTCTCCTTGAAGAATAGCAGAGTTTTTTAAATTCCTATTACCACCTTGTAGATTGGTTTGGGGACAAACAGGCAATATATAGCTGGATGAGTCAGAATTCAAATCCTTGACGCCAAGTTTACAATTCAGACAACATAGTGACAAAAATCATGAGGATTGAATCTGACACTCACTGTGTATGTCATGGATGACACACAAATAATGTTTGGTGTGTATTTCATCTACATGAGTAACTTCATAATTGCTGCATTTTCTTCATATTTCACAGCTTTGACACAATCATCTGTGTTTTAATGGTATTTTGTTTAAAATGAATGAAAACACATTGCGATCCAAATTTAGAGATGCTCATTCCATTCCATTCATTAAATAAATAATAAATAGGAATTTAGCATTGGACATTCCATTAAGTGGTTCTTCTTGTCTACTTTTTTGAGACTGATTTGGAACTAGAAATGTTGGTTTTTGTGGAGGGGGGAAAACCAGAGGACCCTGAAAAAGACATTATGGGAAGGATGAGAACCAACAACAAACTCAACCCACATGTGACCCCAGGTCCAGGAATTGAACCCAAACCACGGTGGTGCGAGGTGAGCCCTCTCACCACTGTGTCATCCCCACTCCCCTATCCAATCCTATCAATCCTGAATGTATCAACGAAGCCAATTCTATGCAGTACCCTTCAACAACAACGACAATTTACAACTTGGATTATTTTTTTGTACCCAGAATATGGTGAAAGTTCATTCAGTTTTTTTACCAAGATCATTGGTTTAAATTGGTTACATCAATTCATTGTGACCACACTTTTTAGACCCTGAGGAAGTGTTAGTGGGTTTGTGTATTGTTAAATACCTGAACTTGAGGTGGGTTTTGTTGCAAAGTTAAGTTCAGCTGCTCATTTGTCCTCCTCAGTTCACTGAGTTCATTTTCTTTTTCACTCTGCTCCAATATCAATCTCTCAATCTCCTTCACTAACATTTCATGGCCGTCTTCTTCAGGAGAGTCTGATCGCTTTACCATTGCATAACCACCATTCACTTGGCCTTGTCGCAGTTTTTCATTCTCTACTTGCAGCTTGCTGATTTCTGCCTGGCGTGACTGCTCTATACTTCGCAGACGGTCTATTTCTTGTAAAAGACGGGTTTCATTTTCGTGGACTTGAAAACTTTGGGAGGATGGGGCACAACCCATTTTAGAATCAAGTTGTTATTAGACTGTGTATAATGGCCTTGCTTTCCTGCAAGTTTACTAACAGAAGTATCAGGTATGGAGGATGAATTATGCAGATTAAAATGCCTGAATAACAGGCACATCCAGGGTCACTTCTGACATCTCATGACTCTGAAATATAAAGAGAAATCAAGAGAAAAATAAAAGAGTCCACACTTCAACTGCCAGAGGTGATTACCATGTAACTTCTCTCTCGAATATCCATATATTTTCCCAGCAAATAGGTAATGAGAATACTCAGACTTATCAGATAGTTGTTTGATCTAACACCAAATTCTCATAACCAATTTACAAGTGTGTCACAGCTGGAGGGAAGAATAGACTATCGAATCTTCAATCAATGGGAGTTGAAGGGCTAAAATTTTGTAGCATGGACAACTGGTCTGATAGGAAAAAGATGATCACACCTTATCACTGAGATTAGAGTCTAAGTTTGTTGTCGCTCACAGTTGCCACAACAAAATGGATAACAAAAGATTCAGAAGGGTCGTTATTAAGCGTAATTTCTTCCAGTCGGTGATATATATATAATGTAAATTTTACGTCAGTGAATAATTTAATTTTATATTAATTTATTATAATGAATCTACCGACTGAGTTTGTGGCGTAAAATCTTACAGTACATGGACTGTGTTAGTCACATATTACGCCGTTGTATATATTTCCGCTTTTAAGTTTAGTAATGAATTCAGCTTTCTGAATTTACACTTGATCTGAATTATTTTAGTGTCTTTGGGCCCTTGTAATTTAGTGTATTTGCAAGCTTGTAATTGTCGTAACTGCGATAGCCTCGAGTGGTAATGCTTACATTCTCTTGCGCTTGTCGCCATGCAGTTTCATAATAGTACTGCAAGCCGAGTTGAAATTTGATCGTCATGTGTAACTAACAATCTTTACCGTGTCAGTCTAAGAGAGTGACTGCCATGTGACAAAATGCCCAGATAAGTCAGGTCGGACCGGATGGGAAAATATTTCGCTCTCAGCCATGACAAATATTTTCCCTTCCGACCTTCTTGATCCAGTCAACAAATACCATTACCTGTTTTCCGATCTGCAGCAAAGATCAGTCGTTTGGGGTAGATTACCTTCGCTAAATCTGAGAATCTTCGGCAGACTGGGATTATGATAACGTACTAAGCAATCATAGGCTTCCCACCTCCTGCTTCCTACGTAGAAAGGCATAAAAGGACCGTAATTGCTCATTGAAATTCCCTTGGAAACCCCAATCCAAACAAAACTCTCCTTTGTCAAGATACATAAACAAGTCGGCAATTTGAATATTGTGAGCTTGAAGTAAAAGAGGCAGACTGGGAACTAAAACTTGCACTTTTCAATATGGCGGACAGCTGTGGATGAAATCCTGTTGTAAACATTTGATTTAATTCTTTGTGAAACGAAATTTAGAATAACACTGAGATGGATGAACTGGTAACAGATCTTAGCAGTGCACTTGACAGAACGAATGATCCACCCTCGGCGCATTCTGACACAACGATCGGAACGAGAGAGTCGCCATCAGCGACTCCCGTTCGGAAAGCACCACGGAAAAGGCGAGGAAGAAAACGTCGATCGGATTATCCGCCGTTCCGTGATCGTCCAAAAGTAAGTGCTGAAAGCAATGATTCTGTAGAAGAAGCCTTGATGGATTATATTGAAAACATATCCATGTGCCAAAGCGATTCTGAGGAAGAAACATCGTTTACGAAACGTCTGTTGAAAGTACAACTTCATGGTCGCGAAAATCCAGATCCTTATCCTGTGCAGGAAAAGGAGAAAGGAGAGAGTGACTCTGTGAGCGATCCTCTAGTAGGGTTTACGAAACGTAGAAAGAAAAGAAAGAGGAAACTGAAAAGGGTTTCGGCTGCTCAATCGTTGAACGATCGGGATTCTCCGTTAGGTTTACTCGGAAATAATTTGAAATCTCTCAGTAGGACAAGGAAACGCAAAGTGTGCGGAAAATCTGCCATGGGAAGCGAAATACATAACAGTCTCAAAAGACGCGACGAAGAAGGTAGCTTAGCTGATATTGAAAATGGTTTGAGTAGTGGATGTGGGGAACCCATGGAGACCAATATTTCCTCTAATCATTTCTACAAGCTACCTTCCAAATTGCACGCTAACGCTCAGTTTGCCAAACCTAAAGACCAATCTTTGCCACATGCATCGTCGTGGGTAGACCTTCAAGATGGCGAAGAAAGAATGATGATCATAGCGCCGGATCGGCGTAAAACTGAATCATATGAATCCTCTGGAGAGAGTGATCTTGAGGGGTTTTTCACAAACGATGAAGGTCGACTTGGAGACGATGAAAAAGAGGAAAGCTCGTTTGAATGTGACGTAAGGATTAATCCGTGGTGGGACGAGAAAGGTGCTAGTGACATGGAAGAAGAAAAGTTCCAGAACATTGTAAATGGAGTCATGGCTGAATACAGAAGGCCCTATTTGGCTGGTGCCGAAGGAAAGTTTGGCTTGGGTATGTTAAGAATCAGCTCAATACTTATATTAGCTCATGTCTCACACACATGTACCACTTGTAAACAAAGGTATCTCTTTTGCATATAAAGACTCTTTTTAATTTTGTGGAGAACTCGGGGGAAAAAAAAAAAACAACCTTCTGACTAATGAGGAGAACCTCCTCAAGTCCTAGAATCAAACCTGAACTGTGAGTCTGAGAGAGAAAATGTTCTCATTACCTTCACCACTTCTCCCTTCCTGTTTTAACCTTTAACTCCTGTAAGTGATTACTGTGTAACTTCTCCCAATAACAAGTGAAAAATTTTGTTGCAACAGTGCCTGTATTAGGCACAATTTCACGCCCTAAATATCCATATACTTTACAGCTAACAGGTAGTGAAAATACTCAAACTCATCAGGTACAATTTATTACCTTGATTGAACACCTAATTCTCATTATCAATTAACAAGGAAATGTGTAGTAGCTAGAGGGGAGAATTGAAAATTGAATCTTGGGAGTTAAAGGGTTAACAATGTTCTCTGGAGATTTTGTAGTTGCTAGTTACAAAAAACATTGATCAACAAAGGTAACATGTACTGGTAAACTCGTTTCAGATTAAGACATGTATTTTACTGCTTATCTAATTTACAAAGCTAATTTTAGTAAATGAGGGGCTGTCTGGAGGAGACTGGTTTAGGTATCAAAATGTGGCTAACACTTACAGACTCTGATAACGTACAATTTGCTTTTTGGATCAACAGGTCTTCAAGGGAGATTAAAGAAAAATTCTAAGGCACCTGGACAGGTATAGAGTCTTGTTCTTGTTTAAAGTGCTCTTAACCCCTTAACTCCCAAGATCTCATTAGTAATTCTCCTTACTGTCCGCTATATAGTTCTTGTGATGTTAGTTTGGAGAATTTGGCATTGGATCAACTTATAATCCCTTAATTAAGATTCTTCTTTATTCTCATCACTTGTCTGCTTGATATTGTATTGATATTGTAAGGAGAAGTTTGGTCGTGGTCACTCATGGGAGCTAAAGGGTTACATGGAATGATATAAAACTAAAATGTGTATAATTTATATGTTCATTCTTATGTTACATATAGACTACAGCAGAAAAGAGCTTATTCAAAAATGATGTGAATTTTATCTTTCTTTTATAATTATTGTGGCAATTTTCCCTCTTTGCCCCAAATGGATCTTCATAATTCAAATGAATCCTAGCTTTAAACAAGACAACAAGAGCCAAAAAAACATGAAGACAGAGAAATAAAAAGGAAACCTCCATTTCAGAATACAGTTGAACCTGTATTAAGCAGTCACCCATGGGGAATGGTGTGCTTGCTGCCTAATACAGGTGGACTGCTTAATAAAGGCTCTACAGAATTGGGTTCCTATGAAAAAACAACACAAAAGGCCATTTTATGCTTTAATTGACCAGAGCTTACACATCATATTAGGCAGGTGATAAACAATCACTTCCTGGGACTTTGTTATGGTTTTTGATCAATATATCAATGAGTGAATTTGAAATTCCTGTCATCTCTCATTAGGAGACTTCTCTGGGGGAGCTGAACAGGAATATTGCAGTCTTCATGCGGAATGAGAAATGGATGGAGTGAGTTTTTTAACATGTCCAGTATGTAGTGCAATTACTTACATGTAATGAGTTATAATTATAAAGATGTGCACACAGTGATGTTCAAGGCTCCTACACTATCATTTTACGAGCACTCCACATATTCAAGTGTGATATACTGATAGATGTAAAGGAAATATAATTATTGGTAAAATTTTTTTAACACTGTTTTCTCATTCTTTTGGAAATATAGATTGTCTGTTTTTCCTTCAAACAAGATGGAAAGGGCACAGGTATGTTTATAAATGGAATGTAAATATTCAATGAACTAATGCTGTGATGTGAAATTACATTATTATTTTAAATTTGTCAGTTCATACAATACTGTGAATTTTTTGAATATTGAAAAATATTTTATTTTGTCCTTCTTGAGTCACATAATTCGAAACTCTTTCAGCAGTTTGGAAAACGTCTGCATACTTGTTTGAATTTATCACTATTTTTTAGATATAGGTGACTTAGACAACTGTGCCAGGTGTTTTTGACAGTATTCTACATATTGATATGTTTTAGTTATTGCTAAAAAGCATAACCCTTTGACTTGTAAGAGTGATTAGCCTCTAATTTTTCCTTACAACGAGAGTGACTAGCATCTAATTTTTCCTGACAATATCACCCCCAAATGTAACACTACCTTAAAGGTCACTGGAAGCTCTTGCTTGTTAAACAAATGCAGTTTTTAAGGAAATGTATAGAGAACAGTATGGAGACTATTCCTACTGATGTAGGGCTGTAAAGGGTTAAATTTCAAAAGAGTGCAATATGGAAATTTGTACTGCACCTGATAACCTATTTATTCATTCACAATACACCATTTTACAGCTGTGTACTTAGTTGCTACATGTAAGCCTTTCATTGGGAGTGTGGCTGAAGGTGACCTTGTTATGATAGAGACCAGTATCTAGTTAGCATGATAACAAAGGAATTAACATTTGAAAAGCGGCAATGTTTGTATCATAACAAGGTCACTCTTTAGCCTCACTCCTGTTCAAAGGCTTGGCAACCGAGAATGCAAATGTAAAATGGATTATTGACCAGTTGGAAACAAGACATTTTGTCAAGTATATTAATAACAGTTTATTTCACAATTTATTTTCTTTTTCTGCTAGGTATACCAGTGGGCTTCTTTATATTCTCTTCAGTGTCGATCAGATCCTGCTCATAAGGGGAGAGTATTACTTTGCAAAACAAGGTAGGTTTTTTTTTTCCTCAAATATGTTTTAGCCATGTTATTTGGTACTTGTAGGGCCCTCAAGTTTTAGGAATTGAGCATGAAACTCACACAAAGGAATTCAATCCCACCCTCTTTCACTGCAACTGTTGTTTCTCGTGCATTTAAGGCTTTAGGTTTGAACTGTTATTTTTGAATAACAAACTGCTGCTTTAATGAAGTACCTATGAAATAGACTATCCTTTTAAAAAATAATTTACTCCTCATTCCCTTTTTGCTGGCTTCAAGCACTTTCCAGAAGTGTAAATTCTCCTTCAGAATAAAGGAATTCACATCTTAGCTACATAATTTTTTTACAATTTTTTTCTAAGGCAGGAGGCCAACATTCACCCCTCAGGAGTGTGATGCCTACAGCATTACAATTCAAGGCTGAGTGTTTGTCTCCACTAAAGATCTTTATGATAGATGAGAAGTTTTTGATCCTGTTTGTGTAGGGAATGTTATTTGAGTTGAAAATAGAAGGAAACTATAAGGCTGATTTGACAGAGAAAGAATTACTTTTCTTTTGATTTCTGCATTGTTGAATCAGCTTAATGTTGGTATCTATGTGCACTGAGTTGTTTTTGTTCTGAAGTTTTTACTGTATCCTATCTTTACTTTCTAATCAACTCTCCCCCCAAGACATCCCAACAGACCTGGTGCAGAATCAAAAAGACGCAGAAAAATGCCTCCCCCAGTTGACGCCCTGCATTCCACATGTAAGTGCTACTTTGTCACTTGGGCTCATTCAGGTTTTTGCTTTTTTAACCCTTTAACTTCCATGAGTGACCAAGACAGAATTTCTCCTTACAATATCAATACAATATCAACAAGGTATGTGATAAGAATAGAGAAAAATACCAATTTGGAGATAATAGGTTGATCCAATACTAAATTCTCTGAACTAACATTATAAGAATTGTATGGTTGACAGTAAGGAGAATTACAAATTTGATCTGAGAGTTAAAGGGTTAAACTTTGTTATTTTGATATCTTTTGCATAAATTTGTATTAGCAATAGCCAATACTACAGTGCACCCAATGCAAATTATCTCAGTGAACTGTTTTAGTGGTGAGCATCTGTCGCCATTCACTCTTGCAAAAGATTGTTTCTTTTGATGGTATCTAAGAGGTTTCATCACAATTTAGTATGATTATACTTTCCCACATAATTTTTTTGAACTCAAACTAAACAAATGGTTACATTGTCAACTTTGAGGCCCTTTGCCTCTGTGTGTACTCTATTCTTTGGGGATTTTGTAAGTTACACTGTACCAAGGGAACAATATAACACTTAAATAATAGCTGAACCAGGCTAATGCATTAGTGTCAAACCATAAAAATTTAATCACATTGTGGGTTAAGCAGAGAATCAATGTTGTTCCATAAAGAAATGATGGGATGTAATGCAGTTGTCCTAAGGAAATGGGATGCTTCCAGGCTGAAGCTTTGGTGTGTTAAAATGACTCACCAGTCATCCTGAAAGCCAGAAAGTCAATTTGTTATAGAAAGTGTGTTACAAAATTTGAACTTTTTTGTATATCTGAAGTCATTATGGAGGGTTTCTGACTTCTGTTTCCACAGCGACAGTGGGAGTGGAAGCTGATCCAATACCTTCATCAAATATTGGGAACCAGATGTTGCGCGTTATGGGTTGGACGCCAGGGACTGGACTTGGAGCTGACAGAAGTGGAATCCAGGACCCTGTGAAGGCATATTTGAGACCAAAAGGACTGGGACTAGGCCATCCATGGCCTCCGTAAAGTGAACAAGATCTAATTTTATATGGAGGACAAATTCAATTGTTTTTTAATAACGTTTTCCCGAAGCCCAGTATGATTTGAGGGGAACCTTGAATTTGAGTTTTGGATGCGTTTTATGGAAAGAAGTGCAGAAATTTGACAATGTAAATATGATTTTATGGTTAACATTTAATAATTTACGCGTTGTGTTAATAAAGGTATCTCGATTGGCGTCTACATGTAATGTCATCTTCGAGTAAAAAGATGTTCTTCAACTCACAAGTTTTCTTCCCTTGAATTTTTTTCATGGCTGTTCTCTGCCATCAGAGTGAGCTAGTCAAATGGGAACATTCCGTGTTAAGTATACCAACAGGTTAGCGAATGTCTTCTTAGAAGGTGAGACTGGTTCTGTGTGGCTCTTCTTTGACGTTCACTCCAAACACGTTTCTTAAGCTCCTTCCACACAAATACGTTTTCTTCCGAAATATAAATACTTCAGGGTGTGTATTTGTCTATCATCCACATTTAAACGCTGATAACAACGGGTACTTTTGTAAATTGATCGAAAAGAAGAGTGTTATGGAAACGTATCGTTTTTGTAATGCTCCATTTATTGTGGGGACAAGAGAGGCTTTTGGAAACGTCGACTTAAAATGCGTCACGTACGGTCGCTTTCAACTTGGGTTTCGAATGTTTGGGCGTGAGATGTGTCCTTTTCAAATAAAAACGAGAATAAAATGAATGATCACCAGCTTAAGAAACTCTTGCTTGGTAAATAAATTCGCTCCCAAAGACAATCGAAGGCACAACTAGATATTTGATGCAACATCAGTACAGAGAAAAGTATATTTTCACTCGAACACACGGTTCCTCTTATTATCAAGTAGAGAAGTTTCTATGTTAAAATTTTACAATTACAACCTTGTTCAAGCAAGGATGTGCACGCAAGGATTAAATAAACTAAGAAAAATTATATCGTGCATGCCATAAGGAAATGTTTCGTTCAAAGTCACTTTATCAACATCTCAGAAAGAGAACGCGGTTCTTAATCTAAGATTGTAATAAGATTTTAAACTAACGCGTCGGTATTGTAATAACCAACAATACATAAATAAAGTAAATTAAATAACAAAAACGGTGCAATAACAAAAAAAAGTGCAATCTAAAAAACACTTTGCCCAGCAAAGAGATTCGAGCAGATATGATTCCAAAATTGATCCTTAAAATTCCAAAGTGATGAACATGCATATTACACTTTCGAACAACTCTACATTATTCAGCAAAATGGTGATAAGAAGAAACAAATTTATCGACAAGAGTGTGTTATCTTCTTAAAACACTAAATTCTCTTATTAATTTACAATTAGATGTATTGGGGCTAGAAGAGACAGTTACAAAAAAGATCTGGAGAGCTTAAAGACAGATGAAGCTATCTCATCTTTCTTTTCTAAGCTTTAGTGATATACCGGTGAGATGAGAGTTGTTTTGCTAGGAATGAAGTTTTTCAGCGAAGGTTGTGTCTTCGATTTCTATACTTTAGATTCCAAAACATCAAACCCACAAAGAAAAAAATTCACAGCGGAATCAAAAATTCGATTAACTACTAATCCTGTATTAGCGTCAGAACCTAAACAAAAAAACTCCAGGACTAATTTTAAGTCTTGTCAATGTCCTCCTGAAAAACTAAAAGCATCCGCACATCTTCTTCACCGTTGTTCTTTCTTCGGAATGTTGCTCTTTGGCGAAGTTGATAAAAACCTACGGGATGAGCAAAAGTAGAAAGGCATTATCAACTAGCACAGGCAAAATTACACAGGCTTGTGTGCAACAAGCTCATAGACTTGTAAGTACTAAGCACGATTTTTATTGAGTGACGTAAAACCAAAATGATTACAACGGCCAATCAGAAGAAAGGCAAACATCTTTAAGAGCCAATAAGAACTCAGAGTGCAACCGACCAAACTGCCTAAAACGCGGGAAAACGCAGGCGACCAAGTCTCAAGTCGTGATTGGTGTTAGTTTTGCACCTGATTGTTTGAAATGATTACAAGACGATCGATGTGCCCTTCAAGCGATAGAAAGTTTGAGAGCGTTTACCTGTTCTAGTGTGGTCTGACTGACGCTGTAGTCTACAATATTCAGAGCAGCTCTATTTCTTTCCAGCTGGCCAAAGATATACGACCAACTCAATCCTTCAGTTTCCAACTGGAAGTGCAGTACTCCCTTAAAAAAAAAACACAAAACAAGAAGTGTAAACGAAGAATGACGTGCGGTTGTTACCATTTTCACTCGACTCACTCTTCTCTTGTGGCTCGGCCAGTCTAATACGTATGAAACGAGTTTATCCAACTAAGACACAAGTAAAGCCACAATAAAGGACATTTATTGAAACTCCAGCTGCACGCGTTTGCATGAACGATTCAGTTAGACTAAGTAAGCCGTTGTTTCGTGTTTTCCAATGAAATTATGGGCGGGAAAGTGGTGCGCGCGGCCGGCCAGAATTGATCCCCACTCTAAGGCTCGATGTTTAACCGCTGTGCTACTTACGTTATGGCTCTCCAGAAGCCTTGCTCCAGAGAAAGTTTGGTTCACAAAGTTCTGAGCATTTGTCACAGCGTTTATCAATCCCGGATCGTACACCAACGGCATGGACTGGCCGGGAGGGAGCTGCATTTGAACAGGATTGGCAGGATAGGGAGGAGGAACGGGGACCGTAGGTTGTATATCTTTGCTGCTGATGACCGCTTGGGTACCATTAGCATAACCTGCAAGAGAGTTAAAAGTTGAGTTTGGTATTTTTGGTATTCTCTCTCACAAATGTTTCCCCAGCCTCTTTGAGAGTAAAGAAATCTCTCCAACTATACACGCAACAGCAAGGCTGACTCGTTGTCCTTAGTGTTGCAGTTAGCTCTTGAAACACATTCCAGATAGAGACTCAAGCTGACCCATGGCGGCGGTAATTCTGTTATGTTTCTGAGCGAAATAATCAGCTGTTGGGGCGGTTGTCTCCGGTGGTCTTAAGCCGCTACGTTTGTGACACCCAACAGTCCCCCACCCCCACCCCCCCCCCCCCCCCGACCAAATCCCCCTCTATTCATATACGCAGTTAGCATTGACTCAGCCCCAGTATTAGTTCAAGGCTAATTCAAGGTTAATTCGTGCACCCCTACCGGCAACCCCCCAACCTCTTCCTCTGTCTTCACCCTTTTTCCATTCCCTACGGCACCCTTACCCCGCCCAAACCTTACCCCATCAAGCCAACGAATTCTAACAAAGAACTGAGTCAGAAGCTTTACCTCACCCTCAGGGCAGGGCTAATCCAGTTCTTCTTTCTCACCTCCCGTCAACCTTACAAGCTCAACTAACCCTTCAACCCCTAAGAGTGGTAAGTATCTTATCCCTCCTATCATTGTTACCCTGAATCAGACATTAAGGTCATGAGAATAAAGGAAGTGATTGAAACTCTTGATTATTGAGCAAATTCTCCTTATAAGCACCATAGGAGACCTATAGAGAACAGTACGGAGAACTTGCAAACTGATATTGGGGCATAAAGGGTTAACACGTCACGCCTCATACCACAAGCTTTGCCTCACCTTCCGGGATGGGCTTCTCCGGTTCATTGACTTCCGGCAATTCCCCGGTAGCCGCAGGATTGCTAAAAACCATTGGAGACGGTGCGAACGTAGCGGTCGGTGGAGGTTGTTGGAAGCCGTTCGCTGTTTGCTGAGGAATGGGTGCAGCGCTGCTTGCAACTTTGATCATAAGGGTGTAACCAGTGCCAAATCTGCGGTATAACGGTCACGAAGTGTAAATAACGACTTCGAATCGTAAACAATAGTATACTACTTTCAGGGGTTTCAGAACATATTCCATATGTGGCTGCCGATGGTGTTAAAGGCGACTGTGCCCGGAAGGACGGACGGCGGTAAGAGGTCTTAAAAGCAGCGACAGACCGCCAGCAACCGGCTTTTACCGAAACCCCCTGCTACTCTGTGACTGGATAGGCTTTTATAATCCACTCATTGAGAGTAATACTAGTTTTTATTGTGTCAGAGTTGTATGGGCTTTTTATGATAGGAAAAACTATGGGTCTCATGTTGCTTGCGGTCATGGGTCCGATATCTCAATAGGGAATTAAGCCCGGTATGATTTGAGATACAAGTGGCTACCGGAAGAAAAATACTCTTAGTTCAAGCGTTCTTTGACCGCAATTAATTTAGTGCAAAGTCTTTTATTAACCATGCGCTACAGACCGTGGATCCATAGCAAGCTCTAGGGGAAAGATCTTTCTGTCACCACCCACGTCTCAAATACGCCTGGGCTTAGGCAAGCAATGGATTTCTCAATAGAAGGGACAAACCTGCTCTTCAGATGTTGAATCGATCCCAAACACTTAAACTGTCCGTTCACCATGATGGCAAGCCTTGTGCACAGGGCCTCGCATTCTTCCATGCTAGAAAAGAAGACCAAAGAAAAATTCTCATCACCAGTTCTCTACTCGTGTACGTTTGTCATTCAGTAAAGAAGCTTCAGAATATGATCTTATCCTCGTCGAATTAAAAAGAGCAATTTTAAGTTATCGCTATTCTCCTTGAATGGAAAATAATTCACCCAAATCTCCTCCGAGCCACATATTTGTCAGGCTCCGATTCAGCAAAGCTCGACAGCGTTGTTATTTCCTTCATGTCAATGTATATTGAGTTGTAGTAGTCTAGTATGTAATGAGTTGTATTACGAAATAAAGCTGTAATTATAAAAAATAAATAAATAAAAAAGAATAATATTTTATTTACCTGTGAGAAGTGAGTACAATTGATCGGCCTCCTTTCATCACCTGCATCAATGAATCCCACAGAAAACGGCGAGCAACAGGGTCCATACCTGTGGTAGGCTCGTCCTAGGATGATAAACAACACAGACTTAAAAATCTCAGTTCTCTATTTCATGTTTATAAAGCTGTAGCCTTTGACTCGCCTCAATTCTCTTCTATTCAATGAACCCATAGAAAAAGGCGAGAAACAGGATCCATACCCGTAATGAATCTAAGTTCTCTTTTTTTTAAGCACAAGGCTATAGCCTCTGACTCATCTCTATTCCTTTCCAAAACTTGTGCAACCACTGTGGGCAAAACAGGAGCTAGAGGTATCATGAGTAGGGAGAGCGCGCTACCCCCATTCCCAATCCCCTTTCCTCGCCCTCGAGACAAGTTAATAGAGAAATTAACATGTTGGTTCTTGTCCTTTGAGGAGTCATAACTTTATGGAATTAGTATGCAAGGGTTGGAGTCTGAATTTCATACGCTTCATAGAATTCAAATCAACAGGCTGAAAAAAAAGTAAACTCACCAAAAATACAATGGGAGGATTTCCAACCAACGCGATAGCAGTACTGAGTTTTCGTTTGTTCCCGCCACTATCAGTGCAAAAGTAAATATAGAAATAAAAATAGATGATAAAACCAGGGAAGTAGAAGTCCACTAGCACCATTTAAAGTAAGTTAGCATGTACATCTGTCATCCCTTTGACCCCTACGAGTGACCAGCATCTAATTTCTCCATACAATGTCACCCCTAAATCACTCATCAAGGTCACGAGAATGGAGGAAATGATCACCAACTAAAGAAGCTCTTGATTAGTAACCAAATTCTCCTTGTCAGCACCATAGGAAATGTAAAGAGAACAGTATGGAGAAAATGAACACTTAATAAGTGTGAGGATGTGAAGGGTGAAGTATATAGCAACAGAACTGACCTGTAGTCTCCACACAGTTTATCTGCCCAATTGGTGAGATTCAGGTGTTTGATTGTGGACGACACCAAGTCCTTTACTTTATTTGATGGAACGCCACGGAGACGAGCGTACATCGTCAGCATTTCGCGACCGGTCAGACGTTCAATAAGGGCGTCAAACTGAAGGTTAAAAAAACGATTCGGATAAATTGATTTCACGAAATTGCTCCAGGTTTTTTTAAGACAAGTAAAGTGGATAAATAAGCTTGAGAGCGAGAATATCTTAGACTTTTACATAAACATACCTGAGGACAATAGCCAATCCTTTGTTGAACCTAAAATTTTAAAATAGAATGTCTTAGTCTTTAAGTCTTTAACTCACTGTACTGCACCAATGTAACACAACACCACGCATAGTCTTCACTTAAGCGTTGAAAACAAAAACCAAAGTTATCAAAGCGACCAATCAAGACAAAGATTAACATCATCGCTGGCCAAGGAGGACTCTAAGTGAAACAAGCATAGTGCTTGAAGCGCGGGAAAACGCGAATGACAACGTTGCCACTGTTTTTAGTTTTGCATCTAATTGGTTGGGAGGATGGCACGGGTTTTCTGGACCAATCACAAAGCTAAGTAAAGTAGAGCCAAAGCAATCCCAGATTACTATTGACACTCAATTGAAATTGCTCTCGCTGCCAGTTCCGATCTTCTTACAAACCTGTCGTAAATTCGTCAAAATGTTATATCCATCCATGTAAGCCGTGCCTTGTGAAATGCTTAAATCTCCAGTTAGCATGCTAAATGTGGTGGTCTTTCCAGCACCTAATGGGAGAGGAACGAAAGGCTTGAGTGATAATCATCGTAGTAAACGCAAGAGTAGTGAAGTATGATCGTTAGTCCCACAATGAAATCCCTTGCCAAGTGGATACCGAAGTTTCCTCTGAATACAGGAGGCTTCTTCAAGCGATTAGGTTGAATGGTTACGCATCACTTTACAAAGCTTCATGATCTGATGTGATTGGCTGGTATTCTGTTGTATAGTCGCTCGCAAGCGGAGCGCACTACTTTCGCCCGTGGCGCGCATGTTAATCGCGTGTGTAACTAGCAGAGTTTTGTTGTTTAGTCAGCGAGTCGAATTTTGAGGAGTCTTGTGCTCGAGTTAGTTTTGTTTTAGCGATGTTTTCTACCCGGTAACGATAAATACTTATTTCAGTTAATGCAAGAAATAGATGACAAAACATACACACACACACAAAAAGAAACACAAAATACAATAAAAAACAACAAAAAGGTACAAAACTTTAGTACAAAAAAAACATTTCTTTACCATTTATTCCAAGCAAACCAAAACATTCGCCTTTAGGAATTCCCAGGCACAGATGATCCACAGCAGTAACGTTTGTGCCACCATACACCTGAAGGTAAATGAGAGTTAGGGTCTCTACATAGTGACGAGTGACCAACATGGAATTTCTCCTTACTAATCGATACATTTTCAAGAAGAGAGGTAACGAGAAGAACGTTAAGCATCAACGAAATGACGTTGTTCGATTTAACGCCCAATTCTCAGAGCTAAAAGCATAAGAAATATATGATAGAGAATTTGTATTTGGATCCTTAGAGTGCTAGAACTGAAACCATTAAAGAAGGTTGGGTTGGGTTAAGTATTCGGGCCAGATGCGCCACAGTAAAGGATCTTAGGTTAATCCTCCTGGATGGGGACATGGGTGACCCGTGGAATTCGTCACGTGGCCTTAACAGTTCAGCGATACCAGTGTTTACCCCAAGGTGAAGAGAGGTACCATGAAGGAAAAGTATCTTGCCGTAGAAACACAGCACAATCACTCTGTTAGGACTCGCACCCGAGTCTTTTGTTCCCGTGTTCAGCGCACTGGCGACTTCCTCACGGCACATCCCAAGATTATTTACTAAGAAACTTATGACTCAACCTTTTACCTTGGTAAGGTCTTTCAACACAACAGCCTCTCCGTCGATTTCTTCAGGTTTCAGCATGGAAACACGGTTACGCTCGTTGAAAACATCCTCGTCCTAGTACACACACAGAAAAAAGGCCATGCCTCTTTTCAGTACCTTTCATATTTGTTTGTACAAAAATCTCAACACGACCTCAATCTATCCATGCGGTTGGGTGACGTCTAACAAGTCAAATGACTAGACGTCTAAGAACTCGAACAAAGCTGTCGATTTTAAAGTATATTTGGCGAGCAAGAAATTTGTAATCGAGATGAAAACCCACCTCATTGCTTCGGCGTTCTGTTCCATCAGCTCCACCAGAATTTCTGCTGAAACCACCAAGGAAGAACTTCACCTGTAGACGGGTCACCAAACAAAATATAGAGTCGACGTGTTAACATCACCTTCCCAAGAAAAGGCTACCTTAACAATATCGTAAAACGAAACCTACTTGCTTAAGTTAACCCAATTATTATCGTTTCTGCGACATGCAACTCTAACAACGGCTACGCTACGTTCATCCGCGAGTTTTTGGTTTTGCTCTATTTTGCTTTGTTATTGTTTTTATTAGAAAATTCCCGCCAGCTTTCTCTTGACCAATGAGAATAAGGTGTAAATCACAAAAACCAATCGCGATTTGTTCACTCGCGTTTTCCCGCCGCGCTTCAAGCAGTTTTCACACATTTCCTTTAAGTATACGTTAACTGCTTGTGATATTTTCATTTGCAATGACTATAGTTATGGGTTTTATAACACTCGTCTCGTCTACTGCAAAGTTCAGATGTGCCTTTTTTTTGAACGAGGCCAACACCGTAACACTAACCGTCTTGGAGTGTTTAGCCTTACCTCGATCAGCAGAACCAAAACGAACAAAACAACGGCTTCCACAAACATGTACAGAACCATCTGTCCGATGCCCGGGCGTTCCCAAGTGAGACCATGGTCTGTGTACTTAATCCCTACCACGTCACACCTCAGTTTCGCCCTAAGAAAACAACCACAACACCAGATTACAAAAACAGTGCCGTGTCCTCATCACTAAATAACGACTAATTCTGTCTTTGAGTGGCTTACGTAACTCTTAAGGAAGTTTTGAAAAGCTGAGTACCCCAGAATTCTAAGTCCGGGGCGTTCGGCACCAAATCTTCAAACATCACCGCTTAGGAGTTGATTAGGTAAAGATGTAAATTGTGGAATTAAACCAAGAAGCCCATCCAGTCAGACATTATTCAGACTTTTGTAACGTAGAGCGACTGAGAGTACTTCTATTTTCGTCGAAGTTACATCATTTGTGTCCGCAGAGAATAGTTACCTCTGAGAACAGAAAATAAAGTGTTTAACTGACGACGAATAATCGCCTTGGTATACATGGCATTGATCCTTGTAGTGTACTTACTCAGGCGATTCGTTGCAGACTTTTCTGTACCCGTAATTCTGGTTGAGATCCACAAAGCCGTAAGCAAGCCTGTGACAGAATTGTTTAAATGTTAATGAAGAGGCGAGAATAATTTCAATATTTCAATCATGTTTACACTGTATTGCGCAACTCGAACTAAACAGAACACGATGGATCAAGAGAATTGTAGGAGAAAACGTCAATTTAAAATAATTCATAAGATAAGATGAATGCTAGCAGCATTTTGATAGGTGCTTACTGATTGTCTTTAGGAAGGCAGACGCATTGATAACCTCACCATTAACAACATTTTGCTTTTTTATCATATAAACAATTAGATTCCATGTCTCCGTGAGTCTGTGCAGTAAAAGATCGTAGGAGACGTAAAAATGAGGGAAGAACATTAGTGTACCACTTTTTTGTGACGTCATCTTTGATCCATTATTGAACTAACGCACAGCAACATCGAATGCATTGGTTAATCAGGAACTATTCTTAAAATGGGAGCTGTAATTCTGCTCAAGATTACATCCAGTAAGAAAGTGAAAGTTAACGACGAAATCACTTACGTGTAGGTGGGAACCAACATAAAGATGTAGTGACAAATCTCGGCTTCATCTTCATACCCAACACTCGGTATTTGTAGGACAAACACTGTGATCAACATTGCCTGAAATGTTTCAAAGTTATAGAAATAAATCACAACTTCACTGTTTTAGTCTAATGGGCACTGTTAGTAAGAAATCAAATTCAAATTCGACGAGCAGCTGCTAAACTTACCAGACTGAGAATGGAGAGCAAGAAGACTGTGAGTGCGTAACCCACAACTGGAGAAGTGAAAATGAACGAGAGGCAGTAGACGAAGGGCAGAACACACAAACCAAACAGCAGCTGTGAAGAGAACAACAAACTTAAAATGACAATTGTCGTTCAGTACCGCCCAGCACAAAACTAAGGCACGTACCGCGGGAAATACACTTTTGTCTGCGAACTTCCACAATTTGTGGCAGTTAAGGGAATAGGTTTTAGCCAAACATTTCTGCTTACACCTTAACCTAAGAACCATGCCGCCAAAATCTCGCCCTTTTGTTCGTAATTGTGTTGAGGTTGCACGCGTGAGCCCGCGAAAATTCGTGACATGCGGAGATGTTAACAGAGCAATCAAACGCAAGGCATGTGCAAGGGGATCGCGTTTCCAGCACAAAGGTTATTTAATCAGGGGTTTCCATCTCATTTACCATTCTGATTTGAGCTTCACCAAAAACTTCATACGGTTTTTAAACGCCGCATATTACACGCTTGTGTGCTTGTCTATGTGACAACTTAGTTTTGACAGCCTGAAAGCAAGCCCTCTAGCTCTAAAACGCGGGCATGTGCACAAACGCGTGACGGCAATGTTGCACACGTTTTGCAGCTCTGTCCCTTAGCTTCTTAGTATTTTCTTACCAGCAACAAGAAGACGATTCCCATCTCATCCTTGTAAGAATCCACTTGGAATGCAGCGAATAAAATGAGAATCACAATAGCGGGAACTAAATAATTGATGAAGTCCCAGGTGTATGTAGCAAGCCAATAACTGAGTGTATCAACTCCACTGACAAACTGGAGGTGTTTTGCCTGAAAGAGAAGGCGCAAATTAGTACAAGCTTCTTGATTTGAGTACAAGAGCAAAAAGTTTTAAGTTTTAACAGAAACTGTTTTGCTACGTCGGTGGGAAAGTGAAAAAATATTTGGAGAGAGCAATTTTTAATTGTGTGTCGAAAGCAAGCCGGCATTGTATTGATTTTGTTTTACTTCACTCTGTGATTGGTCCAGAAAACTCGCGCCACTCTCTAAACCAATCAAATGCAAAGCTTAAACCAATCGCGGCTTGGTCGCCCGCGTTTTCCCGCGCTTTGGGCAGTTTGGTTGATTTTACCCTGAGTTCTCGATGGCTCTTCAAGGTTTTTTCTTTGTTCTGATTCGCCTTTGTGATTTCTTTGGTTTTGGCTTCAGAAAACTCTATCGAAAAGCGCTCCAACGGCAAGAAAACCGTTGCAGTGAATTCTGATAAGCTAAGTTTCCTTTTTTGGGGCAAATTGATATCTAATTATTTTTTAGAAACCCTTCCAATCCCGGGCACTCAATACTTTATCAAGGAAAAAGGTAATCAGAAAAAAAATGGCAACAGCAACCAAAGGATACTGCTTAACTTAGAACCAAATTCTCAAAACTAAATTTATAAGAAATGCATGGCCAACAATTAACCCGTTAACTCCCAAGATCTGATCGCTAATTCTCCCTGTAACCGCTACACATTTCCTTGTAAATTAGCTATGAGGACTTGGTGCTAGATAAAGATAGCAGCTTCTACCTGATAAGTTTGAATATTCTCATTACCTGTTTGCTGAAGATCGTATGGATATTGTTGGGAGAAGTTTTATGTTAATCACTTCTGGGAGTTAAAGGGTTAAAGAGAATTGCTATTTCTTAAAAGTGAACGGGTTAAATAACCTAAATGATCGTCCTCCAATCTTGAAACTCTAGCATACATTTTAAGGCAAGCCATTGGCCAAACGGACCAATGTCAGTATCAAAGTATCTTTTCACCTACCCCTCCCCTAACTCAACATTAACTATAAGCTGTTATCAGTTGACTGTTGTTGGGTTAGGGGAGGGGTAGGTAAGCAGTAGCTCAGATATTGATCCGACCTAACTAATGTCTTACCTTTGACACTCTTTCCTGTACAATGAATGTAACAAAGCTTGCAGCCATGTAAGCCATTCCTAGTGCGAGAAATATGGCGAGCAGAAGTGCGGAGAAGTCTGATGTAACGTTGTCAGCCTGAAACAAAACAAAACAACACAAAGTTCATCACAGTCGCTTTGACGAGGGGCTAACGCTCGAAACCTCAGATTTTAAACTCTTTACGGTGGCCAATTTACATTACCACCCCAGTTGATAGTACTTAATTACCCTGTTAAACCCTCCCACCGACGCAGCACCATAGTTTCTTTAGAAACTTACCCCCTCCATTGAAACAAAACAAAGTTATAGACAAGTCCCTTCACTTCATCTTTGTACACACACTAAAAAGTATGACCGCAATATTGTAGAGATAGAAACTCTTTGAAGGGCTAAAGTGCACCAAGTTGTCAATTCCGATTGAATTTAACATAGAGTATTGTTTTGAAAAGCGAGTCCGGTCTCACAAAGGGCCTTATCTTTAAAAAGAATATGTACAATTTCAAAGCTTGGGATGTTTCACCGAGCCAAGCTTGGAACAGATGATATTCCGCGAAGATCAGAACGTAGTTTATGGCGTAAAACTTAGTACAGTCTGGTTCAAAAACCTAACATAATATCTGTCGCGTTTAAGGAAATATTCTCTTATTGTTTATATTGTACAAAAGACACTCCAAGTAAACATTATCTAAACAGACCTTGTTGTTGACACTGTTTGGTAGAGGGTAGTTTGTAGTCTCAATACTGTACGACGAGTCTCCTGTTTGATCAACCAACAGTATGTTACTCATGGCACTCAGTGCTTCTGCTATGGTATGGAATCCCTGTAGAGGCAGAAGTAATGAAAATCATCTTATAGTAGATCTGCAGTGTTGACCCAGTGCTACCCACTGGGCTACCGTCATGTTTTGTTTATCTCTCGTGCGATTACAGACTTAGCTACATCCATTTTGAAATCACTGGTGATCCTTGTAATCTGATTGGCTATCGTTGGTGCGATTTATTCAGGAATCGCACCATTTTTTGCTTTAAATTTGTATTTGCTGAAATACAACAACCAATTGCTTGTTTGAAGAAACCAATCAAATTGTTGAAGAATGAAAAACAACTTTCGAAACTTTCTACAAACCAGCTCATTACTGGATCAACAAACATTTGTACAGACTAAAAAATCCTGTATCTAAGCGATTGAATTTTGCGATTTCAAAATGGATGTACTAAGTGGTAGTTGAACTTCGTGTCGAGCAATTTAAGTCTGAAATCATACTTTTGATTTCAAATCACGCAAATGATTTCAGACCAAGTGGCACTCCCCTCAGTTTGTTAACATAATTTTCAAGCGTGAGTAGGGCGCATACACACATTAAAACAAAAAGACGACTTTTACTAATACCCCCAACTGATGAAGAAATACAGTATCATACCTCATTACTGTACCAAACTGTAGTAACAGCCGCTTCCTTGTCTTGAGTCTTGTTAGTCATACCGCTGCTATTAGTCATATTGTACGGCAGGCTCATAGCAGGCGGCATTGGGGCTAAGGAAAATCCAGCCACGTAAATATTAAAGTAATCATTGGCATTGCTGTCTTCCAGGACGTACTCAGAGAAGTAGGTGTTGATGTCTGTCAGATCTGTGCCTGGGCAACCCACTGCGGAGCACTCTTTGTCCCCCTTCTCGCCACCAATTTTTTCGCCAGGTCTAAAACAAAAAAGATAACCCAAATTAAAAGCATCATTATGCATATTCTCCATACTGTTCTCTATACATTTCCTAAGTTGCTGACGAGAAGAATTCGTTAAACAATCAAGAACTTATTTTATTAGTTGGTGATCATTTTCTTTATTCTCGTGACCTAAATGTGTGATTCAGGGGTGATATTGTAAGGAGAAATTAGATGCCAGTCAGTTGAGGGTTCAAGAGTCAATAAAGCACTTAAGCTATACATACAATTCAGCTTGGATGCATTTCGGGCAGTCATTGTAGCCAAAGGTGTAATCTGTACAATTGCCTGGTACTAAGTCCTTGCTGATAAACTAAAAGAAAAAGAATTCAAAGTCGATAATGAGTTGAGAATGTTGAAATAACATTTACACAACCAGCTGCTCCGCTATTTTTTTAAGTGTGAGCTGATTGGCCTATCAACCAAATGATCGAGAGTAGAAAGAAACGAAGGAAAAGAATGAAGAGGCGAAGGGGCGAGAGAGCGAAAAAGTGAAAGAGCAGAAGAGCAAAGAAACCAAGGAGAGAGGGAACAGGAAAAACGATGGAACAAATAATGAAGTCGCAAAAAGGAGGGAAAGGGGTAACAAAGAAACAAAGAAAGGTAGGGTAATTATAATAATAACAATAATCGAAATATTTATCCAGGATAACCCTTCAATACAAAAGTACTGTTATCAACGGGGTCCTACTGATTTTAATCAGTAAGTACCTATAAAACAAAAAACACTAAGTTAAAAGCTGCTGAAACTGCAATAGAAATCACAAGTAGTGATCGTCCATCGCTTTCCTAAGTAAAACTTTATTTATGTTCCACAAAATTAAAGACAACGAACTAAAAATCGAAGCACCCAAAAAATAAAAACTACGGCGTGCAAAACCCAGTTTGACCCTTGGTAGCTTTGTTGTTTTCCCATTGTTTCCAGTGCTTAACGCGTTATGATGTAATCGTCGGAAGTAGTCTCTAAATGGGAGGGATACGACTCCATTAAGGCAGTCAAATACAAAGCAGCGCGCTCTCTTCTGTAAGGATGAATAAAAGCTCAAATAAACGAGCCAACAAGGGATCAACACACACCTTAGCTTTGCACTTGTCATTGAGAACATAATACTCAAAGTTACAGCAGGATTTTGCGTCCTTATCAACTTTGGCGAAGCTCTTATTCCTGACAAATACGCCATAGTCCTTGTTGCCGTCTCGAATGTAATAAACTTTGGACGTGATGTCAGTCGCATCAACTTTAATGTCTTTGAGGTAGGTTTTGGCTTTCTGTGTAAACAAAAGTTTAGAGTTCATACGTTAGTTTTGATATCCTCCGTAGTAAAGCTATCATTATCTGTTCGATCATGATAGAGAGTGGCCATACTGAACTTGATTCAAACAACTGATCAGAGGTGCTTCTTGAAAGCAGAGGCGTTTATAGTCACAAATTTACACACACCTTACATAAAGTGCCTTATACCGCTGCTCTACCTTAAGTACCGATAGACTCGTTTTTAAACAGCGAGAAGGCGAGGATAATAAAGTATCTAGCACTTGAAAACAAGTACGCTATGAAGATTATTCAGACTCGCGCGTTTTCGCAAACCTAAACCCAAAGATTTGTATGTAATTGACAAAGAAAAGAATATCTCATAAAGGAAATGAGGGTGGCGGACATCCCAGGACCCCGGCCACGTCCTTGGACAGAGTAAAGAGTGTCTCTTTGTCGTGTTACAGTTGTTTCTCATTTTTTTTGTTCGTTATAGTGAGAGTACATAGAGCATTAACTGACATCACAACTATTAGTACCGTTTTCTCTGAAACCCTTGTAGTCCATGTCAGTTCTATTTGCTCTCATAACAAAAACCACCTAACAAGCTTTTGATCAGTAAAAGTTCAAATGCAAGGAGATGAGAACATGTATTTCACGTACCTCAAACGTCGCGGTCTTTTTACTAGAACTCATGTTTCTGTAGTCGGCAAAAAAAGCTTTGGTATGGACACCGTCCACGCTCAAGTTAGACAGCTTAAGAACACGAGGTGGATCGTTCTCTCTTGTGGGAATCGTAGTGATCAGCAACAAACCAAATACAACCATAATAATGGGGAGAACAAGTTGTGTAATAATTGCTTTCTTGTCGCGTTTGGAGTTCAGAAACCTCTTCATGAACATTGCTCTGTATTGATTCCACTTCAGTCGAAACCCTGTTTCAAGCTCTAAAAGACAAACAAGAAAAAAAACGACAATATTTAATGATTGCCTTACGCATCCTTATCTCTATAACTCTAAAAATCATTTGTTTAACTGTTCCTGCCTCTATTCATCGCTTTTAACCCTTTCACTCCCAAGATCTCATTAGTAATTCTCCTTACTGTCTGCCATACAATTCTTATCATGTTGGTTTAGACAATTTGGTATTGAATCTGTAAATACGTGACTTTCAAACTTGCGTGACTTTTGCGTTACAGTTGGCCTTTGTGCCATTTGATTCCTTCAGATAGTCTCATTATTCACTGTTCATGTTCGGCGTGCATACAAAGTTAATTTATTAAGTGTGATTTCAAGCCACCGGCGTATAGGGACTGATATGTAAGTTGTTTTCGCCTGTTTTGTTTTTTATCTCGTTTCGAGCAAGCTCTTTCGTCTTTATTTGTATATATATATCTTGTGTTTGCCGTAGCTCTTGGTTCATTTATTAGTTCCTTTATTATGTTAGATTCATTTACGCTGTTAAGTCGCCACGTGTTTAATTGAATACAATCTATTATATAAGTCCCTTTTTTAATTCGCTTACAGTTTACGAGATTGATTAAAGTTATGTCCCTGTAATACCCTGGATTTGGTTGGCATTTTTCTCCGGTCGCGATTTTCTTGGCATTTCATCGAGCCTTGATGTTCGTTTGCCGCAACAGAATCAATTTAATTGATATCTTTCTTTATTCACATCACCTGTCTCCTTGATTTTGTACTGATATTGTAAGGAGAATTCTGTCTCGGTCACTCTTGGGAGTTAATGGGTTAAAACTACGAGAGCACAAGTGGTGGAGCAGAATAAGGGGGGAGGGGGGAAGAGGGGGGAAGAAGGGGAGGTATTGGGGGCTGTGTTGCCATCCTCCTCAGCATGAAAATTGGTGGGCACCCCTCTCCCCTACAACCACCTCTTACCAGACAATCAGAGAACACAGCTGACTTTAACTCTTGGCTTCGAACCATTTGGTGTTTAGTCGAAGATATGTGAGAAAATGAAACGATTTATGTGTGAACGCTCCTAACCTTTGTTTGAAATATTTTCCTCATTAGCCACCTCCACAATCTCCTCTGTTTCTTCAACAGCAATCTCGTGTTCGTGGGCTCTGGGAAAAATAACACACAATGGGCCTTTCAATTCAAAGAAGATAACTATTTAACAAAAATCACGAATTATGTTATCCTTACTTATACTACCAGTAAAACTCGTTTCAAAAGTCGTTGATGTAATCGATACATTGATTATGAGCAAGAGGGACTAAACCTCACGAAAGAGTTAGAGGAACAGAAGTCGATCTCTAATAATTTGCTAAACCTTATTATAGAAATATCTGGTAGGTTTAACGTACAGATTGTCCACGGTTTTTTCTGCTCCTTCTCCAACCTTCATGAAGACTTCCTCAAGGGTTGTAACCGACACTCCAAAACTGGTTATTCCATACTCGTCCATCTTATCTGGAAAAGAAATCAGAAGGGAAAATTCATGAAAACGATTCCCGTTGTTCTGACTGGCCATTGCAATCGCTTTGGTTGTAGTGTTACGACGATGAGCGTAAAACCGTTCTCGCTGGGATGGCAAAAGCAAGCTAATATTTGCGGGTTGATCTTCCTGCGTGTATAAATGACCTGACTGCCCCCGCTAACAAACATCTAATTCTCTCCAATTTTGTCAAATTCACGACTCTTGCGAACAACAAAGCAACATGAATTGTAAAACCCTTTGCAAAATAATGATACTGCAAGAGTCTCGAAATTCAAAATTTTCTGTGAGGAGTCTGGACCATCCTAACAATAGGAGCCTTCAAAACTTCTCGTTTGATGGCCCAAACTACCTAAGTATTCGTACCGCATATTAATGAAACCATAGCCGTTGTGTTATAATCATTACGTGGAACTTAATAACATAATTTTTCTCGTACTTACTTTCTATTTCTTGAAAGAGCGCTTCAAACCCACTGGAGTGTTCACTGCTCAAGACAAACTCCATTTCAGCACCAACACTACTGAGCAGCTGTGCACTGGGCACATGGTTGATAATCAAGCTCGTCACTGCATTCTCATTGCAGTTTTCTTTCTTCACAAGTGTCAAGTGATATCCAACACCATACCTTAATAACAAAAATAGTGGCAAAAAAGGGATTCACTATTGGTTAATCCCTTTTATTATTCAAGACAATAAAAGGGATTATTCAAGATGGAAGAGAAGTAGAGGAGGAGTAAGACCTCGAGCAAAGATGATGTCAGGGTTTAGTCTTAAATTTCTTCAGTGGAGTGAAAGAAATGGCCTATGGGCCGGTTATTAGAAGTCAGAAATTACGCGTCAAAAACTGAGATACCGATAGCTTTGAAATTCGAACTATAAAAATATCAGAGACCATTACAGAAAGAATTGATTTAGAGCTAACACCTTTCGATTTAAATTTTATATGATGACTTAAGGTCTATAAAATTTCCCCTTTCGAGAGAGGGGCCTAAAACCGAGAACAATTTCAAGTCGGCCCCTGGGAAGTGAGAGAGGGAGGAGACCTGCTGAGGAGAGGTCAGTTTCCTACATGTTCCACATTGACGATAGTGGTGATTGATAACACTGCAAACTTATTGTGTAGTGTGGTCATCTGGGCGAGAGTACCCATAAACAGGAATGTTGTTGCCAACAAAGACTCATTTTCCACACAATATGTCATCATCAGCCGTTAACTAGAGAATCAAAGGTTACATTTGAGTCTGGTTTACTGAAGAGTTAGTTTTGCCAAAAACTGAAGACAGAAAATATTGTGATTTACCTGCCCTTGAGAAACAAAGAACTGCCACAACATCGAAGTTGCCCATCTGCCATGATGGCAATTCGGTCTCCAAGGAAATCAGCTTCATCCCTTAAAACCAGTAATAGAAACAAGGAATATTTAGCACAGAATTTATATCACTATATTGATTGTTCTCTAGAACAAAGTTGGTCCAGAAAGGTAATGGCCAATCTGTTCTCTGTCCTTACTGTAACGATTCCTATTTAGTGCACATGGCTCATTTACAGGAAAACTTACATGAAGTGAGTTGTCAAAATGATGGTCTTTCCTGCTTTGTGCTTCAGCAGCAGGTCCCATGTTCCTCTTCTGGCATATGGGTCCATTCCTGAGGTGGGCTCATCCAAGAACACAGTTTGTGAACCTCCAATTAGTGCAATAGCACAGCTATGAAGAGAATTGAACTTTTCTAACCTTGCCCAAACAATGGTAAAAGATCTTAAGAGAGTGACTGTATTTACCGCTAAACATTTCAAACCGAACGAAAGTTTACCAAAAACAGAAGACGCTGGCGCTAAAGCTCTAAAACTTTGATCAAACGTAGTAAGCACGCTGAAATTCACTTAGGGAACTTATCCCCTAGATATAGCTTAAATGACAACTTAGCAAAGTTAACTGACACAATCTGGTCATGCACGCTTCTCTGATCAGCAATCAATTTCACAAGTGCAGTTGTAGATAATTGTAACTGCATCATGATTGGATCTTTAGTTCTCACGGAACTTCCATGAGTTAAAAATATTATTCAGCAGACCTGAGTGGTTTTATGGCAGTTTCTGACCCCAAGCCTTTCATATCCTCTTTTCTGATCCAATCAGTGCTGAAAGTTGCCTACAATGAGAACTTGTGGTGGGGTTGAGGGGGTTTACTAGCCACCCGCGTCATCTTAAGGACACAGTGAAGTTCATCTAAACCCAAGGCAGCCGTCTTTCAATTTAAGTGGGAGTCAGCTACTTAACAACTTTACAACAAATTTACCACAGTTTCCGTTTCATCCCACCAGACAGCTTAGAGGAGGCCCAGTTTAATTTGTCAGTCAGCTGAATGTCATTGATCATCTGAAGCACTTCAATCTCAGCTTCTTGCCCAAATGTTCCCTAAAAGTCACACAATTAAAAGTAGAAATTCACGAAGTGTACCTCTGCCACTAAAAAATTATTGGACATGTACATGTAATGATATTTCTTAAGTCCCTACGGTTTTGATAGTTTACATTATGTACCCAAGATCCACGATTTTGTTGCAAATTTGACTCTCAAGCTCAAGATGTTAGACTTGGCAAGCAACTGATCCTAAGTTATCTACATCTTCAACTGGCAATTGAGTATATCTGCTGACAGCATTAAGACTTCCAAACCATTTCATACCTTCAAGTTGATGAAGAATGTCAGATGTTCTTTAACTGTCAGCCTGTCAAAAAGAACATTATGTTGAGGACAGAGTCCCAAACTCTCGCGGATACCCTCCATGTCAGTGAGAATACTTTTGCCGTTGATATGGGCAGAACCAGCAGAGGGTGGAAAGAGCCCAGTTAGGATAGACATGGTAGTGGTCTTTCCTGCTCCATTGTGGCCAAGCAGTGCTGTAATCTGACCTTTGTATATGTTCAGGCTGAGTCCATCCACAGCAACCTTGGACCCTTTTGAGCCCTTATAAAACAGATAACACAAATGCATCAAAACACAAGAACATGTAAAAACACTTTGTGAGCTGGAAAGCCACTTCATCATATTCAGTGAAAGATATGGTGTTTCAGTGGTTAGGGTGCTGGAAATGATGGATGAAATGCAGCAGGATAACTTTGCGATGGACTGGCATTCCATCCAGAGGGGAATAGTAATACTGCTAGAAGCTTCATGCTATGGAAACTTGGATAAACTTTGGCTGGGATGAGCTTCTTCGCTCTAGTACATGCTTTACCTTCATTACATAAAACTACTGACTTTAACTTCCACTAAATATTGCCTACATGTACCTTGAACACTTTCCTAAGATCTTTTATTCCCACACCAATAGGCAAGTCATGTGTTTCCTTTTCAATGGCTGGATTATCAGAATGCTTGTCCACTGTATTTAATTCCTACACCACAAGAGGAAAAATAATGATAATTATTTTCAATAAAGAGAACAGGTTAACATTTTACTTTTAATTAATACTAATTGACTTGTGGACCAGTACGAAAAGAAAATTGTTTTCACCAACACAGATTTTATCATTGAATAATTTGAAACCACTTCTTCTTTTTTTTTTTTTTTTTCGTTTTTTTTTTTTTTTTTTTTTTGAAAAGAAGAACTCCTTAAAGTAGGTAAAGCAAATTGGCACAGGAAAATTTTCTTCAAAATAATTTGCCAGTTATTTTCACAATTTTTTTTTTGTAAATCCCCTACCTCACCTCCAGTTCTTGCCCTACCCTCAACCTGACCCCAATCCTATTTAATCTGTTTTAACTTGTATGGCAGGGGTTCATGAAAAAGCAATGTGTTTGGTATAAAGCAATTACACCCTGACACAAATATGAATCTTCTCCATATTCTCCTCTGTCCATTTTGTTAGGTGCTGACAAGGAGAATTGGTTTCATAATCAAGAGTTTCTTTACTTAGTGATTATTTCCTTCATTCTCATTACCTTAAGATGTGATTCAGGGGTGATATTGTGAGGAGAAATTAGCTGCTAATCACTAGGTGAAGTTGGTACAATTTTTCTCTGAAAAGAAACTACTCAGTAGTAGAAATACTGTGTACCTGTTCAGCTCCTACTTGAACAACTTTGTCACTGGAAACTCCACACCAGTAGGACTTTGTGAAGGGGAAGTAAAAAGGTTTGGGGATTCCATAACTACCAGGAAATACAGCCTCAACATACCTACAAGTAAGGGGTGAAAGATTGAAGTGTAACAAGTACCTCTGACAACTAACATTTTGGTCATCACTAAAATTATCTTGAAAGTTAGACCAAGGATTTAAATCATTCTGTTTCCGATCTTCTATCTTGAAAAATGGAGTGTTTAAATAATCATGCAATTTCTCATCATCACCTGCAGTAAACAAAGGTGAATTAAGTAGTTACAAGTAGTGAAAGATGGCAGACTAGCTGACAGTTTTAGCCATCTACACATTTCCTCTTTTACTGACAGCTCTAGCATAAACATGTGACAATTAATACAGATTGAACTTGTCATAAAGACAAGTTGACAGGACACACGTCCTGCATATGCAGGACACATGTCATATGAACTTCGTAATAGACCTCACTCATGGTAGAGTCTCTATGGCTTCATGGTAGAACATCGAAGCGTGGAATCTGAAGGTCTTAGGTTTGATTCCTCATGGGGACTAAGAATTTCTTCTTTGTCCCATGCTCGTGACAAGGCAAAAAAACATCTTTTTTAAAAGTACCATAATGTTCATCACACTCTTTCTAGATTTCTTTGGCTACTACATCTTACTTGCTTGCATATACTTATAGCTATAATACTTTATAATTATACAGTACAGCTTTTCTCTCAACAGTACTGCAAATAAAACCAACATACCAGGTGATTACTCCAAAGATAAGACTCTGAATTATAAGCATTCCTAGAACCATATCGAAGCTGAAGTCATCATCAGGGTCAGGAGATTCAGATACTCGGCTCCAGGTCAGTCCCACCTCTCTAATCTCAAATTTGGCAATGATGCGGGTTGCAATTCCAAGGCAAGTGTTTGGCAAAAGGCATGCAGCAGCCTTCTCAGACCTGTGGTAATAAACAACAGTTCTGCTAACACCCTTTCACTCTCAGGTGTGACCAAAAAAAAGGTCTCTTGTTGATACCACTATTAACCTTAAGTGACAAGAAGACAGAACCACATCAAAAAGGGAACAGTAAGCCACTAAAAGAGAAAATTAAAGGAAATATCTGGCAGTCAGTCAATAAGAGAACTAACTTTTTAATCCTTGGGTTGCATTATGGTCAACTAAACTTCACCTACATGTACAAGTACTAATAAATAACTCACAGCTAGAAGATGCATTGTCACAGTGATGATAGCATACATGTACTAGACTGTGGATCAGATTCTCAGGGCTTGAGCCCTAGTTTGGTCAGTGTGATGTGCCATGAATTGGAAAGACACTTTACTTAAGCATGGTCTCTGCTCACACTCAAGGAAAGAATTTGTGGGAAACTTTAAGAATTCTAAAGGGGAAAGGTTTGGGTTACTTGTGAATTATCCCATCAAAAATTCATAATATCACCCCCCAACGGTACTATAAGTTCTGGCAGTTAAGGTTTAGCAATTATTAGCCCTGTGCAACCAACTGTTTTCCTTCAGTCTGTTATCTGTATACAGCATTAACCGGGGTTTTTTTTTAAGATATGGTGGTTATATACATAAACATAAACACTGTATGAAAACCTGTACCTTGACAAAGCCTCATATGCCTCTTGCTGAGCAAACGTCTGATAAGGTACCAGAGTACAATACCAGGCTACTGCGCCAAACAGCATGGCCACAGTTGGTCTTGAGAAGAAAACACTGGAAATGGCAAATTTAAAGGTTAGGTTACTCAGATTACCTTAGACGTAGACCTTTCCAAGGACAATCAACCCTACTTTCACTGCTATGACAAGTAAGTTATAATACACTTATGAGAACAAATAAGTACTTACCTCAATGCAAAACAGAACATAATGCTTGCTATCATGTATAGTAGAAGAAATACGAAGATAAGTAAGCCATCGGAGAACTCAAAAATTTTAAATCCCTGTAGAGAAGGTAATTTTTAATTAGCTTATGTGCTCTGACTAAAATACCTCATCACCACAAATGCAGGATTAATTACAAGATACCTGATAATATTCTAAAATAAAAATGTCAAACTGATGTCAAAATTATATTCTCACCTTCAAGAAGACTGTGGCTATAATTATTGATATAAGCAGAAACAAGAGGTCTTTGGTGAACCAAGCAAGCCAGTGGATCCAGTTTGCAAGTCCCATCATTTTCATGGACTCTTTCAAACGCTGGTTCTTCTCAAAAACTAGCTCCTGTAAAACCGAAAAAGAAATTTATCTCAATAAAGGTCATTTCCCTTTTTTAACATGGATATCAATAAACGGTTCAGGTATAGTTGGTAACAATATCACTGACCTTTATAACACTCATGGCAGAATACATGAAAGCTAGAGTCATGAGCAGGGGGAGGAGTCCCTCCACTGTTGCTATAAAGAAGTTCTCAGTGTACTTTGGATAGGGAAATTGCTGAGAAAGAAAAGTATTCAAAATCACAATTGTTAGGCATACATACGCATGTATTGGTGAAAATATGTTACTGTGATAGAGAAAACCAAATAGAAGGAGAATGCCATTCATCTACAGCGTAGATCTAGCAAAGATGATTTACAGGTAACAAAGAGAGACAACTTAGAGGAAAAAATAAACACTTATTCAAATAGTCCAGTTCCTTTGGTGCCAGTTTGTCATCATTATCAAATAAACATTGAGTAAACTTTGTGGGGACTTCATTACAGTACGTGTAGTTTAGGTGTAAAAAAATTAAAATCAAGAATAAAATTACAACTTGCCTTAATTACTTCTCACTCAAAAAATGTTTTTCTCCATGATATGACAACAATGTTTGTTCATTTGAAAAGTCATGTATGCAATATTCTTGATATTTCTTGTTAAGTGTTTATCTCCTTTGGATTGGATTAATTTCTGAGCCTGATTGCACTGAAGATAAACTGCAGCCATAATAATTATGACACGGCTAGTAACATTACACCGTACTTCAAACATTTATGCCATAAAAATACCTGCAGTTTGAGTGGAATTTGTTGACTTAGGTTTGCCTGTTCTTGAATAATAGCCATATCAACTGCATACTGTACCAGCACAAAATGTGATGAATATCCTTTACAACATTGACTGACAAAAAAAGAGAACAATGTAAGGTCAATTTATAAAAAGTGTTTTGAACACTGATCAAAATGACTGTACTGATTTTGCCATAAATTCTCAGTTGTTCACTGTGCCTTTGGAGAATACACTAGAAAGTACAGTCACATCTTTCCATGTTCTGGTGAGGCTACTGTTAAATTAGAGATTTTTAAATCCAAATGATAATGATGATGATGCTGCTGATGATAATGATAGTGAGGGTTATGATAATGAGGATGATAATGATAATGAGGATGATAATGATAATGAGGATGATAATGATAATGAGGATGATAATGATAATGAGGATGATAATGATAACGATGATCATAATAATAATGATAATGATAATGATGATGATAATAATGATGATGATGATAATGATAATGATAATGATGATGATGATGATGATGATAATGATGATAATGATGACAGTGAAGGAGGAAGGATATTGAAGGAGCCATCTCCTAGGCCTTTTTATTGCCAATTTTAACATTTCTCCATATCAGCTTTTAGTTATTTAATGCTATATTTTAGCCTTACTAAATCTTACCTATTTCAATCAAAGTCAACAGATTTGTAAATACATTTTGTTTTTCTCCCTTAGCAAACATACTAGTTTTACTGCTATTAACATATCTATAAGATATAGAATTACAGATTCCACTGAAAATAGATTTTAGTACTTGAAATAAATATATTTCTAATGAAAATAATACGAATGATTACTGTGATAAACAATTATTTTTATGATTATGTAGCAACAAATATTTATTAGCTTCAATTAGCTCCAATTAGCTCATGTATTTACCCATCTTCATCTACCCTGGGTCCTACAGCCTGAAAATTTGGGTAGGTATTTTCTGTCCTCCAGCTTTTCCGGCTGCCACTAATAGTATGTGAAAATCTTAGGCTATACTTGATCTGTTTAGGAAGTTCTGTGGCATCTTTGCTGATTTTAAAGTCCACAACTAGGAAGAGATGAAAAGGTTTCAACAAAACATCATTGTGTAACAAATCTCATTAAGGCGTATTTTTCAAACTGTTATAATTACAATTTATTTTGAATCTGTAGTGCTCCAGTTGCAGGCTGCAACCATTATATATGAATATACAACTTCTCCATACTGTTTTCTTCTCATTTCTTATGGTGCTGGCAAGGAGAAATATTTTAACAATCAAGAGCTTTTTTGGTTGGTGATCATTCCCAATATCTCATGACCTTAACATGTAATTAAGGGATGGTTTGATGAGGAGGAATTAGTTGCTAATCACTCTTAGGATGAAAGGGTTACCAGTGACTGGTTTAATGATGTACATGAAAAATTGAGCTCTTCTTATGTAACAATGAGCACAAACTTATTACAACAGAAGTGCAGATTACAAATAGCATGCGCGTGGCATGCCCTCAAAATTTCCTTTCTTGCCTTCCTGTGACATACATTATCAGTAATAACCTGATTTCTTGAGAAATTTGGTGTAATAATTTTAAGAGCACTTGAAATTTTTTCAAAGACTACAAATTGCACTGGCCCTATACAGGCTCCTGCAATGTTGTTGTCTTTGAAACATTTAGTTGTGCTTATTAACATCAAAATGCAATCAAAATCACCTTATTACCTCAATATACTAAAATCATCTTGATCAGAAATTAATGACCACATGTATATAATCATCAACATTATCAGTACCTGCATAGTATTCCTCATGCTGAGAGGCTTCATCAGCCAGTTCTTCAGCAGAAGACCAGTTCTTCTTGTGGAATATGCTGTTGTGGACAACCTTCAAACCAGTGATGCTTGCCACTCTGTTCATGACTTTTCTCACTAAAGGATAATATTAAAAGAACATTAAGAAATGGAAAAAAATTGCTACAAAATAGGATCTAAATAATTATTGGAAAAACTGAAAAAATTTGCCTGTGCTATTATTCATGAATATAGGTGAACATTGTTATCCACAAAAGAAGACACTGCTCTCTGAGTGAACACTTCACGAATGAGAGGCTAGGGAACTAGGCAGACTTTAAACTTGACATGATACATGCAATTAATCCCCTATAGATATTGCATTTATCATGTCAATTTCACTCAATATTGATTGAATTCTCTTGACCAATATTGATTGAATTCTCTTGACCAATAAGATTTTCATAGTACATGTAGGTCTAATGCATAATAATTATAAATTTAAAATAAGTTAAGGTAATATTTAATGAACCGCTTTTTCTCCACACTGAATATATCAACACTTAACCAAATTTGTCAGTGTGCATTAATGTATCCTGGGTTTAATAAAGCATATGATGCATGTCATCATGATTGTGCAAAATATTTTCACAGGCTAACCAGCTTATGGCTTCAACCACAGCCCAACACTCAGTGGGTTTCCTGTGAGGTAACAGAAAACTGATGTTTTTACTAACACCCAGACTTTAAGTTTGTAATTCTCCTTACTGTCAACCACACAATTCTTCTTAATGTTAGTTCAGAGAATTTAGTATTGGATCAACTAATTATCCCCAAATTGATATTCTTCTTTATTCTTATCACTAATCTGGTTTACATTGTACGGATATTGTAAGGAGAAATTCTGTCTTGGTCACTCATGGTACTTAAAAAGGTTAACCAACAACCGCTAAATGCATACCTGGAGGGGATGTCGGATAATAGGCAAGATACGTCTTGTTTTCCACTTTCTTCCTCAGGAAGGCTGTCACTGCTGTGCTGTTACTTAAACTTAAATTCTTGGGTGGATTTCGGTAAAGATCCTTCCTGGCATCTTCGTTAATTAAACTGTTTACAATTCCTGCTGGTATATTTTTTGATGGTAATGGTTCAAAAGTGCCTGTAAAGAGCAGAATTTTTTTTAATCACGTAAAGTTAACTGTCAAAGTATTTCAAAAGACCAATTGACTCACATCAGGCAAAATAAATATATTCATCCACCAGAGGAAATCAATAAAAGAGAAGTGTTTAACTTTCAAAATAAGGAAATAAGTGTAGAGTTTCATGAAATCTAGATAAGCTTGTCTACAAAATCTGCAAAAAATTTCACTAAAAAATATTGATTATGATCTGCAGGATGTACAAGCGCATAAACCAGACCAAAAATTGGTAAGGAAGTAGCAGTGATCTTAATTGTTATGACATTAAAACTTACTAACTGCGAGATTAAGATTATCATCATCATCAGATTATGTGAAGAGAGTGAACTGTGTAACATTTCAGTTTTTGCTTTGCATTTTCTTCTTTTTTTTTTTCCTTTTTCAGTAACTTCCTTCATTTAAACCAGCTAAGAATCATTGACGATGTTGAAATCTCTGTATCACCTGTTGATTTCACATTTTTAAATACTTGAAAGAAAATCATAATGGTATGTAAAAAAAATTTACTTCAGAGAGGTTGAGTCCATGTTCAAATGGGCCAAACTACAAATAACAGCTTATGGATAAGAAAAAAGCTCTTTCAGCTCAGGAAGATGACATTCAAGAGTCCCATGACAAACTTTTCTTATGTTTGTAGAGTTAAAAACAGATCAAGTGCCATTACATTGACATTTAGTAACAATTAAGTTTCAACTTGTTATACTTTTGTTTACACACGTACTATTGACTCATCATGTAGTAACTAAAAAAGAAATGACCTAAAATGAGCTACCTGTGAAATGACCTAAAATTATGACTTAAAATTGCCTAAAATGACCTTAAGTGATTTCTAAAATGACCTAAAATGACCTTCAGTGATGTGTACAGTGACAGCTAAAATGAGAAAAAAAACACCTAAAATAACTTTGACTGATGTCTAAGATGGCCAGAAATGAAAATAACCTTGACTTTAGTCTGGCTAAAAGATCCACAGTTATAGTAACTGTTGATAGCACAATGATCATCTAAGGTGTTCTAAGTGATCCAAAGTGGCAATTAATTTTTACGTGAAACCGAAAAGGTAAGCATTTGACCAGCTCCTGCAATTAGTTCTGTTGTTCTGAACATTGTATATCACTGGCAATTTAACTTTTTTAAATTCTTCCAGTAAAGTTTAAATGTCATTTTACATCATTTTAGTCAGTATAGGCTATTTTTAATCATTTCAGGTCAAGACATCTGTCAAGGTTATTTCAGGTCATTTTAGGTCAATTTATAGATATCACTTAAGGTCATTTTGGTCATTCTAGAAATTACTCAAGGTCATTTCAGGTCATTATAGCTCATTTTGGGTCATTTTAGATCATTTTGGGTCATTTTAGATCATTTTGGGTCATTCCTCATTAAAGTAACTAAGTGACTCATCAACTTAGTTAGACGGAGCAATTTAGAATAAATTACTGCGGAATTCCACTTTGTTGTTGGCATTTTAATAAAGGCTTAAGGTTTAATTTGACATAATACACAAATCTAAACATAATTATTGTATTTAAGTCTCACATCGAAGGCATTAATTTTACATTTATTTTATGAATTTATTTTGACCTGAATTTATGTAGTAATAAAATATCCTACTTACTGAAACAGAAGTCTTGTGTCTTTATGAACAACCTGCAGGAAGAAAAAAAGAAATTTTTGAATTAGAGGAATGAATCTACAATTGTACATGCATAAATGAATAACGGTTTTTGGCTTAAACCTTTATATCTTACACATCAACATGCATATTCTCCATACTGCTCTCTATACATTTTGTAAGGAGCTGACAAGGAGAATTTGCAATAATCAAGAGCTTCTTTGGTTGGTGGATCATTTTCTCTATTCTTATGATTGAATTATGTGATCTAGAGATGATATTGTAATCATGGTGAAAATAAAGAGTAGTTTGGGAACTAGCAAGTGGTTTATGGACGTCCATGTATATACTGCAAAAAGTTATTTTGTGCAGGTGTTCAGCTCACTGGAAGTAAGACCATCTTTATAAAGTGACGGATAATTCCTTCCTGTCATCCATGGACTTAAACATGTCAAGTTTTTTATTATTAAAGCAAGAGAGGTTTAAATCTACATAAATTAATCGTCTGTTTGGCCGCATGAAAAAACATCTTCCATGTCTTGTGTAAATGATTGACAATTTTTTCTTTCACAAGAGTGCCCTACCCACTGACAGTCCCTCAGAGGTTTCAAAGAGGAATTTGAAATACATGTATCAAACTAAAATATAATACTTTGATGAAATATCAGATTTTCTCCTGTTTCGAAAAATGTGATATCTTCATCGCATCCAGTGAATGCATCATTTATATCCTCAAAGGTGAAAATGACAGTCATCATGGTTACCAGGTTTATGAAATTACCTGTTTTACTTCCATCTAGGGGGGTTTTTTAATTTGCAAACACTATTTAATATATTAATGGTTGAGTTCAATTTCTTTTGGGAGGAAATAATTCTTGTAATGATTAATTATTTTCTTCATGGTTGGATGTTGAAACACTCAAGAGATAAAATTTGTATTCACACACGGCCATGTAGAATTATCCTCTTGAAAATCTGCCTCGCAATGTGCTCACAGCTGTGTTAGAGATAAAATATCTTCCTGTAAAATTTGGCTTCTCTTAGTTTTAGGTCAAAATCAGATTACTAATTACCTTTAAGTTTTATCATTTTATGACAGAGAAGGAGAACTTTAAGACCTCTGCCATTATTATCTCAGCAAACAACAACTTAAACAATTTATTATGTATTATGATTTTGTGGATGAAGGAAGTTTTGGGAAAGGACTGCTGTCACCAAGATTGAATGACATTTTTAAAATGTAGACGGAAGTTATCATCAGCCTGAGGGGTAAAATTAGATGGTGTTCTAAACATCTGCTCACTTCGCTACGGGGAAGGATAGAATATCTCACAAGTATCTGGATACACAAAACATTCACATCAAAAAAAGATTTAATATAACCTTGTAAACTCAAATTTCAAGCACAAAGTGATCATCAGACTCAAGTTGTTTTCTACCCCCAAAGAAACCTGGTTTCAAATTTACATGTGAATCACTCGTGAAATTCCTTTTTCTGAGCTTGATGGAAACGAAAGTGCTGACTCATGGTGGCATTTGTTGACTGCATGGTTCGAATTTCTTATTGAGGAAGTTGACATAGCAGACGTTTAGATATAATTTATATACATGTAAATATAGTTGCCAGTAACAATAAGATTGTGAGATAGTGTCATATATAGTTAGTGAGGGAAAAGCTCAAGTCAAATATCACATATAGAACTCCAGAGCGATTAATCTTAAATTGTCCGTGTAATTTTTCAGGCTTCTTTTGTACAACTACTCGTTGTTGTCCACCTGCAAGGATCGTTGCTTTGCTTGACAGTTTTGAATAAGTAAGCCTTGTTAATCAATAAATTCAAAACAAACTATATTTTAATCTTTTCTCGTTGTAGGGGAAAGCTTATATATTTGTTGCAGCTTAGCCTTACATGCTCAATTTTGTAGCTTACTGAATCCATGCAGCTATAAACTTGAAATATCAGATATCATTAGGAGTTAAATATGCGTTAATGGTGTTCATTCATAACTCCTCGTTGACTAGAAATCGAATGTTGCTTTGATCTTTTTAACATATGAACTGCAGCTGTTTGAAGAATATTTTATTTTTCAGTTGTAACTCTGCGGCTTGTGGCCTTATCGGTAAAATTTTGTGCATACGAATGCATCTTTCGATCACCCAACAAGTTCCGTATGGTGTAATGGTAGAAACTTAGAGGATCGTTTACGTACTTGGGATGTACTCTAGACTTTAGAAACCGTGAGGCGATATGATCTTTCTCGTCCAATGAACTGAAGCGTATACCCGAGTATACATCGTTAAAATATTGTTATATTGGGCTGAGAAACATTGTTTGCGGTGAACATAGTGGACTCTCATGATTTCAATTATCTGGGTGAGCGGCTTGCAATATTCACGTCTGCATGCTCTTGAGTATTCGACTTTTAAATGTTTTAAAAGTTTCTCGTGTAACAGCGATTCTGATTTCTGTGCAATGGTGAAGATAATCACAAGTATTTTAAACCTGAAGGGTGATCTATAAAGCGCTGATGAGGATTCAAGCAATTAGTGATTTTCTTAAACGTAATATTCTCTCACCACGGTTTCGTGCCGGTTTGTCGATCGACACACCATAATAACAATTAGATTCGCCGATCGCAGTGCGCTGTATAGTTGTAAAATATTATCTTTTCATTTTCAAATTGACTTGTTCAGCTGTTCTTCCGTGTATCGCTTAGATAGAGAATGGTGATTTGTGTCCTCTTTAGACAAAATCTTCAGCAAATATAAATTACGTAATGTTTCTAAAAACGCCGATCACGATGATTGCAACTTACTTTGGTAGGATTAAAACTCCTATTAGAAGAACGGGCAATAAGAGCTCGAATACTGTTCCTATCGGCCGACGAACCTACAAAGCAAATAAAAAGAGAGCGAAACAAATTGTGAGCAGATACACCATTAGTTGTACAGATTTCACCAGAGAAAGTCACTGCATCACAAACCTGCAAAATGAAGTTTTTCCACAGCAGCAAACGAAATTGTCTAAAACGATTAGCCATGGCCGAAAGAAAATGAAAAATTGACCCAAAAGTTAGGACGTCATTTCCATCGCGTATTCAGTAGACTGAGGCGGAACTGCGTTGAGGTGTTCGCTTTTTATTTATGGCCCACTTGCGCATGACTGACGTGTTTAAAATTCAAGATGGCGCTCGTAAGTACACCTGTCCTCTCAAGCGGAAAATATCACAAATAACCTGTGGTGGTGGCTTCAAAAGTACTGGGAAAATGTGTGATTTTCTTTGTTGTTAGCTAAGCATAAATTTAATTTTGCACACTGTTAAGAATAAGGACATTTTAAATATTTTATTTTCTCTTCCAAATTAATTCTAGTCCCTTTGTTCAGCAGTTTGTTTTGGTTACCGAACAGGACATGTATTGTTCCCGTTGTCAAGTGTTACATGGCCTTATCAAAGAAGTCTTCATTAGCATTTAAAATTACGATAATTATAGTTATGATTCTAGCGAGTTGAAGCGCAATGCATCAGCATTTGAATAAACGTATCTGTTCTCCATTACAGCTTACCAAATTCCTCAATAAAGTAAATCTGCTGAATTTGACGAGAAAATCAATAACGCAGCTATGTTTGAGAAGTAAAATTCAATCCCGCGTCAAATTTCTTAATCATCCTTAGGGTCTTTATGGGTTTTTTTCAACCTCTTAACAAGTCATAAGCAAATACATGTGTTTACCTACGTAGTTTTTAGTGACTACTTATAAAAAAATAGGTTCAGAAAATCCACTTCCCACAAAGATTAGAATCGTCTTTTTTTTGTGCGAGAGCTTCCCGCTTGCACCTTTTGGACAACACAGGTTGAAAAATATATAGATATACATATATTTTGCAAACTTTCATAAACAAATATACTGAATGAATAATATCCAGTCCAGAGTCAATAAAAAAAAACTTTATTTTTAATGTGTGATATTTTTACGCGTACAGAACTCTTCTTATGGAATGACTCACCAGAGTGATATAACAGACAAAAAAAAAGCGATCTGTAGCAAATATTCGTGAAAATATATTTACGAGTTTTTGTCTTAAAAATATATTTGAGCATCATTGTTATGTTGTTACAAAAGTATAATTTGCGGTGTTGCTTTTGACAAAATTATTTCAATTTTTAGAAATATTTTTAATTCAGATAAACATCGCTTTTGTGTGCAGGGTTTTTAGTAGTCACGATAGATGCATTCAAAGAAATAATTTTACAGTCATCAGAACCGTTCGATCGGATCAGTCAAGATTTCATGTTGAATTTCAAATTATTCTATGTTCAGTCATTTTCAAATTTTCCTGTAGTAGTAATTATAGAATAAGCGCCGCCCTTCATTTGGAATATTTCATAAAAAGTGAGTTTAAAGTTGGCAACAAGAACACTTTAACTGCGTAAAAAACCGAAACGCAAAAAGAACAGTTGTAAGCTAGGGTTATCATTAATACAAATACAACTTCCTCCACATATTCGATTTTTTTTTTCTCAAACAGTCCGAGCAAATTTGTGCAATCAAAAATAAAAAAAAAAACTGTCAAATATTGCAGTGCCAACTTGTTGTGGCTTTTTGGCAAAACTATTGAACGTTTATCTGAGCGGTAGTTTTATTTTGAAACACCAGCAGAATTGCGTGTCTTAACTATGTAGACTGAATCAGCTTATACTGATATGGTTATCAGTCATTTCGTATACCCACGGACGTTTCGTACCTAGTCGATTTGTACTAAGCTCAGACTATATTCAAACCCATTTTATAACATAGCTAGTAAATTTGTCTAATCAAATTCAATTGCGCGAGCGTGCTTCGTATTCCTATTGTGTACGCTCATGACGTCAGCAAACAAACCCCTCGAGAAAAAGATTTTCCATCGAGTTGAAAATGTTATAAAACAATTGGTTCATACGTCAGCTGTGTATTCATCGAGATATGAAGCACGCGGGAAGTTTGGAGAGCACGAAAGATGCGTAAGAGTTGCTCGAGGCGTAGCCGAGAGCAACTCTAGCTTCTTGAGTAATTAATAATTATCCTTACTGTTTGCTATATAGTTCTAATGTTGTTGGTTTAGAGAATTTAGTACTGAATCAACTAACAGTTCCCTAATTGATATTTTTTCGTCTTTCTCATTATCTATTTGCATCACGCTGTTTTAGTATTGTAAGGAGAAATTCTCTTTTGGCCACTCATTGGAGTTACAGTTGTAAATAACAATGTAGTCTGAGTTAAATAAGTTTTGTTTATGTGGCGTCCAATTTAATGCGCGACCACCGAACTTAATGCCGATAACTCGGAAAATACGTGGTCTGATGTTGCTGTTGTTAAGAAGATCACTCGTATCTACGGCAGAGTTTAACGTTTATCTTACACGCGTGACTCTTTATTAACTTGTTGTAGGCAACCATCGCCGCGATATGCTCACGCGCTCAAGCGTGAGGTATTTTGTGAGATCTCCTAACGGTTTGATCGTCACTGAATGTTAGGTCTTGTATGAATCGACCTGCAGGTTGGATACGAACCGAATCAAACTGGGTGCGAATCGTCTGAATTTGGTTACAAATCCACTAGTAATTTAAAATCGTCCGTGAGGACGAAACTACGTGATACCATTGATATTTATTTCTATCACATTAGTTACGCAACATACCGTCATCACATGATGATCGCGTGGGCAGTCAGGTGATTCCAACTCGTTTTCGTTTCTTTATATGAATACTGACGTTATGGTACCAGGACTGGAAAATATATCATTAATCTTTAACAAACAAAATTTCTCTTAGAGGTTCCGCCAACGTTCCTTTAGAAGCAACATAAGCGTTCTATCGAGCTCTTATCTCTGAATAGCTCCCATCCATATTCTCGTACCTAGACTTTCACGGCTATTTGAGTTACAGTTACCGATTGGATCTGGGTATGAGATTATCCCATCCCCAATAGACCCAAACAGCCTACCTTCCCTAACAAACCCCTGAGGCGCTAGTCAGAGTGGTTGCATTGTTTTAAGGAGATACTTACCTTCTCAATTACTTTTTCCCCTCTACAAAAACGGCTGCGTTGGTTAACAGGCATCTTGAATATTTTTTCCTAAAGAGGATTTGTCTCATTGGAACAGGTATGCTGCCTAGCTGTCCGATCTTTCAGCAAAGGAAAAACCTTAAATAGAGAGCTCGGCCTAAAATATATTCTTATAAAAGAAAGTTCCTATGCTGGAAAACTTATACATCATAACTTTGTCAGGGTATGCAAAATATGAACGACAAGGAAGGCGGGGGGAGGGGCTGAGAGAGGGGTAAGTTTTGCTGAGGTCTGCCCCAGTCTCGTACCCAGAACGTTCACGTCGAGGCGATCCTATATTTCAGTTACAGCTGCACGATAGAATATGGGTACGAAATTAGGTCTCCATTCACATCCCAACCCTGTTCAAAGTCCTATGCGAAGAAGAGGGAGCATGAAAAAGGGAAAGGTAAGAGAATAATGAACTTGATATTCTCTTAGGAGAGGTTAGTATTTTTTTTTCCAAGATGGAGATGCAGGGTCACGCAAGCCAGAAAAAAATATTTCACATTTCCCTCCTCGCAACTAATAACAGCTGTTATAATGGTGTTAATTCATTACTCATTTTATTCCAACCAGACTTTTTCAATACATTCCTCGCATGTACACATAAAAATATCATTGTTGAATGCTATTTACGAGTTTATGGAAAAATATACATATCTATAAAATTTGGATCATTTTGTAAGTTCTTCCCGCGTCAGCGAGACCGACGGCATAATTGAGTATTGAACTTCCACAGAAAAGATTTTGTACACCAATATGGCCGACGTGTATTGTTCAGGTACACCAATGTGGTGAAATTGACGTCATGCGCCCATGACTAAGGAGAACCTTAGTTTAGAGTATGACGTCACCTGAATGGCATTAAGAACCTCTGGTCAAAGTGGAACGAGTAGAGGTATATTGCAATGTTCTCTGTTGGTTGACTTTTTACAAAATTACATCTCTTTATGTACACATGTTTGTGCTTTCGTGAAGCTTTCACGAACACTATGGTTTTATACTTTTATTTTCAATTTGTATCGCATTAAGCAACAACTTCGCCATTCTTCATGCTTTTTAGGAGTTTCAAAATCATCTTTACGTCGCTGCTAAGAGATTCCACCTCTTTATTTAGATTCAAAACCTGTTTATCTAGTTTTTTAACTGTCTGTTTCGTGTCCGCGAGATCTGTTTGGGTATCTGTTTCAGATGAGCTCAAAATCAACTCCAATTTTTCTATGGCTTCTTTGGTGCTGCAAACGTCTTTAAAAATTTCCTCTAGGTTTCTTGTATGTGTATCCTGGGTCTCCATGCTGTTTTCATCTATCTGTAGCTCCTCTTCGGAAAATCTGTGCTCTGCAATTCCTTCTAGCACAGGAGTTCTTAGACTTAAGTGCGGTTCTGAGAAGCTGGATCGCATAGGCCGAAATAGTTGCCCCTGCTCATCGCTCTCCGGGATCTCTTCCTTTTCGATGCACTCGGTAGAATAAGCCCCAGAGAGACTGGGTCGGTGATTAGTGTTTGAATAGGACGAGATCGAGAACCTTCGTTCGAAGTCGTCATCAATCTCTTTAACGGAATTGCATTCAATTGATGAGTCATCAATTTTCTGGGAAGGATCGCTTTCGAGTTCTCTTTTGGTCATCGATGCTTGAGAGGATAATGTTGATCTAGACATGGGCAAATTTTCCCTCAAAAGACGATCGTTATCTCTGCCACTAAGGCGTCTGAGTTGTTTCTCGGCGATCAGATTTCCAGCGTCTCCGAAGAAGTCCTTTCCTCTATCTTCAGAATTATCTGTGTCAAAATGGTCACTTTTCCTTTCTTCACAGCCATCTTTTTCACTGTTTGGGCTCAATTGTCGATTCTCACATGTCGTGTCATGCGCATGCGGGGCCTCACAATCACACGTGATCGCAGACTCCCGCACAGGTGGTACAAAGTCCTTATAAGGGCTGCTTACGTTTGTAACAAGCGGTGCAAATATCGCAGGGGGTTTAATAGCCCCGGAAACTTTCCTCCTCCTCCCTGGTGGTGCTGGTTTCTCATTAAGAGAACTGTTGGAATTGGTTGGCGAATAGAATTCAGTTAAAGTGCGCCTTAAGCCCCCATTTCGACCGCGCTTTGGGCGAGAAGCCGTTTGTCCGTCTTTAAGGCTTCCGCCATAAGGACTTGGTGCCCTAAAACCAGAAACAACACTCATTAGCTTATTTCGCGGACTATTTTGTGTTTCAAATCCACGCGACTGGATAGAATTCCTTGAACTTTCAGCAGAATTTTGACGGCTCGCTCGAGCGCCTTCACAGTAAGGAGAGAATGAAAATCCCCTTGGTTCTCCATATGGACTGTTAGGACCATCCGTGAAGCTCCCTCTGAATGGGAGCTCAGAGAGGCCACTTCTACAACTTCCGCGCACACTCTCCACAGGTGAAGTAATCGTACTTTGACCAGAATTCCTGTGTCGGTTGCTGAAAGTTGGTGACGAAATATAACGAGGAGGTCTGGTTATACTAGACGAGGTATCCAAATCAGAGAAACAGTTACCATCAACATCGTCGTATGAGCCTCCCACAGTGTCTCCAATACCATTGTCAAATAAACCTATCGGAGTGTCTGTATTGTGGAGATCACTAGAACTGTCGAAAACATCATCATATAAACTCTTCCTTATGTCACCAATACTGTCATTTAACCTGCACAGATTGTCTTCTGCCATAGTTATTCTTCTTGGATAGCAATCGTTGTCGTCCTCTTCGGTTATTCTTTTCGGATAATAATTACTAGTGTCTTCGTCCTTTTCAGCAGCTTTTTGATCTCCGTTTGCGAACAGTGAGGAAGCATCGATCCCCTCGCAGCCCAATGAAAGATGCGTGGAAAAGTCTTGGCTGAATCTTCTTGACAACACAGGGGAATCACTCGCATGTGAATTTGCGTCGATGGATTCATCTTCAGAGAACGAGTGTCGTAAAAGAAGTTTGTCACGTTCATCATTTTCTTCTTCTTCATCAATTTCTCCCATTAAACTCGCCGAACTTTTTGTCTCCACTTTCGTCATTTCGAGACACTGGCCTCCATCCTTTTCACTATTCGGTGAATTTGCTTCATTTTTTAATGAGAAATTCTCTTGATCCCACTCAAGACTTCGATCGGTAAACGGTTCACTCGAAGATTTCTCTTCAGGAGAAAAGTCCAATGCATTATTATTTATTGAGCCAGCATTCACTTCCACAGCGAGCTGACGCACAAGGGATCGCGGAGATTGAGGTCTTGATGTTTCGTCTTCAGGAGATGAGATACATAACGGTCGTTTATCGACGTGATTCGATCGGTTTCTCAATTCCGATGAGTTGTTTTTCATTAGTCCAGTCCATGATTCTGAAAGCTTTAAGTGGTTAGGTTTTCTATACAGATTCAACGTGTTTCCAGGCCTTCTGTTGAACCGAGTTGCGTTGCTATAGGAATTTTTTGAATGATTGGTGTGGTTCACATGATTAAACACGCCATCAAGTGCGTTAGTCTCCGTTTCTTCATCGTCTTCTTCTTCGTCTTCTGAAATCGAGTCCAGGCCTCCCCTTCGCCAAATATCGCGCTGTACACAAAAAACAAGAAATTGCATCATTGTTAGATCGATGGGGATCAAAAATCAGAAATATCTGTGTCGCACTCAAACATTGACTTGTACAACAGTGTTGAAAAACGAACCGCAAGAACTTTCAGCATGGCGTGCAACAATTCGTTTGGATTGGCCGGTGCTATCAAGTCTCCGAAAAATAAATGAACGGTTATTATCTCTCTTCTGTGGGGGATAGGGGAGAGGGGCGCACGGAGGGTTTGGTTGTCTCACAATAATATTTACCTGCTTCCTTCATAAGTCTCTGCATTTTTCATAATATGATTCCCCTATTACCAATCCTTTTTCTGATCTCCACTCCGTTACCCCGGAGAACCACGTTATCCTCCTCAAAAAATCCTCCGAGACACCGGCAACAAAGATTGATGGGTTCTTAAGAATCATTTTCGAGCAAAAGGTCAGGGACATTTTGCATTATAAGTACAATATTTCTAACGCTCAAACCGCTTCACACCTCATTTAGATTGCTCTTAGATTGAGTGTCGTAAAATCAATACCAAAGTAATTACAACGGCCAATCAGAAGAAAGGAAAATATTCTGAAAAGCCAATGAGAACTCGAGAACTCGAGTTAAAAACAAGCAAGCTGCTAAAAGGGCGGGAAAACGTAGGCAATTGGTGTTAGATTTGCGTCTGATTGGTTGAGAGAGTGGTGCGAATTTTCTGGACCAATCACAGAGCAAGGTAAAGCAAAACCAAAGCAATCCCGGATTACTTTTGACGCTTAATAGAAAATTGTTCTAAAACCAAAACCAAAGCCGTCACAGCATTCAATCAGAACGAGTGATACAGTTACAAGGAGCCAATCAAAACTTATTTTAAAATCAAGCAAACAAAACTGCGTGCAATCAACTCACGTTTGGTTTTAGAACGACACATTTTGTTCAACCATTACCTCACTTGCTCCCAGGTCGTACGTGAGCTCAAGATTCTCGGAGAACTTAAAAGCAAAGTCTTGATAAAAATGCAAAACATTCTGCAAGCGATCACGTGTGATGAAGTACACGTCACAATAAGTCAGGGCCCTGACATCACCATTAGCTCTCTTTGCGGGAGTTCTCCGTGAAATGTCTTCGCCAAAAAGATCTCCTTTTCCTAAATGACGAAAACACATTGGTTAGAGGATTATAGCTGTGCAGAGTTGGTTTTGCTTATTTTTTTTTTTTGGGTATGCCTTTGGCTAACAAAGTTCTTAACCATTTGCTAATCGAAATTTAACAACGTTTTCGTGTATTTGCTAGCAGCACTTACAAAGCATTGTAACACTTACCAAGAATGGCTGCCACAGATTCCCCTTGTAACACCTCCATTGACCCATTAGCGATGTAATAAATGGAGTTGATGACATCATTTTGAGCCAAAAGCACCTCGCCTGGCCCAATATAAACCGTGCGGACCTGGGGCGAGAGCATTTTAAGACAGCCGCGTGGGGCCAGGTTAAAGGGGCTGAGCTCCAATAGGCCTTTGTACAAATGCATGCACACGTCTGACTGGAGTTCCTCCGGAAACGTGGTGAGAATCTGAGAAGAATCAGCAGAAAACTCTCAAGGTTAACTTTGTTTTTTCATCAAAAATAGATATTGATTTCAAACCCAGCTAAAAGATATACAAGCACGAAAGCAGGGGTATCAGACAAAAAAGTAACACTTTAAAAGTAGGTCCTTTAGAGTCTGAAATGGTTGGCGTATTCCAGACGTCCAGCAGTAAAACGGTGCAAAATCCGAGCGAAAAACGAGAGGTTTGGACCCACATTGTGCTTCGTTTTACTAATTATTTTTCTAAAACAGGCTACAAATTGTGAGCTATGCTCTTAATCGTATGAAGATATAAGACATGCAAGCGACTTTAAAATCCTTGTAATCATCACCGCGATAGTGGATTAGTTGCATAGTTTTTAGAAGCAACGTTCATAAAATTGGCTTTGCTACGCATTTGTACGGTTTCCGCAATCTGAATTTCAAGAACAAAAACATTTTATTCAATTATGAGAATAAAATTATGATGTGACACTATGACTGCTCTAGGTTTTTGAACATTCTTTACATACCTCGCTGGTGTCGACACCTCCAGAAAGAGACCATGTAGTGTGGAAATAATCTTCAAGCCTATTAGCTAAATCTTGATCAATTCTGTGTACTCTGATAAACTGTTTGATTTCGTTCGCGCGGGAATGGTAGCGAACTCGGTTGGCGTATAACTTTTGAATGATAGCGGCTACATTTCCAAATATAGCGGCATGCATCAATGCTGTAAAGAGATTTAAAGAAGTCATTGTTTATTTATGAGTAATCACAGCTGAAGGTTTATAGTTCTGCGCTGTGCAGAGGGACAATCATTCTCAACGCAATTTAAAGAGATGTATTGTGGTTGTGTGTCTTATGCGAGGTCTCTAAGTTCACTAGTTTTAAGTTTATTGATTTTATTCTATTTTAAACCCCATCCAATTTGTTCAAACGATAAATCGTTCGCTTTTAGAACTTGAATGCAGTTTTCTGACGGGAAAGCAACATCGGCTTCTCGCGTTGTTAGTAATAACATGCACGCAACATTTCAGCTTGCCTATTGGCTTTGAGCATATCAATGCATTACAAACAGTGCAGAAATTTACAAATTGAATGCAAAAAATTGAAAATCAACTGCGTGTTACTTACAAGCGGTCTAACTTTTTCAAAGGTAATAAACTTCGCTCGCCTTACAAACTTGTGCGATACTTTAGCCTTTGAAAAAAGGTAGACCTTCTCGTGCGGTACGTTTTCATCCCAAAATGCTTGAAATAGTTTGATCATGGTTACCTACACTAATAGATAGTGAATTAACCATTTCCTATTTTGCAGGCAGCGAGTGCTTACGGCAGTCGCATATTCCCAAGGCTACGAGCAGTCGCGCGAGTTAAAAAAAAATCAGTGAAAAAAATTGATGTTAGCACGCCGCGAGGAGCTCTTGGAGTGACTTTGATGTGGAGTGACTTTGATGCGCCGCAGGAGCTCCAGCCGCCCTCATGGGCTCCCGCGGCGCATCGACGCCACTCCAGGAGTTCCTCGAGAGCTTTCCGCGGCGCGCTAACATCATTTTTTTTTAATCGTGCGACGGACTTCGCCGAAATGGAAGGACTGCTTGTATTCTACAAATTCCCGTGTCTTGGTTAGTAAGGACGAGGGAAAGGTGGATGAGTAAAGAAAACTAACGAGGGGACTGGGATCCGTACTCCTTATTTCCAGTGCTTATCATTCCTCAAGCTTGCCTCGTTTTCATGGCTATACTCGGTTGCCGCAATTACAAAACTCTTATGAAGTAGAACAATATTAAAAATATTAAAACGAACCTCCAATCAGCATTGTAACAACAGCAAACACTTTTTCGCCATTCGTGTTTGCTGCCACGTTACCAAATCCTACCGTTGTCATACTGGTCAGCGTAAAATACAAAGCGGTGATGTAAGCGGACCCTTCGTCGGGTCCAGTCTCTGCCGTAAAGTTCACGTACGGTTTGTTGATTGTCTCGCCAAGCGCATACAGCCAACTTACTGTTGAATTTTCTAAGACTTCAGATAGACCAATCACATACCAGATACAGGCAAGCCAATGAGCCATCATCGCAAATGCTATCATTAGAAGAGTCAGTAGTATGGCACTGTATTCAGTGTAGCGGTGAAGCTTACGCACCACGCGAAAGAGTCGGAGAAGGCGCCCGCATTTAAGAAGTTGAATAAGAAAACCCTGTTGATTAAGAAAAAGTGTCTGTTAGTTTACAGAAAGCAACTGACTTCATCCATGTTTAGAAATGTTTCACCCTGATGGACTAAATTTTAAACCTTTTCGCTTACCAGTTAATTTCGTTACCTTTAAAATTGCATTTTATTGTAACGAATTTAAGAAAATAAACGACACTTTTTAAACATATGTTTCGACAGTTCTTCGGTCATCTCAAGTTCTGATTTTTAAAAAGTACAGAATCGAGTTCAAAGTGTATAACAAAATGCTGATTGGACAAAACAAACAACAGTAGCAGTAAATTAACATGATATGGTCGATGAGTAAGTGTGGGTTTCTCCCATTGAATATGGATAACTTCTTTGATTTTAAGTTGGAAAGTTGTGGAAGCGTGATCTAAGATACTAAAACACTCATCAGAACATAGAGTGTGACATTGTGAAGAATTGTGTAAATGTTTAAAAATGAGAGAGGTCCTATCACTGACCAAGTGCTCACGCACATGTGTGGATAAATACCGGAAGGTCTCGCCAATTTTGTTGGGTTAGGGGAGGGATAGGTGCGTAGTTGCTTACATAAGGACATTGACACGAATTATTTGATGTGAGATCCTTATCGATTGATATTTGAGTTATTCAAATTTTAAAGCTTGTTTTAAAGTCAAAGATGAGGAAGGTGAAATGATATGTCTCAAGTTGTTTTTCAAAGGGGAGGCGACCAACACGGGCATGATGGGGCAGCAATGTATAATGGGTAGAGGAGAAGGTGATTTTCCTTCTTTTTTTCCCGTCACCCCTATCTACCCCTCTTCATTGCCGCGCGCATTTTGGTGACGACTGGGAACGAGTCAGCCAAAAGAGTATTATTAGGTTACAATAAAAAGTAATCAAAATCTGCGTTTAGTCAGAAAAAGTAGAAAAAATATCAGAATATCAGATATACATAATAAAATAAGGTCAATAAAGGTGCCTTAATGTGACGCGAAAACAGAAATTTAAGTGAGACTTTCAGACTAGAGATGAAATGTACATAGTCTAAATGTATCTGCGAGGTACCTCATTGAATGAAGAGCCTTTTCTATCAAATGTTGAATGAGCCTAGATAACGAAAAGAGAGAAAAGAATATAAGGAAAGAAACAGCCAAATGATACGACGTACTAATTCATTAGAGCGGACCATTAGTGGATAATAGCGATGATGACCAGTAGCATAATTTCTTGGAATTTAAAATAAAACTTTATTCATTAAAGATGAAGAGAGCACGATTACAATTTCCGTTGTTATGTTTCTAGTATTATAAGTTAGTTAAATGCAATTGTAATGATTTTAAAGCTTTGTTAGCATGATTCTAGATCTGGAAAGTTAAGTTAGAAATAACTATTTCAAGCCAAGTTGTAAGCAAGCTGCATTTACACGGAACAGCGGTTAAAGTTAGTTTTGCATGGTTAGTATATGGTATTGTTCGACCTTTGCTGAAAGCCGCACGTCAGTGGACTCTGTTTAAAAGCACTTAATGTGATACCTGTAGCTGTTGTTTGCTATCATCACGCGCGCGCTGTATCGTTCACGCAACGTGATCTCTCCTTTACCAACAGCTACTTAAACTGGAAGCACTTTCCTTTTTTTTTCGGGGAGAGGTTAATAATAAGTTATTACTTCAATAGAAAATTGCGCTTCAATAGCGCGTTGCGTGCGAGACCGCAACAACAGTTGGCTAGGAAAGACGACAAAATTAGAAACCCTCTAGTTCAAATAATTTCTGTTTACAAGAGGGTTTATTGTGAATAAATTCCAAACTCTATCAGCTTCGATGCCTGAGTCCTGAACTCTTTTTGTTGCTTTCTGTAATATCATATACGCGTTGGTATCTGAGCGTGGTAGGAATTACCTCCACCGCACTTAATATGGATCGTTATCAAACGACATAAATGCTTTACTTACCCAAGTTTGATTGACAAAATATAAAGCCTCGAATGGCAATGCTGCCAGAAAGTCCAAAACAAACCATCCTTTAAGGTAATGAATCGCTATTTTTTTCTGGTCATATATAATCCGTCCACTTGGGTCCACGAAGGAAGTACGAAAGTGAACCACGATGTCCATAATAAAAAATAACTCTATAACCATATCAAATATAATTAGGTCCCTTTTCCGATCGTTTCTCCTGTAAGCGACGTTATAAGGGACCATGATTGCAATATAGGTTGTCAAGATGAGTATCCACCAATCCCAGAATCCTTTGGTGTTACTATAGTGTAGAAAAAGAAACTTTGATTTCTTGTCTGTCTCTCGCTTGTATTGAGGTAGTCGCTCGGAATTAAACGAAAACGACTGAAAAGAAAGAAAGAAAAATAACAAAGCAAAAAGTTAATGCATCTATACAAAGAGAACGTATGCATAGATGCATAGTTTAGTATGATGCATAGTATAGTATGATGCATGGTATAGTATGATGCATAGTACAGTATGATGTATGGTACAGTATGATGCATAGTGTAGTATGATGCATAGTGTAGTATGATGCATAGTGTAGCATGATGCATAGCATAGTATGATGCATAGCATAGTACGATGCATAGTATAGTATGATGCATAGCATAGTATGCATAGACTGTTTTCTTCAAATAGATCGATCAATGTTAGTAACCTAGATGATAGTTGGGTCTGGGAAGGGGTAAGTGAGTGTGCAGTTGCTCAGACACTTAAGAATTTAATTTTTTTTGCTGTAACGGACTCAATCGAATATACACTTTGTTACTTTTCACCCATCCCCTTACAACGTTTTGTCAGCTTTTTTTTCTCGTGCGTTTGGTGAATATTTCTGTTGTCTTTTTATTCCCATCACTTTCTTTGCTGTATCAGGGATCGGCCATTGTCTATCGCCCGCGGCAGGGGTAGAGTCGGAGATCTCATGATTTTCAGGGGAGTGGAGGGGGGATCAGCTGTCACTAACAGAATATTAGAAGGGGGACCACAGAAAAGCGAGTGTTTCTTTTAACCCATGCATCCCTCCCCTCTTCTTCCAATCCTTAGTTGGTCAATTAAATTTTCACTTCGTTTTCCGCATCAAGAATCGATCATATTTTGTCAGGCTTTTCGGTTTGTCACATTTTTGTTAGTGCAATGATTTCTCTCGTTTCCCAGCCGACACTTAGTTGTTCCTTTCCTTTGTGGTTTTACCGCAAAACTTCTCTTTTCCTCTATTTTCTTTAAACTTATATTTAGTTGCGTTTATCTTTGTAAGTTCATCTCGAATTTACAAATGTTTAACCAAGCTGGAACCCTGGAAATGTTTTACTAGCGGGGATTATTCTTTACTCACTCGCGCTCTCTTAATAGGTCTTCGTGGATTCGCTTTGTTCGCAGGACCAGTACTCTGCGCATATTGTCTCGACAAGTGAAGAAGAACATCTCTGCTGAATTTCCTGGAACGAGACCTACTCAACTTTTCAGTGCCACCCGAAACGGAAGCTAAAGAAGCAAACAAAAAAACACACAGACAAAACAAAAAATCAGTGATACTTCATTAGGTCCTAGCATCCCAGCGAATAACTTAGTTTCTGTCCCACTTTGAGAAGCCATTGTGTTTAATTGGATGTTATTGTAAGAAGTCAGTAATTTTCCAATCCAGTCCAAATCCAGTCCAATTCAATTTAAGTCCAGTCCGAATGTAAACTTCCGGGATAATGAGCGATCAGTGGAGTTTCCCCAAAACCATCATGGCGGACGAGCGTGGCGGAAGATATAGACCTTTATTTGGACTGGACGTATTATGAAAGATTCTAGAGGTCATGATCCTGGTGAATAGGTAAGTGTCATCTCTGCAGTATTTTTTGTAGCGTAGCTTAGAGGTATAAGTGTATTAATAATATCCACCGTGTCCAACCAAAACAGTTATTTGGCAAGTGGTTGAGTATATATTTTGCCAGTGTCAAATGAGGATGAGAATTATTGCAGATAATTTATGAATCATTCTCTTTCTGTACCTGTATAAGTAATTTTGCCTACGTACATGGCTTTCACTTTGAATACCAGGTCCTACCAACCTTTTTCTTACGTACATTCTTATATAGTATAACCAGGTATCAAGGGCCTCTTCGATGATCCCAAAAAAAACGGAATGGAGAGGTTAGAGAAGAAACCTTTACCCCTCTTTTAGGCTATAAATTTTCATCCTTATTATCACTCTGGATCAATATCAGTATTTTTCCTGGGAAATTTATATCCTGTTGTTCTCCACCCTCTCAACCCCTTTCCCAAGATCTCAGTAGCTCTGATATGAAAAGATAAACATTTTTACAAGGTGGAGAGGGACCAGGTTCATTTGAAGAGGCTCTTGCTCTGGTTCAACTTTCATACCCACATCCTGCTCGGGGATTTCTCCACTAATCTTCCTCTTAGTTATGTCTTTATGTGAAGCAAGAAAAAGAACCACATTGCCTTTCTCATTCTTGATTGGAACAATGTCTAATAAACACCAAAATGGGGATCCTATAAGATAATTCAAGGCATCAATACAAAATAATAAGATGTTTTACATACAAGATTGAAAAACTACAAAAAAGACAAGTTACAGTGAATTCCAAATCTTAAATTTCCAAGCAGTAACAAAACAGAAATCAGAAAAGCGAGTGTGTTGATGTTATCTGAAGAAGAATTCTTTCTTTGGTGGCCATAATAAAGAAGTTATTTCAAACTTCCTTCTTTTTCCTTAACATAGCTGAATAACAAACTGCATGTCATGCACACCCTGTGAATCAGTTATTTAACCCTTCAACACCCATGAGTCACTGAAATAGAATTTCTCCTTACAATATTTATACAAGTGACAAGAATAGAGAAAAATTGTAAATTAGGGGATTATTAGTTGATCGAATACCAAATTATCCAAACTAGCATTATAGGAACATATGTCAGACTGTAAGGAGAATTATTAATTTGACCTTCGGAGTGAAAGGTTTAAATAGTACTGTGTGTATTAAACATCCTGCATATTTTTGGGATCAAAAATTTTCTGAAGTTTATGAGAGTATAAAATAGAAAAAAATATTTTTATGAAAACATTTCTTTGTTTTGAATGTTTAAATCTGAGATCATGTTTAAACTAGACCTGGTGTTTCTTTAATTTTCATTTAAATTGATTTCGATTTAAATCTCAATTGGTAGTTTTCAACACAATTTAACATCTCACTGCCTTTTTTTTTATTTTGAATTGAGCCAATATTCTAATTGTAAAACACCTTGTTCATTTTTGAAATTCCACTTTCACCTGTAAGTTCCCAAACAGTTTGAACATTTTGGTGATGCTCTCAATAACCATTGCCCACTGTCTCTTTTCATAGTAAAAGCCTAATTTCATTTTTTTAGCTTTTCTGTCCGTTTCAAGCTCTTTCCTTTTTGTCTATTTATTTTATGAGTGAATTTATTGCCTTGTAGGTTTGCCTAAATTCCTTTTGGTTTCATGTGGCTTTTTAAATATTAGACAAATTATTGCAGGTGTGACTTAAAATTTAAATTTTTTTTAAAGGGGGTTAAATTTCATAAAATTTTTCAATTAGACGATGACTCGAGACGTTAAGAGGACCAAAAATTTTTCAAGCAACTTATTCCTTAAAAGCTATCCGTTCCAAAGTGGTTAACTGTCACGTTTTTCCTAATTTGCGCTATGTGATCTATAGTTCATTCAAAAGTTGTTTTTTTTCAGTGTAATTTTAATGAGTTTTGTAAACAACTGATAGTGTTTTTAAGTCGGCCCCAAGCTGAGTGGTAAATAAAACGGAGAACTACAAATATCTTCGACGCTGTTACTTCCCTCTTTTAATTGTGTTTTGGGATTTTAAGACGCCGAATTTTTTTGGCGTAATTAGGAGTATTGAGTTATTCCCTCCCTAATCAGACTCACTGGCGACGTTGCAATAAACTTTTGGATAAAGTGGCTTTTCATGGTGCTGAACATGAATAATGCTCCTTGATTGGTTATTACCCTAACCTAAAATACCGGAAAATATTCTTTTCAGGAAAAATTTTAGTCATCCAATGGCGCCATTGTTATTTACCGCTGAGGCGGTCCAGATAAGCGTGGAGTCGTGTAATTACGTTATTACACTGTGATGGCGTGCTGCGAATTGAATACTTGAAGGGCTTGTCAGATCTTCGTGTTTTAAAGACATAGGGGCTTATTGTAAAGTACTTGGTTAATTCATTTGTCTCTTCGTAGGCGTAGAAATTTTCAGTGGGGGTTGTTAATTGGAAACATGAGATGAACTGCAGCTGTATATGTAACGTGCGTGTCTTAAATGAAAATGGTTTAGTTCGTGAATTACGTAAGCTTTGTACATTAAAATAGCTCAAGGAGGAATAAGACAGCTTATATTTTTAAAAGAGACTGTCTAACCCTTTAAACCCTAAAAGAAACCAGCATCTAATTTCTTCTTACAGACATACAACAGAATCGTTCATGTAGATCATGGGAATAATAAAAGGAAATGATCGTCAGCCTGAGAAGCTTTGATTTTAAAAACGAATTCTCTTAGACAGTCTCACAGCTTTCCGTGTTGATAATGAAGTAGGGGACTTCGCAAACGACAGTGAATGGCAATTTACATGAGACCTGACTAGCACTTGTAAGTTAACGGTTCCCAACCTCCCCTCCGCCTTCACATGCAAATCGATAGCGTCTATTGTTGTGACCCTTGCTACAAACGTCGTCGATCTTAACCGGTTAACAGGTTCCATTCTTAAAATTTTAATTTAAGCCACGTGCTGTCGTTGATTGATTTTCTCTTGTTTGAGCTAGCTCCATTAAACGCATCTAACTTCAGTATTACCCCCAACTATTTTCTCAATCAAAGGAAAGTTAATGTGGTCGTCGGCAGAAGTCATGCAAGCGTTCAAATTAGTGTTTACTTCAATCTGACGTTTTGAACAAATTGGAAAAAACCTTTTGTTGTATTGTAAAGTTGTGGCTGCCATGAGAAAATTAAGAAACAATTTTCAGCGTCTGAGGTCGATTAGGTTTAGTGCAATCGATGACTAGAAATTTGGAATTAAAAAGAATTAAGAGGCTGCAGGCGATTTAGTATACTGTGAAAGATGTTTATCTTTGGAAAAGGACATAGTAGAATTAAGAATTGAAAGCCAGCCTCTTTTTTGTGAGAGAAAAATAAGGGGAAAAATACCTTTCGTGTTCAGGGTTGGAGATATCTGTCTGTGCCTTTAGGTTTGAACAACGTTAAATGAAAAAAAAATTGCGAAAAAGCTTTCTCTTTGCAATCAAAAATTTGAATGTACAGTTGTCGATTATCGTTGTACATTTTCTTAACAGGCGCGAGAATGAAATTTTGGGTGATGGTTTTCATCATACCCATTTTTAGCATTATTTAATTGCAAGAAATTACTGCACCTCGCCGCTTGCTTTGACCAATAAATGTTTCTTTTTCCATTCTTCTTCTGGCAATAAAAATTATTTCCAGTAGCTTAAGAATAATTAATTGGTAGGTCATTCTTTCAATATAAGTCGATTGATTGTCTGGTTTTTAATGTCAGCTAAACCCCCCCGCCGACTAACCATCTATTACTTTTGCTTTTGAGAGATTTTTGTTCTTGACCGTTAATAATTACGATATCTCCTAGCAATCAAAATATACTCATGGGCATGTGAACAGGTCGATAACGATCGCATTGTTTTAGGCACTGTGCCATACTGATTTTAAATTACTGTTGTATGAATTAGAAGAAAACCATTTCGTTCTTATTCACTGATGCAGTAATGAGAGGTTCTGTTTTGAGTTTATTACGCAATCTCACTGAAAAAGGCCGCGAAGTAAAAGAAGAAGAGAATATATCGTTAAGATGTGACGGCTGTTATAAGAAGAATGTAGAAATTCAAATTTCCTTTAAAGCTCCCACGTTGCTGCGTATCGTCGCGTCAGAACTGACAATTAAAGAGAGTAGTTGTCGTCAGTTTACACTGAATGTGCCAAGCAACCAGTACCTTATCACAAAAGTTAATTTAAATATCTTTTGATGTTATCTTGCAAATAACTTACCGGCGACATAAATGAGTGGGATGTTACAGAGAAACAACGGGAAAAAAACGTCTAGGCTTTATGAATCTTTAACGTTATACATATGCAAGCTGCCCAAAAATGGCTCCGACATTTGTTCCCTAAGGCTATTTTGATTTCTTCCTTTTTGTTTTAATGCATTGTGAATTTGTTTACAAAATGCCAGGGACAAGTTTTAAATTACGAGAGCGGAGAGAAAGTGCTGAAAATTCTGATATTTTAAAAAGTAACTACTTAATTCAACTTCCTATCTGGAACATCGCTTTTCTGGAGAGATATTCTCTGTTTTTATTTGTTCCAATTTGCGTTGCTTTTCCTCTTAGCTACTACCCCCTAACGGTTTATAAATTTGTGATGCACTCTACGGTTTTTCTGAATTAAAAACAAATAGAAATCTGTCAAATGATACTTATTTATAGGCTCATGCCTTGGTTTAGAAGTATTGCGATTGTCAGCCAGATTAGTTTTAACTAATTTCGGTATCATTCTGTTACTACGGACGGAGCTGCTAAAAGGAATTGGCACCTCATGTTTTGTTGTGCTTGCTAGCTATCATTAGGATGAAGCTTGGAAACAAAAGCTACCTTTAATTTTGCGAAAAGAATATGCTAAATACTTTCGATTCGTAAAAGATATGGAATATTTGCTTTGTCATCGTTCAAATTTGTTTTTCCTTTTATTTCATATTCGTGTTTTGGAAGCTATCATTTGTAAGGAAGCAAAAAGGAAATTTCTACTAAATTTCGCTCTGAATCAGAAGAATGATTTGATTTTGGGGTCTTTCGTATAAACGGTCTTTTATCTTTCGATTTATCACTGTAAATAGAGGAGAAATTGGAAAATATTCACTTTGAAACATGAAAATCCCTTTACTTCGGCTTCTTTTACAACAGTTTCTTCCGCTCACTGCACAACAAAGTTTTTCAATTTTTTTTAGTCTTGTAGGCGGTGTTACGCTCAATTCCAGGATAAAGTCACAAGTTTCATACCTTCCTGATTCGTGAAAAGTCCAAAAATTCAAAATGTGGATGATATCTTTCTCCTCAGTAAAAAAAGGAAAAAGGAAATTTCGCTAAAAGAAGTGTTTTCATACATCCGCTTTGAATCAGAAGAATAATTTGATTATGGGATCTTTCATATACACGGTCTTCTACCTTTCTTTCGCTGGAGCTATCACTCGAATAGAGGACGAATTGGAAAATGTTCACTTTTAATCATGAAAATCCCCTTACTTCGGCTTCGTTTACGAAAGTTTACTCTTCAGTGAATAGTAAAAAGACTTATCTCTGGGAAAATGCCAGAGTAATCGCTTACTTTTAATTGCTTACCCCACAGGGTCGTAAGAAGCTATACCCATTTCATTTTCATTATCACAACAGAAATCTTTCCTTCTCTTTGCATGGCGCTGTAAATTACTTGAGTCTGGACAAACACGGGTATTAACACCAAAAGAAAAATATAACCACCGCACGTATTTTTTGCAATTACAGTTTGAAATGTTCTCACCGCAAAGCGCGACAACTGTCGTCTGGTGCAAATTGGAGAATGTACTCGCTTTTAGCCGACGCGTTTCCGATACTAGAACGAATTGCTTCCGCGCACTAATGAAAAAGGCGAAACGGAATACTCGAATAAATTACCATTACAGAAATAATAATAATACGAATGATAAAACAGAGCTCTGCGTTGTTGTGTTGTGGCTGACGACTGAGTGCAAAGCACGTTGTATAATGATACAGCTATTTTTCATTATTAACGGCTTTTAACAGAGAGTTTTAAGTGGTCGCAATATAATGTAAGCGGCTTATATGATGTCGTTCGTTGAAAAGGAATCATAGCAGTAATTACATCGGTGGGGAGAAGACAAAGGAGTCAGATTTATTTCAGCTCTTCAATTGTTTGTATAAGACTCATACTAAGCGTAGCGATTTCCTATTCACAAAGTGATAATTTTCGCTGAAATATTGCGCTTCTCGGCCAAAAAAATCAAGAAGGCTTTTTTTTTTTTTACGTTGAGAATATTCGTGACATGAAAATAAATTCAAGAAAACCTGTAAATTCTTTTTTTACAGACGGATGTTGAAATACCTTACAAGCTAACAATTGCGTTTGGGAAACCGCGCTTTGTTCAGATATTTGCACAAAATGTCAGTATGAAATGAGTCTCCGAAATAAGTTTCTCGTACAGCCCATTCGCAGTTTTCAAAAGATTTGCCTTCTCTTTATTTTTCGCGGAAGTGTGTGTATATTTTAGGTAAAGTGGCTGTCCCTTTTTTATTGCAATTCGCACTTAAACGCCAGCTCTATCGTGTTATTGAAATAAGCATAAAGGCTGTAGGGAAAACAATTCAAATTAATTAAAATTTTTTCAGGAAGAATTAAAAAGAACCGAATAGGTTTAGTGACGTCGAGACTATTTTTGCGATCGCTGGCGTTTCTTGTTAATGACGAAGTGTCATTTTTGATATGCCTGTTGTAAAACCTAAGCTTGTGGAGGGCGTTTCTTTGCTAGATCTGTTGACTAAACGCAGCAAAATCATTTCGTTGTTTGCTTTAGGTTTCCTTGCTAACAAGCGACCTTTTTTACATCTACATCACTCATGGATCTCTCGTTCGCGGTCGGCAGATACAATTAAATCTTCACCATAAGTGATGTATTTCCCGTTTGATTAGCAAACTTAGATACTACAATGTAACAATCAGTCTACATAATGCAACGAAACAAAATGGATTTACCAGCGACTTTCGTCAAGGAAAATTAAACTCAAAATACTTTTTATTTAAAACTTAGCGTGTACAATTTGTACAATTCAGCTTATTGTCAAATTTTTTTGGTTCTGGTATCCGTTCAATATTTCCTTTTGGGTAATGTATTGGATATCTGATTATTCCTGAGGTTTTTTTTTACATGGAGTGCTCTCGGTATTCATAAAGCAATAAATGCGTTGTCGGTTCCTTAGTGTAACTAACCAGGCCGAACCAAAGACCAACCCTTGATAAACAATTAGAAAACAAATTCCCCTAAAATACAAAAGTAGTCAGAGGGAATCATTACTGATTTGAACGAATGGACTTAATGTCAAATCCACATTTACTTGCACAGCTCGTGTTGGCAACGAAAAGCGTAACATGCACGAACAGATTGTTATGGAAAAAATTATATGGAAAAAGAAACAAAAAAAAAACAGTTTTCTTTTAGACATCAACGCGCTAAACGTTTTACAAACATTTTCATTGTAGGTGAGCCAGTCTGAATTTTTTTCTCGACGTGCGTAATGTTGTCCAAAATATATTCGTTCTTCATTAGGAAGAAACGCACACAAATTTGGTTCAATTTACTTGTTTGCGAAGCCTGAACTTTGTTCGCATCTTTACTCGTTGTTTTCTATCAGATGTTCGACATCGTCCGGGAAATAAGCATCGTATCGCCCCTTTGACGGTTTCACTTTACGATATCTGACGAAGAACTTATTCCCCGCTCGTGAGTAACATCTATCGTCATTGATCGATTGAAAATTAAAAAGAAAGCCCTCGGTTTAAGTGGTGGCTTGTATCTCTTTACGTCAAACTTGCTGGTATTGCCTCGGAAATAAATCTCGTATTTCGTTACAACGGGTTATCTCGACGTCTTCGCGGGGAGTTACGTTAGAGTCTAACATCATCCGTCGATTTCTAACCAAAGGTTGTTGGTTGAAGTGGTGAATAACCATCAGATCCCTTTTGTTCGTGCGATATTGACACAGGACTTCAGAAACCAAACAGCCCGTCATGTCTCTGGACATGTTATGATATGATACGTTATGGGTCGCGCTTCTAAGATCAGTGCAGAATCGTTATCCGTGTTGAAAATTGTCACTTTTTTTAGAAGAACACATGGTGAAAAGATAAAGAAATTTTGGCGTGCCCGTACAAAAATGAAATCTGGCTGATATCTGTTCGTGACTTTTCCGTGAGCGCTGAATTGAGTTCGCTTCAGCTCGATCTCAAGGGTTTTGTATTCCGTTTGAACAAATCAACGTGTTGCGGGAAAATGTGCTGCGCTGTTAGGCTGATACTCAGAGACTGCTGTGCAATTGTTTTGCAAAGTCTGCCTCTGACCTTGAGTTGACAAATCATGTTTTGGATTTCACTTGAATGAATGTTTTTTTCCGTCGAAATAAAACTCGAGGCTTTTAGCTGTTCGTTGACGCGTCATCTCAGAAAATTGAGTTATTTTTTTTAGTGCTTTAATTTTCGACCGAAGCAAGGAACATGTGTTGAACGAAATTGTTATCACAATTGAGTCAATGGTAAAGGTGTTTTGATTTCGGTAGAGTTACAAGAAATGCGAGTTATTTCCCTTGACGTATTAAACGCCATTGTGTTACAGCCGTTCTCAAAAATGCTTTGAATATGTTCATCATAGTTTCGCTAAAGTGTATTGTTCGACAGGGGAAATGATCTGAAATTTATGACCTTTCTGTGGGTTTTTGCTAATCGATAATTGGAAATCTGTAAAGAAGCGAAATAAAAATGAACACAGGAACATTTCCATACATGTAAATTGTAAACCGATATATTACATCATTTTCAGATTTTTCTTGGACAATCATTATAGTTACTTGGTAAAGGTTTTTTTCTTGCCAAGAATTATAATCTTTTATAGGAAATTTATGAATTTACGGTGAATTGGGGATGATCCTTTGTTGCATATGTTTAATTTTACCAAGAATATTCCTCTGGTCAGCGAAATTCAAAACAGAAGGTTAGGTTTATTTTTTATGTTAATGACCTTGTGTTTGGTGCTCAGTTGAAGGAAGAATTTTAGAACTGTGTTTGTCGTTTGACCACATATTTCGTGCGTTTTATGGAACTGAACGGTCCTCGGAGGACGACAAAGAGATTTGCATTCAAACATGCCTGTAACAGATTAAGCTTTATCTCGCCAGTTAGAGTTTTTGGCGATGAAATCGTCAGTTCGAATAATGTGCTTATAACTCCTTATGTAAATTTTTTCTAAGTTGTTTTTTGTTGTTTGAAGGTATTATAGCCATTGAATGCCCAGACTTAATTGCAACTTCCGATAGAAAGAGTCAGAAGAAAAATACGTTTTCTGCGTGAGCCCGTCCAAGAAGATAAATGAAAGAAAGTGAAAGTTTAACTCGTCAGTGAGTAAAATAGTGTCGCCGAGCATTGTCCACAAATATTACCGCGCGATTCTTTTTTCATTAAACTAAGTGCCTTAGTCTAACAACGCCTCAGTGTTACGTCGAATGCTGCCAGAATAGTTGACGTAAGATTATTATGAACCGATAATAAAAGTAAGAAAAATACGCTCACCGTTCTTTTTGTAGAACATAATCTCCTTCTTCAGTTCCACTTGCGCCTTAAAGGCTTTTTGTATGCTCGTTATGTCGTCCTGGTTTGTCTCCAAGCCGTATAAAAAATTACAACCACAACTTCGCCTCATGAGTTCGCTTCGCGAAAAGCCCGTGAGTTCACAGAAGCCATCACTGCAATACACTATAGGGTAGTTGTTCTTTTCTTGCGCACCACCGAGGACAAAGTTACTATCTAAGGACACGCAGGAAATACCAAGTGTTATTACTAATAATCGGTCAGGCAATAAGCACCAGTTATAAAACTGATGCGACCGGACTAAATTTAATGCATTTCTAAGTTGTCGTTAAATTGTAGCTGCAACGCTGGCTTTTGGCTGAATGACAATATAGCGTACTGCTAAACAATAACAGAATGGTACATTATTTAGTCACTCACTGCCTCGGTCGAATTTCTGTGCGATCGTCTCTAGAAAAGTGTTCTGTGGGGCAAAACGTCCGCGGCGAATCGGCATGCTCTCTCTACGTGGGATTCGTTCGAAGCTGATTCTTACAGGATGTTCGTCGTTAAGAGTAAGCCTCCGTCGAGAAACTCAGTAATTCCTGTAGAGCTGGCATATTTTGAGTGGATTTAAGATACATTATATTTATGCCTCGAGTAAATACTGTTCGGTAGGCGGGAGAAGTTGACCCTATAAACAAACATCGACCAATTCGCTGCCTCTTCTGCGATGGCTAGTCCAATTTAGCGCCACGGGTAGCTTTTCACTCCAGAGAATCTCTGGCATCGTATCTGCTTGAATGTTACGAGCAAAAATACTGTTTGATAAGGCGCCTGGCTGAAATAAAATCAAATTTGGTAGTAATTGCCTTGGTAAGCCAATCAGGCTCGAGAAACTTAGTCCGGTTGTCAATCAAGCTTCGCCGATCGAACACCTGCCTACTACATGGACATTTAGCTGCGGTAGTCTTGTGTAAGACGCTATCAGGGAGTATACAGCAGAAACAAAAGACTCTCGTAACTTTCCTTGAAACAAGTGACGCTATTTATAAACTACTAATAGGTCTCCTGCCGTTGTAGACAGTTTTAACTAGATCTCTTTGCGGTTGTTGCTCAACAGACACTTTTGCCCGCTGGCTTTATGTCTTCATGTTTTGAACCTAAGAATAGAGAGGATGGTCGTGTTTTTTCACTTAATAACTTATGTTTTCAGTTGAAATTACCATTAATTGATCTCACTTGGACGTCTTTTTGGTGTATATGCATTAAAATAGAGATTTTAGAAACACACACAAAAAAAACATGTTTTGAACGAATTTCAAATTATGCAAAGTGTGAACATCGATCTGATATTCCAAAAACTTGCTAATTGAAAACTATTACTGGCGCTGATGAAATTTCAATGTATCCAGGTCTTTCTGGTACTCGATAATTCCACGCCAAATTTTCACCTCAAGTAGTTAAAAGTGATGTTTTGATCTTTACGTGGGACCGCGGAGAATCATAATCGGCATACTGGTAACACTCGGTTGTAACTTAAATGACTACGAGCATGGAGAATCATGTACACCACGGTGATCTTTCATCTGGAATATAGCAAGATAAACAGACCAATGCCTGTATTTTTACAAATACTTGCGAGAGCACGTCGCTTAAAGTTTCCATGATGTCCTATTTTTAGTGCAGCCCCTGTTTTGGTTTTGGCAAATTTAGTTTTGTTTGCATGACAAGTTTTTGACGACGACAAGAGTTACTCGGCAACCAGGAAGTAGTTGTTGAGAGCTCTTTCGGGTTTCTGTCACTCGCGACGAAATTCTGTCCTCTCCTAAAGTTTGACATGAAGAGTTTGCTTTTTAAAATGACAGGATCTGCTACGTGACGTGGACATAATTACGACAAGAGTATGGCTTCTTGGCTGTAATTTGTATTCAAAATGTAAGTGAAAAAAATTCACATGTAAGTTCTAAACTACGGAATTGTGACCAGATGTCATTTGGCCGCATTTGTATCTCCGTTTACCTTATGGGAAAATAAAAGACGGAGGGAAAAAATATAGTTGGCGACTTGCAAAGGACCTGTTGTCTAGCGGGCGTCAATCAGGTGTTACCAAAACATAATTGCCCTGTTTGGATTGTACCGTAATTATTTCTCTTGCGTAAGAGTTATTAAAGGTGTACAGAACAGGTATCAATAAAACTTTGCCGCCAGCATTTGCTTGGCGCCAAAATATCACGAAGGTTGGCTAAAAGTTATCTCGAATTCATTTGAAAAGCTTGTTTTTTTTTTAACTTGACATGCATTAAGCTACCACAGCAGCTGATATACACTTTGCACTTTTTTATGAGATCACACCTTATGATGGCACGTTTCGAGTCATTCTCGCAGCTTAAAACTTCGTAATAAATGTTTCGCACTTCAGGAGAAACAACAAAATTGGCCGATGTTATCACCTCGTCACTGCGAGCTGTTAACAAGACCAGCAGCGAAACTGATAGTGAGGACTTAAAAATGTGACAAATTTGTTTGAATTGAAAGCAACAGGACACCCTTGCCTGATTGCCTGTGAATCTTAAGCGCAAACTGTCTTGAAATTTTTCACCAAGAAATTAATTCGATGACAATTTTTCGTTCGTCAAACTCAGCTTTGTCACCTCTTCTTTTTGTTGAAAAACATCTTTGTTAAGTTAGTCAAATGAGATTCCAAGAAGACCGTTCATATTCTCCAAGATTCATTCTTAAGTTCTCCCCAATTATTGCGCACATTTCTTGTAATTGTTACAAAGGAAAACGTCGCATCTTACTTTTTTACTGTTATTGTTATCACCTGCTGTCTTCCTTACCAGTTGTCTTCTGTGATTTCCTTCGAGGAATTCCAATAGTTTCTAAACATGGATGATCCTACTTTTATTCGTAAATTTCTGTATGAATTGCTTATTTCTTCGAAGATAGCATAGAAAGAGACAAGAAATTAACCATAACTTTGCCACACTGACGCGAATGTAGTTTTAAAAAAATAATGATAGAGCAATTTGAATTTTTTTGAGTAAAGTTTTTTCAACTTTGCAACACAGAAGTTTTTTAATCTTTGCGTTTTTCTTTAGTTCAGTAATGAACAGTACCGTCCCCCCTTTTTACTTTAGTTTGATATTATGAAAATGTAGCTTAGGTTTTATAATTAATATACACATTAACAGTAAGAAAATTGTTTCGGCTTCAAAACACCGATTGAAATGGCGTTTTAATGTGAGTCGCAAGGTAACTTTCATCGCTCTAAAATATATTTCATATCATCGGTAGGAAAAACAAAAGAGAAAAAAAAAACCTGGGAAAACCGATAGGTAATGACTTATACTCAATTGTGGCAAGTTGTATTGGTATTTTAATGCTTGAATATAGAAATATTTAAGCACAATTTTGGGATTTTCTTATTCTTTTCTTGGCTTGCATGTACTTGCATTGTCTAGGCGTGTGTGCCCACTGAATCTTTTATGACTCAAAATAGAGATACGATAAAACCGCGGGCACGCATTTAGTGTTTCAGTTGTGGGTCTCTCACCGTGGATTAAGGGAAGACATAACAATTCTGAGTCAATAATAATACATCTGGCGAATTTATAGCCCAGGGCTTATATATTATATTTAAAGTCTTGGCTTTCACGTAGCTGAGGATTTTGTGCGTTAAAAAGCTTTGGGACTTAACAAGAAGCGTCTTTGATGTTTTCCGAGCCCGAAGTTTAACCCTCAGCCGGCAAATTAAAAGTGAGAAAACGGACATGAATTCATCATTGGAAAACGAGAATATTACTACATGCAAAACATGTAAAGCAAACATACGCGTATTATGGGAGAAACGTTTGCTCTTTAAAACTTATTTCTTCAACGACCCAGAGAATTTGTTTTGGAAATTTAGCAGGATCCATCACACCAATTTTTTGACGAAATCTAACTAGGAATTAGTTACACCTTACTAAATGTGACAAGCACTGCTGTTTTCCATAGGACGAAATTACTGTAGCACAGAATCCCAAGAGTTATATGCAAATGATATATAGTCTAATAACCTCCCAGTAACGTTATACTCTTCTGTTTTCCTACTCTTGTAGGATGCCGTGAAAGCTATCGGCTTTGCATGGTTTTGAGATACGCAAAAAATTCACAATTTCTAGTATAAAATTTTCATGGTTTAGACTGCTTCACGTTATTAAAAGATAAAATTCTTTTAATCTCTCTTTGTAGCTATGTCCTACTGTTTTTCTATTTTTTTTTGGTTGGTGTCGCATTGTTCCAAGATGTGTTGAGAATTAACCATTTCTAACTGACAGCTTACGGAGTAATTGGTTCGTTCTCGTTCTAATTGGTTGTGTAATTTATACAAAATACGCGTTCAAAGTGACACTCCATTGTCCCTTTTCCGACATCTGTAAGGATTTCACAGTTTCCAAAGCCATTGTTTCATTAAGATATTAGGTCTTTTTGCAGTCCGCCCTGTTCATATTGATGTTACGATATTGATAGGTTGCATAACACGCCTCGCGATGGTATCATGCTCCGCAGGTGTTTTTGCCTAAATGCTGCAAGGTTTTTTAACCTTCAAAAGCGGTTACTTCTCTGTTGTTTCCTAACGTGTTATCACAGTTTCTATCATGTTTCACGAACAATTCCAAAAAGCATCCGACAGCGAAATTGTAATGGCTCAGCTTGCAATCCTCCATGGACTCACGTTTATTTTTCTTTTGTTAACACTTTTTTCTTCTCAACGGATACTGTCTTATCTAATCTATGTATCTTGCCTTAATGATATTTTTACAATTTAGATTTGCCAATGTCTTAGTTCTGAAAACTCGTATATCGTGACTTTCTTAAATGTTTTATGTCGCTGCCTAACTGAAGTCTTCAGTAAACCTTATCAATATGCGAGGTCTGCAAGAGGTCAAATAGACCCGTTTTTGAAAGCAAATGAATCCGTTGGCTTGGATATTTCGTACTTGTGCTAAGTAAGCCTAGGAGTAAAATATCTCAGCCGACCATACAATTAAGTTTTTTTTTTTTCGAATTTTTATTTCTAAGAACCTGTAAATGGACTATTTGTCACGGTTGACATCCATTTAGCCAGCTTGCCACCCACTTGCTTTTTTAATCCCTTTCTTACTTGAAGATTGAAGTATTATTTGACAAACCCATTTTGAAGTTTTTTTCGAATGTGAATTTCCCTTCAATTGAAAAAAAAAACGCTTAAAAGCGCCTTATTTGTGGCACTTAGCCAAATTCAAATGTTCCAAAAAGCCGGTAAACATGGTAACATAGTTTGCGTTGCGTTATGCATTGTGCTCTTTGGAATAAAGTTATTAAAATGCTTTTGCAAAAGGGCATATCTTTCGTACCTAATGGAAGCTACATCACGCAAACTATTAATTTAAAACAATCAACAACCCAATTTTAAGGTGTCGAATTTAGCAACTCTTAATATGATTTTCCTTTATTTTGTATGATGCCTTTCACGAAAGACGTTCCCCAACACGAAAGTTTCCGTGTGAGGATTTCCTAAGGATAAAGTACTTAAGCGGCTGGTTAGAAAATTTTGTGACAACGAGATTTTCAACGGCTTTACATAATGCAGTTGTATAATGTGCTCTGTGAAGGATTTACGTGATTGTTTTGTTTTTGCTTTTCATTGCTTTGTTTTTAGCTTGTCATGCAACCCTGGGTGTTTGCTGAGGAGACATGTTTTGCCTCGTTTTGACCATCAGTCAAGTTGTGTCAGCGAAATTTTCACTTGTGCCACTGTCATACCAGTCTTGAAAGCCCAATGCATGCATTTCGACTGTCGCTGTTTATTCTTGTTCCTGACGTAGTCCATTCCTTCTTTTGAACCTTTTGTTTTTGTTTGCGTGATTTGTAGACCATGCAAGAAAATAAAAACAAAAGAAAATTGCTATCCAGTGATTCATTTTTCCAATAACAGAATTATCTTGAGGTTATATCTAAGTCAGTTCAAGGAGAATTTAGAGGTAAACAGCGCATTCGTATGTGCGGAGTAGTATTGATGTTATGTTAGCGAGGTTGAGTGACAGCGAAGAAGAAAATTATTTCCATCCTGTATCAACTGAGGGCTCATAAATAAATATAAAATTACGAGTAAAATACCTGGAAGTCACTTCCATTTCCGAGGCAAATGAATTAATTATTTTTAATTTATGCAGTTCAAACCCGGGCATTTTATTTGTAAGGGTTGTTTTGCCGAAGGTGCAAAGACGAGAATGCATACTTGCTCTATTTGCCAGCTTCCTTGCTGGCCGATTAAAATCTGCTTTAAAGGATAGCAATATGATACAGCTCTTAAAAGAAAGGCTCGGGAGTCGTCACTGAAATGGGCAAGCATCCTGAGCTTGATTCTAAATTTATTTCTCTAACCTTAAACCCTCAAAGTTATTTTTTTAGTTTGATGGCCAAGTCTCGCGTGTATCACTCAAGATAAAGCATTAAAAAACCGGCTTGTCCAGAAAAATAAAACTTGTTTCGCAAGATTACTCCACTCTGGGAGTCAAAGAGTTGAGTAAATCAGCAATTGGTTTGATATTTATTGCGTGGCAAATGCTCCTCGTTACGTTCATCGCAGCAAAGTTCCGCTTTGTCTGGTGTATCGTTGGAAAACACCAACTCATCAAGTTTATCCTTGGGTGATACCTGTTCGTCAGGTTCTGGTTCAAAGTAAGGGTTGTCCAGCTCTGAAAGTTCAACTGACGAAAGATATTTCCTGCCTCGCTGCTTCTCTATACTTGTCAGGAGTTCTTTTCTTTCTCTTGTATGTCGTGATGCCAGTTCTTTTTTAATTGTTCGAATGTTTTCATTAAAACTTTCGACCATTCCTTTCAACTCGGTCCTTAGCTCTTGTCGTGAATCTAAAACAAAATAGGGAGAACACGTACAGAAAATGGTAGTCAACGCGAAAATCTTCCCTCTATTACATTTTCGAACAATTTTGATAAGATGAGATAAATCAGGGAGAAATGAGATGGATAGGAAGAAATACAGAACACTTTAAAATATCCGAGGCATTATTAAGTATGTGAAACTTCCAAATTTTATAGCAAAGTTGTAAAGTAAAGTAAAGTTTTTTTGTGTTTTTCCATGAGCAAGACACATAGAAAACAATTTGAGTCTTACTCCCTTAGTCCTCAGGATCGCCCGGCCCACTGCTGCACCGCTGAGAGACAGAGGACTCTTGGGTGTGGTAGGGCACTATTAGCTTAGTACATGAGAAGCGTCCTGCATATTGCAAGGATCAGTAAGGTCAGAGACATTGTGTATCTAGAATAAGAATTATGGTAGTGTTTCCGATGTAACAGTTTACCTGAAAGCTAAAGATAGACACAGATAGAGTAACCGGGATAGCCGAGGATGGTTATTGGCGCTGGAAACGGGTAGCAAATTATCAAAGGCGTAAAGGAAAACGTTAATATCTAGGCATTAAAAAAACAATTTAAAGTATTCAAAAGATCCGAAGGTGTATGTAATTACCATGTGATGTAACCTTTGCTCTTGTTCTGCAGCGTTGAATAATTTCCCAGATAATGCCACAAAACAGGAACGATGTTAACCATATTATAGTTATGTACATAGTCTTTTGAAACACCGTGCTGTGACTGTCAAATATCCCGGTTGATCTTTCCATGGAGAGTGGTTCAGCGGGCTCCTAAAAGAGAAAAATCAAACCACTATTAGTCAGCCAGTCAGTCAGTCGTCAGCCAATCAGTCAGTCAGTTTTACAGGGGTTACGTCTCTAAGAAAATAGTTGTGCTGCGTCGTTGGGGTATAACGAGATAGTTTGGTTTAGTTGGTCAACTGGTCTCTCATGTTTTCGGTCAGTCAGTCAGTCAATCAGTCAGTCAGTCGTCAGCCAATCAGTCAGTAGTTATACAGGGGTTAAGTCTCTAAAGAAACTGTGGTGCTGCGTCGTTGGGGGCATAACAGATTAGTTTGGTTTAGTTGGTCAGTTGGTCTCTCTGGTTTTCGGTTAGTCAGTCAGTCAGTCGGTCAGTTGGCGTCAGTCAGTCAATCAGTCAATCAGTCAGTCAGTCAATCAATCAGTCTGTCAGTTAACAAGCCTGTCGGTTGGTCAGTTGGTCTCAGTTTGTTGGCCAGTCAGTCAATCTTTTAGTCTGTCAGTCATTCAATCAATTTTTGATATAAATGACATCCAAAAAATTGCTCTACAACAATATAATTCTACCAAATATCAATGTTTTTATTTGATACTCGCCTTGAGCTGTTCTGTATTCTTTTGAATATGATGTGAAATCTTACTAGCGAATACCCTTTCAGTGTACCGTTTGAAACAGCGTCTGAGTTTTCGGGCTTCCACTCCCATTACAACCCCATAGGTAGCCGAGTAATCGAGGATCTTATTCACTCGTAGATGTTCCTGTTCAAACAAATCCTTGTTGTTTCCAGCACTGTATGTATCTATAAAGGCCCCAATAACGTGTCGTTCATGTAGGGCTTCGTAGATATCGTCGAACGTGTGGTATTCGCGTTCTGGAGAAAAAAGCCCAGCACTTCTTTAAACTTTGCCCCTTTGCTTATGCGGAGAACTAAATGCATTGATTTCTAGTGCATACGTCGTATAGTTTCATTCCTCGCGCTAGATTCTCATAAACCTCATATTTCACTGAATAGCATTCTCTTTAATGGAATCTGAGTCATGAGGATACTTTGTGATACCCAAATTTATAATAAAGTTCGGATATAACGCGCGCTGTCATTGGTTGAAAGAGCGTGCTCTGTGAGAGTATAGAGCATAGAGCTGAGCTAAAGCTGTCACGCCATCTGCCAAATTGTGCTATGTTCGACCTTTTTCGGGACTTCTTTTTAGCTTTTTTTTGATAATTGAAAGTGAAATTTCGGAACAAGCGAGCCAGCAAGTAGCAACAGAAGAGCCAAACAAAGTTTTGTAAACATACGAGGCGCCGTAATTTACGTTATTAAAACGTGAGCAGATACGAAAATCCTCGAAGGAAAAAAAAATAGATGTTCCAAGTTTTAAAGATTTTCACGCTCAGTTAGATTGCAAGCTTACGTACGGTAATAAAAATCAAACACAGTTAGCACTCGTATAGTATATAAAGTTCAGTGTTAAAAAACAAAACAGAACAAAACAGAAATGATGAAAAATATAACCAAACTGGCACAACTGTTAACATTCATACTAATCACAACGGTGTCAGAGCGAATATGATCATGCTGAAGTCCATCGCGGCTCGCTTATCATGGCGATCTCCGGTCATCGCAGTAAAGCAAGCTCAGAAACTACATCGGCCACCCTTCGAGTGAAAAAATAAGAGCTTGCTCTGATATCCTTCCGATATATTGAGTGGAAAGTCATATCAGTCACTGCAGCCGAGTTTTGTGGTGCTGTTATCCCAAGCGATCTTGATGTTCCGGTGAATTCGGCTGTCGTTTATTCAAAAAACACTCGCCTCGAATAGTTTGTTTCTACCTTGTCATGTGAAAAAAGCTCCCGTGTTTTTATGAGCCATAATTCGGCTGAAGTTCACTGAACGTTTCACTTCAAGATTCTGTATCAGAGACTTAAAAACTTCAGGCAAAAAGTGTTAAATTCGACCTGCCGAACTATTTTAGTTTGTAAACTATCGCAGAATGTGAACTTTGATGGTTTGACACTTTTGACAGCTTTAGTCTTGTACTGCCAATCAGATTATTTGAACCATTCTAACAGGGATTCTGATTGGCTTATTGTAGCGTGCTTCATGAGAGTATAGAGCATGCTGACGACACTGTTGTTCGCTTTGGAAATAAAGTTTGGTTTGAAAATTCAAAGTAATGTTTGGGGAATTTAACGGATTCTTTATTATAAAACAAATAGAGAAGCCTTGACTGTGCTCTGTTCTGTTATAAAGCACGCAGGAAGCGGCTAGAGCACGAAAGAAGTGTAGGGAGAAACACGTGACGTAGTCAAGTGTTTCTCCCCACTTCTTGAGTGCTCTAGCCGTTTCCTGCGTGCTTTATAACAGAACAGAGCACAGTCAAGGCTTCTCTATTTGTTAATTAAAACATATCTTTGTCAATGATACTCTTTGCGGTGCTTTTTAGGCTTTTTATAAACTGCTGCTGATAACTCTACCAATTCTACCACCCATTGCTTCTTCCAACGGTAAATATCGTCGATTGTTTTAGGTAGTGTTACCTTTGTCCATGTTAGCATTTTTCCTTACTCCCATTCGATATTCAGGAGAACCCTCAATTGCTGCTACCTGTGAAAGTAAAATGTAATATGGAAGCCTTGTAACATTTTATACTTAGAAGTTCCTAACTGTCACTGTTTACAGATGAGCGTTTAGAAATTTAAACTAATTTCTTCTACATGGACAAAAACAAGGGGCGAATACAGCTTAAACTCATGCACACCCTCCCGGTGGTGCTGATCATTGGAATCTTTGGGAGAAGTTGATCGCCCTAACTTCAATTGGTTTAATTTTTTAAAACGACACTATTTTTTTCCCATGTTTTAATAACTGATGATAGTATGGGACAAGTCTGTGGGATAAACTCTTACATTAGTAGAAGAGTCATGTCTCTCCATTTGCGAGGACCCAAACGCTACCTTTGCACCACGTGATCTGCTCTTATGATTTTCCATTTTCCCCATCTCATATACTTTTTCCGCTCAGTAGGATAACAAATAGCGCTTTCGTGGCAGGGACGTAATAATGAGTTTACTGAGCAAAATCGTTTTTCCAAACAGGCAGTGGATGGGAAGGCTCTCAGTTGACGCAAGATTAAGCATGGATTAACTTACTAGCGTAATATCGTACAAGGCCAGGAGCAGTTGGAACAATGTACACTTCTCTTTACTCTTACATGGAATAATCAGGTTGGTATTGAATTGAAATTACCTAGTTATGATACAGCGCGATGTTTTTGATTTGCTGAGAAAATAAGAAAATAAGCACATCTCTGTGTGTTCCATCTCAGACAGATACCAACAGCATAGACCTAGTTTTTCGAAAGTTAGACCTGTTACCCAAACGAGAAACTGTAAAAAGAGCAACTGCGTGGCCATTTCGAAATCAAACTCGTTTTCTCCATCTCTATTTTACCTTAGTTCCGTAGATTTTGTAATCTGTTTCCATTGTAACACTTGTAATGGCCGTTGCCATGGCGCCATTCACAATTCCAAAGATTATTAAACCGGACAAAATGACAACTATAGCCAGGATTCTTCCTATGATGGTTATTGGTGCTCGATCGCCGTATCTGTGAATGTCGATTTACAAACTCGTTTCAGAGAAGGTATAATTTTGTAGGCCTTTAGATCATGTCCTATCCCAAACTTCACAGTGAGTATATGACTTGAGACACTCACGGAGTAAGGGTCCACCACCACTTACGACCTAGAAGGAGACTTCATTCAATTTCTAGATCGATATTGACCTTAAGGATTGACTCAAGTATCGATTTTAGTCTAAAGATTACTTGATTGACACTCACCCAACAGTTGTCATGGATACAAATGACCAGTAAAACGACTCATACGCTCCCTCTATAAACGATGGTGGAAAGTCTTGGGGATTGGTCTCCGACTCCTGCACACATGAAAGGAAGGAAAATGAGTTAAATCAAAGTGATTCTGTATTTCCCTTTCTAACTATTCGTTGTTGATCAAGTCTGTCAACAACAATAACAATAAAAGGCAACAACAAATTTTTATTCCTTAGCAATTGAAAGACATGTATAGTAGTCCATTCCCGCCAAAATGTGCAGCTAATCGAGGCGAAAGAAATGCGACGTATGGAGACAATGGAACACTGATTAAAGCTTTGCACTGTGCAAATTCAGAAACCAAGAGTTACCAAATCATCAATGGTTTTGTGTTCTGTCGTTGGGTACCTTATTGAAATTGCATTGGAACAAGCTATAACTCGCTAATGCCAATTTTGCGACGCACTTCGGATCTTTTGACGACAAATATCATGATCTTTGACCAGGAATTAACCTCACAGACTGTCTTGGTAGCTCTCAACATTGTGCTGCTCACAATCCTCACTCGTTATGCAATGAAACCAAATGATAGACTTACCACAAACCATACGACCAGCCCTGCCAAGTACGTGATAACCAAAGCCAACATCACTGCTGGCCAACAGGACGCTATGTTTACCAGGACAGCATTGGGCATATTATCCTGGGAGTTTGTGTTAACTATGAACGCCATTCCAGGTGATTCTACTATTCCTTGATAACCAAACTGTTTGGCAAAATGTGTCTGGTCTTTAAAGCCGTACACCGGAAAGAAAAAGTCTGTGGGATTTTCTATACCGTTCCGTAGTGCACGTAGACTCGGGAACATTGCTGACACATTGAACCCATTTAAATTCATGTCCACGTAGGATTTACCATGTGATTGACAGGTTTCGCAGCACGTGACTGCTAGATCGCTAAGGATAGGTGGAATAAGTCCGTCTGGGAGACCGTTTTCGGACAATCGGACATATGGTTGAAATTCGTACCAACTTGTTGTGAGACGCTTATGACAGCGACAGGTTTCTGTAAATAATTGTAATTTTTGAAATAAGAGATATTATCACATATTATCACCATTCCGTCGAGAACGTGACAAACCTGCATAATCCGTGGCCGGCGGGCCGTCGCCCATGATCGTAAATCCCACAACATCAATCCGGTACAAGATAAAAATCTCAAGATTTGTCAGCACCAGAGACAAAGTAGAGGAATTCACTATCTGCTCCCTGATAGGTTTGTCTTCAACTGACTCCTCGCCAATCTCAACGGCCTGGTACCTAATCTTGTAACCAAGCAATATGCCATTGATATGATCTGGAACGATTGGTTTCCAGGCAACTGGAATTGTTGTCAATGTTACGTGACTTTCAGTAGTTATACTCTGTGGAGGTTTACTGGGGACTGGAAAGCAGCATTTTTAACGGTTGTCAGTAAAAGACCAAAAGGAAAAACAAAATTGCTATAATTATTTTGAGTATAAAATCCCAGTCAGCCCATATAATTTACATAATATGAAAATAACCTGCCATCAAGAATCTTGTATGATTCCCAGTTTTTACAATCAATAACGTCATACGAAAGAAACATACCGTCTTGACCCGTCCGTGCTTTAAGTTTGTTTTCAGGTCCATATCCCTCAGTTGTGAAGGCACGAACTTGAATAGAGTAGAAAGTAAATTTCTTTAAATTATCAAGAATCATCCAGCGGAGAAGTGGTTGACCTTCCCTCTCTTCCACTGTGCCATTGAATGGAACCTCATGGAATTGAATTTTGAACCCCCTTATGATGCCATTTTCAAACTGCGGAGGGATTGCGCCCCATTCAACAAAGAGACTAGTGGAGCTTGGAGCCGAGTATGTGATGTATAGAGGAGGTCGGTCCGGAGCTGTTGATGACGAGACATTGACAAGTTAGTGCTTGAGTTGAATTTGAAGGAAGAAACTTGTCAGCAATGCATGCTTAAAAAAGACAGTTTGAAGAAGAAAAACTTACTGTCCTCTTGTGTTGTTACAAATAAAGAGTTACTCGGCAACCCGTCTCTGGTCGTAAACGCTGTTGCCCAAATTTGATACTTAGTAAACTTGTATAAGCCGGTTAGCTCAACTTCAGTCACAGATATGTCAACTGACACGTTTTTTAACACACTTGGATGAACAGAACTTGGCGCTTCTTTGTAATAAACCGTGTAACCTCGGAGAATACCCCGGAGATTTGGTAGAACAAGTGAACTCCACTGAACAAAGATTGAGGTCGAACTTTTTGCTTCTCCTGTCAAATTAGCTGGAGGTATGAATGGAGCTGTGAAAAAAAGATTTAAGAATTATTTCCTTTTGCTCGCTCGACTGAACAGTATTTTAAAGCGTGGTTTTACCCACAAACGCCACTAGGAAATATCGTGTAATTGAGAATGAAGCCCAACGCTCTGCTGTTGAATATACCTTTGAACTTTGATAAGGAAATTCTTAGTAAGCATGCATTTCAATTTCTTAAATAGCGAGATACGGCTATTTTTAGGGGGTATGCTTAAGTGACGCATTTAAGCCTGATTTAAATGATGAGCTGCTGGTTTACCTTCTTCATCTGTATCTTCTTTTATAAAATCACTCCAGGGGCCATCTCCCATGACAGTGAAAGCTGTCATCTTTATGGTGTAATTCGTCCATATTTCTAAACCGGTGATGTCTATCGTGAGGGCTGAGGTATTTAATGTGAAATTTCTTAGAATGGTTCCATTTATGTGGATAAGGATGAGCTTGTAACCGATGCCAATTCCATTAATGGTTTCGTAAGGCACAGGAGACCAATGGACTTTTAATACAGTGGGTTCTATTCCTTTTGCTCTGATGTTGATTGGCGGCTCATCTGGGACTGCGGTAACAAAAAAAAATTGGTTTGGAAAAAATTTCAGATTGTTATACTCAAAATGGGTTTGAAAGATGGTTTAAGTTCTGGGATGGCACTAAAGTACTTGTCCTTCTAAAAGTCTACTGAAAACTTTATATTGAAAAGCTATATCCTCGATAATGGAATTTATTAACACAATTCTAGAAAAAGCTAATAAGATGAGTAAACAAAGCTTGGGTTATTTTTAACTCTTTAGTTTTCCCCTCATCCTTCTCCTGATTCCATCTGATTTTCGTTTACAGACATATTTAAGCAATTTGTTGTTGAACATTTTGTTGGCGATTAATTTTAGTCTAGCCCCCAACTTTGAGCGTTGCTGACGAATGTTTTAAACATTTTTTTAAAGTTCTTATCATGTCAGATACAGGGAAGATCGTCAAGTAGTTCTCAAAGATCTCTTTTAACAACAAGCTGCATCGTAGTCGGCGCATCCAGCACATCAACAAACTATTGCCTACTGAGGAATGGGTTACATACCGTCTTGTTCAGTTCTCACGAAAACAGCTTCCGAGTAACTCCCCAAACCAACCACCGTTGATCCAGCGACTTGAATGGAATATTCTTTGTACTTTCCCAATCCTTTCAGTTCCACTTGTAGTTCTGTACTGTTTACTGTGACATTGGAAACGTTATCATTTGGTTTATCACGTCTCCAGTATTTAACTTGATACGTCAGGATAATCCCATGCGTATGATCTGAAGGGATGGGCTGCCAGGTGACGTTAATACTCGTGGAACTGGTATTGAACGCGGTCACGTTTGTTGGCGGATGATCTGGTACTTAAAGCGTAGAAAGGAATGATTACCGTCACTTACAATGAACACACAGATAGATAGTATTCCATTCCTTGTAGTTCCATATGTAACCTAAAACATTTTATTCCATAATAAATTTCTTCCAGAAATGGTTCTAATCAGCACCATTGAGGCAAAGAAAAAAGCCAACGAAATGACGAAAAGTGATCTGTACTCGACTTACTTCTCTTACATTTTGTTCTTATAAGTGTGACAAATACCACTCCCATATGAGAATTTAATTCAGTGGAAATTCCTCGAATGCAAACATCGATTGTCAGTTTTCCTGAAGTTTCAGCTGTTATTTATGATGATATGTCGTATGGTAATTGAGAAACGATCTTATCTAATCTAACAGAGTCAGTCATGATATATCAAGGTGCGGGTAGGTGGTAGAGGTTTGGTCATAGGTTGAATAACCTTTTGAAAATATAGCTTGTTTTAGAAAAGCATGTTTGAGTCAGACTTATCACAACCCTAATACCACACCACATATTCCGTAAACTTCGTTCAAGATTCATTCGTTTTCAGATGCAATGGTGTCATACCATCTTGTGCTGTGGTAAAATTTGCTGCCAAAGTTGGGACGCCATCTTTTACAGTGAATGCCAACACCGTGACTGTGTAAGTTGTGTAACTTTCTAAGTTGGTGAGAATGAAGCCCAATGTTTCGTTCTCAGTACTTCTTTTCCTGCGCCTGTTGTGAGTAGTGTTGATAATCAAAGTCGTCCAGGTGTGATTTGGAGAATTGCTTTTACCGTAGGTGACTTTGTAACCCCGAAGTACACCATTGATATGGTACTTGTCGACTGGTTTCAGCTGGAAGGTTAATTCCGACTCGGTGCTGTGTTTAATACTGAAGTTCCTCGGAGGTTCGCTGGGAGCTGTTGAGTTTACACAAGCATTAAGTAAAGATGAAAATAGGAATATTAAAAATTATCTGGTATAGAGTCACTCTCACGGTTTATTAAACTGTTGGTAAACGGCGACACAAGAACAAAAATTTTTTCATTGAATTAACTGACCCAGAGTGGAACTTTAATTTTCCGTTACTCTTCAATGAAATAAAACTTAGAAGATGTTTTACTCCTGTATCAACTCGATCATGAAAGACAGAACGGACGAGTGGCTGGTTGAGCGTGAGCCTAATGGACTGTTGGTCGTCTCTTGTTGAGCACCGATAAACCAATGAAATAAATGTTCAGATAAACAGTCCAACCCTCGGTGAATATACCAGCTGGCACTTGAGTAAGAAGTAATAGTAATCAAACGAAATGATGAGAGTTACCGGCGATGGACGTACACAACGCTTAGTAGTTCTAGTCTAGCAATTCTTCCTTATCATTTCATGCTCAGGGAGTTTTAAGAGGCCTCGATCCAATCCCACCTCCACTTAAGCCTTAAGATTTGTTATTCATCTCAACCTACCGTCTTCTTGTGTTTTTATGTTGATAACATCAGTGATATTTCCTTCCCATGAACTTGTAACACCATAAACTTTGAATTCATAGGGCGTGTATGGTTTCAAAATGTTCAGGTCTGCACTTGTCATGGACGAGTTAACCGTGTAGTTAAAGCTTTCTCCTCTCAGCAAATCAACTATTTCTATCACATAACTCTTTACATGTTCACCCAACTTTAGCGTATCCGGTGGCTTCCATTGGAGACCGACACCAGTTGAGCTCGCAACAGAGGACGTTATATTAACTTTTTCTAACGTGATTTCTAGTGGAAGTCAAATCACAAGTTTTTAGTGAAAGACAAAATTGCAAGGAATTCTTGTAGGCACAAAGTTTCAAAGACAGAAGGTTTTTTTCACATTTTCCTTTACTCTTTGCTTGCTACTCACGCTTATTAGTCAATAAGGTTATTGTACCTGCTTCGTAGTTCTCCCATACAGATAATTTTTGTGAAAACGGAGTCGCCTGAACATGATTTCAGTATTGTTGTTGATTTCCTCTGAGAATGATTATAATTTCTGTTGTTTTATACCTTAATTGTGCCATATCTGATCTTGTTCCCTAAAAAATCACGGTTACAGTAACACGTCATCTTTACTCCAAAGAGCAGAAGTGTAACTATCACTTCCTTTTCCACCCTTAGCTCTAAGCGCCTCTGTTTATGTACCTGGTTTGTGGACAGGCTTTTTTGTCGAGCCAATGCTATGCCCTTGGAGTGATTAGTCCACAAGAAAATATTGGGAACGAAATTCGATGAAAAAATTAACTGATTACAATGTATCAAATTCGATTCTACAAAGTGATAATGATGAATTTAATCAAGTTACCTTTATGACAGGTAAAGAACTCAGCTCTTATGCATGGGTTCCCTTCCCACGATTTTGGCAGAATACGAATATACCGCGTGTAGATCACTGGTGTTATGGAGTTAAAAACTACGGTGTTGCTATCCCAGTTACCTTGAAATATCTGCGGAGGGACAGAACGGTGGAAATTTGTTAATGTGAATGGAAGTGGATCCCCTAAACGTGCCTCTTTAAGGGGAACGCACTTCCAAGAACATGAAGACTGTCTGAGAATGAGCTGTGGAGACGTAAACTAGAGAGATTTTTCATGAACAACATATCAGGAACGAGCTGTGGACGTGTTTTTGCGGAAGATTTTTTCGTTTCCAAGAAGACAACACAGTATCCAAAGAGTGACCTTTAGAATAGGTCTGGGGTTTTATAATAGCACTTTCCTGGACGAAACCATCGTCAAAGTATGGCACAAGCCATAAAAATACTCAGCGATACTACACACCCAAACGTCCAATAAGATATTTGTATTTAACCTAGGGTTGCAATGAACTGTGGTCCATGCAGAGGGTTCAGTCAAGTTTCGAATATTTCGAACTTCAAAGAATCCTCACTGAAGAAAAACTAGGAGTGCATATTTTGAAATAGCTTACAATTTGGGTAACAAGAGACTTGTACTTCAAAAAGTAAGGAGAGAAATAACAAAATATTACTTATAAGCAACGATGATACCTTAACATCATCAAACTGTTTATAAGCTTTGAAATACATCCCATCGAGGCTGTAATTCAATGAGTACTTTTCCACCCAGTGAAAGAAACTGCTACTAACTGCGCTGCCATCATAAAATCTGCCTTGAATGGCTACTTGGCTTAAAGTAACTTTGTCTTGAAAGTCAATTTGAAGCCACGGTTGGCTTGTATCATCCGGGGCAGCACACCAGGCTCCAGTGGCGAGTAGATTCGTTGGTTTGAAATTCAGTCGAGCGTTGGTTGCACCATTTTGTAGAGAGGATGCAGTTATTTGTGACTCTGTTATGTTATGGTCTTCCATGCCAATGGCGTGACAATCTATCAGAAGAAATCAGGTCAAAACAAATAAAAAATTTAATATTTCCCTAACATAGAGTAAATAGAGAGAGAGAGAGAGGCAGCCAAGAAACCTATGAAAGATAGTGATAAAAAACTGGGAGAGATTCATTTTTGGTTGGGCAATCATTAGGCCAAAGCGCGGGCATGGTTCCGCGGCGGGACAAGATTGCGGTCTCATTTGCAAGCCGTTACGTAATGCATGAGGAACAAAAAAGAAAGGGCGGGAAACTTTGGTGCAGCTCTAAGTCATGTGCATCTGAAACCATCACAACACGTTACAAAACGCTTAAATATTAAGTTTGCAAATCCTCTTGAACAAGGGCTTGTTTAGAACAAGTACGTGTTCAAAAGGGTCGGCTAGATTATAAGAATGATAAAACTAGTTCCTGGTAGAGCTGACCGTTACTTTTGTGGTATTACTATTATGAGTGAAGTGCTGCGTTAAAGAAAATGGGAAAGCCCGATAGTTTGGTTTGATTGAAATGCACTCATTGCGGTAGTTCTCCAAGTGTACTGTTAAGAGAGATAGTAAAGACATCATGGAGTTGTTCTTTGCCAGCGTAATGACCTACCATCCTCGCTAGTAATCACTGTGACGTAATCACTGAAGTTACTGAAGCCCTTTGATGTAAAGCTTGCCACTTTGATTTTATAAACCTTAGATTTCTCCAGTCCATGGATCTCCTGGGTAAAATTATTTTTGCAGACATAGAAAGATTTATCGATTTCCTCAACTACAACAACATGACCCATTATAATTCCATTGTTGTTTTCCTCTGGAATAGCCATCCATTTTACTGTTACGCTTGTGTAGCTCGTGCTGTGGGCCATAACTACTGGAGGTGCAAGGCTGGGAACTAGTATAAACAAGATAAATCAAGGTGAAGTGAGACACTGGAGGCTATAAACAGTGAGACCCTCATTCAGAATGCAGCCTCAGAAGGTTACCTATCGTTTTATATACAGTCGTTTCGTACCCAAATGAACCAAGTGAGTTTTCCATGTTGGGTATCTTTAAATGAATGTAATACAAACCATATGGTTTGGTTTTATCAACGAAGTTGATAATGTAAAATGGCCACCGCAAAGAGTTTCTAAGCTAACTCTTCGAGCGTTCACCCTTCGTTCATTCGCTCTGACAAAGTGCTCACGCTTTAAACGTTTGCTTAGAAACTCTTTACGGTGACCAGTTTACATAAAAAGGTGTCCCTTAATTAGAGGGTTTTCTTCGATGAACGTTATAATTTCGACGGTTACTACAGCATTTTCTCGTAAAAACAAAAGTTTGTGTTCCTTGAACGGAGGTCAATCGTGAATAGTGTCATAAGTGTTATAACAGAGAAGTTACGCAATACTTTCTTGGTGGAAAAATGGTTAAGTTTACTATGAAAACCACGAGTAACATTTGAGAAATTTCGTTAAGCTTCATGCAGAGAAACACTGCTTTATTCAGACTGGTAGATTGTGCCGCGTGGTTTTTTGTAAGGTTGAAATGTATTGTTTCTGCATTCTAACCTTACTTTGCATTTGGGAAGAAGGAAATTGCTAAAGAAAGAGCACTCATAAAGACTATGTTGTATGTAATAAGATGTTTAGACAAAAATAATTCTTACCTCCTTCGGGTGATCTAGCCACAATTGCTGGACTTGGTGGACCTTCGCCAACGCTATTAAACGCTGTAATTTCTATCACGTAAGGTATCCCTTTCGGAAGGTTTTGTAGTTCTGTTGAGAGACTGGAAGTGTTCACCACCATGCCCCGTGAATTTCCACCACTTTGTGGAACATATGTGATTTTGTAACCTAGAATAATACCGAGACGGTGCTCCGAAGGAAGTGGCTCCCATGAGACCTCTAGCTTCTCGGTAGATTTGTTGACGAAGACCTTCACGTTCAGCGGTGGCGAGGTTGGAACTGGGAAAAATTAAAGAGAAGAGAGACCCAAATCATGAAAAAGGGTAATATTGAGGAGATTCTCCCAATTTGGTGTCTTTTATGTGGAGTGGGATTTCTGAACTGTGGTGTTACATGGAGCGACTGGATGTAAACTGCAAGAGTGGGATTTCAAAAGGACTAACTTGTAACATGGTGGTGACATGACAGTGGTGGCAAGGTTGGAACTAGGAAAAAAATTATTGAAAAGAGAGACCCAGATCATTAAAAGGATAGTATTTAGAAGATTCTCCTAATTTGGTATCTTTGATGTGGAGTCGGATTTCGAAAAGACTGACTTGTAACACAGCCTCATATTTTTCACATGCGGACGCGTAAGCGGTTGACAGTGAGATTTGAAATAGGGAAGATTATCTGAGAAAGTATTCCCATTCATACTGGTCTTACTTGCTACTTTAAGTTTCTGGAACTCGAGTTGGTAATCAAGCAATCGAAAGAATTCGTGGCACCTATGTTAGTATGCAAACGTTCTGGCTGTTAACGTTTTTGAGTGCATTTTCCGTTTGTGAACCTCAAATTTCAGTACATCTGTACACTTCAATCCCAAAACGTGTCCAATTTTTAACTGTTCACCCGCGTTTATAACTTACCATCTTCGGATGTTCTTGCAATCGCCTCATCGCTTTCCTTTCCTTTTCCTTCGTGAGTAAAAGGCGTGACAGTTATGGCGTATAAAGTATAAGGCTTTAGGTTTTTAACCTCAAATTCCGTCGACCCAGACGTAACTCCGACAATCTGTCTCTCTACTGAGTTAATTACACGGTACGAGATGTCGACCGCGCAAAAAATGCCATGAATTAATTGTTCAGGATAATTCCAAGACACTGCCAGAGAAGTCGAGCTTTTGTTCTGTGCTGTTACGTGGAGCGAGTGGATGTAAACTGCAAGAAATGTGAACAAGTTGTGACAATGCAACATTACAGGCGTGAGAAAAATATAAGGTTTACTTTTCGATGAAACGGTGTAATTAGTTTAAACTGAAATATCTAGGTCTTGGTTTAGATTGAACTCAGCAGGGAAGCTAGAACGTCTTATTATTATTATTATTATTATTATTATTATTATTATTATTATAGCTCAAAGAGAACCTTAGGAAACTGTGTTCTCTACAGTTACAGTATACATAATACAGTTCACAAAAAATTCTGAAATGGTAGATTGTAATACCGATTGATCACATCTAAGTTTTCTTGAAGCTCTCTAAATAACGAACTGAAGCGGACTATTGATGGGGGAATCAAAGCCTCCAGAGAATAGGAGTCACTTTTCTTTACTCTGTACGCGCTAATAATTTATGCTATTCATTTGGTACTTTGCTAATTATCCTAAGTAAAAACATTGCTAGTTAAACAGTCTTGTGAAACTACATGATTAAGACTCTGGAATAGAGTTTAAACTTCCAAAGTAAATTTTGCAAGAACTGAAACTTAGTTTGCGATGATTTCCATTCTCGGTCTCGCGATTTTCTTGCTTCACCCGAAAATGTCAGATTGTTCTCGATTTCAGCATTGACAAAAAACCTCGAGGTTTGCTTAAAGCCGACTTGTTGTCACAAAGAGAGGAGACGGACTTACTGTCATTAGCTGTCAGGTTGGAAAGTAATCTTATGGGTCGATTACCCAACATGCTTTGCGACACGAGGCTTGTCTGGAGCGGTTCTATCTCTCTGTATTCAGTTCCTTTGAATCTGACAGTAAAGTTCGCCGCCACGTTGGTGACATTCCTGCGAAAATTGCATCACAAATCATGTTATCTCTTGATCAAGGTGGTGGGATGTACCCTTTCTTTAAGGGTAATCACAAGAGGAACAGGAGTGAAAACAAAGTTTACAGAATTACTTGAAATAAGTTGCAAAGAGGTGAAGGGTGCAAAAACGAAAAAAACAAAAAAAAACAAAAAAAAACAGAAAACATTCACGGTTAAGAAATCAGTTAAAACGAAAACAGGAGAAAAACTTAGGTCGCATTGGAGTGTGTTACCTGGGTGCAAAGCCTTTATATACCACATTGTAAAAACCTTGACAATTAAAAAGCGCTGGAAATGAACGAAGAGACCCAAATGCTTTGTGGGTGATCTTGTGCATGATTGCCATAACCTTTTGCGCATGGTCAATGACAGGAGGTATCCACGTTTTTGTAAAATAAAAGAGTTTTAATAAAGAGAAGATTTTAATTGTTAAACGAGAGAAGTAAATCAATCATTATGCTAACTTAGAATGACTACCCATAGAGCCGTTGATCTCTTCATTCATAATTCATGGTTATACAATGCTTTTGAAGTCTCTTTTGTATGGCATGAGATGATAATATTAATAAGAGATTTTTGGGGTTGATTGAATAGTTCTCCCAATGGCCGGACGACAACCAGAAAGAACGAGAGAGACTTAGGGAAAATGCCGTTCGAGAAGCTGGTAAAGAACAGCAGGTGAGGAGTGTAACATATTACTACGTGATAATTAACACCTATTGTAAGTTATATTGTGTGTAAACATATTTAAGTAAGCTGGTACATTATGCAAAAGCACACAGAGCACACACACGCGGTGTGCAAGAGTTGAATGCAATAAAGTCTTCGATTCTATACACGTCGGAAGGAGAAACTTGTTTAAATAGCTTTGGCTAAACTCACCCTGACGAAGGGCTAACGCTCGAAACGTCAGCTTTTAAACTCTTTACGTTGGCCAATTTTCGTTATCAACTCAGTTAATAATACTAAATTACCCCGTTATACACTCCCACCGCCGCAGCACCACAGTTTCTTTAGAAACTTACCCCCTTTATTCATTTGGCTTAAAAAAATTGTCGGATAATTATTGACCGCAATGCCTCTGGGTCCATATGATATAAGATGTTACATTGTGCAATTTTATCACACCAAACAGAGAGCTTTTGTTATCATTCTCTCAATTATCTACGGTAATTAAGATGTTTGTAATAGGCGGATAGTTATTACCAAAACACAAAGTTATCCACTGATAACAACGAATTGTTCTGATGGAGGCTCATAACCTGCGAAAAAGGAAAACATGAAGTGGATCAGTCAATACTGAGCATTCATTCCACGTGTAATGTGTTTCAAATTGCGAAAATACCATTGATTATACTCCAGGTTACTTCGTTTCTAGGTTTATTGTCTACTTCTAGCAAATTCTTACAGAGAAACTAAGAAATTTTTTAAAAAATAATGATACGCCTACCGTTGGGGACAATTGACTATAACTTGAGAATGTTAACATAGTTCAGTGGTTGGTTCCTCTCGGAGCGAGCGGCAGGCGAACAGCAGAAAGTTCGCTCTGACGAAAAGCTCATGCTCTGAACGTCAGCTTTAGATTCTCTTTATGGTGGCAAATTCACATTATTAATTCAGTTTATAAAAACAAAATTTTCTAGTAATACCTCCCTAGGGGTGAAAAGGTTAAGGAAAGATAGTAGACAACTGGTTACTGTACACGAAATCGATGGATATCTTCTTTGTTCCAGATTTTGTGAGTTTTACACTCATGTCTTGCTAACTGAAATACCTCCTTACCTGACTCTCTATCCAAGTGGATGTGTACTTGAAAATTTCAGAAGTAATATTCCTATACTCGAGGTTAAATTCTTCATCAGTCAATTCCAAACTCACATTTACGTGAAGATTGGCTCTGCCTATATAAGATCACAGAATAGCGTCAGAAAACAATCATTATGGGCGGAATGCACTTTGCACATGAGCATCAGTGATGAAAAAATTGCGATTAAAAGTCATTTGTCCTCCAGGGTTGCATTGGTTACGCCTCTTTACAATCTGTGATTGGTTTAGAAAATTTGCGTTAACCTCTTTCCCAATCCGACGATTTCCTTACTTCTTTTTTGCGAGAAGGGCTGACAAGTCAGCTTTTAAAAACTGGCTCCGACGTTCTACCGACTACCTTGATAGACTTTTGGCTCTTTATAACAGGGAAATGTAGTAGTTGAGACCATCCTTACCTTCGTAGTAACTGAACAACTCTTCCACCTCCGACGTGGAAAGCAATTTTAACCAAACAATGATGTCATCAAAAGACGCTTTCGGTAAAGTGTGAGAACCTATTGTGAAGTCAAAGTTGGTTATCTCCGGATAGTTACGAGCCTCACAAGCATTCTGAAGCAAATAATCAACTGCTTTCCCATTACGATACACAGTCATGTCCTCAGATAGTTTATTATTCACTTTTTTCCATGTGAATACCCAATGAGTCCAGACTCCTTGAGGGGCATGAAACTTTACGAAACATCGCCCATTTCCGACCGTCACTTGAAATGTCAGTTCCTCCTTGCTCCCGTCCATCTGGAAGAGATGAATCCCTCTTCCACCTGACACTTCTTCTGCCGAAGCCAGGAAAGTTTGGAAGTCGGGGGGAACTTTGCTATGGTACAGAAGCCACAGAGCTACCGTTACTTGCGCGCTCTTAAGTGGCCAAACGAGATATGATTTTTCTGAGTCGTCGTGTAATCTGATTGGTCCAGCTCCGCCAGCAGTTGAAACAGCTCTGCCTCGCACACCAGTGGTTGATTGTAAAAGGGCGCTCCTTTCAGCCCAAGTTTTTCCTGAAAGGTCTTTAATATCGTTTAAGTGGTCAAACGTCCATACGTACTCTGCTTGTGAAAGCAACTCATCTGCCTTGAAAACGTTATATTCAGACCCTGTATTGGTAATTGCAAAGACAAACTCCTTGGTACTACGTAACTTTTTTTTCGCATTATAACAACACATTTCGGTTTATAAGTTTATCAGTTTTTCTGTCTAACATAAACAAAGTTTCGATGTTATCATGATTATTAATTATTCCCTTACCCCGGCATTTTGCCCTATTAAGGAAATGGGAGGTGCAAGGAAAGCGGAGCAACAAAATGGCGTACCAAACCATCCAAACTTCAATTTTTTTAGACTTGAATTTTAAGGAATCGAACTTTAAGCGCATCAGGTTATTTTGTTGACACAAAGAACACTACAATGATTTCGTTTGTGTTGTTTTCTTCGTTCGCATACGCCTTATGCCGATACGATGCTTAGACAAAACAGCGGGAGTATTTATAAAACTACATACTGACATATTAGTGTAATAATAAATCCCGCGCGTTGAAAAATGTTTGAGGGATGATAGACACAAAAGCTTCCATTTAGCGTAAAGATATCGTGTATTTGCCCTCGGACACTATCTGATCTTCCCAGCCCCCGCCCTTTCTTTTTGCAGAGCTTCGCTCTCGGAAAACTGTTTGCATCTTTCAACGGATTATGTCGGCTGATAAATATCCGTGCATATTTTCGTTCCAAATGGCTATGCTCGTCAGTTGAAAAAAAGAGACGGAAAAGTTCAGAAGGATCGATGAATCTACCACAGTATTTCGTATAAAGTGAATCAAATGTAGTTACCGCCGCAATCATAAAACTCCACCCTCATGGATATGTGTGACTTCCAAGTCTTCGGCATAACCCGGATGTAACGCGCAAAGATGACTGGATTGATTGTGTTGTATACAACAGTGTTCTCATCCCAGTTGGCGTTAAAAATCTGTCAAACAATGCAATTGATTAGTTTCACTGAAAGTTTAAGGACAAAAAAGATGTCACGAATATCTTTTGGTCACACGTTGTTGTCGCATAGAGTTAAAGAGGTTTAGACGACGAAACCTGGGAAAATATCACTTTAAAAAAAAATTTTTCCTCTTAGATAGTTTAGGAGTAGTAGGATGTGATTAGTTTCTCTAACGACGCCAAGTGTCCTCCTCAATATGAAAGGGGAATGGGGCGGAGGGTTCGAAGTATAATACTAGGAAAATTTGGGATCAATATCAGAATCTGGGCAACTACCCACCTACCCCTCCCCTAACCCAACTTTAACATTAACTGTTATTGAGTTAGGGGAGGGGTAGGTGGGCAGTTGCCCAGATACTGATATTGATCCAAAAATTGCCGTTAGTGGTCCCGTTCTCAGAATTTGCAAAGTTATGCGATCTCAGTTCTTGTTTTGGAAGGAAAGGAAAAAAGTTGCAAAACGTGCGTGCTGAGCTACTGTTCAGTTCATTAAATCTATTGTATCGTCACCCTGTCATCGCCATCGCCGTCGCGATTGTTTTTAAAGTCCCTTTAGACTAAGCATGCTCAGTTGGGAAAGTTTAATATCGGCCATGTTCGTTTATGCTTTTTTTTATATGCCTCGATGACCCTGGGCCATTATAACAACGAAAAAGTAAACAAGGAAATTTTCAGTATAAATGACTTGGCGGTTGGTCAATGCCTGACTCAAATATTTCCCTTTACATATTGGATTTTGCGTCAGTCGGGCTCACCTCATTTGTGCCGCACTTTCTATGTTCCTCGAAGTTCGTTCCATCCAAGCTATGAGACAAGGAATAACTCTTCACCCATTGAGGGTTGGTTTTCCTTCCCTGAGTGGCCACTTTGGCTACTGTTGTTTTAACTAGAAAATCGATTTGCAACCACTGGTTGACATCATTACTGCGTGCCGCCCAGGCACCCGCGTTAGCAGCATTGTTCAGCCGTGCGTTGGGAGCCCCGTGACGAGATGAAGGGGCGTATTCAGACGAGCCCGTGATCTGCGAGTCAAGTATGCTTCCACTCTCCATACCCAGGGGACGACAACCGGCATCTGCAAACGACCGGAACATAGTGAATTAATCTGTTTGCATTATTATTAATAGCTGTAACGGGTGGATCGTGATACAGAACTTAGTTCCATTTCGAGACACCAGTGATAACCGCATTACCTTCATCAACATCTCAATTAGGTCGGCAATAACCGATTAGGCAACACACCAACCACTTACAAAATGCAAAAGTAAAAATGAAAATTTGAAGACGTCTTTCTTACAGTAAGGTTCAAGAAGCTTAAGCCCATGACTGCGCCAGGTATGGGTTTAGTTACTAAAATTCTTACAGATAGAGTCGTCACTTGACAGAGCTCAGTTTATTTTTTTCTTAGAATAGTCTTTTGGAAAGAAATTATGTGATATCAGTAAGGATTGCAAGGGTCTAGCAACAACCTAAATGATGAATATGATATACGACGCCACAATGCTATCCTATATAGACTAGGGAGGGTAGCAATTCTAAGTACTCTGTTCCTTTTTTAAAATTTTTTATGATAAATCATGGCTCGTCGAGGGACTTTTGTCAACATTTTTACAGTGAAATTCGGCGTGTTATTGGTTTTACTTTAAATTAATCGGTATTGACTATGTACTTGATCAGAATCTGTAAGCATCAGTCATATAATACAGTTTGAGTACTATAACAATAATTTCATATCTTTACATTCACCTTCACTTGTGAAGCTTTCAAGTTTGCTATCTGTATGATAGCAATTTGACCTCTTGATTGTATCATATCGACTTCTATCCCTGATTAGAGCATCTTCATAGTAGCATCGCCAGTTACGCACTGAGTCAGCGGTATGCCTGATGTCGTATCGTGCAAATAATCGACCTGAACAGTTGATTGGCCTTTGATGTTCCCATTGTTCCTTGCAGCTCTTGTCCCTTAGTTGTCGCAACTCTAGTGCGGAACAGAAATAGAAATAATTGAACCACAAATACAAGTGAACGATAAAAGTCATTTATGGCAAATAATGTACCTAACATTGATGAGATAACAGGCTATGGCGTAAAATCATATGCAGTGGTTCTAGACTCCCTATTTGAGGGTACACAGTTGCTCTTTTATTTTTCATTTAACACCCTGAAAGAGAATTCTGATAGAAATGTTGCATTCTTTGATTTATTAATATCAGAAAAATAATATAAAGCTTTTGTATCGCAAATTTGAATTTTAGGTAAATATCACATTTTATACTCTGTCGCTAATTAAAAAGACCTGGTAATCGGTGCTTAGTACCTTTGGATATTGGATTGCGTGTTTTCCATTGCATAATGCAAGCAGGTGTCGGAGTAGGAGGATAAAAGGAAATCTTACGTTACTTTCCATTGCATAATGCAAGCAGGTGTCGGAGGTGGAGGATAAAAGCAAATCTTACGTTACTTTCCATTGCATAATGCAAGCAGGTGTCGGAGTAGGAGGATAAAAGCAAATCTTACGTTACTTTCCATTGCATAATGCAAGCAGGTGTCGGAGTAGGAGGATAAAAGCAAATCTTACGTTACTTTCCATTGCATAATGCAAGCAGGTGTCGGAGTAGGAGGATAAAAGCAAATCTTACGTTACTTTCCATTGCATAATACAAGCAGGTGTCAGAGGTGGAGGATAAAAGCAAATCTTACGTTACTTTCCATTGCATAATACAAGTAGGTGTCAGAGGTGGAGGATAAAAGCAAATCTTACGTTACTTTCCATTGCATAATACAAGTAGGTGTCAGAGGTGGAGGATAAAAGCAAATCTTACGTTACTTTCCATTGCATAATACAAGTAGGTGTCAGAGGTGGAGGATAAAAGCAAATCTTACGTTACTTTCCATTGCATAATACAAGCAGGTGTCGGAGTAGGAGGATAAAAGGAAATCTTACGTTACTTTCCATTGCATAATACAAGTAGGTGTCAGAGGTGGAGGATAAAAGCGAATCTTACGTTACTTTCCATTGCATAATGCAAGCAGGTGTCGGAGGTGGAGGATAAAAGCGAATCTTACGTTACTTTCCATTGCATAATGCAAGCAGGTGTCAGAGGTGGAGGATAAAAGCAAATCTTACGTTACTTTCCATTGCATAATGCAAGTAGGTGTCGGAGTAGGAGGATAAAAGCAAATCTTACGTTACTTTCCATTGCATAATGCAAGCAGGTGCCAGAGGTGGAGGATAAAAGCAAATCTTACGTTACTTTCCATTGCATAATGCAAGTAGGTGTCGGAGTAGGAGGATAAAAGCAAATCTTACGTTACTTTCCATTGCATAATGCAAGCAGGTGCCAGAGGTGGAGGATAAAAGCAAATCTTACGTTACTTTCCATTGCATAATGCAAGTAGGTGTCGGAGTAGGAGGATAAAAGCAAATCTTACGTTACTTTCCATTGCATAATGCAAGCAGGTGTCAGAGTAGGAGGATAAAAGCAAATCTTACGTTACTTTCCATTGCATAATGCAAGCAGGTGTCAGAGGTGGAGGATAAAAGCAAATCTTACGTTACTTTCCATTGCATAATGCAAGCAGGTGTCGGAGTAGGAGGATAATAGCAAATCTTACGTTACTTTCCATTGCATAATGCAAGCAGGTGTCGGAGTAGGAGGATAAAAGCAAATCTTACGTTACTTTCCATTGCATAATACAAGCAGGTGTCAGAGGTGGAGGATAAAAGCAAATCTTACGTTACTTTCCATTGCATAATGCAAGCAGGTGTCGGAGTAGGTGGATAAAAGCAAATCTTACGTTACTTTCCATTGCATAATACAAGTAGGTGTCAAAGGTGGAGGATAAAAGCAAAGCCTACGTTAAATACTTGAAAACACTTCGTAATTGTTCGTTTGGGCTTTCGGAATTATACAAACATTACGCTAGTGATCAGGAATTTAAGTGACAAAATATGGAAAACGAAGGATCGAAACTGGTCAAAGGAAAAAAAAAAAGAGTGATGTGTGATTGTGAATGACCCATTCGGTTCACCTTGCTTCCTTCTGCACATCTCTTCCTCTCTCCTGGTCGGGTCACAAATGCATTTTCCTGCAATTTCATCACAGCTTTCTCCTTCCCAACAAGGTGGATCGCATAAAGAATCTACGTGTAAATTGATTTGAGATTGAGTTGATTTACTTTACCACGAGTGTGCATGCAGAGAGAAAAGCTGTGAAATTAATGCTTGCCTTCAGTTATGAAATATTCATGTCACTATCTCCTTGACGACGTAGAACTATTACAGGACCTCTACTTTTAAATGGTGCTGTATAGGGGTTTTACCCAGATCATAGAGGTAAGAACGAGAACCAATTTGTCCAGCAATAGATGGCCTCGTGCAAGAGATTATATCTTATTTTATGAAGATATTCTCAGGCAACTTATTAATCTGCGATGTTTGGACGGGATTTAAAACTCTGTTAAGTGGGGGCCTGTATATAAAAAGCACAGGCCAGATCACAACACCGGGAGTTACGTTACATGGTCTTCGCAAGAAGTGTGTGGGTCCTTAAATATCCCTTGCTAACCAGTACAGAGAAGCTACAGGAGAAGAGGCCCAGCGTTTATTTTCCTTATCCGGAAAGACTTGAATGTCTACCCATTTGAGGATGGCATGGCAAAGGCAGCATATTCTCCTCCTTAGGTTTGTAGTTACTGGTTAGGCATTAATTTTTATCCGAAGAATTATCTGGCATAGCTGGAGCGGTTACGCATTCGATTCGGATGCTTTGTTGCCTACCTCCAATTACAAAAACCTGAAGATCATCAGCCTGGAAAGACGTTTGTCCGGTAAAATATTTACTGACAGTTGCATCCGTAATTCCACTGACGTTAAATACTCCACCGATAATGATTCCCGTTGCGACATTCTGGTCGTTGAAACAAAGTTCTTGTCTCTCCTCCCCCCAGCACGGCCCGCTATATCTGTGGATATGTAAGGCTTGATGTCTTTTTTCCAGTAACACGTCAAGCTTCTTTGGCTTATCGCTGAAAGGTTTTAAGCTGAAGAGGAATGCGTTGCTAGACGGAAATACTTTATAGGGATGGAAATCTGGAACAAAACGAGTGTCAGTAGATGATGTAAAAAATATCTGTTGATGGAGTGCCAATATATTTTGACCCAAATATAATGCTTTGAGATTCTGGAGTTCAATTCAGGAGTTCAATTCTAATATTCCTCTGACAAAATTCCGCACCTGGCCTCGAGCCCTAATCAACTGTTATGTGTGCTTGGACTTAGTAGAACTGTGCTCCATTAAGACAAAATAGAACAATTTTTGAGGGTAAGTTGGAGTCGCGATTGATGCGTTTGAAATCTTTGCACTCAACTGAGCCGATGGCATTACGAGAGATAGCTTTTATACATACAAAGCGAATGATGAAAAAGAGAAGTACAGTTATGCCACGTTAATTTAACCTCGTTTACCAACATAGATACAAAATGGCTGATAAATTGTTGCTCACTTTTCCAGCTTTTATCAGAGAATCCCCCAAACACAAATGAATCTATCCTGGCTATAGTGACAGAGGGGCCTCTATTATCACACATTCGGTGAAAGACGAGTTTTTGCCATCCATTGACATGGGCTCTGTAGCATGGAACCCAGTACTTCTCTCCATACCCTGCCTCGGAAAGCCACTTCATTAACATGTCCTGGTAACTAGGAGCGTGGCTGATCATGGCTGAGTGGAATCCTAAGAACAAAGTAAGTTTGATCAAGCAGACTATCAACTTGACATGTCTCATTTAGCTGTGACCCGAGGAGTGTGATCATCCAAGGGTACAGCGCATAGGTCATGCTTTGACAGCTTTATAGCTTTTTTTCTTCTGCGTATGATGTTCATCATTGTTGAAACTACGTTATTGGAAAGTTCAAATTGAGGCTTTTTTATTGGTTAGCCTGCTTTAATACGGCATGAATTTGTATTCCAAGTAAATATTCTTACTAATGCTTGGCACGTGTACATGCATGCACAGGGGCAATGCAACTTCACCTGTGATCTTCGGGCAGGCTTCAGTTGGAATGCACGTACAGCTGGAGTTCAATCCCGCTTTTATGTTTCGAATCCCAATCTTCCCACCGATCCCGCCATCACTTAGAGCTTCAAACTTGATCTGTCATGAGGACAATAAATAAAAAGATAATGTTTAATAATACATCGAAGCAACAAGCATTACCATTTACTTTTTTATAAACTCCTTATTGCTGATAAGTTTAACTTATGCCATCATTTTTTTGCTGTGTGATGAACTGAAATTTAACGATACGTAGGTATCATTTCCTAGAGGTCGAAAGACATGTACAAACGTACGCACAAACTTTCAGCTTTTTAGCCAAGAATGATTCCTTCAAGTCAAATTTTCCATTTTATTTTTTCACAATGAAGAAACGTAACCCATCCAAATAATTTTTTGTGCCAAAGTAATAACATATTTCCTCTTTAACTCTTCCCCATTTAAGCAAGTTGTGTCGTTCAGACATTGGAACGATGCAGAGGATTTTGGTGGTCGCTTTGAAGTGGATGACGAGTCATAGTGGTTTTAACCTACGCCATAGTCACTTTACTCATTGTCGTCATTACCCGTTTCTGTCACATTACTAATCATTAATGGCATCAGCATTATCGCCATTATCATCCTTATCACCATCATCATTTTTGTCAACGACAACAAATTCTACTAATCACCTTGAAACCGTGGACTGCATTAAGGGTAACTTGAGCAAATTTCCACTGGTTTCCTTGATCACCAACAAGTCGCCATCGTAAAGATATCGTGTTCTCTTGGTCGACAGTAAAAATATTCAGTCTACTAGCATTTTCTCCTGACATGTCGTAATGAAAGCTCAAGCAATTCACTGTTCCCGCAAGATAAATACTCTCAAGAGCTGAGAGAGTCGTTCTTTGACGAGGGTAGGACATGCTTGCTTGCACGTAGTCTGTTGCTGAACAATAAGAGAGAAAAGTATCAAAATTATATCAATTTAATTAGCAATGTTTTGCATTAAGTCATGCAAGCAGGACAGACAAGAATTAATTTTTGAAAGCGTTTCTTTTGCGCTAATTAATCTTAAATGCTTATTTTCCAGGACTTTTAGTAATTTGTTTTTCTCAAAAGAAAATACGAGTAAAAATGAGGCGAGTAATGAGATCCGGAAGAACCGCGGCCGAGGTTGGTGCTTCTCGACCTAGCTCCTTCCCTTTCTTACCACAACACAGCTTGCGTCTGCGTATTGGCCTGAACTGGAGCAACCTTTTTTTAACACGAGAAAGAGCGGGAAAGATCCGACGAAACGCGTCGAGAGAGGTTTGTTTCGTTTCAGCCTATTCCCCTTCTTACCAAGGAGTATCTTATCTCCACCTTTCTTTTATCCTTGATCGAACCGGAAAACAAAAACAACTTGTAGGGCTGAATATTTCTTTTTCTTACCTCTTAGACCTGCTTTCCCACTGTTCACGCTATTGGCGTAACAAACTAATGACCATTTAATCAAATTTAAATGTTTGTGGTTTTGTCTCAGTGCAATTTGGTCAAACATTTTGGAAACTGCAAATTTGATATGAATGTTGGTGAAACTTACCCTCTTCTCGAACTTCAACTTCGCATAATTTCAAGATGCCATTACCAACAATCCTTGTTATGCTTACAAATCTTCCCTTCAGAGGCGAGGGGCAACGAATTCTTTTCCAATGCAACTGTTTAAATCTAAAAGATCCCCCACACGGTGAGTTCTTCTTTAGATTGGGGTTGTCGTGATTTCCTACTCTTATCTGAAGCAAGTAGTTCACTGATACATAAGAGTGTTTGTAGATATATACATCATGAACTAAAACTTCTCTTTCCAAATCCACTCGCCACCATGGGTCCTTCTGTGAAGTTGTTTTAGTGCATTTCTCTGTGTCTATATTGTAATGACTGCCATCTGTTGCAAAGGAGGAAGCTTTAATTGTGCCTGATTGGGCTGTAGGTTTCTTGAAAGCCGCGTTGTTACTGTCTGAAAACGAAAAAAACTCTTCGCTGAAGGTAGCTTCGCCCAGGAATATTCAGTTGAAGTTCTTTGTCATAGTTCTATTATAGCTTGGTTAAAAATTGCTAACGGGCATACACGACTCCTGCCCATCGCATGCGATTTTAATCTTCTGCTTTCAAAGGTTAGGTCTCACCAGAATATATTTTAATAACTTTCCCATCAAAACAATCTTGGGAGAGTTGAATCCTTTATAAGCCAAATACTATCTTTTGATAGCTGTGAGTGATCTGAGCTTAAACATTTGAGTTATTTGTGAGTAGGGAACTGCCTACCACAAAGATAATATTTTGTTTTCGTTTCTCAAGCCATTCGTTATGCGATGGTTGTATGAAAAATGACTGCATCATACATTTCTAGTACACTTCCTTCTGAATATTTGAGCTCGAGGTTCCTAATGAAAGTTATGGACTAGGGGTCACCAGGTAGACGACGCTTAATAAATGATAATGATATTTTACCGTGCGTCAGGCCTGAGAAATTGATTACTATTCCTAGTGACTTGAGATATTTTCAACTGACCGACACACTTCCAAAGCATAAAGAGTTCATTCGAGATGGCTGTTTAGTCCTTAGCACGTTTGAAAAGATTTAAACTTTCATTTTCCCTCAAAGAAGACAATAATCGGCGATAAATAACGATCGATTCAAGCAACAATTCACTTTTAATAGTTAGCAGGCCTTGCAGTAGATTACAGCCAACCCAAACGTCCAATCGCGAAGCGCCAAGCTTAGCCCCACATACCTTTAATTATGTAAATATTCATGTAATTAGTTGCTCCTTTGCCATTTTTGCAACCTTGGGATGTCTCAGTATAGCTTTTCTCGATATCAGAATACTCGACTGGAGCGGACAAACATTTCCCTCCACTCGCTACAGCGAACATTTTGTTTCCTTTCCTGCGCGCGGCGTGAAGACATTTTTGTACAGCATCCAATCTGGAAACGTGGTTGCCAGTCAGTATGGGGTCTGTACCTTCCAGACTTGGTATCGGTGGACCGGAGTCTATTTTAAAACAGCCCATGTTGTGGTATTCTGTAGAAATAACATTGAGAGAGATAATATTTTGCAGATACATGAATGGAATTTCTCTAATCCAAAGTTTTATATCTGGTCGGATGTATTTTCGAAATATTTTCGCCCGAAGAGGCCAGATTTCTAGCCAACGTCACAGTTGCCTCCTCGGCCTTTTCCATCTTTTTTTTCTCACCATGCTACCCTCCCTCCCCCCTCCCCTGCCGGTTTCAAGATTCCACAGAGAAGCCTAATTTTTCGTAAATTGTTCTCTGATGTGTTTCGAGTTCCTCCATGGTTGTTACCATTGCAAATATATCTTAGATAAATCCTCCCTTCTCTTTTTTCAACTCGTGGCGTTTTGAACAATAAGGAGCTAGACACAGATGCCTACTTTTTTCAGGTAGAGATTTTAATGCGATTATCAATCTCGCTGGTATTTGTAAGACGAGTGCTTTGATTTCCGCCTTCTTATTTGAGTTCAGGGGCGCCAGGAGTGCGCAGCCTGGTTACTAAGTTACCTAAAGGTCGTATCCATGGTTAAATATTCAACACAATCTTTAAAAATCTCAACACGCGAAGAGGAGTGAATTTTACTGGCGACGAAGAACATTAAATGGTTTCTAGAGTTGTTTTTGTCTCCAATAAGAGACAGTTTCTGATGCGATTTCCTTACTTACTAGTGTCTTGGGGTATTACGTCAAACCTTTGCTCATCAGGACTCTCCCGAGGAACACGTTTTAGCTCCCATGGATAATCATAATTGCCAGTATTTTTCCACATGTACCAGGGAAGAGCTATTAAGACAGAAATGTTAGAGCTTGGGTCATTCATGATTTTTGACTGGAATATTTTACTTACTGTAATAATTGCGATATTGACTGTATCAGTGTTAGAGGAAACGTTCACCTCTTACATTTGCATTTCAACTTTAATCGTATCAGTTTTGCGTTTAGGGAGGGAAAGCTTCCTAGTTTCTGATGCCAATAGTAAAATGGAGGATGGATTGCAAACCAATTGTTAGTTCAGAGTACAACCTTTAGGGACCGGTCATTATTTAAGTAAAAAAGGGAGGAAAAAAGAAGGGGGGGAGGGTCAAGGCTATTTCAGATTGGCAAGAGGGGGGGCTAAACTTATATAAAGAAATTTAGGGGGTCAGAAGACTGAGGTACATTTTAAGAGTTCTCCATTACCCAAGGTGGGTGTCACGCAAAGTAATTATCTTATAGTTGCATATGACTTAAATTTTGAAAATTACGAGGCATGTGAGAGGAGGTCTGAGGTGACGAGGGAGTCATCACCTTAATATTGAATACAGAAGAAGGGGTCACCTGCTAATTACATCACGGCCTGGGGGGGAGGGGTTGGGGGGGTCGGCTTATAGAAATTGTAATCTTTTCAGAATATCTTTCCCTCCCTCCTCTTAATAAATGGTGACCTGTCCCTCATTTACTAATCCTGTTTTTTAAAGTAAGGAATGTAAATATCGTTAAGCTTTGTGGTCGTGTATTAACATAGAAAGCGCGTTTCTGTTTCATTAAATATTTCGCGAAATGAAAGGTTTCTAAGCCCACTGAATTTTAAAGTTGAGTGGTATAACGATGTATGTACACAAGTGTTCCTAACACCATCTTAAAGGTTTCAGCGGGAAAAAAAAACGCGCTATATAATCATCTTACCAATTTTAAGCTCAAAATCTGAGGATTTTAGTTGGCATGTTAGTGGTAATGTCAGCTGTTATCCAATTGCTAAATTTACAAAATAACAAACATTCGAATAAAGGAGGTTAGTTTGTAAAGAAACTGTGGTGCTGCGTCGGTGGAAGAGTACAACAAGATAATTTGGTTTCATCAACTGAGTTGATAATGTAAATTGGCCTCCGTTAAGAGTTTCAAAGCTGACGTTTCGAGCACTAGCCCTCCATCACGCCCGAAACGTCAACTTTGAAACTCTTTGCGGTGGCCAATGTACGTTATCGGTTCAGTTGATAAAACCAAACTTATCTTCCTAAAAAAAACATCAGAGATAATTACCGCGGAAGGCAAGAAAAGTGATGCTGACATTTTGTCATTTACCGTTTTCTGCCTCTTTCAGGCTTTGTGTTGTTTTCTTGCCTTTGCCAAAGGCTTGCGTGATTTTGCTAAACAACGCGCGGTAGAGATTTGTACTCGGCAATCGAATTGGTTACGCCTATCTTGCGTGCGGAAAACGTACGCGAAACTAGAAATCCACCTTGACTTCTACAATAATTCATTGTGACTCTCAGCCGTGGGTAAAACAATTAAACCATATATTAAGTACATGATTTCTGATACATTTGATATCCTGAATTTTAAATTCGCTTCTAATTACCTGAACATGCTTGCATGTCTTCCATTTTTTCTGGCGGAATGACCGACTCCCAGATTCTTAGGTCGGAAATCTGCAGATTATGTGTTCTCTTTAAAGGAGAAGTAGTTGACTCCCTTCCGATATAAAACCGTGGGAAGGTACTCTCAGTTGCGTAAAGAAGTCGTGCGGGACTGGTTGACTCGACTGTGAGAACGCCATTCTGATAGAAGCGCAATCCCCATTGGTTACTCCACGTGATACCCACGTGTACCCATCCCAGAGGGTAGTCTGGAAGTCTAGCTTCCCAAATGTGAGGGCCCGCGGATACCGACAGATGATATGTTTGTGTAAACTCTTGAAAGCCAAAGACAATTCCAGCGCTGCGTTTGCTAACAGTGCCTGTTGCCAAAATGACGTCTATATTTTCTGCTCGGAAAAAAAAACATAGCAAATCATGTTTGGAAATAGTATTCCATGGTAGAAAAATTTAGCCAGCCTGAAATTAGACCCTCGATATCTTTTTAATTGAAGTGTGGCCATACCAAACAGAGCCCGTGTTTGAATGGAGGACTTTAAATCCCTTAACGTTGTGAAAAATGATTACACTGCATAACACGTCGGATAAGAGAACAAAAAAAGTGTAGAAGCTTTGAGTCAAGAACACTTGACAAAGAGGATAATCTGAGTTTCACTTAAAGATTATACTCTATGCAGATCGAGCGCTATGGTCGAGCGCAGGGAGCTGGTGTCGAGTTTAGCCGTACGCTGGAACGTGATTATGGAAGACTTCGGTGATCCCTTGAAAACTGCCCACCTTAACCCTTAAACAGAATTTCTCCTTACAGCATCAACACAATATCAGGCAGACAAGTAATGGGAGCAAAGAAAAATCTCAATTAGTGGATTATTAGTGGACACAATTGTAAATTCTGCAAATTAACATCGTAAGAATTGTATGGCAGACAGTAAGGAGGCTTATTAATGTGATATTGGCTTTGGAAGGGTTAAGTACTTTTGTGAAATGTTGGTTTAAACCTTGTCGATATTCGTGCACATTAAATGTATTCGGTAAAGTTGACATTGCCACTATAATGCCTTTTGTAAATGTTTAGATGCATGCAAATTAAAAAGTCATAGATATAACAGAGGTACCCTTTTTGCAAGCAATTTTACGATTTGTAGTGCACAGCACAGTGTTCCATTCTCCAGTGTCTTCTTGCTCCACACATTCTTTGCTATTGTCACTATGATCACCCGATTTCCAGTTTGTAAAGTCGGCCAAGGAACCATCACTCCATCTAAATATGCTCTTGTGCGTGGAATCCCGTCGTAAATCCAGCCACCAACTGTAACCACTTTTCTTTAGGAAGTTGTTCTCTTCTATCGACGTCACTTTGGGTAAGTCAGCACCTCGCACACGACAAGTGTTTACAGCGTGAGACTGTGGTTGTGAATGATCCGAAAACCAGTAACAGGAACCCTGGAAATATTCCCAACCAGAAGGACACCGCGCTGGACAAGAACAAAAAGGGGAACAAGGTTTTTAATGTTCAGTCTCTATGCGGTCTCTGTAGCGTTGAATATCAATTATGGGTGTTGTAGTTCGGCCCCTGAGTAGGGACTGAAATTTTATGCAGGAGGACTTTCAATGAGAAATTCTTGCCAGTAAAAAGTATCCCGTCGACAGAGGTTTTCAAGGAGTGAATATAACTTGAATGTAACTTGAATATAGCTTTAAATTCATTCGGAAACAATAATACCTCCACTGCATGGAAATGTTTCCAGAATAGAATTTTCCCTAAGGGTAGCTTTTTAATGATCTTTATCATTAGAAATTTTGTGAACAGACTCCAAAAGAAAATGGAGCACATCAACAAAAGACAACCTCTAACCTCAACAACTTCCTCAATGAAATATCCTTACCTGATATATAAATCTCCACCCTCATGCAACAACTAGTTGCTGTGTTGCATTCTCTGGCGTTGAACTTTACTAAATGTGCTTTGAATGGAGGTAAAAAAGTTTGCTTCACCACTCCGTTGCCATTAACATTTCCCACAAACTCCTGTAAGGTACAGATAAAAGCATGTGTTGCGCATAACTTACGAACTGGTCGTCCAGAAGGAACCCTTAGTATACTCGTTGGGCTGAGTTCACAGATTGCACTATTTTAGTACCCAAGGCTAGTTATGAATATTTTGAGACAGGTAACTTGTGATGTTTCCTTCGCATCCAGCTACTTTGAAAGCACAATGAAATACGTGGAATTGTTCTGTTTTGTTCCATGTCGATACTTATTGATTTTCCTTCGGAAATTAAAGGAGGATGAAGAATCATACCTTCGGTGTCAGCCAAAAAATCACAAAATTTTTCAGTATTAATACTTCAAATATTAACCGAAACAATTTCTGACTATGCAATAGGAACAAGCAATTGAGTCAGCAAGGACCTGTAAACATTCGATTGTAGGAACAGGTGATCAACAGCTTCACGCTTCTGCCGTGAGCTAAACTTTGACCTGAATTGTTTTCCTAATACAGAGTCACCATAGTACCTTAACGTTTCCGTCCTCTTCAAAATTCTCCCAACCTCCACTCGTCGTTTTGTAAGCCAATGTAAACTTCTTTACAAAGCCGTAATTGTCCCGAGCGCCTTGGGTGTTTATACCATTTATGTCATAGTCTCGACCAAGGTCTATTTGAAGCCAAGCCCCCACGCTTCCACACCAGGAGGCGTGGCAGTTTCTCAACTCGTGCAGCCGAGCTAGTCTTGGTTCAGTCATACATTTCCAAGAGGATGTTGACCAGTAACTGACGTCGTGAAGAGTGACAGCTGTGAGTAGTGAACACAGGGTAAATTAGCCGTTGAATGGGGCAGATTAGGCGTTAGAGTATTCAGTTATTATTTTTTTGTCGTCATTATTATGTTTTTATTTACTTGTCCCGATTCTTAAGTCTCAACATTAATGATCCTAGCAGAACGCTTGTCACACATGAACCCAAAGTATGGCTCAGCTCGTTAAGGAGTTCTCAGGAGAAAATGACCGCGAAATCTTAATTCTGAATTTCGATCGCTTGTAGAAGATATTTTTTCCTTTTCCTAAGCTCTTGACAAAACGAATGGCATCCTGTGTTATTTCTCTTCGTTGTCTCTCACGGTTGGAAAATTCTCTGCTTGTTGGCTTCTGTTTTATTATGACTATACGAGTTGCCATGGTCAGTTGTGGAAAAGGCGTGTACAGATTGTGTCTACGTCAATGTACTGGTAGACCATATGGTTGCACGACGTAGAGGCTGATTTTATGACCATTGGAGATGTCTCACCGAGTCGATAACCTTGAGGGCTCTTGACTCGGGGCCTGTTTCTCGCCTTCGCCAGCTTGGGTCTAAACATTACCAATTACTGGTTGTCAATGATTCCAACTTTTCATGACGTCTTTACTTTGCTCATATTGATTTACTGCATAGGCTTCGGGGAAATTCTTCAAACATGCCGACCTCGTGGTTTCCTAATATTAAAATTCTTACTGCAGACAGAGCGAAACCAAATATTTTACCTTTTTCGCAAATGAAATCCAATTCCTTGTCACAGCTTACTGTGTACCAATTTCCAGAACTTTTCGAGAGAGAGGCACACTCGGTTCGGGTGACTTCATAAGCAGGTTCTCCTGCCTTCCATGCAACATATCCAGAATTTGTATGATCATTTGTCCAGTTCATTTTGTTCCCTGGAATCTCTTTAAGTCCAATCCACCTTTCGCTCTCTGTGTTGGCAGCAATGAAATCGTTTTCTTTCTTAGATCCAATGTTGACCAAGCTCGCCGACAAACCCACGCAGGTGGTTTTCGCGGCTTCCCAAGACTTTGAAGTTGTTGAGAAAAAATAACAAGAGCCTCTGAAGTATTTCCAGTCGGGGAGGCAGTACTCTGTAGAGAGAATTAAAAAAATAATAAAACTACAACGAAAGAACTTCGACGAAGTTACTTACGTAAATCGCTGGAAGCATTTCTCTGAGGTGAAACTTGTGTACCTGAGGGTTACAGCTCTTACAGCTCTTATCATGCTGTACACGATTCGACTTTGACTCAGTCGGCAGAAATGCAAGAAGCAAACAAACAAACAAACAAAAATCCACTTCCGTCACGTATACAAACTTCCTTGTTCGTTCAACATCCGACGCGGCTTATTACACCGATAAACCGATAGTAGGTGTAATTGCTTTTATAAGATAAACGTCAATATTCTATTGGTCTACTGCTGCAATAAAAGGTACGTTTTTGACCAATAAGGGTGCTTGTTATCTCAGTTATTTCATAAATGTATATAAGGACAACCATGTTCTTGTGACTAACCTTTTAATACGCCCACTCTCATGCAGGAGGCCGTTTTTGCGTGTATCACTGTGAATCGCACATAACGTGCAGTGTAACTGTTTGGATAGAAGTAATTCAGAGATCCATTCGAGGTCTACAAACAAAGACAGAGATGTCAACTTTTTTGTTTCAAATGAAAAAGACATAGAAGAAATCGAGTCCTTAACTCCTTCAAGCACCAGTAGATGGGAATTACTTACCACTTCATGGAGCCATGAGTCACCCAACGATCCATCAAGACGCATGCCTATTTTGTACAAGGTGACTTCAGCGTTTGAGTCATGTGATCCTTGAACTGCCACGCCATATATGGTCTGATCCGTCCCAAGGTCCAATTCGAGCCATTCATTTGCGCCATTAGTGTAAGAACACCATGAACCCTGCTTGTTGTCGAAGAAGGCGTGTTCCGGCCGTCCTGGTGCTTCATTATCGTCCAGACTAGAGCTTGCACTCAATTGGGAATCAGAAACCGTCCTTTTGCGCAGTCCAAGCTCGTTAGAAGTGGCTACAAAGAAATGAGAGGAAAAGGGCAGACTTAGCACTTTATGTTACCAAATGGCTCGTGTCAGCATTGCAACTTCCAAAATTGCTACCTCTGCACATAACCGCCGTTTATCTTTTCACATTGACGAAAGCTAAAATAAACCTCTGTTTTTCAATAATAATAATTGTACAGCAGTGTTGCTTCTTCCTCTGTATTTACGTTAGTTCAACGCAAGATACTGCCTCTCCGGACCTCTGATTTGGGTGGGTAGTACCACACCATCCTAAGACTAAATTTCTGCGCAAATCACATATCATCGTCAATAGAGCAAAAGTAAGAGCCACAATATGACTTTACTGCAGATCATTTCTTTACTTTTTATCCCTTGTATTCGCAGCTAACAAATTGATTGAGAAGGTTCATTAAGGGTTTATCTCTAGTATGCTAGAAGAGACTTCTAAGTTTCGTACGTTTTCATTCATATAAATGCACTCCGGCAAAGAATAAACTTGTTCATGTTCGCTCAGTGACTACAAGAACCCTTTTCGATCAATAACGCTGAAAGTAGCTTTCAGGGTGATAAAGATAAATAATTATGTCTGTTTTTGTGTTTATGACCTTACGTAAAATGAAATTCTTGGCCATACCGGCGTAATAAAATGCCTCCAAGTCATCCACTATGAAGTATTTACTCCCGGCCAATAGGGAGTCTCGTTCGTCGATACTAAGAGCCAGACTGCTTGGGAACTTATACGAGTTGTTGAGACTTGTGAAGGATTCTGCGCTCCCAGCAGGTAAAGAGTGGACGTTAATGTCATTTTCTCCAAAAATGGGTCCAAATGTGCTGCTCTGAGTCGCTGCGTGATCTGATTTATCGCTTTTAAGATCCATCTTAAAAGGTGCTATTCCTCGCAAATTTTTCAAGCTGAATATAAATGCATGGTTACTTTTTATGTAACCGTCCGCACCTGAAAAACAGTTTTGCAAAATATACTTACGGACCCTACGGTAAGATTGATATTTATAAGGGCCGTCCCTGCCTTTCCATTTTCAACGAGTCATATCACTCGCTCGCTAGAAAAATTTTTCCTACTGTGTAAGGTCATAACAGCTGAGGGGAGAATCACAAATGAGAATCACAAAGTCTACAAAATGACCGTCAGGAGCACTACCACCATATGATGACAACTATAAACTTATTTGAGTTTGCCCATTTTCTTTCCCCGATTTTCGTTTGGAACAGTTCGAGATCGAATGGAAGCGTGCAAGATTATTAAAGAAATAATAAAAGCTTCTTGTCCTGATACCAATTTACATTGCTGTGTAGTTTTAATTTTGAATGTTAAATTTGTAGTTGGTTTGTTGGACAATTTTCTCGACTCACCTCCCCAGTTACTGTACAGAAATCCTCCAAAAATGTTCTTTTGAACCCGAATGAAAGTCACAGTCGGTCCTAAGCCGTCGCAACTGTGGAAATGAGTGCCTTTCCAATTGGAAGATGCTTTGAAACAACGCAGCCACGCACCCTCTTTCGGAAGTAGAGCGTCAAGCCATCTTCCAAGAAGGTTATCGTACTTATCTTTATACCCAGAAATTGTTGTAATGAAGCGTGCTACAATATTGAAATGTAACTGTTATTTCCACGTGACTTATCCTCATTATACAACACTAGGGAAATTGCAAAGTAACAGGATATCCCACTCGAGATATGTGGCCCATAACGCGAAAGCGTATCCCGTTTTCGGAGTATGAAGCGACTTGGAGTAGTTCTACTTCCCCTGATTGAAAGGTCAGTCCATCCCAGGTTAAGAAGTGGAAAGAAGTATTAAGCAGGCATGTTTGTTTAGGAAAAGGGGAAATACAGCTGAGAAGGCCCTAATTTTATTTGAAAAATTCCTATCGCTCTTTCATCTGTAATACTATCATCAACACTTAATGCTTCCTTTCTAGCGTATTTTCTACATCCATACTTCTTCCATGAATGTAATTCAGGATTGCGCTCTGTGTTTGCCATAAGACAAGGACTGTATACCAGTTAACATTGCACCTTTGCTAGCAAGGTATGTGCGCAGTTTGAATAACCCTGGGCCCAGTTGTTCGAAGGCCGATTAGCGCTAACAAAAAATTTTAATCTGGGTTTCTTTATTCCTTTACTCAAAGGCCTTTTTGGGATAATTTTCGGTGTTCTATTTAAAGCGTCAAATATTCATACTCTAGACTAAAAGAATTCGACTGAATTTCCTTTTACAGCTTTTAGACCTGAAATCAGATTTCAGACTAACCCTGGTTATCTTAACCCAGCTTTGAACAACCCGGCCCTGGATGACTGAGAATGCACGATTTTGCCGCAAATTGTTAACAAAACACTAAGAAAGTTCATATGTTTAGAATTCTTGTTTTACCCTCTGGAGCCGAATTAATTTCCGCAAAGCTCTTTTGTTACCTCAAAAAGCAAAAAAAAGGGATGAGTAACATGGTTCTGCTTCTTGGCCGTTTTAACAAAAAATCTTGATCTGTCAAGGACGCTTTCCCATCCATTTTAATTATAAATTTAAAAGAACAAGCAACCGAGAGACCTCGTACTTACGCTTGTGACGCAACCAAAAGCCAAGGGAAAGTCCTTGATGACAAAGACTCGGATTACCAAGGCATTCTGATTGAACATCGACGCTCACGGCCAAGTTCTCGTAGACTTGTAAGCTCGCCATGCCTTTCACTCTGTTAAAGCCATGTTTGTTAAAGACCCCTGACGTTGAGGAGAGAAGGTCATATGTCTTTCTGGAATTAGAGGCGCCGCGTCTTCTAAAATCCCAGTAGGCGACTTCTGCGGAAGAAAACAGAAAACATAACGGCTATATCAGTAGGAAACGTATTGGCATAAATGCCTGGCTTGATGTACCGTAAATGAATGAAGGAGGGTATAACAGGATAATTCAGTATCATATATACCAACTGAGTTGATAACGTAAATTGGCCACCGTGAAAAGGAATAAAGCTGACGTTTCGAGCGCTAGCCCTTCTTTCATCGCTCCTGAAGAATGGGTAATGCTAGAACCGCCAGAATTTAAACTCTTTACGGCGGCCAATTTACGTTTTCTACTCAGATGATATTACTTAGTTACCTTGATGCAACATAGTTTCGATTTGTAATGACACAAACCTTGAAGGTGAATGTCTTATAGTGGACATACATATCTTGTAAGTTGCTTTCACTTTTTAATGATATACATGGGAAAATAGCGTGCGTCTAATTGGCTGAAAACGATTGCATTTTTCCTGCAACACGAATGCAAAGTTGTAACACGAGTCAAAATTTTAAATAGCGCGCGCTGCCAAAGTTTCGTCCGGCTTGACTTACTGTGATGCGTATTTCATGTAAATTATTACCAAGAAACAACATGATTTCTCGAGAAATTTGTTGCAAATAAGCACTTGTAAAAATTTTAAAGACCACAAACTGCAATTTCGGTGTCTTTGAAAAATTTACTTATGCTTTTTAACACAGTAGTGCGCGAGAAATCATGTTGCCACCAACGAAGTTGACAGTCAATAGGAAGGGAAGGAATGGTGACCAGACGGAGTCATTCCTCTGATGGAGGGAAGAAAAAAACTGCTGAGCTAACATGTAGCAGTATCCTGAGCAATATGCTCGTAAGACATGGTCAGTTGTTTTCTCCTTTAATTTATAACTCTCACCAAAGAAGTTGCAAACAGAAGTATTCTCTTTGAAGACAGTTCCTCTACGCCATAGATAAACCTCTGACCATGGTACGACATTTCCGGTTATAGACGAGCATGCATGCGCTATTTTTTCAATCCGGGAAACATCATCGATGTACTCGTCCCACATGTTAAATCTGCTCATATTGCCTCGGAATTTCCCAATGATCATGAACCCTTTTTCAGTGCTATAGTCAGTCCCTAGATCTACACCTTCCAATTTCTCTACGCCGTCAGAGTAAAATGTCCATTTGCCATCCGAGTAGGACCTTGCGATGCACATGTGATGCCAAAGACCATCTGAAAGGACTTCATCTTGCACGTTAAAGATACTGAACATGTGAAAATAATTTATCTGAGATTTTGTTTAAAATTAAATCATGATTTTATGGAATGGTAAGTATTTATGGCGGGTTCTGCGTAACGATTCAGTTCCAAACTATTGTGTTAGTTTGCAGTTGAACTCGGGTTTGGTATAATGCAATTTAATTTTACTAATATATCTTAGAGAGGAGAAAAGCGATATTCGAAGATAATCGTTTGCACTGCGAACCAATGATTAGTTTCAGACATTGCTGTACGCTAAAGGATAAAAAATTGACATCCCTTGCGAAATAATCATGAAAGCAGACATATCCACTCACTTCTGTTCACTATGCACGTGCAAAGAATAGCTGCCGTTGTCATGAAAGGAGAAGCTCAGGAGACTTTCATTTTTATAGTTATGAAGCGAGAAAACTGTTGACCAGCCTGGAGTTTTTTCGGTCTTCATCCACCAACAAGCTGTAGCATCTTGAAGGTCAGTGATGTAGGGGAGCAGCACGTAGTCTGATGACTCCCCGCTAAAGATCAGCTCATACGACCATTGACGTTCTGTAAATGACCAAAGGAAGATGACTAAATATTCACCACTAGCCACCTTCACGTTGGTGAATAGTTGTTGAATATAATGTACCACTGGTGTTCGATCGCATAGGTTTGCATTATTCCTAATGTTTTAAGTTTTTTTATATTGCAATGGATTTTATATTGAACTTTTTCTAAATCATTTAAGCCTAAGGGAGGGAAATACAAAAAATATTCAGGTGAAAAGATTCCCTCCGGTTAGAAATGTTTATTGAGCCCTTAGGTGTTCGTTGCTGTCTAAAGCCTCTTAAGTCTTTAAACTTAGGCCTAGGGGTTGTATATACAAATAAACCCCAAACAAGCAATGTTTTTCGATGTTACCTCGACGAGGTTTGACTTTCATTGAGGATTCCTTGAGTGAATGATAATATCCTTTCCAGTGATACCAGATAACACCCTCGGCATATTCATTTTTTCCATATTGACCATTTAGATTTGATTGATGGCATTCTTTGTACCACCAAGCCCCTGTGTATTTTTGTGCACAAGCATAAGGATCGTGAACATCATTATCTGAGTCCGGCGTGCTGAACATCATTCCGTTGTGAACAGCTAAGGAATCCCCTGCTGTTCCAGAGAACTCTGTTACTCTAACAACATACTTCTCAGCTTCCAAACCAACTTGAAAAGAATTATAAGACGCATGTGCTGTCAAATTGGCTTGGTCTTTGAGCTCGATTAATAGCTGTGAGCTTTGTGAAGTTATTTTGTGGATGTTGTCATTTCCCAGCCAAAATTCTGACGTCAAGTCTCCAAATCCATTTTTATAGCTAGTCCAATTACGATAAAAGTCAACAGAACCATCCAACCGTTGCTGCAAGACAGTCCAGCCGCCTCCGTTTGTTTGCTGGTCGCAGAAGACTGTTATGAATCTTCCTCTGTCCGGATTAATGCCGTAGACGCCACTGTCGGTGTAACCTTTGTGAAGCAGATCTAGGCAGTCGCGTCCATGAACTACCGAATTAAAGACGAAAAAATTTAGGAATGAAAAATATAGGTCTTACTATGTAAAAGGGAGTCCTTTATTTAGCAGTGCACTGTACTGAATGACTGAGGCGCCGTAATGGGTGCTAATACATGGTAGAACTACTCTCGAAAATAGCAACCTCTCAGTTATGCATCTTGGAATATTTTAGTATCAATTTATCAAATTCTTTGTCTGCAAACCAATTGTAACCTTCTCCATATTCAGCTGATCTTGTTTTTATGATGTTTTTTTTTCCTTTTCGTGTTCTTTGTGTCTTAATGGTTATGTTCGAGATGAGGGAAGTTTCACGCATCATGAAAAATATCGACAGGTGGCTTGTTGCGAAGTCTGACGTCTAATTAATTGTGACTCGCTTGACGCGTTGTTCTTGATAGAGGATCAAAGATCATGTGGATATTTATTGTGAGTTTAAGGGTGCTAATTTCTGGCCATGCAATGACGGCAATCTTCATGTTTTAAAAGGCCCTGCACTCCATTTTCTTACCCGAAGGGAGTATACTTGTGATTTCCAAAGCAACTCCAACTCCAGATAAAGAGGCGACGATTTTTGCGTTCAATAATAGATTCTTTATTAGCAATAGAGAAAACAAGTGAGTTTACGATTTTCGGTGACCTATCTGATGAAAAGACTCACCGAGAGGTACGGGGTTGAAGTTTATGTCAAATCCTCTGCTTTCTACAACGTAGTCTGTGTGGAATGTGATGAGTAGAAACCGACCGGTTACAATAAACGTTTTCCCAGTCTTCTCGCCACAGAACTTTCCAAAAACATGATTGGTATCATTAGCAATCGTTAGATAATCGTGGCTACAAAGAAGTAAAGAAGACTGTTTTACCCTAAGAAAGACTTTATTAACGTTTATGCAGGCCCAAGGAGCTTCTGACGTTTTAAATTATCTCTAATTGAGCATGATCCCGATCATATTGTAACACCATTACAATGTATTCCTAACGGTGATTTTGAGCCCAGATGTGCATTGTTGCTCCGAACTCCTTTTGTTAGTTCCTTATCACTTTTCTAAGTTCAGAACCACATCTGTGGTCCAATTATCAGTTGGCAGGAATGTGGACCAAAAGATCCGAGTTTAAGCCTCGATGAAGGTTTTTGAAAATTTTGCAGTTCTGTACGAGGGAGTTTACGTCTTTCCATTCTTCATATTGATTGATGCGATTAAAGAAAATGCCGATGAATTCTGATAAGCGAAATGATTCTCGCAACGCTGATTTAACTGAACGGTCGTTGGATCGATTGATTATTGATTGATTTATATTTATTGATTAACTGACTGACTGAAAGAAAGAAAGGATGAAAGAAAGAAAGAACTATGGATGGATGAATGAATTGACGGAAAGACGTGTGGAAGAGCGAGCGGACGGGCGGAGGGTTCGATGGATTGATGGATTACTCCTTGGATGTGAAAATCACGAACTTGTTTCTCATACTCCTATATAGGCTTCTTGTTCATTGACAACCCAACAAACTACAGTTACCTGCAAGAATTATGAAACTCCAAGGAAAAATCGATAAAGGAAATATTCATCGCACTGTGTCTTGGAATAGGAATTTTATAAACACAATCATGTCTTCCTGTGTAGTAACTTGGATATCCAGGACTTCTCAATGTATTTTTTACGACTGGCTCACAGACTGAAAGATAATAGATCAAGGAAACTACTCAGGTAATTAAAAACGGGAAAGCGATCACCTGGCGGCGAGATTTTCAGTTTGAGATCCCTTGTTAAACCTCCATTGTTTAGGCCTTACATTCTACTTTGACGTTTTCGCTTCCTGCGACCACACATTTTAAAATAGAAACTTGCAAATGAGGCTAAATAATAACTAACTTGCTGTGAAGTATATCCGAAATCCTTTTCTTTGAAGAGCGTAATCCGAGTGGAATGCAACGATTGCTTTTTCCCCAGTCACAGTGATAGCCTGTGATGCGATTTGCCCGCAGAACGTGCCAAATGTTTGGTTTTTCTCATTAGAGATCTTCAGGTAATCTGTAGAACTACAGAAGAAAGGGATAAGAGTTAAAACTTTAAAAATGCTGGTTCACCGCAACCTCTGCGTTTGTACTTACCAAAACGAACTTTCCTCAAGGTGAAAATCTTGAAAGGTGAATGTCAGGGCCTTGTAATGAAGAATGGGAATTTCGTAGACACAATCCATATTTCCTGGATAATCTTTGGGATATCTGGGACTTTTAATTGAGTAATACGCTACCACTTGACAATCTTGAAATAATGAAGCAATCATATAACCGTCATGGTCTTCAACAGAAAACGAGTTAATACATAAAATTTTTTCATTTAGATAACGTAAGGTCATCCGAATGACGCTTCGTCAGTGTGCCATAGGTGTGAGTGTTTTCTAATACTCCTGTAAAGTGTGACGTGTACGAGTCGTAAAAGGGTACCCTATACCCACAACTCTCACCATATATTCTAAGACCTACCAATAATATGCATTATACGATTTGACTACCGGTCGTTAATCGATCTTCACGATTTGTCGATTCGAACGTATCGGCAAACGTTATTTCCAATCGTATCAGTTAGTGGGTATTGGACAGACTTGAAAGGTGTGACACAAAGTTTTTAACTTCAACTTTGTCTAGTTATTTTATCGATTACTCAAGTGCCACTGACAGCGATGGCTGAGATTTAAAGAATAACTTAAAAGACAGTGGCTAGGCCTTCATTCCTAATCAGTGCTTAGTCATTCATTTCTTTCGGCCAATAATCAAGTGATCTTTTTCTCGGTGGCTTTGCAAATAAATTTAATCGTAAGATAATACGAAGTGAGAATCGCATTTTGATTGGTTATTTCTATAATCTATTAGAGGACAAACGCATAGATTAGGTCACCGATAACAGAATGTTGCTTCCTTATTCTTTAAATTATTGCGTATCTCGCCGTGTGTCTGTTTAGTAGCCGATCAAAGTAGGCGTCATGATGAATACGCGGCTGTACCTCGTGTACCACTAATTTGTTCTTTCCATATTTTGACGTTTTCTGTGATTTATTACAGAACTGACGGACGGCAACATGAGTTTTTGTAAAACTGAAACTGAAGTGGATGACAGTAAACAACAAGATTGCATTTTGCCATCCGGCTGTTCAGTAATAGATTGTAGATGTTCTTAATCTGAGCTCCTCTATGGTTTATTGATGAGCAGGCGCACGGCAACACGGAATCCATTTAAATGTTAATATCATTTTTGCGTCTGTCTTCCAAAGGATCACAAGTAATAACCAATCAAAATGCCTGTATAACTAAGTTCCTCTTATAAAAGAACCGTTCTGTACAGTACCTGGACATCCGTAAAGCTCCACTCTCATTGAGACCTGAGTGTTATATTGTGTTGGGTAAAAACGTATGTAACGCGCGGTGATTCCTGGGTATAACTCGTGGAAGACAACAGTGTTCTTGTCTGTGTTTGCATCAAATTCCTTTGTTTATGATTAAAGTAAAAAATAGTGAAATCATCACTTAAAAGAAATGTAAATTGTGGACACAATAACAAGAATTCGTGGCCAGCACATGCTTAATGCTTTATCCAAAATTTTCCTGCTGCTTGCTTGAAAAAAGAACCGGTTGTATTGAACTATCTCTTAACAAACATTACAAATTTTCCTTCGGTAGCAATTTGATTGACAGGGGTGATCCGATTCGTATCACCTATTTATCTTTTGTATCACGCATTGCGGAAAATTTCTTATACATTCCTTGACGATATACCGTAGATCGGCGAAAGCTTGAATAAAAAAGAAGTGCAGTAGCTCAAGGCCTTAATTGTATCTTCCTTTCAAGCTTTCTTTAATTTTGACGGTTACTGCGTTTCTGTCGCTGATTTAACGCGGTTTGGTGCTGCCCCCTCTGTTTTGCTTGAGGAAATTTATCACAGCTTCAAGTTATTTTCAAACAGCTTGAGTCACAAGCCTGTGTGATTGTTTATGCCTCCAGTGAGACCACATTGTTCTGAAACCCTTCGTGCCATAAAAACGCTCGCACAAGTGCAGACGTTTCATATATGGCTGACGTTTTCAGTTAGTACTATGATCGCCTACCCCCCCCTTACTAGGATAATATTTTCCCTAAGATGTATTTTTCAATTTTGTTCAATCATTTTGAGAAAGGTTTATCATTCATTTAAAAGATAGCCATGAAGATTTTCACCTTCTCAGTAGTTTGGCCTTTTTCCTTGTAGTATTTGAAGTATTCTCCTTCGCTCCTGTATCTCAGCTTGTACTTTATTACCCATATTGATAATACATCATGATAGCGACCTTGAGTAGCAACATGCGTTACTCGGTACTGACTGACCAAGTCAATCTGGAGCCATGGATTGGCATCCTGATGGGTTGGCACCCAACCTCCTGTCCCGAATGTGTTTTCAATGTAAAGTCGTGCCCGAGCTGGGCCAGTCCTCTCAGCATACTGAGAAGAAGCAGTAATTTTTTCATCGAGGATTACGCCATTCTCCATTCCAAGAGCTTCTTGACATTCTGTGGATGGACAATTTAATAGTGCAGTTATGCTGACAGTATTTTTGTGATCACAGAAATGGTTGAAGTTAAAAATTTCACATTGATCGCCGATCCCTTAGACGCAAAAAAACGTTTTAATGGTTTGGTCGACTAAGCTATTGTTGAGGGTTTCTTGAGAAGTCGAGCGAAGTGCTATGATGATTGCCATCCATCTTAACTTTGTGTGAATACTATTCTACGAATATAATTACAGTGTCCTTTAAGGAGCAACGAAATTTAGACCTTTGTAAAATACCTTCGCATCCATACAAATCCACTCTCATTGATATATGAATATGCCAACCTCCTGGGAGAAAACGGACATAGCGAGCTCTTATTGGTGGAACAAGGTCATGTGATACAACAGTGTCAGCGTCTGTGTTTCCATCGAAAACCTAAGTAAAAGAGAACGCTGTAAAATGGGTCCCTTTAAAGGAGAAGAGGAAATATTGAAGGTACTTTTCTACGATATCCATTCTTGTTAATACCCATTTTTCCCTGCTCACATCTTGTGATACTTAAACAAAAATGAGCGAGGAAGCGACAGACTAATACCTTTTCATTTCTGAGATCAATTCTCCTAACATTATCCCATGCATTTCTTATAATCTTGCCTTTGAAAATTTGGTATCGAATCCAGTCATAACTGTGCCTGCTCACCTTTTCAATGTCTTGATTGTATTCCTTGTAATACTGCAAGCTTGCTAAATCATCACCATACTGCAGTCTGTATTGAGTCACCCACTGGTCGCTGCCATTTCGTCCTTGTGTTGCCACGCGTGTTACTTTAACATAGTATGACCCCACATCAACCTGAAGCCACTGGTTGGTATCATTGTGTAAAGCCGCCCAAGAACCTTCCTGATGAGGCAGCTTTTCTTTCAGATAGAGTCTTCCAAATTTAGGAGCTAGATTGTCATTCAGCTTCGATGAAGCAGTAAGCTGATCGTCAGGAATTTTTTTAGTCTCCACTCCTAATGACTCTTGACACTCTAGACAATCAGGTTGGTAAAAGTGATAACAAAACGTTGGTGTTAATGCATTTGTAAAGGCTTTATAGAACACTTATGCTGATTTGATCTTGGAGCTAGGGAGATGCGCTTTGGGAAATTCACGGTTAGTTCTTTGCAACTTCACAAGCCAGCTCAGTCCCAGCTGTAGTTATATGTTTTGCCTTGTTTTTCTTTTCGAAAAGGAATGAGTTTGAATATGAAGTAACCAGGGGGTCAGGGATTGCCTCCCATACTTCGAAATAGTTTATATTATTTCCACGTTAGCCAATCGGTACATTACCTTGACAGCCATAGAGTTCCACCCTCATGGATATGTGCCCTTTCCAGGAAACAGGTCGAAATCGAATGTAACGAACCCTGATTGGTGGATATAAATCACGTGACACAACTGTATCGCGGTCTGTGTTTCCAGTAAATACCTGAAGTAACAAAGTGAGATGAAAACTAAATGGAAAAGCACAATTCCCTACAGCGCCAGAAACTGTCACCAATGAGCAAGTCGCTATTGATTTTCAGTTATGCGCATATGGCGATTGGCTGAGAGTGGTTGCACAGAGAAAAATCAATGCAATCCCTCATTTCCTTTGACTTTAAATTGAAAACTGCAATGATGTGTCTCACCTTGTGAGTATTTTGTCCTTCTTCCGTGTAGTATTTGAAGTTTTCGCCGTCGTCACTATACTGAAGTTTGTACTTAGTCACCCACTGACGATAGCTAGTACCATTTCTTCCCTGTGTTGCCACACGAGTGACAGCTGTGTAAACAGTCCCTAGATCAACCTTTAACCACTGATTCCCATCGTTTAAGGCAGCTGACCAACATCCTTGAAAGTCGTTGCTGGGTTGAAGGTTTAATCTGCCTTGTGCAGCAGAATGAGTCGCCTCCCATTCAGAAGAAGCACTGATCTGGCCGTCAGTTATTGCACCACTTTCCATACCAAGACCATCTCGACACACTGAAAGTTTGAAAAAACAAACATGATTTAAGATCATAGATGGCGCTAGTAAAGCTCTAGGGTACCCCTCCTTGCGCTTATCTCTTTTTTATCAGAGAAAACCATTGACGTTTTTTGACAGTAGATAAAATTAGACCATCTTCGCTCCTGGTGTGGAGTGCAAGGCATCCAATTTTTGGTCGTTCTTTCCGCCTCTCTCCACGTGATGTTATTTTTGTCAAGTTCATCTTGAAAAGTGTGCCTCCTAGACTGCTTTGGACAGCCTCTTCCTCTGGAACCCTGTAGATTCCATTCGAGGACAGAAAAGGTGATGTTATTCCCAGGCTCCCGGAGTGTATTTCCAAACCATTTCATTTTACATTAATCTTTCAAAATTTGGAGATTGGTGACCATGTGTACTGCTGTGGCACTTCCCAGTACCATTTTTCCCTATTTTTCGACCACACATTTGTTGGCATAAGCGGCGTCATAAGACCTCAAGCATGCAGATGAAAATCTTTCGTTCAAGATGTTTCAATGAATCATCTTCCGTTTATCTTGGTTGCTGCTCTGTTAAGACAAAATTCTAGTTAAAATAAAAAAACAACAACAACAAAAAAAGACCCAGCGCCGCGTTACGATGTTTTAGAGAAAGGAAACGAATCGACTTTCGGTTTTTCCAAGGTACAAAATCTGCTCTTGTCATCAATGTGGTTGTTTTAAAGACTGGTTTGTAAGGAGACAGTCTACTGTACTTGCAATCATGAATTTACAGTTTAAAAGATCATTTGATGTTTGTGTTCAGTACCTTATGAGAATGAGATCTCACACCATACCTTGACAGCCGTAGAGTTCCGCTCTCATCGATATGTGATCAAACCATTCTCTAGGTCGAAATCGAATAAAGCGTGCTCTGATTGGTGGGTTTAAGTCATGCGATACAACATTGTTCTTGTCACTGTTTCCAATAAAGAGCTAAGACGGTAAATTGATAAAAGTTAACCATTAAGCCATGCAAGGATTTCAGTGTTAAAGGGATGATGCACTAACGTCACTAGTGTCGCCAATTTAAATCGAAAGAGTCATTTTTTTAAAATATGTAATGCCAGATCATAATTATTTTATTTAGCTTATGCAAGAACCCTGCGGGGAAATACAAAGTATTATATGATTGATCCTGTATCTCCTTCATTGAAGCTTGAAAAATAATATTACAAAATACGTTCTCTAACACATGGAGTAATACCACTCAAGAGTGTTTCTAGAGAAATTTCGTTTGAATGTTCAAATAACAGGGAACTTAGGACTTGATTAATATACTAATAAAGATATCTTGGGGTTTTCTTAATCAAATCCAGGAAAGAAGAGGATTGGTAAATTCACATGTCTGAAATTAAGACACAAGTGGAACCACCACGAACTACTCATCAATGAACGCATGGCATTATTAGTGGGACAGTCTCATCAGTTATAATATGTTACGTTATTGAATACGATCTTTTTTATGAGAGAGCCTTTAATCGTACCTTGTTTTCGTAGCTACCTTCTTCCCTATAGAACTTAAAATTAAGGCCGTTGCTACTGTACTGCAGTTTGTATTTCGTAACATACTGCATCACGTTTTGTCTGCTCTGTGTTGCAACACCTTTCACCTTGAAGAACTGACTGCCCAGATCAATCTGGAGCCATTGATGGAAATCATTTGTGGAAGCTGCCCAAGCTCCATCGTTCCCTTGCGGCCCCTGATAGTGCAGTCTGCCATGAATAGCGGCAAGAGAGCTGCTGTGTTCTGAAGAGGCACTGATGCCCAATAGAATTCAGGCAAGAGGAGTTTCAGGTATTCAACGAGGTGTTTCAAACATTGAGGGCTGCAGTCTGCCATGAATAGCGGCAAGAGAGCTGCTGTGTTCTGAAGAGGCACTGATTTGTCCGTCCAGAATTTTACCGTTTTCCATGCCCAGCGCTGCTTTACATTCTAGAATTCAGTGGCAACATGTTTTACAGGAGCTTCAGGTATTCAACGAGGCTTTTCAAACATTGAGGGGTTCTCTCGTTTCTATCTAGAAAATGATTTTTGGGCAGACCACCCCTGTGAACAGCGATCGAAAGTGTCAATTTCAAAGATTTTGTCCAGCGCACAGCGACTGCAACAATGTAGCTCACGGAATTCTATCTTGCTACAAGTTACAAGGTGTATTCAGTTAGTTCACAGACAAAATATGGAAACTTCAGCTGAAATATTTTTCATACCAGCGTGATCAGAGGAGACCCTTCTCTTCGACCTTAATTTACATATCAAAAATTCACTACTTTGTACGAAAGAATTCTCAAAATGCAGGCGTTAATCGGGCCGAAAAGCATATCAGTGCATAGTTTATACACCAATGAGGTCACGGATTGCCTCAAATCCGCGGCTATATCTCTAGCTTCCATCCACCAACTTCTTAAAAACAACGCAAATCCATGTGTTTGCTCAATTGCGCTCGTGTCAAAGATCATTTGCATGATTCTCGCGATATGTCTGTTATGACCAGAGTGCCAAATTTTATTCTTTAATTTTGATCTTCTCCACACTGTGCATAATTCATGACCTGATATTTCAACGTAAATTATCGAGAAGGTGCCTTCCGATTACCTTTGTCTACTTTGTAAGTCACGCAAGCGCGCAAGCGTTACGACCGATCACGTTTACGCAACGTTTTAGGACAACTCGGCATCTAATCTCTATTCAGTTGCTGCGAAAACCTAAAATCCTCAACGTAAAAGATAAACGAACGAAGTTTGAACTGTCAAAAGGAGATCTTGGTCAATTCCAAGAATCATGCAAATGATCTTTGACACGAGCGCAATTGAGCAAACACGTGGATTTACGTTGTCAGTTTAAGAAGTTGGTGGATGGAAGCTAGAGATATAGCCGCGGATTTGAGGCAATCCGTGACCTCATTGGTGTATAAACTATGCACTGATGTGCTTTTTCGGCCCGATTAACGCCTGCATTTTGAGAATTCTTTCGTACAAAGTAGTGAATTTTTGATATGTAAATTAAGGTTGAAAAGAAGGGTCTCCTCTGATCACGCTGGTATGTAAAATATTTCAGCTGAAGTTTCCATATTTTGTCTGTGAACTAACTGAATACACCTTGTAACTTGTAGCAAGATAGAATTCCGTGAGCTAAATTGTTGCAGTCGCTGCACGCTGGACAAAATCTTTGAAATTGGCACTTTCGATCGTTGTTCGCAGGGCTGGTCTGGCCAAAAATCGTTTTTGGCTTGTAACGACGCAAAAAAAGAGAATTGAAGAACAACTATACTATTTTTGAAACATGTGTCCTAAACCCTTTTCACGGGCAAAAAATAAAAGAAAACTTTTCTCCGACGGGAAGTCGAGAGGACCGCTCTTAGCGAGAGTGGCACTTAATTCATAACCACCGTCAATTCCTTTCACCCGGCTCTGAAATACACGTGGGAAATTTCGGACACTTCTTTGGCTTTTCTAGACATCAAAATTTCAATTGAAGGCAATGGTCTATGCACAGATACAATAAAGTAATGTCAAAACTTTTGGTAACTTCTACTTCCAATGGAAAATTGTCTTGTAACCAAAGAGAACAAATACTGCGGGCAGTGTTGGCATTGTAACTATTGTTTTTTGTTAATTTTAACAAGTATTGGTAAGTATTGTTTCTTTTATGTATTTTTTTACTTTTAGTTCTAAATTGCTCCATCACTATGTATCTGTGAATTAAAAACGACTGATTTCATTAGAAATGACATCAATTGTTGAACTTACCCGCCTGAGCAGTCTTAATGGCTTGAAATACTACTATAACTCCGATAAAAAGGCCAGGGTCCTGCAAAAAACATTAAAAGGTCGTTTCCGTTAAGATATGTAAATAAATGTGCTTGTGTGACTCACTCTACAAATAATACGGTACCTATTTCAGTCTAAATGGACCAATCCGATGTGTTCTCCATTGGTTAAACTTTAATCAACTCAATCCTTGTCTGAGCTGCTTACAAATAGTTTGTTACTAAGGAGAGATGTTTTTTCGTCTCGTCAGGACCGAGGGACATGGGAAAAATTCTGAGTCTACACGAGGAATCGAACTTCAGCCCCTAGGATTTCGTGCTCCGAAGTCCTACCACTGAGCCACGAAGACTCTATGACGTGTAGGGGCCTTTATATTTCGTAGGTTTAAATGTGAAACGTGTCCCCTATTGCTCTGTCAGCTTATGAAAGCTATTGACTTAAAAAGTTCCCATTCTAACAATTTTTTGGGGGGGGGAGGGGTTTGCAACTAATTCCCCTTTAAATAAAGTGGGTAATTTTTAAAGAAACTGTGGTGCCGCGTCGGTGGGAGAGTATAGCAGGTAATTTAGTGTTAACAACTGAGTTGAAAACGTAAATTAGTAACCGTAAAGAGTGAAAAGGCTGACGTTGCGAGTGTTAGCCCTTCGTGAGAGCGATTGACGAAGGGCTAACGCTCGAAACGTCAGCCTTTTCACTCTTTACAGTGGCCAATTTACGTTGTCAACTCAGTTGTTAACACTAAATTACCCAATTTACTTATAAACTGTTTACATGATACTTGGAACAAACCGAGCGTGGCACCTCAAGATCAGCATTTGTTTATTTATGGCAAAAAACAAATATTTCATCAAAATGAATAGAAATTTTATCAGAGTTTTCTATTTAGCTCTTTTTTTCCAAGCGTCACGTGTCGGTGACTTTGTAAGTAAAAAAATACTCTTTTCAAATTACCACATCATTGTCTAGCCGATAACCGAAGTTTGTGTCGAAGTGAAAAATACTGTCTTCCTGTATACCATACTTCAAAGAATAAATTTTGTCGTATAAAGATTCATTTGCATGTAGAATACGTGTTGGGTCTCGGGAAAAAAAACAGCTGGATGCCTGCAGTATCTCAAACACTCTTACATTCATTCTGAATATATCCTGGTAAACAACAACACTACCATCGATGTGACACTTCTGATTAAAAATGATTGAAAAAGATTTGCAGCCTGAAAATTATTGAGAGGTTTCACACTACTTTTTGGACTTTTGATTTCACAGCCAAGGTCACCCCTACGCCTAATTATTTCTCTCTACTTTGAAGATAAGTCATGATACATTTTTCTGTGTTAAACGAATGAATCATATATAGCTTCAGAATTACGGTGCGCAAAATAAACGAAGAACAGCCATGAGTTACCTGTGCTAAGTCAATTCTAGGTGGTAAATAAAAAAAAAAAAAAATTCTTAGATTTGAAAAACATTTGTATCTATAAAGATTGCTAAAATCAATTAAAAATTTATGTCTTCGTGCATTGTTATGCAAACATTCGTAATATGATTCTCGAAGAACAATAAATCCCCTGCCACTGCACGTTTTGATCCTTTAATAAACTTTTTGAAATCTGCAGGATCGAATAAAAAAATTTTAAACTATCCACCATATCCACATATCACTGATTTCTGTAGATTCTCCTTTTAAAAAGTTCGTTTTCCCGAAATAACAATTGTTCCGTTTTGGGAAAAGTTATATCAGTAACTTTTTTTACACTACCAACAAAAATCAGACGACCTTTATGTACATGTGAGATATTCTTGACTACAATCTTCACTGTCGTCGGCAATTATGTTCATTAAAGAGTGAAAGCCCTCATTATGAAATGAAGACGGAGAATCATGACTCTTGGAAATGAGGGATAAGGACTTGTCCAATGAAACAATCCTCATATAATTCAAAGGAACAAGGATATTTTTTGGATTTGTTATGAGAATCATCAGTAAATTGATATTAACATTTTTTTTTTTTTTTGGACAACTAGGCACCTTTTGGTCTTCGAAGTTTATTCATAATCTACGAATATAAATCGGAATGATAAAGTTTGAAGTGAGCTTCTTTGATTTCAAAGTACTTTCTATGTTGTAATCAAACTTTCAAAACTCATGAAAACAAAGGAATTAGGAAAGATTTTGTAGTTAGCTTATCTCATAAAACTTCAATGACTTGGCTGTTCCACACTTACCAGTAGTTTCGGCAGAAATAGATATGTCATCGCTAAAGGCTTATCTTTCAAAACATTTTTCGAGGAGCTACATTGTGATGTTGCTTTTCCTGAGATTTGGTGCATCAATGTATTAATTGGATTCATAAGTTCTACTGTTCTCACCCCAGTGGCATTTTAACTTTATTGTGATAAACAACTCAGGAATGATTCAAAAGTCTTTGTTCCTCTATTTGTTTAATATTCTCGATTGTGACATCTGGCACGCTTGACAACGCTTAATTTGATATCTGGTTGTGATGCACGCCTGCGTTCATGTTCAAAAGTTTGCTGAGAGTTTGACATAGATGCCTTTAGTGTAAGAGCCATATATATATTTTACGTTATCCAGAGTGAATTGAGACTTCCCTTCCAACGCGTGCTCTAGTACACTCTTGAAAATCGCATACCTCATTGTCTAAACGGTTTCCTCAATTGTTTTTAAGGTGGCTCTGAATTAAACTCTTAAAAGTCTATACGCCCACAAATCCACCAAAACTATGCGGTTATCGACCAGTGGGAGCAAAAATGAGGAAAAGAACTTCACTCCTGACTGTACTCAGATCTGTAAATTCCCATCCGTGTTGGAGGATGAAAGCGTTACGAACATTTTGATCTATGCATGGGCTAGAGGATTTAACATGGTAACGTGAAATAACTTTTAAAGACGCGAATGTAAGAATAAACATTGAGGAAAGTACTAAGGGTAAAAGATAAATTATCGTTATGCAACAACAAATCTAATTTAAAACCAAGGGAAAAAATTGAGTCCTTCTTTTATTTATTCTGCCGGTGTGATGTTATATTCAGATCAAGTTGTTCGTCGGAGTCATGAAAATTCAGCAAAACTACATTTTCAATCGAATCTAACAAACTACCTAGCAAACCAATCATATAAAGGCAAATTGAGGTAATTACTAGCCAAAGGCTAGCTTTGATTAACATCGCACTAGGAGGTCCCGAGATTACTCAACAAGGTAAATTAGTAAAATGCCATAACCAGGCGACAGGTGATTTATATTGAACTCAAAAATTATCAGAATTGAAACAGTGTTTGAAGGTGAACGAGAAACGCGCCACTGCAAGATAAAACATGTCTTTAAGCGATGGCACAAAGCGTATTCAGCTCTTCTAAAAGTTTCACCCACCTTTATGTTTGTGGTAAGAATTTAACGAGAAAGTTTTAATCCCACTGCGATCCGAAACCGTGAATGAGGAACCATTGCATAAATATGCTGGTAAGGCTGGTCTCGTATGATTTTGCTTTATTAATCATTCTGGCTTTCTTTTGGCAAAGAATAGCATCAAAATCTTAAGCCTTTACTCTACTTTTTGCAAAAAAATTCTAGTTACACGATGACCTAAGAATAGGAATAAATTTCAATTTCTTACATTACACCAGGAAAAGAAATGACTGTATTGTGAGAGGCCTATTTTAGTTATAAACTTGAGGATAAATTTAGGTCGACTCCACACTTAGGCAGCTTATGGACCGATAAACAGTCCATAAATACTTAGAGAAATAAATCATCAGTTGAAATTAAATGATTGGTTCGTGCCTTTAGTTGTGCGTATATCGAGATATGGATGCACGCAGGAAGTTTCCAGAGCACGAGAGAAGTGTACGAGTTGTTCAAGGCGCCTCAGGAGAGCAACCCTAGATTCTAGAGTACGAAACAGACTCACCCTGCTTGAATCGTCGTTTACTAGTATTCACGGCCAGAAAATTAAGTACCTTTGTGTTGAAAATTCTGAAAGTGTACGATTTTAAAACAAAATCTTATATTAAATAATTATTTTTGGACATGTTAACACTTGGAAATAATATTTGCCTTTCTAAAAAGGAGCCCCAAAGTCGCAAAGCCTCGACTGGAGTCAGCAAGCTCAGTTTTCTCTTTCAAGCCATAATTCACATCGATTTCAAGAATGAATTATCTTGAACATCAAGGCTAATTTCGTCGCCGGAAAAAGTGCAAGTTCCTTGTCTTTCGAATCAAGTATTGTTTAGCATATTTCCTTTTTCATTTTGAGCTCCAAAAGGTCTCTTTCAATTGGAGTGGAACGGAAAAACAATCTTGAAAGGTTTGAAATCTCGTGGCCAAACTCGATGGTAAGTTTGCAGCTGAAATGAAACTGCACACGTCGTGTTACGTATACATGGCTGTGCGTGTATTGTTACATTCACCAAAGTAGCTCCCCCTACGTGTGCGTCTTATTATAATTTGACGTCTTAAGCGAAAGGGCTTGCGTTAGAAGAAATTTAACGAGGCCTGTTTTTGTGGTAGGCAAAGAAGACTTGAAATGCTGATATGGCATAGCGCGGTGTGGATCATTTTTACCATTCACTTATGAACAAAAACGATTAAAGATTTCAAGCAACAATTAAAATGCAAAAATTTCGTTGATCTTCAATATTCTGCCATTTTTCTGAATTTCCTTTTCGTCATTGGGCGACGCCATGATGCTAATGATCAACACGGACTTTAATCGATAAAGTTGTCATGTACTTGTATCTAAGAACAGGAATTTAAACTCAACATGACTGACGCTGAAAATAGAAAAATATGATAGATCTTTCAAGTCCTCAAAATCGTCAGCAACAACGTTAGCAAAAAGTATAGCAGCGGGAAACTGCTAATTTTTTTAATTCGTGCCTCGTTGAGCATTGCATGGCATGACGTACCAATGCTTGTTCAATAAGAATCCACAAATCTCTATTATTTAGTGAAGCTATGCTATAAATATTTATGTTTGAAACATTTTCTGATACTAAAGGAGCTCGGATTATTAAAGTGTCAAGACTGCCTTCCTACTTTTTGCGTTCCAACCAGCCACATTTGGCCTATACGTTTGTTGTGTCTTGCAGGGCCTTTGTGTTTTCGCTCTATCCTTATATAATCATCTGGGTGAGTACTATCATTGTTTTGGCGCCTTGTAAATTATGGACCTCTTGTGTTTAGTTAAAACCAGTGATTACAAAACTTGAAAAGCTTTCACCCACTGAATGACTTATGTCTTCCAATTGAATGCAACAGCGAGTGCGATAGAATTTTATATCCAACAAGCTAATCTACGATAAGAGAAGTTAGCATTCCTCGTGTGTCACAAAATTATTTTTATACTCCATCATGCAACCGTATAATGCATTACTTTCATGTGCAAAGCGTCGAAGATTGCAGATGATTGTGACAAGTTACTTTGGAACATGTTAGCTTTCTCAAAGTCGTTCCATCACAGACTATTGGTGAGTAACAATGTTATAGATGTATGAGTAACCATGCAATAAGATACTTAACTCTGAGGTTTGCTTGTATCTTTGTAGTACATGGGCGAGACTGCTTGGAACTTCTTCACGAAGGCCATACTGACAATGGCGTTTACAGCATCAGCCCAGATGGAAATAATGCTTTTTCCGTTTTTTGTGACCAGAAAACAAATGGAGGCGGGTGGACTGTCTTCCAACGTAGATTGAATGGTTCAGTTGACTTTTATCTGAACTGGACTGATTACAAAACTGGCTTTGGAGACTTATCCTCTGAATTTTGGCTCGGAAATGACAACATTCACAGAATCACCTCAAACAGTTCACAAATTTTAATCGAGCTCAAAGACCATGCAAACAATACGGCGCATGCGTCGTATCAGTCCTTTCAAGTGGGCTCAGAGGACGAAAACTATGTTTTACATTTTGCCGAGTATTCTGGCACAGCGGGGAATTCCTTGTCTGGTCAACACGATGGTATGATGTTTAGCACAAAGAATCGAGACAACGACTTTTCCAATGGAACCTGTGCACAATTTTGTAAAGGGGCTTGGTGGTACAAGAATTGCCAATGGTCAAATTTGAATGGTCTGTACACTGGAAATGGGCCTGCGGGTGTTACGTGGTATCACTGGAAGGGGAATTATACTCCTCTCAAGGAATCCGAGATGAAATTAAAGCCCCATCGAGGTAAGTTAGTAGAATAGCATAGGACGTGTACAGAGATAATTTGGGGAAAATGGTAGGTTTAGAGTTCGCAGTGGCCACGAAGGTAGCGAAAAGAGTGCAAATTCTCTCTCCTGTTATGGCTGTTAACCCTTTGTCCCCCAACAGTGAATATCATAAACAGTTAGGAATATATGAAAGTCATATATCTAAACTGCGGATAAAGACGTGAATGAAAGTGATCCTCGCAGTAATGTGCACTACTTGAGCAGTAGTGAAAATAAGGCCTGAAAAGAAAATTCAGGCCTGTACGGGATTTGAACCCAAGACCTCTGCGATACCGGTGCAGTGCTCTGCCAACTGAGTTAACAAGCCAACTGGGAGCTGGTCATGATGTTGGTTCCAAATAAACCCGTGAAGTGATGAATAGCACCGCACCGGTATCGCAGAGGTCATGGGTTCAAATCCCGTACAGGCCTGAATTTTTCTCAGGCCTTATTTTCACTACTGCTCAAGTAGTTCACATTAGTGCGAGGGACAGTGACTATCATCTAATTTCTCCTTACAATATCACTCTTGAATCAAACATTAGGGTCATGAGAATAGAAGAAATGATCACCAACTAAAGCAGCTCTTGATTATTAAACAAATTCTCTTTGTCAGCACCTTGGGAAATGTATAGTGAATAGTATGGAGAATGTGGATACTGATGTCAGGGGATAATGGGTTAACAGACGTACGATAAGTGCTATCGATCATGACATAGTTAGGGGAGGGGAGGGAAAGCAACGGCGATGGAAAGACTGTGATGTCATCAAGTGAGATATAAAGGTAGCTGCTATCTTGGACTTACCTACGAAACTTTTAAAATTGGCGATTAGCTTCAGCTTTTTTCACCGAGTAAGATGAAAATCTACCTCGATGCTTGCTAGCATAGAAGAAAAATGAAATCCAAAGTACACTATTAATTCTAGATTAATTTCAACCTGATGTAAAGACTGTTTTATTTTTTATTACCATTATTTTCTTTCCTTTTCAAAGAACGTGATTGGTCATATGACTTGGTATTTAGTGGGAGGCCAGAAGATTTCGTATACCTCCCCCGAATCACTGACCTTCAGGATGTAACAGCCTGTTGGTGGTTGAAAACCAAAACAACGTCAAGCTGGTCAGAAGTATTCTCATTGCGTCAATATCCAGATCAAGTTGTTCTAAGCTTCTCTTTCGGGAGTAGTGCCACCTATGCCTTTCAAGTGCACGACTATAGGATGTAAGTTTTGACTTACTAGGAAGCTCGAATACTCTAGCTGTGGCCGGACTCACAAACTCAAAATTTAGTTTGATTCACCTGGCCGGCAAAAACTTAATCATCAAAGACTAGTAGCCACCTCACTAGTACGGTGCACACAACTTTACATGGGTTGACCCCTGGATATCTACAATCTCGATGTACATCCCGAAATGATATTACTTCGTACCGACTGTGGAAATCTGAGAATAAATCGGCTGTTCCACAGTATAATCGGTTGCACTAACTATTTGAAGAGGAGTTTTCCTTTGAGGGTGCTATGTAGTTGAACAGCGTTTCCCGTGAACTCTGATCAACAGTTTCTTTAGGTGAATTTAAAAGTAAACTGCGTCATTATAACTTTTCAATGAGACGGCATCCTAGAAAAGAAGCTTTAAAGATATAGTAGGTTTTTATTCTAATAGTATAGCATTAATTGTTAGTTTAGCTCGGAAACGACTTATCCCTCCTCTGTTTCCGCTGAAAACAAAATGAACCAGCCCAAAATCCTCCACACACCCCCCTGGTAATAAATGATGACTGGCCACTTATGTGAAGCTTTCTCACAGCACTTGAAACCCAATCTTGCTCGCTATAAATGTTTTTCTATTATCGATCACTAGGACCTTCACCGTTTACGATGCTGTTATAGCTGATGATGAGTGGCATCACGTGTGCATTGCAAGGTTCTCTAGAGATGGCAGCTGGATATTTTACACCGACGGGGTTAAGAAAGAAGGAGGAGTTGACCTATCCAGTAACTTTAACACTGGAAACGGTTATTTGAAGTTTGGAATGATCAGAGGCGTCACTACTGGCTTTAACATGTGGGATCAATACATGAATAGTACGTCTCAGATTGAGAAGATAGCGCATGCGTGTTCATCATTGATCGGAAATATCGTGCCGTGGCCAGAAGTATATTTATGGCGGAAGGGAAATGTGCCCAAAGTCAGCACTTCACTCTGTAAATTCCAAGGTAAGTAACCAAAGAGTTCTTCCCTACTCTTCCTCCACTAGCTTTAGAAAGGGAAGGGGAAGTGTGAAAACCATAGTAAGAGACGGAGCAAGGGAAGGGAGAAGTTTCTTTTCGCATAAGCGAAGTACGAAAAAGTTTCCTGGGAGGGAGATTTCCCAGCAAGCAGCATACAAAAAGTTGCGCTTTCATTAGGGATTTAACTTTGTGTTAAACCTTTACAGAATCATCACATTGGAACTTCGAAAAATCTTCGATATCCAATCAGAGTTATGATGGTCTTTCTGGTAAAAAAGGAACCTTCCTAACTGAGAACTGGGATTCTCTAAAAGGTGCGGCCAGCGTAACGGCGTCAGATTTCATCGATTTTGACAGCCACGAATCAGAGTGTCTGAATGAACCATCTCTTTGTCAGCATGGTTTTTCGCTGAGTTTTTGGCTACGACATAAATGTAAGTTTGGTGTTTATTTAATATATGCGTATCAGTAGTCGGATGCTTACCACCGAGAGGAAAAGTTGAGCTGCGTGGACTGGTGGCGAGAAATTTCATATACCACTGTGTTGTCGTAGTTCTAGTCATCCATATTTCTATTTAAAAAACCAAAACAGAAAAACTTGCGCACTTTTTCTTCTTCATATTCAAACAGTCTTGTACGTACTTTAGCCTGTGATAAGCAGGCGAGGTTCTAACAAGTCTAAAGTATGATGGAGATTTAATTTCACTTCTGCTTATGGTTTAGAAGCGAATGAATTATCTTTCCCAAACTCCTGATCACCTTCGTGGAAAAAACCAACAAACGTGAAATCCTTTGGAATTCCAATTTGAGCCTTGGTATCTTATTGCAGTTCACTTCATTACTAACATCGCTGGGTTTAATGATGAACATGATGCATTTCTTGGAACTCTGCTGGATGGTGCTATTTCCAGAGAAGGCAACTGGTATCGCTGTTTCAAAGCTTTTCCCGGCTGGCAGGGACAACATTTTCACGCGGCATGCGACGGGAAAGGACCAACAGTTACAATTATAAGAGTACGAGAGAACATATTCGGTGGATTTCTTGACAAAAGCTGGGGAGGTGAGTATTTTGGTCCAAACTGATTTTCATATCAAAGACACTTTGGAACATTGATACATAATCTTATTATAATCGCACTGTTAAACAAACTTGAGGAAGAAGACATGCGACTAAAATCTTTTTTCTCGTAATAATTTCTCTCTCACTGCCAAAGCTGTAAAGAAAATTTAATCTGTATGAGAAAGGAGAAAAATTGTTGCTATTGCAAATTAAGAATTTTTTGCAATGTTTAGTGCTTTGTTTAGATACCCACACTTCCCCTACTTGAATCGAACAGCCAAAAGAAAAAACTTGTTTCAAACAAGATCCTAACTTCTGTATTAAATTTTCGAGCGCACCTCCAATCACTAAGCTCCTCTCACCACCCCACCCCCGCAACCCCTTCAACCCCTTCAACCCCTTCATTTAAAGGGAGGTACGAGTCATGTTTCTTGCCTTGCCTGTTTTCGTTAGGCAATGACGGATTTATCAACAGCTCAAAGGCGTTTATCTTCAGTTTAAAGAATTTACGAGGACTTGCTTCTTTCAAAATGGATATTAAGTCTGACCTTTGGACTAAAGCAGCCAAACAACGCAGCCAGTCTGGACCCATATTTGGCGAAACTGACCTCGTGATTGACTCCAATCCCACTGCGTCCATGGAGTCATCAACAGATCTTCCCAACGCTTACCAATTTCCTTCCCATATAAACTTGACATCAGATGAACAAGATAACTTACTAGCGGGTAGAAAAGGATTTGTAGTGGATGACTTGGAAACGTTTTATTACGAATGTAAGATTCTATGATTATCAACTGAGTTGATAACGTAAATTGGCCACCGTGAAGAGTTTTAAAGCTGACGTTTCGAGCGTTAGCACCTCGTCAGACCGATAGACGAAGGGCTAATGCTCAAAACGTCAGCTTTCAAACTCTTAACGGAGGCCAATTTGCGTTCTCAACTCAGTTGATAATTAAAACCATAATATTTTGCTAAGATCACAATATTCCAAGGGAGAATGGCTCAGGGAAATGGAATAGGGCGAGGCCCAGATTAGATTACGCATAGAAATCGACGTCTTGGAGGACCGAGCGTGTAGGATTTTGCAGACATGGCTAGATGTTGTCTCTAAAATGGCGGCGTCCATCGTGGAATTCGAACGGTTAGGATACTCTAGGAATTTCAAAATGCGTTAAGGATTAGATTTTGAAGGTTCTTTTGCAATGGAACATGAAACTATTATGTGCTCTCTTAAGCGTTCGCGAGTTTCAAATAACACTGGTATAAAAAATTGAGCGTCAATGCTTTTATACACAAAGCGATTCTGGTTTTGCGTTATTGTAAATTTAAATTCATAACGTTGTAATTTTCCCAAGTAATTCCTCTTGCATTGTGAAGATGTATATTGTTACTGCATCAATGGCGAATATAATAACTTTTCTGTCGCATGCTCATTCACTTTCATTCCATGGGCTGCTTCTCAATTTATCTGTCCACCTTAGTTTCTCCATCAGTTCGCTGTCCACCTGGTTGGGAGTATTTTGAAGGTTCCTGTTACTGGCTGACAAGCCACCGAGCATCTTGGTCAAAAGCCATGACGCTCTGTCGTCATCAAGGCGCAGATCTTCCCAAAGTGTCGTCAGCTCAAGAGAACGATTTCCTCAAAAGGAACGGAACGTACTGGTGGCTGGGTCTGAAACGAGACGAAACGCACGGGAGTATATTCAAGTGGAGCGATGGATCTTTACCAACCTATACGAACTGGGATTCCTATGAGCCCAATGATCATAATGGAAATGAAGATTGTGCTTGCTATCATACGCACCAGACGTCCAAGTGGAATGATTTCGGATGCGGGGCAACGTCGAGACACGTTGCTTGCGAAAAAGGTTTCTGCAATTTCCTTGAGATTTTTGTTTAAATTCAGGTTTCTTATGCCATAGTAGTTACTCTAAGGTAGCTATCGTACTCTTTTTATAATTAGTACTGTCGTACTTTTTGTTGCACTCAGCGATGCTCATGGTTCTAATTAGTAGCATGCCTTTTATTTACCTTTACGTCATTTTTTGGCGTCTCATGTTGAATGATTTCAAGCCACTATTCGCGGGTTTTTGTATGATACGACTAGTTAAATTGCTCCAAGCAGCGAATGTTTAAAGTTGATCACATTAATTAAGAAATGGTTAGCATGCAGCGTGTAACCATCGAATTATGGATGCACCCAGGAGGTTGCTAAGCAAGAAAGAAACGAAAGAGTCGCACAGGGCGATAGCCGAGTGTGACTCTAGCTTGTTGAATGCTTAGCAAATTTTTTAGGTGCATCCATAACTCGATGGTTGCACACCGCACGCTAATCATTTCTTTAATAACATTGAGAATTACAAACATCTTTCGTTTCATGTAGAAAAAAAAACTATAACAACAACAGGAACTAACATCAGCATGTAGCTTACGGGCAAGTGGAGCGAGCGTATTAGCTATCACAGCGCGCGCTTTTGTAAAGCTATCCATAAATTTCAACAATATAGTTGTTAACGCTGTGCTCTCAATCCAACTAGCCAAACCTCTTCACATGAGCAAACCTAATTCGAGGTAATGTGAATGATGTCGAACTAGAGGGGAGGCGAACTATGAAGCAAAAGGGTTGAATGTCCTCTAATTTTGCCAAATTTTTCCAAACTTGAAAATGGTATGCTTTAAAGCGCCTTTAAACAACATTCGAGCGCTAAAATTGAGAGCCAAATTAGGGATTTCATTTTATACTGCTGGAGATCATCGTCGTAATTGAATGGGATAGCAGAAAAAAATATTCGCAGGAAACATTTTCCAGTCAAAACTCAGGGCACTGATTTGTTTAGACCTGTAAAAGAAAAAGACGAGAGGCTCGTTATGATGTAAGCAACGCAAAATACATACTTAGTGACGCATCTACAAATTCATGATTTGCATGTCATTAAAATGCACATTTATTTGCGTTTCGGTCATTTTGAACTTCATGAAAAGGGCACACTTCCTTTTAATTTAAACATTCCTTAACAACGCAATTGTTAAATACATTAACACACTGATGTCAGTATGCAAATAATGCTTAGGTGATATCTATTTTTGCTATTTCGATTTCTACCCAGATAGCATAGATGTCATTCTTACAACGAAAAGCATAGGTGAGCACAATCCTGGTGTTCTTCTTGGATACCACGAGTTCAACAATAAGTACCATCTTTCGGTGTCAACGAGAACGCATAACTGGAAATTAGGGCTTCCGAAATTTCCTCTGGGATGGCAACACGTGGGTATCACGTGGAGTAAACAGTGGGGACTACGCTTCTATCAAAATGGCGTCCTAACAGCAGAGTCAACCAATCCTTCAAGGATTCGTTACGAATTCGAGGATAAAAATACACACTTTTTCATAGGACGAGATTCGTCCGATTCGCCCTTACCAAGACGGTTCCACCTACAGATTGCGGACTTAAGGATGTGGGAGTTGGTTATTCCCCAACAAAGAATGGCTGCTGTTTACAGTAATGCAGGTGACCAATTTATTCCTTAAGGTTTCATTTTCTCATATTCCCTCTCTGGCTTGCATATCTTTGGTTAATAACTACATGCTTAGTTTAATCTGTTGGGTTTTTAGCCCTCCCTTGGTACGCGTGGAAAAGCGAATACGGACAAGAATTTCAGTGGAAGCTAAAAGAAGATCGTCAGGAAGATAATCCTGGAGATTCGAATGACGTTGAAAATCCCTTCTCTCTAGAGTACGGTCAGTATATTTATCGTCACAGCTATGCCTTACGATGTCGCCCTCTTAAAGGTCAGAAGAACTGTCGTTTATACCTTAATATTGTTTGGTTTTTTATTCATATAACGAAAATACATCAGAAAAAAACCGACACAACTCCTATAGGGTAGGATGAACCTTGGTCCGTTTCTTCATGAACCGGAGTTGCTCTTCTTGCGTAAAATTTAGTGTGAGGCGGACTGAATCTCCTTTCTTCGAGGCTTTTTAACTTTAAAATCAAAATGCCAGAGGAACGATTTATGCACTTGATGTCCTAACCGATGAAAATAATTTCTATGTTCATTCAGTTCTGCAAAAATTTGGGAAATTCCAACTTATTTCAGCTTAAAAGAGACTTCGTATGGTTGGTAAGGGTTCAGTACCATAATTAGAGCTTCACTTTCAATGAAGGATCGTGGAAAAATTTGTTCATAAGAACTAAAAAAATTTGTTGTAAACCCTGCAGTTATACAAAATTGTTCATTTTAAGTCAGAATATCTTACTAATATTTTAAATGTTGTAGCTGGAGACTCACTTTCCTTACGTTTCGCTGCGTCGGAAGATCTTTATCGGATTTTTGTATTTTTTTGTGGTTCTACTATACTTAATGATGTTTTTACTATTAAAAGTTACTATGTTTACTTATTCCCATCGTAGAATACAATCATATCGGATGTTTTAAAACTGACTCTGGACCGCTGATACCAAGTTTGGAAGGCACCGACCCTCTCCTGGATGGCGACTACACCACTAGAGTAGACGTTTTCAAGAAATGTCTCAACGCTGCGCGTAGAGGAGATAATACGATGTTTGCTATCAAAAATGGTGGGGAGTGTCTATCCTCCTCGGGAAACCTTACAGATGTTATTGCAAAATATGCACCATCTAACATGTGTGTTAATAATAAAGGCGGACCCAATGCCATGGATTTTTACTTTGTTATAGGTGAGGGTATTCCAACTTTTTCTGAATTCTTAGATTTAAATTTCCTTTAGTGAGGTATCAACCAAGAACTCCTTATTAAATATAGTTTAAAACAAATGGTTTGTCCGAAAATCCATCTTTCAGTATTCTTGCGTGAACTGTAGACAAAAATTACACGTTATCATAACGCTTAACCTTGATTAGTGCAAAGAATTCTTGCAAAGAGGTGGTCTTTACAGGCCTCGTATCAATCGAAATTCCAATTAAACATCATACATTAAAGTTTTTTAGCTAGATCAGTATATATGGTATATATGTCATACCACCACAATCCAAATCAATGATTCAAGGCGAAACTAAGAAAACTGTATAAGATGTGGAACCAAATGGCCAAATTTCTGATAACTCGTGGAATATATATAAGCCATGACTTGGAGAAAGAACGCAAAATAATTATGACTTGTAGCGCTGTAGATAGAAGCTATATGTATTTGTCCAAAGTAATTTTTAAAAATTCACTTCTCCAGTTTAAGGGCATCCTCGGGGCTGAAGGAAATTTCCCATGATAAGAAGTCTTTGCTCAATGGAGATAACAGATACAAAGTTAAGGGTGCAAACTGATATTTTTCTCTCTCTGCAGGTAATAACAATGCCGCATATCGAAGGCTGACCTTCCAATCGAGTGAGATTCATTCGTCGTCTTTCGCCACCGATGGCAGTCGTTACAATTCACCCACGGAAAAATGCAGCCTTACAAGATCAGAGAAAGATCCATGGTGGATGGTGGACCTAGAAAGAGACATATTGGTTCGTGATGTATATGTCTTTGTGTACTATGAACTCCAAAGGAACTTTTTGTTGGAGATAAGAATTGGAAATCATGATGGGGCAAGTTTACAAGAAAATCCTTTGTGTGGCGTTCCATTTAGATTGAGGAACTCAACTTGGCAAAGAACTCGTTGCCCTGTACCTCTACGAGGGAGATATGTGAGTATCATGAGGATTGTGGACGACGGAAGTTTGCAACTTTGTGAGGTAGAGGTTCGGGAAGAAGGTTAGTAAAACGGATTGTGCCAGGGTCAATGAGAAGATAACTTAAAATTGCTAGTAACAGCGAACGGTAGTTTCGCTTTGACTGATCACTGCTGATACCGTAAATTGATGGACGACAAAGTATTGGTATAGGTTTTTTCAGAACTCCATTTATGTCTATTTATCATGATGCCCGCTCACTTAAAACTTGATGATTACCATGTTTTCTTGATGACAGGGTTCAAAATCTTCATCAACTCTCGGTTCTTTATGAGTTAATGCGCTTTTTAGTTACTTCAGCTCTCTGCGTGTGTTGCATGAAATCTCAAACGTCTTTGCAATGGACTGGATTCCAGATTTTCTGACGTAATTGCGTTACCTAAGTGCATGAATCTCTTGCAATCTTTATTCTTCCTTCTGATTGTGGACAACGTTCGACGAAGGGCTGGTTCCCAAAACTTCTGGTTTGAAACTCTTTACGGCGGCCAATTTACGTTAGCAACTCATTTGATAATACTAAATTACTATTTTATACTCTCCCACAAGACGCAATACCACAGTTTCTTTAGAAACTTACCCCCTTTATTCATTGACTATATCAGATCCTTTAATAATGCTACTAGAGTGTAACCTGGGCTGCTCATGACTGAATCACTACAGCCAATCAGAAGAAAGAGAAATCTCATACGGAGCCAGTGAGGACACAATTTAAAAACGAGCAATGTGCTTGAGGCGCGGAGAAAATATTTGGATTGGTTTTAGTTTTATACCTACTTGGCTGATAAATTGGCAATACCGGAGAACCTTCAACGCTCTGTTGAAAATTGTTCTATATTCTAAATAGCCCCCAAACAATTGTAATGTTTTGCATTTTTTTTTCAGTGATAAACTACGCCCAATCGAGCTTGGCCTACCCTCGTCAAACCGGAAATCTCTCTGTCCTGGAAAGCCAGTTCCTTGTAGAGACATATAATTGTTTGAGGTTTTATTACTTAATGTCTGGAGAAAACGTTGGCAGGTTAAATGTCTACATTATTGACCATGATAGAAAGGTAGCGTTGTCTTGGCGACTGACCGGTAGTCAAGGAGAGGACTGGGAACTTGGTCAATTTCGCATCGATGCCGCCCAGGGTTTTAAGGTTAGTAATTTGTTGGCAGAAAGGAATGATCTTTTTCTCTAAAGACAGAAAAAAAAATCTTCATGTTTCTGCTTTTCAGATCAAATTTGAAAGTGTAAGCGGAGACAACAGCTATGGTCAGATTGGCATCCGAGACATTTCGGTAGGTGTTAACGAAGACTGCGCATGTGCTCCAACTCAGGCCTGCACGAAACCAGGTGAGACAATCTTCAAATAGATTTGACGCAGATTTCCTTATTGAAAGAATATCTCCCACCGGAGATTTGACATTTGGCTGGAACTTTGGACTTTGCATCTCGTGCAGGAGATGACTTGATGACTGTAACTATGGATGGTAGAAGCTAGAGTCTCTTTGAATACATTTCTTATAAACTTAAGTTTTCATTTCCGAATTTTGGCGTGGAAGTACGATATGTTAGCCTCTCCCAGATTCGACTGTGTAGAAGTGTGTGATTTCAATGATCGGGATGAAAATAAGAACGATGACAGCAGTCTCGACAACGAGAATGATGAGAATAATGATGTAGATAAGCATTAAATCTCCTGTGCGATAGATTATATTTGTTTAACGTCGTGTTTCAAATGAAATATTGACCCTTGAGACCAAATTCTTAAGGAGCCAAGGTGATTCATTTGTGAATGGGAACATTTATTGTTGATGTCAGTGGAATCTGATCGTTACTTCTCCTAAAACTGTCCAAACGTTAATCCTCGTCTGTGACAAGGGCCCTTTTCAGGATTACCCTCAGCTCAAGGAATATTATCAATCTTCCTCTTATGGTTTTCGATATCGTGTTATATTGTTGATGTTGTTGCTGTTGTTGTTGTTTTTTTTTAATTAGGAGTTTGACCCAGATAAAATGGACCACTATTATCAATTTCCCACAAATCTTTTTTTCACATTCCTCAGGTTTTCTCTCGACTATCATTGGCCACAATTTTAAATTCCAAGACCAGTTGTTGCGGTGGCTATCTGAGGTAGAATATGGCGAGAAGTACTGGGCTCCATGCTATAGAGGTACAAAGGATGGTTGGTCAAAAGAATCATTCCATGCTAAATGTGATAACGCAGGCCCGACAGTAACCTTGGCAAGAAGGGAGAATTATCTGTTTGGTGGCTTTAGTGATCATAGCTGGCAAAGTAAGAATGTTTTCAATCTATCATGAGTTCGTTTAGTATTCATACTCCATGCAAGGTCAGAAACTCGGATATCTCATCGGCTGATGCGAACATTGTCAATAACTTCTGTAGCACGACTTTTAGGTGTTGACCCCTTAAATGCCTATACTGTTCCCCCAGCCCGGATGTTAAAGGAAGAGGGCTGGGCATGGGGCTGGAAATCTCATCCCCTTAAAAAACCTTAGGTCTAAAGCCAAAAAGTGTAGAGAGTTGATGAAAAACTCAAGCGCTGACGTTTTTGCGACGCGAACGGCGAACATAGCGTGAGAGCCATATCTTAAGGCGCGCTTCGACATAAAAAAATGAACTAGAAAGCGTGACCGCTTTTGATAGAATTTCCAGGACAAGCTCTAGGAAAAAAAACAAAAACCACTACCAAATTCTGGCCTCTATATGCGTCTCAAAAAAGTTAATGTCCAAAAACCTCTTCTTCCTCTTTCCCAGAATTTCTTGATTATTATAGCGAAATCTTAGCTTCAACGTACTTGCGTTACCTTCACTTAAAAATTGATTAAAATTGGTAAGTCAGAACCTTTACAAGTGATGGCTAAATTTCCCAAAACTCTCTCCATTTTTGTTGCAGGTTATAATCCAGCACGAGTTATTCCATCGAAAAAAGCTTTCCTCTTCAGTCTGGAACCAGTCGGGAATGAATTTCCGAAAAAGCTGACCGTGCTGAGCGAGAAAACCTACCAAGCTATAAGGAGTGACAATTCCAAAGGGCCTTGCTGGGGTGAAGATCAAGACCAGCTTTGTTTTAACGGCCAAGAAGTCACAACAGGAATCAATGTTGGTGGTGTCTTCAATATCAGTGGGATTGCCAATCCCAGCAGATATTTTCTGTTGGATTCTCCTTCACCAGCTGATGAAGTCGAAGTCTTTACAATATCAGGTGAATTGGAATGACACAATGGTGCCCAAGATATTGTGCTATTTCACTGAATACACTCTGTGGATCGATTCGGTGCAAAGCTAATTAAAAACCTGTCTGTGGAGTTATAAACTTTTTTTGGGTGTGGAGAGTAGCCCAAGATTGTATTGGCTTTGCCTTGCTACGTTCTTTGATTGAGACAGTCTCGCGGTATGTTTAAATTTTAAATCAGTCGCATGCTAACTAAGCCAACCAATCGCGACTTGTTCCTTTTCCTTTATTTATTTACGCCGATATATCTTTTGGGCTTTACATTCTCTACTGCAGAGCGCTCTGTAATGACAATAGTACTGGTGGTGATGATATGATGATGGCGATGGGACGAGAAGAACTGATGAATAGAAAGCGATAACTTTTGCGTTATTTACAAAGGAACATTCTCTGCATAACCATTCTTTTCTTTACTAGATTCTTTGTGCGACCCACCCTGTTGGGAAGGAGAAACCTGCCATGAGATGACAGGAAAATGTATGTGTGATCCAACCCTAAGAGGAGAAGAAATGTGCCGAAGGAGACAACGTAAATATAAGATATAAAATGATTAAATTGCATTTCTCTACCATGAGCCCATCACCATTCTCCAGGTAAACTGATCTATAAATGAACAGGATTATAGCTGGTATGCACACACGACGTCAATCATCGTACACTGTCCGGTAGAATTGGAAGTAGGGAAAATGTTTTGTTTCGTTTTCTACCTATGAGCGTAAAGTTGGAGTAAACGCCTGACGAGCGTTTGCTAAATTAATGCGATATTTTTCCTCGTTTTTTGGGAGAGATCAAAAAATGTTTAACTGAGACATTAACAGAGGCTGATTGATATTTAATTAACAATTTTTTTCTTGCCTCTCTACGTTAGAGTTGCAAGTTTCTAGAGACAGACATTGCTATGATAACTGGGCTCATCGCAGGGCGAGTTACTGTAATGGTCGACTATTTGCTCGGTATGACGTCAAGAATGGCGAGACGTCACGCGAATGGCGGTGTTATTACGAAGAGGCACTCACCTGGGATCGCAAGCATTATGACACGACGAAAAAGTCGCCCTGTTTCCACACAAAGAGTGGATTAGAACTTTTCACAAATGAAGGTGAATTTGGAAATAGAAGAGAATGATCTCGTCTTGTTTCCTGTTTCCCATTTTCTGTTCTCCATTCTTCGCTTTCCTTGCTCTTCATGCTTTTCATTTTGCGATCTCTGTTCAGAGTGAGAAAGGCTATAGTAGTCTCGAGACGTGTTAACGACCACATGTAAAAATAAAATGCATTTAATTATTCTATTGTTACGCCATTTTCTTCATCAGGGCAACTGAACGTGCAAAATGTGTGGCGTTACTCGATTGTAGAACAAGGAAAAAAAGACGAACGGAAAGCGGAGAGATAAAGAGGCCGCACTGGTTAATCCAAGGGATTTTAAGCAAAGAAATCCTGGGTTCATTCGGTTTTTTTTTCGGTGAACAAAACATATGGCTTAATCAACATATAATACAAGCTGCCATTTTAAGAGCTGAAATTTTGCACATTTCTATTATTTTCGCCGGAAAGATTTCTACGTAACCTGCAAAATTTCTGCTAGTATTATATGTTAAGCCATCTTGTAAGGTGCACGTATTGAAATCCGCTCCCCAATTAGCATATGGTAAATTCAGCAACCAGTAACAATTTAATAGAATGTACTCGTAGTCAGTGTATTAAGTTTGCTTACGCATACCGTCTTAAGGGTCAATTTGAATCCTGAGTAAGAATCGATTTCAAACATTTCATTGATTGAATTCCACATAATTTTCTTGTGTATAGTTTGACAAGTCCCTGACCACCTGGACACAGTTGTTCAGGGGCAGATAACACTACCCAGTGGATAATTCGCAATTTAACAGATAAGTGCTAACAAAATGTACTATGCCGTCATCCGCCTAGAGATTTGCCCAGTGGATAGCGTTATCCACCCTTCCGACAACCGATATCCACTGTTCTCCAACACCTTTTTTATGCTTTTATTTTTCAAGGAACAGACTGCAGAGCCCTGGGTATGGAGAGTGGCTTCATACTTGACTCCCAGATCACTGCTTCGACTGAATACAACTCTGCACACGCAGCATGGTATGGACGGCTGAATTTTCGAGAGGGTAGTGGGATTTGCGGTTGCTGGGCGGCACGGCATCGCAACAACCACCAGTGGTTTCAGGTGGACTTTGTCAGGACTGTTTCTCTTGGTAAAGTAGCGACTCAAGGACGGGACAGCCAACAGCACCCCATGTGGTTGACGAGTTATTCTTTGTCTCACAGTCTGAATGGTATTGACTTTGCCTTGTATCAACCGAATGGCTCGCCAAAGGTAAACGCATCTCGGCTCCCATTTGCTCCTTACATATGAAAAACCTAAGGTCATGCATGTAAGGTCACGGTTATTTCATACGCCTGAAGCTAAATACTCCATATGCCGGTTATGGCATAATCATCTCCACGATAATCAGCGGAGGACTCTAAAGAGGCAGCACACTATTCGCACATATTAGGGCGCGCAGTAAGCTTCAAAGGTTGTGGTCTGGTCTTTGACTGTCATATAGTCATGGTTAGGAAACACCGGAAGATTCAGCGGATAACTAAAAGTCCAAGGTTGAACTAAGCAGTAATCATTATTTTGAACAGATTCAAAACAAAAAAATAATATCTTCGCTATCGCTTATAAGGAAAGTAGGATGTTTTAAGAGCGACGTGTGCAGTTTAAACTTCCTCTTAAATTTCCTTTACGCTTTTTTCAGGTTTTCAATGCTAACGAAAATGAGACTGCAATTGTCTACCACACAATCAATCCAATCATATTCACGCGCTACATCCGGATACTGCCACAGACTTGGCACAGTCATGTATCCATGAGAGTGGAATTCTACGAGTGTGATGGTAACTAATACCCTGTTCACACTAGTGCGATTGATTTAAAAAACGCATCTTTGTTTACTCCAGTCTTTCTCAACGTTCACTCTTAAATTCAAACCTCAGCCAGTGAAAAGAGGGTTTTCCGTAAAAGATCCCCAATCAGGGGAGGCTGAAATCAGGGGCTATTTTAAAATATGGAAGTAAATCAAGATAACAACCTCTATCTGATAAGTTTGATTATTTTTAAAGCTGTTTGTGGTAATTATAGTAAGAAGTTATTTGTTGATCACTTCTGGGAGTTAAAGGGTTTTTCATTTGCTTCCCTGCTCGGTTGAAAGAGTATCCTAACAGTGTCACACACATCATGGTTCAGATCCCGTTGAACTTAAGTTCTTCCGAAATGCATATGTGGGTACTTCCATCGTGAATGTCGTTTGTGCTTACAAATACAACCTGGGGTGATAATTGAGTCAATTTAGCTGGATATGTGCCAATCCCTACCCCATATTCTGCGGCCAATTATAGACGCCATCTTGTTCATTTTTAGAAAAAACGTATTTTCGCAATCCCATCTTAATCACCCTTTAAGTGCGAACCTTTACACTTTTAAATCACTACTAACCAGTAATATCTTACCCCTAAAACTCCGAAAATACGACCCCATCCAGTGGCACACCCCCACCCCTCGCGACCCATTAGTAAGAATTATCCCACCCCCCCTAAGGAAATGCAGTTAACTAAATTTTTTTTGCTCATTGACTTTCAAATTTATTGACAGGCCATGATGTTTTTGATATTGAAGACCTTTTTTTAGCTTCCTTATACCTGTGGACGTTTGATGATATTAACGACATCAAAAACATTCGAGGCACCACGTGGTCGAAACGGAGCAAATCGATACAGTCCGTCCCTGGCGTGCGAGGCCGCGCAGTGAAAACTGCAGGAGAATCTGGATCCATTAAAATATCAGCTGACCATCGTTCCCTATTAGTTACTCCTTATAACACCAATGCGGTCACCTTAGCACTATGGATCTGCTATGAAAGCCAGGGACCACAGGTCAGCCAGACTATACTGGCCGCCGGTGATCAAGCAAATGGAGACCGAGGAATCCATTTATATCAAGCAGACGGAAGCAGCGAGGAGCTGACGTTTGAAATTAAGTCTGCACTCAAGCTTTGTGTGGCGAAATTTCGAGTTTCGCAGCGGATTTGGACACATTTGGTTTTTATGTGGACAAGAGACAACCCTGCCATTATTTACCGTAACGGAGTGTCGGTCACGGATTTGTCAAATCACTGTCATTCGGGAGATTTTGTTGATTTGAATAATAATGCAATAATGATAGGGTCTACTGCCCTTCCCAAAGCTTCTTTTGATGACTTAATTTTATGGAAAGTAACGCTATCGAAAACACAAGTTGAGAAACTCTACAGGTACTACATGGGTAAGTGTTCAAAAGTCTAAGGGAGAAAATTTATAGCGAGAGTCAGTCGCTATAGGAAAGACTCGTGACGTTAATGAAATTGGACAGCATTCAGTTTTCAGTTAGAAGTTGAAGTATTAATTTGTAGGTTCAAATAGTCGGATCATTGACAGTATCTTAGCAACTGTGTACCTACGCCTCCCCTAAGCCAACTCTAACCCTAATTTATTATCAGTTGACTTTTGTTGGGTTAGAGAAGGGGTAGGTGCGTAGTTGTTCACATGCTGACGTTGATCCAAATAGTCATTGAATCCAGTGAATCACCGTTGCTAGGATGCCTTTTCGGAGATTTATGCACATCGAAAAATTGATCATCATCTTTGTCCTTATTTCGTGTCCCTATTGACAGTAATTTTGATTCTTTATCAACAGGTGCCGCAAATCTTCACGTCAATGTGAGCCTGAAATTAACAGACGAAATTTATCAACATGAAATGTCCCAAAAGGATTCGCAAATGTTTAAAGATAAATCGTCTTCACTTATGAGTCAGGTTAGTTTGACGTGTGAATCTGCGTATATTGACAATCAACGAATCATGCTTAAAAGTAAACAGAAATGAAATGAAGGTTAAGGATCACAAGTACAGAAAAAGGAAGGAAAATTCTCGTTTATCAGTTGTTATAAACCAGTCACTGAACCTTCCGCGACGCAAAGGGGGTGAACCTGGGCGGATTAAGAATTTAGGAACTGGACAATACTTCAAGATAATTTAGTATTATTAACTGAGTTTTTAACGTAAACTGGCCACCATAAAGAGTTTCAAAGCTGGCGTCTCTCGCGTTAGCCCTTCATCAGAGCGATTGGTGAAGGGCTAACGCTCGAAACGTCAGCTTTTAAACTCTTTACTGTGGCCAATTTACGTTATTAACTCAGTTGATAATACTAAATTACCCTGTTGTTCTCTCTCACCGACGCAAACACCATAGTTTCTTTAGAAACCTACCCCCTTTACTCTTTTATACTTCAATATGCAGACCAAGAGACACGTTGTAGCTCCAACTCTCTATATCGGTGACATACGTTTTACGTTGACAATTTACCTAATAAAGGAATAATCCCTTCACTAGAAACTGATAAATCAGTGCCTGGTTTTATTCTGAATTTTGCCATTGGGTCTAGAAAATACTATTCATTACCTTCATTTACGTCTCAATGATTGCTTCGATCGTCTCAAAATTTTGTGAATTTTTATTGGAACGATTTAAAGAATCATTTTAAAAGAAACCTTTTCCATCCTTAATACCTCAAGGATCAAGTGCGAAGACACGTTCCTTAAATTTTAACCCACGACTCGCATAGCAATGTATAGTTACCCGTGATGGGTCAAACCTCTCTATCTACAACCATTTTCTCTGATACGGGGATATTTTTGATGATACTACTTCATTGCTCACGAACAATTCTCCTATGATCCAATTATGGCAGGTTTTAAGTCTCTATACAGGAAATCAAGTTTTAACAGTGGACAATTTTGCGTTCTGGTATGTCATACTTTTCATTAAACACTTGCATCCTCACCTGATCCAACTTTAAAAAACCAGTTCATTCGTAGCTGTGGCTGTCATAGTAGTATATTTTATTTAGGCCCGTACAAGCCTGAATTATTTTTCAGGCGTTTTTTTCACTATTGCTTAAGTAGTGTTCATTATTGTGAAGATCGCTTTCATGTTAATTTCTTTATACGCAATTTACATATATGATTTTCATGTATTCACAGTCATTTTAACATATTTTAGGTTTACTCTTCATGAAAAACTAACATGTAGTCACTTTCATACATACCTCATTTACACTACTCGTACAAGTCTTGACAAATCTTAGGGGTTAGTGCTCTGAAATGTGTTGTTAATGACTTAATGACATTTTTTCTAGGAATATGACAGTCTTGGGGGCTAACTTCACTGTACGTTTCAAAGGGACTGGATATAAAGAAATAGAGCCACTTGAGCATAGTATTGTGTCAAGACATAGGTTGGGTAACTTCGCGGTACAACTTGTTGCCATAGAAGCCAATAACGGTAAGTTTGTAACCAATTTGATTTAACTTATTAAAGTGCTCCAGTTACCCTAATTTGTTGAGGATGCTCAGATCAAGATTTAGGAAATAGGTAAAAAAGGTGTTATATTTACAGAGCTTTTTTACGTGAGTATAGTGTGTGATGTAGTCGGTCAGCGATTGAATACCGTTCGGTTAGTTAGCAAATACCCTTTGCCACCTGTGACAAATCGAGATAAAAAAGAAGCAGAGTTCTATTTTCAATTTTGATTCCCTTAAATGGACCATATTGTTTGCATGGTAAAATTCCCACCTCGGTTACTGAGATCGATTTGGAATACCCACTATTTGAAGTATATCAAAGTAACTCTCTCTCTCTCAGAATAGTTTTCTAGGCCGTCGATTAATACCGACAACAGCAACTAACTCCCAGATGACTGAGTTCTTATATACATGTATAAAGTATTCTAGAACATTCCGGAATCCTACAACACAGCTACCCTGGTAGAATTAGGTCATTATCACATAATTTAATAGAAGGTTGGGGAAGGTCTGGGGTTCCATGTCGACTTGACGAGGCATTCTAGATATTTCCAGAAAGAACTCTACTCAAGTCACTAGCCATAACAGCATTTGAAACTTCGTAATAACCAAATGTTAATTTATTGAATGCTGTTAAACTTTAATTCAGTTTACACGGAGCCACTTAAAATCACTGCAAGATGCATCAACTCGACCGCAGTCTCTTTGTCATGGAATGAACCCGAAAATTTGACTCATGGAATTTTTCGTGGAGTGGAGATTTTATACCGCTTGGCTGATTCATCGCAGAGGTTCTTAGTCATGACAACATCCGGGATACCTGAGTACCAACTGGAAAACCTACTACCATATAGAGTGTACGCCATTAGTGCCAGACCCCTCACTTTTCAAGGAGAAGGAGAGGAAAGTAGAGAAGTTTTTTTGAGAACAGGAGAAAGTGGTAAGTATAACGACTAACATCACATAACAATGTTTTATCTCTAAAATTAGCCAATTTTTCTATTACTTTTAATATTCCTGTGTTAATAAAAAGTCCTTCTAAATAGCTAGGGTGCATTTTTATAGCATTTTCCCTTGAAAAAACCAATGTTCTTGTGACCAGCGTGGCACGTTATTGCACTCCATCAATAGTGTAAGTAGATATCCGCAAACTGTCAGGAAAAACTGACAAATTGGCTGAGGCTTATAAAAGATTGAGTATAATCTCATCCGAGAAGAGCAGCAATATTCCTGGTCGCTTTAAGCTTCGGAAATCGGGGAAAGCTCAGACATGTTGGGTCACTTGGCTGGATTATAACTTACCCCATCGTTATCAGTCCTTGTATCTTTCTTGTCGGGAAATACCTCGCGGGTTGAAGCTCCCTAAAGTGCGTTTTGAAAGAAATTTCCAAGCGTGTTGGTTTGTTTATTTAATAAAAATGACAGGACATATGTGGATCGATGTCCGTATTTGAGCAACCGCATACAAGTGATGAAAAGTTTTGGTTAATGTTGGATAAGGGGAAGGTTAGGTGAGCAGATACTGAAAAACTGACATTGATCCTTTCGATCTACTATTTGAATAAAGTTTAGCCGTTGTTTACCAAATCCGCGTTCTAAACAACCCTTATTTTGGCTGAATCTTTTATATAATTAAACATTTATATTTTTGTGAAGAGCGTCAAGAGGACCGAAAGCTAAAAGTAGAAGGACAATTATTGAACTAAATCAACCCTCCTACAGTGAAAGCATAAAGCTCACTGATGCTTTAAAACCGTTGCTTGAATCGTACTTCGAGTAAAAACCAGCCTTTAATATCTACATTCTGATGAATCTGGATGTCTATCTTGTTAGAAAAATGTCTCTGAGGGTATCTTCCTTATTTGTTTATAGTTCCAACGTTATCTCCGTTAAACGTCAGAGGATTCCTTGATAGTTCAGAGAGAATCAACATTACTTGGCAACCGGTCCCACTGGAGCATCATAATGGTATAATTTTAGGTTATTGCGTCGTGTACGGCACTCAAGGTGGATTGTACAAAAATGTGACGGTTAACGTTACTACCTTGTCGGTAGCACTTGGAAACCTACAGACTTATACTCTATACCACATCCGTGTTGCAGCGTTTACAGTCATGGGAGACGGAACTCTAAGTGACGCAATTACAGTCAGATCACAAGAAGGAGGTAGGTTATATAGGCAAACTGAAGCAAATCAAAAAGGGAAATGTTCGCAATCTTCCACAACCAAATTGGACACAGAGGTCAAACGTCGGGCATGCGCGAGAGGATCAATTCTGGCTGGCCGAGTGTTACTTTACCGCTCAAAATTTGACGGAAAAACGTCTTAAGAAACAACCGATGTTTCGAAAAATGAGCGGAAGAAAATAAAGGCGTTGATAGAAATGTGTAAAAGGAAACAAAAGTAGGGAACAGAAAAACTCGAGACTTTTCGAACGCAATGCTTCTTCAGTTACGGCACGAGCCATATGGGTTCCTGGTAACAGTTATCCTGTTAATTTACCATTCTGTTTTGAGTTTAGACAAACCTCACTGACTTGTGTGGTTCTTGTAACTCTTTTGAGAAAACTTGGCTGTGACAGCCTGACAGCACGCCACCTAGTCATTACAATGTTCGCACATGCGCAATGGTTTCACTGCTGTATTGCCAGATTAGTTTTATTAACACATAGCTGTTTAAAAAAAGACTTTACAAACCTTATCACTTCCAAGATCTAAAGATCCATTCTCTGGACTAGATGCTCATAAATTCTTATAGTTTCATCTCAGGGAATTTGATAACATCCTGTTACCTCTCTCCTTAAAATGTGTTGACACTGTACGAAGATTTCATTTTTGATTGCATCTAAGAACAAAAGGGTTAATGTCTCTTGCTTAGTACAAATCATGGAACTCATTTACTTTTTCATTCATCTATACCAGTACCCAGTCACCCTCCTCCAATTGTAATGGCGCACAGCACAAGCTACTCAAGTATTAAGGTCACGTGGCAAGCCATTCCAAAGGAGCAAGCTCTAGGAGTTATTAAGGTTTATTTTGTAAGAGTGGTGGACGCTGAGATTGAATCTTTTAACTGCGGTAGCTTGTTAACAAACACGATATCTGGGCTGGAGAAATCCAAGATGTACAAAGTTCAAGTGGCTGGTTACACCTCCAAAGGACTTGGAAACTTTAGTCGGGAGGTCAAAGTGGTCACAAATGTTGATGGTAAGTTGTTGAGGTCACTTGAAAGAGATAGCGCTCTTCTGGTGAGTCTCTTATAATAAAGCAGTGGTTTTACAAAATGCGATCATGCCTTAATTGTTTAACCCCCAAGAGTGACTGATCTCTTATTTCTCCTTACAATATCACCTTTGAATCAAAAATTAAGGTCATGAGAATAAAGGAACGGAACGAAATAAATCAAAACCACAGCAACGCTAGGCCTCTTTTGACTTTCAACTTAGAATCTCTTTCTCAAGCTCATATCATTTTCAATTAAATTAATTTGTTTAAAGGTCTCCTTGGTTCATCTAATCGTTTATGACTGACTTTTCTGGCCTTTGCTTGCAGGTTGTCGCGCTCTTGGAATGGAAAACTACAACATTTCAGACTCTCAGATAACTGTATCATCTCAATACGATGACCAACATGCCGCCGGCAACGCTCGATTGAATTTTAACCCCGTGGGTAGTCCCCTGGCAGGGGCGTGGTGTGCTGCTTCCAACGTTGCACACCAACAATGGCTTCAAGTCGACTTTGAAGAAAAAGTTCCGGTGACTCAAGTGGCCACTCAAGGCAGATTTTATGATGGCAATGGACAGAAATCCAAACAATGGGTGAAAACTTTCTCGTTGAGTTACAGCCGAAATGGTACCCTCTTTAAAGATTATGAACAGCTTGGAAACGTTAAGGTAATCTGGGATTTTATTTCCACTCGTCGGTGCAAAGTGCACGTCACATGTTGTCTAAATGATATGATATTTAGAAATGCCTCTAAAGTTTTGAGGAAATGAATTTTCATATGAACATTCAGCGGTCCAGCTAAATTTATCAGTGGCCGTAAAGTCGCTCCTTTTAACAACCCTGTCATTTGAGTTGTAAGCTTCTACAGTCTCCATTCAGGCAGGTTTTCACCAGCGACAGAATGGGATACCTGAAAACGCTTACGACCCTGTGAAAATCGAAAACAGGGGAAGTAAGAGAAGGCGTTAGCTTGATGGAAAATTAAAACGTTTTTAGTTACCTGGCGCTTCAGAGCCTATGATCCTTCGAAAAGTAGATTATTGGACTCGAAAAAATGTTGCTGAAGAACCAACTAATCAAAACACCATTTCTCAGGCCATTCGATTTCAATCTTATGAGTCAATGGATACTAAGCGACGGAGTCATAAGCGGCAACGAAGCTCTGAATGCTTCCTTTTTCGGTCTACACCTCTAATTACGATTCCGACTGTGTCGTTAGTGAAAATCAGCCTGTAAAAATTACTTTTACGGTAGTATCACCGATAGTACAAAAACATAAAAATAACCCTCTCTATTCCTTTCTCTAAGGCTGTAACCCATAGAAGCATATTTAGCTGAACAGCCACATTGATGAGATTTGCCTTAGGATGTATCAAGAAACCACCCCGGTTTTTTTCATTCGCAGATATTTCAGGGTAATTGGGATAGCAACACGGTGGTTTACAATGTCATCACACCAGTGATCTACACACGGTATATTCGCATTCTGCCAAAGTCGTGGGAATCTCATTTAAGCATGAGAGCGGAGTTTTATACCTGTCAATATGGTAAATACTTAAAATATACAGTTTTTACTTCACAGAGTTGAACGTTGAATTCCTACAGTAACTACTATTTCGCCGATTGGGTCGCCGACATCCCAGCATATCATTACCATGTTGTTCCATGTCGCAATGGCCCAAGATATGCCCTTAGGTCAAAAACAGTAAAAGTCTAGAGAGAAATCTCCCTATTCGTAGGTTAGAGTGTTCCTGTTTTTTTCTTTTTTGACAGATGACGACATTTTGGAGAGCTATCAACGTCTTTCTAAAAAAACTGAATGACATCTTTAGTTTTCAATGAGTATTCAAAGATTAGATCTGAAGTGTCTTGCCAAAGCTCAACCAACGAGCTTCAGTTAGTACAGGAGTGAAGCCATGCACGAGGGACATCTGTAACAGGCCTCCTGCGAACAGCTAGGATCGGCAATGTCGAGGCGTCGCCATTATCCATTTTTTGCCAATGAAGGTTTTAGTTTATTGATAGGCACTCTGTAGCGCTTTGTAAGGGATCTGATCGCGACATTGAAATTTTGGAATCCTGTTCAAGTTGTCAGGTTTTCCCCGTCTTATTCTGAAGTATTATTCATCTTCTTACAGATGTCAATGTCGAGCGCGTCAACTTAACATCCTCTGTTCCGAGTTCAACTGGTGTCGGTCTTCAGTGGTCACCTCCGGACACGGAGAAGTTGGGAGAACCGCTGTCCGGATACCGAGTGGAAATTTTTGATTTCCTGAGAGGAGAGCGTTTTAACTACACAGTGAACTCTTCCATGTCAGGTGCAAACCTGGACATTTTGAAACCGTTTACACCGTATGAGTTTAAAGTTTATGGCTTCACAAGTTCCTGGGAAGGCAATATTACAGACATAATCAGCTTGAAAACACATGAAGACGGTAGGTTTTAGAACCGCGGTACATATGGTACATTCAGGGTTTTTAGCTCTCTTGGGAAGTGATAGTATGCAATAGCTTAATGTGAACGTTGTTATATGTCCAGGAAAGCATTAAACATCGTATTCAGCTAAGAAAACTAAGGAAAGACTAGAGCGCTTTAATTTTCAATTGAGTGTTGTAAGACCAGGACCGAAGTAATCACAATGGCAATTAGAACGATGGACGGAACAGGCGCGTAGGGGAATCGCTCGGAAAACGCGAGAAACTAAAACGAATTGGTTCTAATTTAAAAACTGATCGGTTGAGGAAGTAGTAGGGCGAGATTTCTTGAACAATCTCAGAGCGAAATGGCGCAAAACCAAAGCAATCTTGGACTACCCCGACACTCAGTTGAAAATTTCTCTATCGATTCATTTCCTTTTCGCAATTCAGTCAAAGAAGATTTGAACACAACCAGAAGGTTAAACAACCGTGAGAATGTTCGGACGTTCGTAAGTGTTCGTGGTTAACCCGAATACTTCCGTTGATGGTTGACTGTGAACCTTTTTTTTTCAGCTCCAAGTCAATCTCCAAGAAATTTCACTCTTAAACACACCACAAAGTCGGAACTAACCTTCCAGCTAAAACCAGTGGACGAGTACCATATCAATGGTGTACTGCGCGGCTACAAAGTCACCTATGGTGAAAGCAATTCTCCAAACGACACGTGGACGACTTTAGTTATCAACGCTACTCACGGCAGGCGTAGGAGGAGAAGCACTGAGAACGAGACACTTAGCTTCAGTCTTCACAATTTAAAGAAATACACCACGTACACAATTACTGTGTTGGCTTTCACCATCAAAGATGGTGTTCCAACATTGGCGGCAAACTTTACCACAGCAGAAGATGGTATGGCATGATATACTGAATCAATTTTTTACTCAAAAATATAGTTAATGTTCAAGTCCTAAATGTATCTACGCATGTGTATTTATACTTGATTGCCACCCCCCTCCCCCCCTCCCCCAAGCCATGGGTGGGGCTTTTCAGGGCCAATATGAATGAATGACTCAATGAATAAACATAGTGTATTAAACATCCAAACTAGCACGAGGCAGACCAGATTCCCACAGAAACAACTCAACCAAAAATCCAGTGAGTTTCATGGGGGGGGGGGGAAGGGAGGGGGGTTTAATCGGGGACCACCAGATGACAAGCCTAGTGTCCTAACCATTCGGCACACGGCTGGTAAGGAGAAGTTCAAGCAAGTTCTCGTTGCCTCGAACTTCACTCGCTACTTAGAGCACTTATTCGGGCGTGGCGTTATGTCAGGTTTCTTTATATCTCAAAGCATTATAGTTGGTCTCCAGAAAATTTGACCTCACACGAAAACACTGTAGTTGCATTTGTGCGCGGTTTAATTAGTCTGCTGGTATTTTACAGAGAATTCTCTTAGGAAATGTGACTGAAGCTGTCATTGCAAGCTTAATTATAAATCGTTTTTATCATTTGTAAGATTTTCATCGCACATTTAAACCTTTCATTCCTATGGGTGACCAAGACAGAATTTCTCCTTAAAATATCAGAACAATATCAAGCAGATAAGTGATGAGAATAAGGAAATATCAATTGGGGGATCGTTAGCTGATCCAATATCAAATTCTCCGAATTCATATCATAGGAGTTGTATGGCAGAGAGTAATGAGAATTACTGACGAGATCTTGGGAGTGAAAAGGTTAAGTTGACGAGCGCGTACAGACTAAACCGTGTGTTTGTTAGTTTTTTTCCCCGTTGTGAAAATATATAATCAGCGCCACAAATTGGGCAACAGTTTGCACAGAGGAAGGTGAGTATTTATTTTAATATTCTGACTATGATCATTGCTCCTTCATGCATTAAGTACCAGATCATCCCCCGACAAATGTGACCGCGTTCAACACCAGTTCCACAAGTATCAACGTCACCTGGCAGCCCATCCCGCCAGATCATATGAATGGGATAATCCTATCGTATCACGTTAAATATAGGAGACGTGATAAACCAGACGATAGCGCTTCCATAGTAATAGTTAACAGTACAGAGGTCCAGGTGGAACTGAACGGATTAGGAAAGTACAAAGAATATTCTATACAAGTCGCTGGATCGACAGTGGTTGGCTTGGGCAATTACTCCGAGCCTGACTTTGTCCGAACTAACCAAGACGGTATGTAACGCATTTGGCAGAATCCGTATGGTGAAAATTTACCATGGTACTCCTCCTCCAAATTCGGATACATACGCCAATTGCACATTCTAAATCGTAGATCGAAAGCTGTGGAACCTTTCGTCGGACGTAATCAAGAACTTGGGGTTATTTAGTAGTTTTAGGGAGGACCTAGAGACTTATTTATTTATGTATCTCAAATTTTTCTGTTATGTGCTAACTTTTCCTGTACTGTAAACTCATATGGGTAAAAATTGTAATTATCATTTTTTGTTAGACAAAGACAGGCTATATTCTTTACTAGCCATATTACAAACCAAGGCCATGTGGCTTTGCTTGACTATCATCTCACTGAATGCTCTACTTCGGAAGATGTTCTTGTGAAAAATTGTGAAAAGCAAAAAAAAGAAAAGTGTATCCTTCTGCATTTCCAGTCCCAGATGAGCCGCCTGCTGACATCACAGCCAAAGGAACCGAGCCAACAGTGTTAAGAGTACATTGGTCCCCAGTCCCTAATGAGGATATCAACGGTATCGGAATTGGTTACAAGCTCGCTTTATTTAATACCAGTGGGGAAAATATGAGGAATTATACCTTAAATGCCTCTTTACTGTCGCTGGAAATCACCGGGTTGGAAATATGGACGAATTACAGTATCAGGATGGTGGCTTTCACTGTCGTTGGGGAGGGTCCCTGGAGTAACTTCATTAGAGGAACTACGGACGAGGAAGGTGAGCCACAGGACGCTCAGTCTTCGTTACAATTGCGATTATCAAGTAACTTGTTGATGAGTTTTCTTTTTATTTTCTTTTTGTAAACAGCTCCGTTCAAATCTCCAGCAAATTTGACAGGACAAGCCAAAAGCTCCACTTCAATCTTTGTCCAGTGGAGTTCCCTTGTTCTACCAAATCTTCGGGGAATTCTCCGAGGTTACACGGTTTATTACGAAGAAGCGCCAAGTTCCGTTCATCCAAGCGTGTTGAAAAACGTCTCAGTTGACATCTCTGTTACTGACGTTGAGCTTACCGACTTATACAAGTTTACTGAGTATCATATTTGGGTAACATCGTTCACGACGAGGGAGGGGTTGCCGAGTAACTCCATATTTCTAACATCAAAAGAGGATAGTAAGTTTTTATCGCTTCGAAGAGGCTTTTGAGTTCAAATTTCTCTATTTTTTTGCTTTCATGAGGTTAAGACTCAATCTCTAACTTAAAAATAACATGTTATTATCAGGTCCGGATCGGCCTCCTTTATACATCACATACTCGGCTCCAAGCTCCACCAGTCTGTTTGTTGAATGGGGTTCAATCCCTCCGCGGTTTGAAAATGGCATCATAAGGGGATTCAAGGTTCATCTCCATGAAATTCCGTTTAATGGCACAGTGGAGGAAATGGAGGTAGAACCTCTTCTCCACTGGATTATTCTTGATAATTTGAAGAAATTCACCGCCTACTCCATTCAAGTTCGTGCCTTCACTACTGAAGGATATGGACCCGGAAATAATCTCACTGCTCGCACCAGTCAGGATGGTATGTACCTCACGTGCAATATATACGCGTAATTGACCAAGTGTGAGGTTAAAATGGCTAGATATTGGCTGAATTCTTTTTTTTCTGGTGTTTTTATGGACCGAGACCAAGCCGTGATCTCATAAAAGCGGAAAAAAGAGAACGAGCCATCTCAACGCCCATCTTTCCCGCTCGGGTAGCCAATCAGAATACAGCATTCGCTTCATGTTGCCCATGGGCGCTGCCAGCGATATAATGAGGAGTTTTAAGGCCTTTATCATAACTCAACTAAATGACTAAAATGGAGAATCGTAAGCACTATTGAGATTTCGGGGGGGGGGAGTCAAAACTTTGGAAGGGAGGGTAAGCTGCGGTAAAATAAGCTGTTAGGGCTCATAAGACCTATCTAGTATTTGATAAGGTTATCCTAACCGAGGATAGTAAGTATTATTGTTCTTGTAAGCGGATAACGTGAAAGATAAATGTAAATTGATACTTCATGAGAAAATTCGTTCTTGTTTAATCTGCTGAAATATCATTGCTAACCCAGATGTCGCTCTTCTCGATTTTTTAAGTACCTACCAGACCTCCGGCGAGTGTCACCACAGCAAGTCACGTCTCTTTGACAACCATTCCAGTTGCCTGGCAACCGATCGATCCCGAGTATATCAATGGAATTTTAATCGGGTACAAAATTAGGTACCAGGCCGTCGCAGTTGGTGAGGAGACAGTTGAAAATGAGCCAATCAGAGAGCAGATAGTCCCGAAGTCTTCTCTGTCTCTGGTGCTAAATAATCTTGAAGTATTTACTTTGTATCGTATTGATGTGTTGGGATTTACAAATATGGGAGATGGTCCATCAGCAACTGATTATGCAGGTGTGTCTAAGTTATAAATGAAGCCTTTACTCAGACTTTAAAGGTTGACCCCGAAATTGTTTTTTTGCCACTAAGCAGGATTGAAACTAAAGAAGGTTCTAACTTGTTACTCTGTACCCGTTACCCGTTACCCGTTACGCGTTACACGTTACTCGTTACTCGTTACTCGTTATTCGTTATTCATTTTTCGTTATTCTTCATAAGCAGCCGTGAACTAGTTTTTGGCCTGTCCATTGAACCGACAACTTTCTGCAGAATTTTATCTTACGTGGTGAAGAAAAGCACTATAAAAGTTAAGAGTCTAGACGAGCACACAGCACAATGAGTATGGCCAGAGTTCGGGCTTGTTTGTCCACTTAAAGCACTTTGTGTTAAACGTAAAGTTATCGCATCTGCGGTAATACTTTACCACTAAATATCTTTTTCGTTTTTTAATTAAAAGAGACTTGCCGTTGTCATAAACGCCTCACAACGAGTTGGTACGAATTTCTTCCATATGTTCGGGCGTCTGAGGAAAATGTCCTGAGTGGGCTTATTCCACCAATCCTCGACAAGCTAGCAGTCACGTGCTGTGAAACCTGTCAATCACACGGCAAATCGTACGTAGACATGAATTCAAATGGGTTCAATGAATCCGCCGAGCTTCCAAGTCTACGTGCACTGAGGAGCAACATCGGAAATCCAACAGACTTTTTCTTTCCGATGTATGGATTCAAAGACCAGACGCATTTTGCCAAACAGTTTGGTTATCAAGGGATAGTTGAATCACCTGGAATGGCGTACATAGTGAATACAAACTCCCAGGATGACATGCCCAAAACTATCTTGGTGAACATTGCTTCTTGCTGGCCAGTAGCCATGCTGGCTATGGCTTTTACGTATTTGGCGGGCATATTAATTTGGACAGTGGTAAGTCAGACCAGATGTTACTTTAAATTTCTCACTTCTTACAAGCTTCTAAGCATAACTGTTACTATAAGTTAATTTTATGGTTCCAGCGCTTTCATTTAATGGTCATACTCTGAAGTTTCATTCAAAGACTCAAAATTTGGTTCCTTTTTGTACAGCACGATAAACAGTACCACTTGAAAATACTACGCGGTATCACACACAAGTATTTCTACCAGTTAATAGCCGCATTATAGCACTTGACTCCGGGCTTTGGTAGAGAAATTGGAGAAAGAAGTAACGACATTTTACTTAAAAATGAGAGAGCAAAATGCAAAAAGAAAAACATGTAGCGAGTAATCAGGCGTGTTGGCTTTTTAGTCCAGAAAAGGCAACACACATAGACTATATAAGTCTGTTATCATTGCTTTTTGTTTTAATTTACCTCATGCATAGGAGTCGCGTTGTAACCCAGACTTCCCTCCATCGTTCGTCGAAGGATTACCTGAGGGCTTTTATTGGTCATTCGTTTCCATGACAACAGTTGGGTAAGCTTAAGATTTCTCGTAGAGTGGCGTGTTAACTGTTTCACAGTTCCTAGTTTGTAATCCGTATCAATCTTCTCCATTTTTACCCTTCGAGTCTGTTTGAGTCAACTGTTGTTTTTTGAAGGCTCTCTGTTGTACGAAAATTTGAGCGTCGTAAGAAATACTTACATATCACGAAGTCACGTTGGAGTCTAATTCTTATTTTCTTCTTATTTTCAACTGAGCAGCTACAGCTTATGTGGGTGGAAGTGCGCCTATTAAGAACTGATTTACAGTTAACAGAGATATACACAATATGTGTAACAATATAGTTGAAGGTTTATCAATTCCGTAACGAAGACCTATATTTACTCAGCGATCCACTACGCATGCTTCATAATGCTGCTTTCATCCTTTTCTTGAAAAAACGAATCTGAATAGTAGCTTATCTTCACGGTAAAGATAGTTCGTACTGACGAAATTTTACTCCATGTCATTTTTTTATCTTTCACAGATACGGTGATCGTTCACCGATGTCAGTTGTAGGGAGATTTTTTGCTATTATCGTTATCCTCTCCGGGCTGATAATCTTTGGTCTTGTGACAAGTGTCATGACAACGGCTATTACGACAGTTACTATGGAAACGGAGTCCAGTCTCTACGGAGCTAAGGTACAGGCCAATACAATTCATTAAACTTGTCTATCAGCATATCCCACTCTAGAGAACTATACGAAAGTAATCCGTGGTTTTGCTTTTCTGCGCTCTGTGATTGGTCCAGAAGCATCACGCCACCCTCTCAACCAATCAGAAGCAAAACCGAAGCCAATGGTGCCTTACTCACCGCAGTTTTCCTGCACTCAAGGCTGCTGGCATAAATTAACTTTGAGCCCTCTGGTGTTCCTCACTTTTATTCCGGATGGTCGTTGTGATAACTTTGCTCGTGGCTCTCTTGGAGGGGATTGCCTCGAAAGTGCTCAAATTTCGACCATGATTAGCGCATGCTCGATCAAAAATTTCCATTTGCTTTAAAAACACTTGAAGACTGAAAAGGCTTTCACAAAAACTTGATTATGAAAAAGGTGTGCGGCTATTGATCATGGTGAAGTGCAACTGTAATCTAGTAACAGTAAGGAGCACATATTTATATAACATTTAACATTAATCTAGTTTTGCTGTTTGTCTGACGATGTTGTCTTTCGATGTAAATGGAAACATTTCGACTGCACACTGCAAGTCTTCATCTGGTTATGAGGTCGACTGAATACGTTCTGAATACATTCTATGTGTAAATTTGACGGTAACTAAGGAGATGGGTATCTAAGCATTCGCGGTTTATCAGAGTAAAATCGTTTCGATTCTCGAAAGTGATCTTGTTATGTTCTCACAGAAAAAAAAAATCCCACTGAAATATTAAATCCTTTTGATCACAATTCAAATCGTGCCAGGTCCATTTATCACGTGTCTCCTTTTGATACCCTTTTGTGACTCTATTGGTTAGTCAACAGTTTAAAGTGTTTCGTGTTATCCTTACTGCCTCACAGGTAGCTGCGATCAAAGGATCTCCGGAATACAGAATGGCAGTGAGGAAGAATGCACGATTGGACGAAGGTAGGGAGAGAGAAGGTAAATTCTGATCATAGATTAACCCTTTAACTCCCAGAAGTGATCAAAATGAAACTTCTCCCTCTAATATCCTTATATTTCCAGCAAATAGGCCATAAGAATGTTCAAACTTATCTGGTAGAAATTGTTATCTTGATCTAACACCAAATTCTCGTAACCAATTTACAAGGAAATGTGTACCAGCTAGAAGAGAGAATTAACAATTTGATCTTGGGAGTGAAAGTGTTAAGCTACGCAACACGACGCAACTTGGGGTATGGCAACTCTCCCTATATAGTGATACATCGGTTACGCCTGGGCATTTCTGCAGGTATCCAGACGAAAAATCCGTCTGAGTTCTATCATGATAATGCCTTGGTTAGAGGCGTTAGGAGATTATTGTGTCTTATCCACGAACTTAGCATAAACTCGGACAAAGATGCAATCTGACGTTTCCACATTCTCCAACTTTTTCACGAAAAAGTGAGCCCACGCACGCGTGGGAGTGAATCGTCGATAATTTCTCCTAACAGTATTAGTACTGAAGTTCATGAGGAGGATGGAAATGATCACAAGTTAAAAAAGCTTTTGATTGTTAAACAAATTCTCTTTAACAATACCATAAAAAGGGATAGAAAACAGTATGAAAAATACTAATGTACACTCGAAACAGTATTTTGTTTACCAGCACAAACAATTAAGCGTAAATGTGAGCCAACGAATCTTGACTTGATTTTGCTGTTGATATTTTGGCTCAATATACTGAAATCCATTCCTCTTTTGCTTTACCAAGATCACGAATACCACACGTTTGACGATATTTACATAGCTCTAAATGAACGGCAAGTTATTGGAGCTTTGATAGATACATATAGTGCTGGAAGTAGCAAGGACTTGTTTGAGCAAGAAAATCTACGAGTGAAAAAGATCCTGGATTACTCAGCTACATACGGAGTTGTGATGGGTAATGAAGCCAAAAAACTCCGGCGCTGTTTCAAGCATTACACTGAGAAGGTCTTGGCTAGTGAGATTGCACACCATATACAGAACAATACTGAACAGTTGCAGGTAGATATTTTCCTTAAATACACGAAAGGTAATGATATAGATCTTCGTTTCAACAGATTGGGTAGATGGTTAAATGATTGAAGAGGTTTAACTTCATCAACAGTTTAGGTTAGCCGTGAGAGGGATGTTTGCTAAGTAATGGAGGCCTAACTGACTGATAACTTGCCCGCTTGCTAGACTGACTGACTGACATATGGCTGACTAATGACTTTCCTGCTTACTGGCCTGACTGACCGACAGCTTACTGACCGACTAAATGCCTGAATAACTTCCTCATTGACTGGATCACCAACTGGCTGGCTGACAGATAAGAACGACTGTATGTGTGTTATAACATAGACAGATACTTACCTTTTGAAAGGTCCGTTTGGATGAACTACACTTGTGTCAACTCGAAAGGAAATGGATTTTGTTATGAAATCGCACGTCTGTTCGTCTGTCTGTCTGTCTAGGGAGATGCTTTCTGTCTGAATCAATCACATCTCGATCTGTCTGTTTGTCTGACTTAATAACTGATTGAGCAAGTGACGGACGCACTCTTGCCTGCCTGTCTGTTATTTCAATCTAATTGTTGTGCTGTGAGAAAGGATACTTTGGATGACGAACTTTTCTTGTTCATCGACTTCTTTACCAAACCACTTTAATGATGTAATCCTCAGACTTTTTAAAACTGATTAGTTTACGTTTCTTTCCCAGGAGCCTGCTGAGTCACTCCCGGTGGAAAGATCCACAGGACTGTTCGACAGTCGCACTGCGTTATTCAAGAAATCATTGCTGGTCAGTGGTTCCTTGTTAACATTGTTTTTGATTTCTGGCATCACCTGGGAAATAATTCGATTCATCAGAGCAAGATCGAAAATTCATTCATCAGGTATGTGGTGCTTCTCAAATATGATATTTTTGCTTAATTTTTTGAAGGCCTCACTAATCTCGAATACAGATCCTGCCTTGTAACTGTAACTGAAATGCAGGATCCTTACATTGCTTGGCCGTGGAAGGTCTGGGTTCGAGACCATGTCCTCTTTAAAATTCCCAAACGCCACTCCATCCTTTAGTGTGAAATAGGTACAAACAAACTATCAGGAGGGGGCGGGGGGGAGGTAACCAGCGATGTGCAAGCATCACAACCAAGGAGAGTACATACTCTCCACTCTCTTAGTAGCCTCATGCTAAAGAAACCGTTGATTAGATACAGCGGTTTTTGGCCAATCTTGTTTAGGACGCACTAGCTATTGTGGTCAAGATTTATTCGCATGCCAATCAGTTTAATTTACAGCCTGCTTTGCCGGTTCTTCATTCCATGCGCGGATACAGACGATTTCTTAATTTCAAAGAGCCATGAAGAGTCAGTGTTTATTAAGAACGCCGGAGTTTTATGAGCGAGAGAATGTGTTTCTGCGCCGTCACCTTCCCGATCTCTCGTAGCTTGTTCGCACCTCACTTGAAAAGGAAATCTTTACATCATTTGACCCCTGAAATAACTAATACATTTTATCAATCTTGCTAACCACAGCTATAAGACAGAAGTTGGAAATGATGGGCGAGATGAAAGCGATGGTGGAAACTCTTAACAAGAACATTCGCGTAATTCATGTGAACTTGGCAAGAAGACATTACAGAGAAAGACAACAGTTATTAAAGAGCCACATACTGGAGCCGAAGATAGAATTCCAATCAATAGCTGAAATAAGTTCTCAGGAACTCGCAAACACCTTTGATTCAGAGTCACGTTTGCAAGAGGAAAGAGAACACGAGGCAGACTGTTGACGATGATGATAACGATAATGATAATAACGATAATGATGATGATGATGATAACGATAATGATGATGATAGTGATAATGGTAATGATAACGATAATGATGATGATAACGATGACGATGAAGATGACTGCGGTGTGTGAACGAGTTGATAATCTAACGCAGTTTGATTGAGAGTCGCATGATGAAAACAATAATTACAATGGGTGTCAAGAACTTTCGTTAGCTTTAGTATCTCATATAAGTAAATGATAGATAGATAGATAGATAGATAATGTATTAGATAAATAAATGGATGAATAGATAAATGTATTTAAGGTGAAATAATTCTTACGTCAGTGGAGAGATTGTTCCTGAATATGGAGAGGGATTGTTTTAAAAAGGTCAAATATTTAAACGAAGAAAGTCAGGCCCTTTTAAATCCTTTGACTCTCATGAGTGACCGAGACAGAATTTCTCCTTACAATATCAATACAATATCAAGCAGCTAAGTGATGAGAATGAAGAAAAACATCAATTAATTATGAGATTACTGGTTGATTTAAACCAAACGTCGGGTGAAATGGTAACCAGGGGAACATATCAAGATCAAGATAGAGAAGCTTGAATCACCTTGTTCAGCGGCAGCATCATAGACAATATGACGTCAAACCACTGTTTAGAACACAGTATTTAATGATCACATGGCGGCATTCGGTTTTTCAATAGAACAAGACACAGTATTTTTTTAAGATCGCGTAGAAAAGTGTAATATTGATGCGTGTGATTTCGACTGTCATAAAATACCGTTATTTCCTGAACGATAATTGTGGCCGTGTGTTTGACAATCAGGAGCTTTTTTAAATCGGAGATAATTTCCTTTATTTTCATGACCTTTACTTTTGATTCAAGGGTGATACTGAAAGGAGAAATAAGAAGCCAGTTTCTCTTAGGGGTTTAAGGGAAAACGTCGGATTGCGGATTGTAATCTCTGCGGCAAGATACTTCTCATGGCGCTGATTGACATACTTTTTTTTTAGATGCGTCATTATCTAATCAGATTTATAATAATGGAGAAGTAAAGGGCAAACGGGAATAAAGAAAATAGCTTGCAAGCAGACCATCGTCATTAGCACCGCAGGACGCGCGTTTCTCCGCCCGCGGGAAGATTTGAGACAAGTCGAGGAGAGGTTCATTGGGGGTGCGGTTGATTGGTGCCAGACCCCGCGCGCGAATAAATGCTTGAATACTTTTCGCTGGACAAAAAAAAAAGCTTGAATTGAACTTTCTTCTAATATTTTTCTAATGGGATTTTATTATGGAAAAGAAATCGAAGAAATAGAAAAATGATAAAAAAAATAGAGTTTAATCTGTCTGCTTAGATTCATGCGTATTGTCAGATCTGCCACTTTCATAAATAAAATAACTGCCATCAGAGTGAATTTTTGAGAATTCCTCTTGATATAAGACGCCAATTAAATACATGACCGACAGAAGTGAAAAAAAGAAGAAAGAGAAAACAAGAAAATTAGAAATGAGGGCGAGATATTCCCTTTCCCTGTCAAATAGGTGACTCCAGGTTACCAAGCTCCACATGTGCTAACATCATGGCGGCCCTGTTACGACTTGGAGCTGGTAGAGCATGCCGACTTTTAGCAGCAAACGCTATACGTAACCCTTCGATCTACCAACGAAACTTGGCAGTTTTACACAAAGAACACATTCTGAAAGCATGTATTCCCAGATTTAGCGCCTCGAGGTACCTGAGCAGTGAAAGCACGGCTAGCGAGGCTGTTGAAGAAACAGCTGAGATCGAGAGAAATTCAGTGACCAAGGACTTAAAAGAATTTCAAAATGCACGCGAAAAACGATCTAATGCACCTGTAACTAGATACGACCGGGATAAACGACAGCTAGGAACCATCATTGTCAAGAAAATTCTGCTGAGAACATTTGAGAGTATTCTGCAAAATGGTGAGATCTTAATGTCGCATCGTGGCTTGTGAGAATGATTTCCTTTGCATATTACACTTACCTATTCTGAGCGCAAGATAGCATAATTTTTTTTACAGCAGTATTTTTTCTGTGTATCATAACCCATCATTTTCCTCGTTTTCACACGGCTCAAGGATAAATGTACGAAATACGTGCTCGTGAGCGCTATGTGTGATCCAGTTATCGGCGTGTGTTATGTAATTCCTAATTCACGCGAGTTGTTCTTTGTAACCTTAGAGGGCCAACTGACACCGTTACAAGCTTACCAGGTGATACGAAATTGTGGATCGCAGTTATTGTATGAACGACCCGAAAAGAGAGTTGAATTGGCGCACTACATGTGGGACAAGATTATTGAGACAGGTAAATAATGTAACTGTCTGCTGTTTCTTACTCTTCTTCCTGTAACTTAGGGTATGGTCAGATAAATTATGCTGAAAAGTTTGGGCATTATGCTTTTGAGTGTCAACTCTTAAGTTATGCTGAAAATTATGCTCTACATTTTTCATAATGTGCCATTTAATAATTCAATAAATAGCTTTCAACCCTTCAACTCCCAGAAGTGGTTAACATAAAACTTCTCCCTTCAATATCCATACATTCTTCAGCAAACAGGTAATGAGAATATTCAAACTTATCAGGTAGAAGCTGCTATCTTGATCTAGCACCAAGTTCTTATAACTAATAGACAAGGAAATGAGTAGCAGCTACAGGGGAGAATTAACAATCAGATCTTGGGAGTTAAAGGGTTAACCCCCCTGATGTTAGGAAACAAAGGGCTAAGAGCCCCTCAACCTCTCCTGCCCCCATTTTTACCACCTACATGTAAAACTTTCCATGAATAAAAAGCTTGCTGAAGTTAGGAACACAAAATTTTATGGGATCAAATTTCTAAAGTGTACATGAGAAAATCAGGCTCACTTTTTAACATTACACAGGGTAAAGAACTGTATTAAACACAAAAGTTTGGTCATTTAGCTAGTATTATGCTCAATTCCCTGATTATAGAATTATACCAAAAATTAGGATGGTGTAGTTTATAAAACCCTGCCTTCAGCTGATGGAGATCACCAGTCTTATATAGACATGTAGAGCTGATTTCAAAATGTAACATTAGCAAGGAATAGTGGATTATTCTCTAAATGATTGCTGTGTAGCTATAATGTAGATTCTTTGTGGACAAACTTGACCTTTCTCAATAAGGGTTGGTAAATGGTACCTTGAAAATTTGGGTAATCTTGCAAACATTTTTTTCAGAAATCACAATTATGGTATCAACCCTTTTACTCTCAAGTCCTAATTATTAATCCTACCCTCTAAATGCTACATATTTTCTTGTAAGTACATATAAGTAAGTTGCAAGAATTTTGTGTTAGATCCAAATACCGGTGACAATTTCTACCTGATAAGTTTGAATATTCTCATTACCTGTATGCTGGATGACATACACATATTATAGGGAGAAGTTATATGTATGTGTTAATTACTTCTGAGAGTTTAAGGGTTAATATAAATTTAACTACCTTTGCATCCTTGTTTACTCTACAGGCACTCAACCAGATGAAACTTTATACAATGCACTGTTATCTGTGTATGTTCAAAACAGTTACATCTTCAATCCCCTTGAAGTTCTTGAAGAGATGGAGTTGAGGAATGTTGATCCCAACAGGGTAAGAAACTTTGAAATTAGAATTTTTTCTACACTAAATTATTGATGAGTATCAAATTCTGAATGGATATGAAAATTTTGGGTATGGTTTTTTTTTTCTTTCAGGCAACCCTGCTATTGCTTATGCAGGGATTTGCAGAAAAAGGAGATGTAGAAGGCACCTTGTGAGTACACAGCTCTGTCAGGAATATGCTTGAGCTTAGCACAAGTGCTATTGGTGACATTTTATTAGTTCATTCATTTGAAAGTGCCTTAGATTTCTTAGACAAAGAACCATATACACCCACAAAAAAGCTGTGATGATTATGTGAATCTTTAAAAATGTAATTTACTGTTATGTTTCATTGTGATGTGAAGCAATTTTTTTTACCTTTTTTTTTGCAGTAAAATGTTAGAGTATATCAAAGATTCCAAAATGCTTCTTACAGAGGAAGTGTATTCAGCTCTTGTCACTGCATATGGTCGCACTGGGTACGTGATAGCCATATTCATTATAATTATGTGGGAGACGCATTGGCCCAATGATTGGTGAGCTGGGGGGGAGACATGATGGTCTTGGGAGTTAAAAGGTTAAAGATATGCACATTTTTGTCTGAGGTAGAAATCTGGTCTGACAGTTCTTGATCAACAGTTGTATTTCTTCCTCTACAGAGACATTGAGAGTGCCAAGGGTGTGTTTGACCTCATGAGGTAAGTGTAAATATTTCCTTCATCCAATGTTCTTGAGCTTGGTTGTCACTAGAAAATGAAAGAAAAGTACAAAGTATGTTCTGATTTGAGTAGGAAGCTGAAATGAATTTGCTCTTAGGAAGGGCTAATGCTTGAAATATCAGCTTCGAAGCTCTTTATGGGGGGCAATTTACATTATCAGATTCAGTTGATAAAACCAAAGTATTATATGAACTGAGTTATGTTTGCTCAAGAAATTTGCCCCAGAACAGTTTGTTGTTTTGCGACTCTCTCCCCTCCCTTAACTGGAACTCTCTTAGACACGATGCATGTTTTCTTAGCCAGACATTAATGTCAGAATCAGTTTAAAAAATACTTATTTTTTGTCTTTGATCACAATTCACTAAGCAGCTGATGTAAAATGGTCTGAGAACCATAAGCTTTTTACCAAACACTTACTGGTACAGTTCTCTACACAGATTCAAAGTGCAGTGTTTTGGAGCCTAAAAATTTTGTCAAAATGGTAACCCTTTACACCCTAACATCAGTTTGCATATTCTCCATACTGTTCCCCATACATTTCCTAAGGTGCTGACAAGGAGAATTTGTTTAACAATCAAGAGCTTCTTTAGTGGATGATCATTTCCTCTATTCTTGTTCTTAATGTGTGATTCAACCTTGGGTGATATTGTAAGGAGAAGTTAGATGCTAGTCACCCTTAGGGGTGAGAGGTTTAATAACCAAGGCTTCAATTTTAATTTTAATTAAACAATTTATACAAATTCAAATTTTTTTTCTTCACAGGGAGAATAAACTGGAGCCAGACATCAACAGTTATACTGCATTGTTAGTTGTTCATGCAGAAGCTGGAAATGTTGAGGGTATAATGGAAGTAAGAGACTGTGTGTGATTATGAATTTCTTCCTTTATTATTTTACCCAAGGATTTTTCAGATAGATCTTTAACCTTTTAACTCCCAGATTAAAATTCTCCTTAGTGTCAACCATACAATTCCTATGAAGTTAGTTCAGCGAATTTAGCATTGGATCAACTAATTATTCTCAAAAGGATATTTTTCTTTATTCTCATCACTTTTCTGGTTGATATTGTATTGATATTGTGAGGAGAAATTCTGTCTTGGTCATTCATGGGAGTTAAAGGTTTAACCCTTTCTCCATATGTTATCCTGCAAATAGATAATGAGAATATAGGTTGTTATCTTAATTTCACACCCACTTCTTATAACCAAGTTACAAAAACATGTATAGCAGCTAGAATGGAGGAATTTACAATCAGATCTTGGGAGTTAATCCTTTAACCCTCAAGAGTGACTAGCATCTACTTTCTCCTTACAGCATCACCCTGAATGAAGCATCAAGAGCAAGAGAAACTCTTGATTGTTAAACAAATTGTCCTAGTCAGCATCTTAACCCTTTAAGTTTCATTGGAGCCTCAGACAGAATTTCTCCTTACAATATCAATGCAATATCAAGCAGACAAGTATTGAAAATAAAGAAAAGTATCAATTGGGGGATTATTGGTTGATCCAATTCCAAATTCTCCAAACTAACATCACATAAATTGTATGTCGGACAGTAAGGAGAATTACTCATGAAATCTTGGGAGTTAAGGAAATGTATAGATCACAGTAGAGAGAATATGCATACTGATGTTAGGGTGAAAAGTGTTAAAGGATTAATGTATCTCTCTCCTTTCATAGACACTTCAAGAGATGCAAGAAAATAAAGTTTATCCCAACAAGAGGGTATTTTTAGTGCTGCTGGATACACTTTCAAAGCGAGGACACTCTGCAATTATGAAAGAGGTACACATGTAGCTCTGGCTCAGGTTGTTTGAACTGGGGTTGACATTAATCTAGGATTTTAAGTGTACCTTGCTAATTTGTCAAATCACATACGCCACATGTGAATACAAAAATAATGTTAAGGGTGGAGAGGGAGAGAAAAATCTAATTTGAAATTCGAAAATAAAATAGATTTTATACATGTAAAAGAGCAACTTTGATTCCCATTAGTGATTAACATGAAACTTCTCACAGTAATATCTATACATTATTCAGGAAATAGGTAATGGGAATATTCAAACTTATCAGCTGGAAGCTGATATCTTGATCTAGCACCAAGTTCTCATAACTAATTTACAAGGAGCTAGAAGGGAGGATTAACAATCACATCTAGGGAGTTAAAGTGTTAAGAGCTAAAGGTTTTGTTGGGGTTTATCTCATTATGACTTGAGATTAATGGGAAAAAATATGCAAAAGAAAAATTATTGCAAAGCTTTAAAACTAAATTAAAAAATTACACAAACCCCTTGTGAGTTTAATCCTTTTTTGAACAACCCAGCCTGTTGTTTTGTATTTTACAGTGAGTATATAATATCAGCTTAAGCATTTCTTCGATTGCACAGTCATGTATGTCTGAAGCATTTTGTAAGTGATGCATAAAATTCTGCATGTTTTTTCCAAGTATATCTCAGTTTGTGTGATGCATATTTTAAATCAGTCCAACTTTTAGTTAAATTTATTGTGTATTCAACTATCATAGTGATTTGTTTTTTTTTTGCATGAAAGCTCTTAGAGGCACCCCTTGTCATGGGTTTTGTTGAAAAAAGTAAGTATAACTAGCTAAAGATACATACACATGCATTTCATTGTTATTTTTTGAGAGACACTTTACATTTCCTTACACGCACAAGTCATGAAAAGCAACTGCACCTGAAAATATGGGGGCAGCACTTTATCAAGTACAGTGTAAACACAGTTTTGTTTATGTACTGCTCCAGGGTGGAGAGAGATGAATTTGACTTAGGCAGAGTTGAAACCTGGACTCTTTAACTTTGATATTTTTTCTGTGTCTTAAATCTTTTTCTCTGATGAAGGGCTAACACTTAGGAACTCTCTTTGGTGGCCACTTTATGTTATCTTCTCAGTTGATAAAACCAAATTATCTTGTTGTACCCGAGCAATGCAGCACAATAGTACCTTGAGAAACTCACCCCCTCTATTGATTTGTCTTTAGCTTGTGGTCCAACACACTAATGGTTGACCCTGCATCTCTAATAGCAGGGGTTACACAATTGTAGCAATCAGAATCAAACCATACCCATAATGGTAATAGGACTGAGTGGAGTCCAGTTTGGTCAGTAATCATACAAGTGATTTGTTAATCATGAGTATGATTACAGACAGAATTGGATGACATGAAGTCCTGTTACCAATTGATCAAAACTATAACAAAATTTGAATACTGGTTATTTATTTTCATTTTAAAAAAAAACCAACAGTTAACTCAATGAAATGCAAAACAACTGTGCAGGCACATGACACATTCTGTCCACTAGCACAGGCATGATGTGTTAACTATCCTTTAACTGTCCTATTACACTATCCAATTACAAGCATGTTGTGTACAATGTCCTATTAGTTGGGCTGGTGATGATGTCCGACAATTTTGTTGTAGTTTTGTTAACCATTATAATCACCTATGTACTCAACAGACCTGAGGGAGTTTATGATAACAGTTACAACGCGAGGGGAGATAAACACTGCCTTCCTTCTGCTGGGATACATGCCACAACCGACCAATGCTTTTGGTCAAACTCTGGTTGACAGCAATGAACGTGTTTTGCTTCGAAACACAATCCTATCTGGTCAGGTAAGTTCACAGTCACCCCTCTAAATTCCATAAGTGACCAAGACAGAATTTCTCCTTTAAGTATTAATACTTTGTCAAGTAGACAGTTGATGAGAATAAAGAAGGATATCAATCAGGGAATTAGTAGTTGATCCAACACAAAGTTCTCAGAACTATCATCATAAGAACTGTATGACAGACAACAGGGAGAATTATTCTTGAGATCTTGGGAGTGAAAGGGTGAAGGCAATTCCATAGTATTGCATTGCACATCCTTACTGTGCATAATTTCACAGTCACATAGCTACTTGTAGCACAGGCATGTCAAAAGTGCTAGCTTTTTATCGATTGCTGGAGGTCCCCAGAGAGATAAATAGTCAATACCTCTTTCTCAGAACTGAGCAATGACGTTCTGTCCATCAAATAAATAAACCCAATTCTTATTGGAGGAAAAGGAACAATTTTCAGAATATGAATTTTGCAAGTCCAAAAAAATAGAGGTGTTGTGATTTTGTAGGAATTATCTACAATCAATTATGTACAAGGCACTACTTCCCCTGAACAAGCTCAGGGACTTAATTTTTTTCAAGATTTATTTTCATACAAGATAAACAAGAGATAGGTAAAGTTTGACAAAAAACTCTGTGCAGGTTCTATTTAAGAGGAATGGCTGTGAACACTCAACCAAAACACATTATAATTAAATAAAATTAATGTGTTGTTTAATTTCAACTTTTGTTAATTTAAATATATTTCTGTTTTGATTTTTGTAGGGAATGGATGTTATCATGATCACCATTCGTGAAATGGATAGGCTGGGCATCTTTGAAACAAAGAAACTGTATGAACAAGCATTGGACTTTAGCTACCATGCTAGAAACCCAGGTGAAGTGGATACTTAGTGGATTATATTTTCTGTCTTTAAAATGTAGCTTGAGCCATCAAAATGTAGCTTGAAAATCTTTGTGAAAACTGGAGAATTTTCTGAACTCCAATGCCTAATTTTAGAAAATACCAGGTTTCCTTTCTCGTGATGTTCAGCTTTGTAAAATTGAACGAAAATTCAAAATGGTGAGAGTTTAACTCATTCCAAAATTTTATTTTTTATTAATTTTGATTTAAGCATTTTTATGTTTGATTTTCCTGTCACACAGTAAACATGCACCAATAGTCCAATAGTATATTTATTTCCAGTACCATGTTATACAATGTTTAAAATTTCCCTTGGAATTTTGTTCAACAGAACATTAATTATTTTACATGTAACTCAAAAATAGTCACTATGTTCTATTTTTTCAGAACTAAGTGTTGTCCTCTTGCAAGAAATGCTAGAAAAGGCAAGTTTTTTAATTTCTTTTCCAGTTCGTTTACCCATTTAATATTCTGCTCATTTTTAGTTTTAGTGGAATAATTGTCCTTATTGTTATCGTAATTATTACTATTTAGCAATAATGATAATTATTATTATTATTATTTATTTATGATCATTATCAAAGTGCTTTGCTTTACATCATCATCATTATCATTATTTCTATTGCTGTTATTATTATCATTATTGTTATTAATAATTATCCCTTTAACTTCCAGACCAAATTTGTACTTCTCCTTACTGTGAACCATATAATTCTTATGATGCTAGTTATGAGAATTTAGTACTGGATCGACTTATCCCCAAATTGATAGTTTTCTTTGTTCTTATCACTTATCTGGTTGATATTGTATTGATACTGTAAGGAGAGATTCTGTCTTGGTCACTCATGGAAGCAAAAGGGTTGTTATCATTGTTGGAGAGGTATTGCAGTAGATAAGTTACCAAGTCTGAACACATTTTATTTATTTTTTTATTTACTTAGGGAATACCAGTACGAAACCATTACTTTTTCCCACCCTTGGCTATTTATGCTAACAGGAAAGACTCTAAAGGTACAGAATACATAGATGGGTAATAAAGGAATAAAAGGTCACTTTTGGGCTTGGATGAGTCGCATGTAGGGAAACATCTATGTGTAATCAGTATTTCCCAGTTTGTTTGTTTTCTTAGTTTCTGTAAGGTGAAAGACAATTGTCTCTTAGACATGATGTTTCCCTGATATCAAGTAAATGCAAACAATAATAATATTGACTAATAACAATACATTAACTCATTATTTTATTGAAAAAATGAAATAATAGTGGTAAAGTCAAATCCCTTATTTGCTGGGTTAACATGTACATGTATTTCAAGTGGACATTTTGCTCATTGCTAACACTAAGCAACTTGCAAAATATTTGCATGTATTTTTTTATTCCAAGGCAACACATATTGGTAAGTTTCCTTATATGGGGTTTATTTGAGGCCAGAGTCCTATCAAGTACAGTACTTTGCAAAACTAATGCAAACACCTGTCAACAAAATTTGACAAAATTCCTGGCTTTTGATTTCGAACACTATTGATTGATAGGGTCCTTTCATCCACTGATTTTCACTTCATGATGAGTATTTGATGCAAAATCATCCTATGTTTTTACTAAATACTGTTTAAAAAGGCCTCTAACTTTCAATCAAATTTTCTCTCAAACTTTGGATGAAAGATCCTTAGGACTAAAAATGCAGTATATTTTTTGCATTACTTTTGCAAATACTGTAAATACAGTTAACCAAAAGCAAAAGGGATGTTTGAGAATTATAAGGGTTGCTATTGACAGATATGAAACATTTACAAATGAATGTAACTTGTACATATTTCATTTTTTTTTGTCATCATTGTTTATTCAGGGGCACAGGATGTCTGTGCACTGATGATGAAGCATGGTTTAACACCAGATGGCAAAATGTGAGTATACTTCAACCCTTCCCCTCCTAAGAGTAAGGAAAAAGTAATTTCTCTTTTAATTATCATACACGTACTGGTATGTGACCCATGTCGACATCAAATTTTCACAGCTTAAATTCACTTATGCCTTAGATTTATCTCGGCCAACAAAATGAGGAATTTTACTATTTTGCACAATAGCAATGATGAAAATTGCAAAATGAATTCAGGGAAGCCAAGTATGACCATGTCTAAATCAAATTTTCACAGCTTAAATTCACTTAAGCCTTAGATTTATCTCAGCCATCAAAATGAGGAACTCTACTATTTTGCACTTTATTAATGATGAAAATTGCAAAATGAATTCAGGGAAGCCAAATATCAAATTCTCACTGCTAAAATTTGCTTTAAAATGCCCCAGATTAATCTCAGCTATCAAAATTAGGAATTCTACTATTTTGCACTTGAGCATTGATGAAATTTGCAAAATTAATTTAGGAAAGCCAAGCAAGACCCATTTGAAAACTACAAAACTATTTATAATCTTTAAATCCCTTAGAGGGACTGGCATTTAATTTCCCCTCACAATGTCCCCCCCTGAATCATACAGTGAGGTCAAGAGAATAAAGGAAGTGATCAACAACTGAAGATGCTCTTGATTGTAAAACAAATTCTCCTTGTCAGCACCTCAAGAAATGTATAGAGAACAGTGGAGAATTTGCATGCTGATGTTAGGGTGTAAAGGGTTAGGTTCCTAACAGTAACTTCTGTATCTACATTTAGCAAAACTACATAATTTACTACCATATGTGTTTCCTAAAAAACAGAGACATGTACAATGTCATCTATTTTCCATTTTATTTACAGTTTCTATGCAAACATTGTGGTTAAGTTGGCTTGCTAGGTCATTTAGTGAAACTGGAAATCATTCATTACTTTTTAAAGCCTTTGACTCCTTAGATCTAATTGTTATTTCTCCCCCTTTGACTGCTGCACCCTTCCTTGTAAATTGGTAACAAAAATTTGGTGAAAGATTAAGAAAGCAACTTCTACTTGACAAGTTTGAGTATTCACATTATCTACATGTACATGAAGCTTTGCTAGATAATGTATGGATATTATCAGGAGAAGTTACATTTTAATCAATTCTAGGAGTTAAAGGGTTAAATGGTTGTTTTAGTTCTCTAGGCAAACTTTCCATTGTGTAAGGCCATTAACTCATGTTCCTCTTTTTTTTCTTGTAGTTTGAAGTACTATGTAGAGTCATTAAATGAATCAAGTGAGAAAGATATCCAAGCAGTAATTACCTTATCTGAGGTAAGTAATGTAAATAGATAAAGATTAATATAATTATTTGAAATTAATTTTGAAGGAATGCCTCAGTGCTTGTGTTAAGAAATAAGAGTGCAGAAATACAACATGTACAATCGTAGTATCATGGACAATAGACCAGTTTGAACCTTTGAAACACGGCAGCTTAGCCACTAATCTGTGGAGTTGCAAAGTTGTGGTCCTCTCATTGCCTTCTCTTATTCATCTGCTTGAATTTTAAGGAGGTGTACAAGAATGCATGCATCAGCACAACATTGAATTGTTTGAACCTGTGCAAACATTGAATTGGCTAGTTCGGGCTTGCCTTCAGGCTGTCAGAGCAAAGTTTTCTCACAAAGTTTAGTAAACTGCCTTCCGCAGTTACAGATTTCAATGAATGTTTCAATATTCCTTCCCCTATTTTACTAGACAGGTTTTGTTTCTTATGTTTTCTTTAGAAATTTTGCATGGTGAATTGGCACATAGGCATCCAAAACTGATCCCCTCACTCATGCCCTACATCTGACCACTGTGTTACACGAATCAAATGAAACTTTACTGTACATTAACCAGATTTTGGAGGAGTTTTGAAGAAAATTCTAAGTACTCTTTGAAACCAGGTGGAACCATGAAACTGCTGAAGACAAAATCCTGATAAGAATGCTATCTTTACTTAAAATTTGTCAAGTTGTTTTTCATTTAATGTCAGTTGTATTATTCCTAGGGTTTGCCTACCACCAGATATACAATTACAACCATTGCTCAACTGTTTATGATGATTGGTCATTTGGATAAAGTGGAAAAGACCAGTGAGTATACTGTTACTAAAGAAGGAGAGTTTCAGGGAATGCACATGAATGGCACTTTATGATGCTAACAGAATTTCAGTGAAGAAATGGTTTTCTTGGAGGCTTAGCTCTTGAAATGAGGGGTAAAAAAGGGATATAAAACCTGCTAATATGTGATTTAAGATCAGATATGTGTTTTATAAGAGAAAGCATACTGTGGTTTGAAATGACTCCTACTTGTAAAGTCTGTTTGCGAGCTTGTTAGTCCACCAAGCCGGAGGTTATCCAGGTTTACAGTGTAGGACCAGGAGCATCACTACTCCCTCCTGGATGGGATGCTAGTCCATCACAAGGTTACACCCCCCCAACCCTGCCTGTACCCATTTACACTTCAGGGTGAAGAGAGGCACTGTGGGAGTAAAAGTGTTCTGCTCAAGAATAAAACACATTGACCCAGCTAGGTCTTGAACCCAGACCTCTTGGCCCAGAGTCCAGTGGACTGACCATCAAGCCACAGTGTCTCTCCAACTCCTACTTAACCCTTTAGCTCCTAAGAGTGACTAGCATCTAATCTCTCCTTACTTTGTCAGCCCTGAATCAAACATGAAAGTTATGAGAATAGAGGAGATGATCACCAACTAAAGCAGCTCTTGATTGTTACACAAATTCTCCTTGATAGCCTCTTCAGAAATGTATAGAGAACAGTATGGAGAATATGCATACTGATGTTAGGGTGTAAAGGGTTATTATTAAATGAATGATGATTATTATTCTAATTATTATCATATTATGTTGCCCTTTAACTTATATGAAGTCATATTATTTTTTTCTAGTTGAATTAGCTGAGAAAGAGGGTGTCAATCTCGGAGCTATAGCGATGGCTTTTGAAGGATATATCCTTTCAAAGTAAGTCTCAGATAATGATTTTGGAATGACATTTATGCAGAAGCTTTTATTTGTGTAAATTTTGCAATACAATTTTTAATACACGGAGAATTATGGTGGGTTTGATTACTGAAGTGAAACACAATAATATTGAACGAGGAGAAAAAATATGTTGCATATTACATTATGGCTGCAGAAGGAATCTTATTGATTGTAATCTGCAATTTTTTCGGTTTTGAGATCCATTCGAGAAGTGGCCCTCAAGTTATGTAACAAGGAATTTTTTTGTGCATAAATTGGCAAGGTCGTTCATCAGCAATGAACTTCTAATTATGCGCCTGGCTGGCTTGTGGCAGCGTTAACTGTTAATTCCCAGGATCTGATTGTTAATTCTCCCCTCTAGCTACTACACATTTCCTTGTTAATTGGTTGCAAGAATTTGGTGTTAGATCATGATAACAACTTCTACCTGATACATTTGGAAACTCTCATTACCTGTTAGCTGGATAGTGGATGGATGTTGTTGGGAGAAGTTACATGTAAATCACTTTTCACTCCAAAATCTCATAAGTAATTCTTGTTATTGTGTGGCATACAATTCTTACAATGCTACTCTGGTGAATTTGGTATTGGATCAACAAACAATCCACTAACTGATACTTTTCTTTATTCTCATCACATGTGTTTTGGATTTTGTATTGATTGTAAGGAGAAATTCTGTCTTGGTCATTCATGGAAATTAAAGCATTAAAAACTCTTGCAGTCAGCACAGAAAAGAGCCCAATCTCACTGTTGTTGTATCTCTTCTACACAAATCTCTTTATTAACCCAAACTAACACCAACTAATAGAATTGGAATTTAACCCTTTAACTCACAGATCAAATTTGTAATTCTCCTTTCTGTCAACCATACAATTCTTATAATGTTACTTCAGAGAATTCAGTATTGGATCAACTAATTATCCCTAAATTGATATCTTTCTTTCTTATTGCTTATCTGGTTGACGTTGTATTGATATTGTAAGGAGAAACTCTGTCTTGGTCACTCATGGGTGTTTAAGGGTTAACTTGACTCAAGCTAGAATTTGGCCAATTGAACAATTGGGAACAAGAATCGAAAAAAATAGTACAAGTTTAAGAGTATGAGGTAGTATGAGGCCTTCAATAGCTTTTGTATGTGCAATATTTAGACAGGCTGGCAATTTTGGCATAACCCTTTAACTCCCATGAGTGACCAAGTCAGAATTTCTCCTTACAATATCAATATAATATTAAGCAGACAAGTGATGAAAACAGAGAAAAAATATCAATTAAGGGATTGTTAGCTGATCCAATACCAAATGCTCCAAACTAACATTACAAAATTTATATGGCAGACAGTAAGGATAATTGCAAATGAGATATTGGGGGTTAAAGGGTTAAAACTGGTTTACAAAGCCAGACCATGAACCCACAGCTACGTTCCCTGCTCTTTGGGAGAGGTGGGTGGGTTCTTTAACATCGCCTGCTAACCAGTACATAGAAGATCTAGTAGACGGAGCTTATGGTTTATTGTCCTTAAACAAGAAGACTAGAATGTCTAACCATTTGCAGATGTCAGCACAAGGCAGCACATTCTCTTCAGTTCTTTGAAGACCCTGAGTGTTTGTCCGGTTTTACACAATGCTAGTCGTGTACTTTGATGCCGCCTACATACAAATGTTCACTCTATTCCCACTAAACTTAAATGTTACATTATCTTTAATTTGTTTTTTATCCATTATATTTTTGTATATTTTTACTTTTGCCTTGTCTAGAGCATTTGATCCTAAAGAAGCAGTGAAGGTAAAAAATAAGTGATATTGCTATACTGTATAGTTACTTTGGAAAATTGTATTCTTAATGAAATCTGGAATGGCAGTGGATTCCTTAATTCCTCTTGCAGTAATTGAAGCAAATAATTTAAATTAAAACTGTCTAATCAGAGCTGGCAAATGCTCTTCTGATTGGCCCTTGTGATTTCTTTGGTTCAGGTTTTTACCATTCAGACAAAAGGCTCTTTATGTACATTTTTTCACTCAGCAAATCAGTGTTGAGCAAAAACAATTGAACTTTAACCATGTCAGGTCCCAAGAGGGTTATGTGAAGCTTTTCAACAGAGCTGACGAGGATCTAATCTTTTTGTTACACTGACATTTTATTGAATGACTACAATCCTTTACTCTTAAACTTTCCTTTTCTTAGATTCTTGAGATGCTTGACAAAAAGGATATTACAGCAAGTAAGTTAAACTTTTGAATTATTTTAGTTAAATTAGTGAAAATTTTGTAGCTTTTTTCGTAGAGTTCAAGAAATAATTTGAAAATATTTTCATGTCTGCGATGTCTTTGTTTAAACAATAGCTGCGTGTCAAGTGCTTTGTCCTTCGCTATTGTTTTGCGTGTGATAATTAAATCGTTGTAATAATTAAAAGTTATTCGATCGTCTCGATCCTTGATTCTCGATCTTTGATCCTCGATACCCGATACCCGATACTCGATTCCTGAGCCTCGATTCTCGATCCTCGGTTCTCGGTCCTCGATTCTCGATAGCTTCGAGGATCGAGGATCGAGTATCGAGTCGAGACTGTCAACTTACCTTTGAGCGCTGTATTCCTCGATCATATCCCCCCAACTTTTAGCCATGTTTGATGATGAACTTGTTACAAACCGTAAGTTTTCTTTATACTGATTTCAGCGAAAAGGATCTTGGAAAGATTAAGGCAAACAGACCCTGATTCAGCCGTGGAAGATGCAACTTTTGTGAAACTTATTTTAGAAGCTGTAAGTTAAATTAAAGTTTAGTTATGACATAATGGCTGGAACAGCTGTGTCATGTGGTTTTTTTTTAACAGTCTTACTTTGTCAGCCACAGACTTACACTTTTTACCTTGTTAAGCAAATTGAATAGTAGAACAGCAAAGTATTGCCCAGGAGCTCTCACCAGAGTGGTCATTCAGTAGGGTTTCATAACACAGCGGTAAAAAGCCGGGCATGCGCACAGGGATGAATTCTGGTCGGCCGTGCGCCAATTTCCTGCGCAAAATTTCAAAGAAAAACGTAAGAAACAACCACTGAATAGATTCCATGTTTTATGTCATAGAACAATAAAAATTTTTAATGGAGTCATCATCTATGCATTTGTTTTCAATAGATCATGAATGAGAAGTAATCTAACTGCATTCGCAATTCATCTCATTAGACATAGAATGCTAGACTTTTTTTTCAGTTTAATTTTTCATTTACCAAGGTTTAAAATGAATTTACTCACTGTACACTGCCTTTTCTTTGTAGGGTCTGTCTCATCATCTGGAATCTCAGACTTATACACTGCTGATGCAACAGTTGGCGGAATTCAAATTGTCTCAGGAATTTTATGAAGTAAGTATTTTTCGAGGTTTAAGGGCGGATGATTGGTTCATTTGTACTATGTGGTACAAAATACTCGTCTCTGATTGGCCGTGTACCATAGTGCGCCCGTGTACAACTGTAATGAATCTCATGAACCGTTAAATGGAAGCCAGCCCAGGAGTTTCTGATGATAATTCAACAGCAGTAACATGATGTTGGTTTTTCTTTTTTCCATTCAGCTTCTACGAGTTATGAAGGAGTACGAGGTACCACTCACTTTTCATCAGTACAGGCCGATGTTACGGGTAAGCGACGAGGAAAATCAAACACTCTGATTCAGTGTAAATGAAGAAAGTACAGCGGCAAGATTGATGAGAAACGTTTGTTGCGTTGATAGAATAAGAAAGATGACAACATTTGAGCTCAGTGATGAAATAAGGAAATAAGCCCCAGGAAGAAACCTGGTAAAAATTGAGGCCTTGAGGACAGAGTGGTCATTCGCGCAAGGTCTTAAACTTTCTCGTAGGCGAAGAAACGCTTGTGCTGCATTTCCAACAATTAGAGGGTGTTTGTGGGCTAGATGTTATTCCGCGATTTTTATTTTAGGCCATTTTTATTGTATAGAATAAACAGAACTGTAAAACTGTGAACAGAACATCAGCGGCTTTTAAGCCTCTTAAATAACTTAAAGAGGATGTAATTTTCTTATTTGACATGTGTAGATTATGGCTTTTGATGGAAAAGCAGAGGCAGCACAATTTTGCTTCGATAAGCTCAAGGTATGAAACATGAGTTGGTTTCTCGGCAGTAAGCTTTGTCAATGTGTTACTTTAAATGAAGTACTCGAATTCAGTTTTGCGAAATACTGAGAGTGCAAGGTATTTTCGACTGTAGCCTTATGTAAAATACCTTTTGTTTGTATCAAGGATGTTCAAACAGGATTCATCATGGACAATGTGTGGTAAAAATGTTCTCCTGTAGAAAGATTTTAGGAAACCATCAGAAGTTCCATTGTGTATTCTGATTTTTTTTCCCAACCGAGTTGGAGATGTGAACTGCCCACTGTCGAGAGTTTCTATAGCTGACGCTTCAAGTAAAGCTAATGCTCGAAACTTCAGCTTTATCAAATCAGTTGATAAAACCATATTGATTTTTTCTACCCCACCGACGCAGCACCAAAGTTTCCATAGAAAAAAAACAATTATTAAATTTCAACCTGACACTGACATTTAAAAAGATCAGAACCAAGATCGTTCAAGAGACACTAGTTAGTTTATTGTGCTTTTCTCAGCATGTTAGCATGTACTACGAGGGGTCTAATCAGCCTCATTAACTCGAGTTGAAATAAAGTTACTTACTTTTACTTTACTACCATTTAGCTAGTTTACATGGAGGATTGACGAAAGATTCTTAGAGCAAGTAATATTAACGCAAAAGTTTAACAACAGCTTAATGTAGAGTTTTTGCTTGCATTGTTTTTTCCACGTTCCTTACAGCTTTCTTGAATGTTTTATTTGTTGTTAGGAAGAAACTGAGCCAAGCGGTCTTGATTACTGTCGGTTGATTGAGGCTTATGGCAGATGTCCCGATAAAGGCATACGCGGAGGATTAACAGACGAGGTTTGAAAAAAGTTTATTTTGAAATTTGTTGTTGGTACTGTAAAGGCGAGAGTGGGATGCATAGTCATGTCCAAGAGGAGTGGCACCACGCTTTGTAGTATTAGACCACTTGTGCACGAAACACCGGGAATGCACAAGGGGATCCATTTGAGCCAGTCCGCGCCAATTTCCCGTGCAAAATTTGAAAGGGAAACAAAGAAACAACTGCTGTCACACAAAATATGAGAGAAAATTGAAAATTTCTCACAAATCATTCTTAAGCGAGGAAATAGAAAACTCAAGACTTCGCGCACTGACCATCTCCGTAGAGATTTTCTCAGGCAGAAGTTTCGAGCGTTAGCCCTTCCTAGCTCTGACAAATTATATTTAACACCCTATTTTGTTATTTAGTACACTGTTTCTTTTGAACTGCTGTTTTAGGTCTTTTAAATTATTTTATCTAGTATGCATAAGGTGATCATGTTTATTTATTTTGTTTTTTTGCAGAAAGCAATAAAGAAGATCAAGGATTTGTACGGGGAACTCTCTTTCAAAGCGGTGAAGTGAGTATATGTAATCAAAGTATGGCGCTGTTCACCGTCTCTCTCTTTCTCTTTCAAGATCTGAGTATCACTTTTCGGAATCATCTGCTGAAAGGTGTTATAATGCCAGCCTCATGCATCTTATGTTTAATACAAAAATAGCCCCTTGATTCTTCAAGGCTCATTTCTGACCTAAAATACATGTAGCATAGTGACACTTGCTCATTTTATCGGTAACCAACCAATTATTCAAAAAAATATATATCTATAAATGAGCTTAACAATAGATTCCATCATCAGTGGAATCACAGATGACGTCAGTGGATCACAGAGTACGTCAGTAGATCACAGATGACGTCAAAATAGTGAGAGAACAAAAGTTGCACGCCAAGCGTAGCCAAGTTTGAACAATGTTCTTACCATATTGTGACGTTATCTGTGTTCTTACTACTGTACAGACCCACGGCAACATGGGACTAATCTGTGTTACATGATGAAAAAAGGCAAAATGTTAATGTTTAAGTCATCTGCGCTTCTACCCTTCAATCCATCATCAGTGAGAAGTAATCAAAATGCGTGTATAATCTAGTGAGGTTTTCTTTTTGTTCCCCTCTCTCACTTCATGTAGATTGACAAAGTTTGCCAAGGGTGTTGTTTACACCGCTTTCCTGAGATCGGGTGATGTAGAGCAAGCAGAGGAAATCAAATCGTACGTAAACTGAAGTGTCCAGTAAGAATCTTGCTGAGTAATTTGTAATTTGGTGTCAAAAGTAACTCAGGGTTATATTCGTTTTGCTTTACGTTGCTCTCTGGTTTGTATAACAATCTCGTGCCTCCCTCTCCGTCAGTTTATAGAGCACAGCGGTCGAACGTCGGGCATGCGCGCGCCAATTTCTAGCGCAGAATTTAAAAGGAAAACATAAGGAATTGCCGCTGTTCGGAAAAGTAGGCGAAAGATAATTGAAACGTTCATAGAAATCTGTTATAGGAAAAAATTAGTAAGGAAAGGGAAAACTCGTGATGATTTGAACACAGAGTTTACTAAAGTGCAGGTATCCTGTTGATGTACTGTTTTGTTCTGAGCTTTACCAACAGTTGTACGCTTCCAAAACACACTGACTCCCTTGTGTGTGTGGTTGTTTGCAACTCTTGGGAGAAAACTTGGCTCTGACAGCCTGAAAGGACGCCACCTAGGCATTAGAAGGTTTGCGCATGTGCAGACGTCTGACCACTGTGTTTCCATTGTCCTCTTAGGGCTCAGATTGTTGGTGGTGATAAATGATCACGTTGTAAAATTTTAGAACTACAGTTGAGTTCGCCCTTAATCTGAGATGTTCCTTTGTGGCATGCTCTGTTTTTTTTCCTTCTTTTTTTGTCTCTGACAGTATTCATGGTGAAGGGTACCCCGTGTTCCTTGTTACAAATGAATTTATAAAAGCATATGCAGAACGCGGAGATGTGAAAAGTAAGCCTTTTACTTGTGAGCGTACATTTAAAATGTGTGAAAGCGGTGGTCGATTGCTCTTTCAACAGTTGACATTGCAGAGGGGCACTGGGTCTGACTCCAGAGCCTGAACCATTTCTTAAATGTCTTCTGCAACTGGTTACTTTTTAAGCCTGAAGCGCTATCAAGCCTTTAGCTGTCCGGTTTTCCTTTCCTCTACAAAAACCAGCAATTTTTTTTATTGAATATTTATGCAATTAGACAGTTTTGCAATTCTTAGAGTGTAACGGGTAATTTATGATACCACAGTGGCCTTCATGTACACTGTATGATGGTCGCTGACAAGTTCTTTGCTGTCTTTACTGTTTCTGTTGGACCCCGTATTTGCATTCACATTCAAATCGTTTTTGGCACATATTTACTTGGGCAGAAGGTCGAGGGTTCAAGCCACGTCTCCTTCATTTTGACGTTAAAGAACCCACGCACTTCTAGAAAGGTGTAGGAAACGTAGCTGCCGGTGTTGTGGTCTGGCCTTGTCATTGTTTATAAAAGCCACCATTTAAACCAATGTTGAAGCTGGGCTGGGTGAGCGTGTCTAAATATCGTGAATAAGTAAACAAAGAAAGGAAATGAATTAATAAATATATCGATTGAGGGTTGGATTTGAAAGCAGTTATTCTAGGGTAACGAGCCATTTTTGTTGTAGGGCCTATAAAAGCTTATTGCCTTGTGAAATATCTATGAGAACAGATTCCATTTGATGAGGAATATGTTCGATGTATGCTCTTTCAGAAACGCTGGAGTACTTTGAAAGGGTAAAGGAAATTTCCACAAAAAAAGATCTGCCTCCATTTGTCTACAATCAACTCGTGTATTGCTACGGATTTCATGGTAAGTGACCTTTCGATGTTATGAAAGAATATTTCTTTTTTTACACTAGAGAACGACGGGACGGGATAGGACTTGTTTGAATTTGAGAGTAGAAACCCCTTCCCCTCCCCCCCCCTTTTGCAGGTTTTCGAAATACCCCCTCCCCTCCCCCCCACAGAAGCAACTCCACAGTTTCTTTAAAAACTTACCCCTTCATGACTCATTTGGTTTGTAAGGTTTCTGGTTTAATTTTTCCAAGGTGATACAGATTCTCAGATGAAGGTGCTGGCGGAAATGGAGGAAAAGGGAGTGCGAAAACTTCCGAAAACCTTCTCCTCGGTTATCTTCTCTTTCTGCCGGAAGTGAGTACGCTCGTGTTGGCCTCTTCAGTTTTTGGTTGTTTCCATGTGCATTCATTCGCAGTATATCTGCAGAGTGCACATGCTTGAAGGGATCAGCAGGTCAAATAAAAGATTGGAATTTCTTTGTTAATTCTAAAGCATATTTCGTAATGGTGTGTTTATACCGTTTAGTTAAGGAGGCTTGATGAGGCTCGTATCTAAGACGCCTGGTACTGTAGCTTGGGAGTTAACTCTGGTAGCATCAGAGCACATTTCGATGGAGTGTCGTAAAAACTAAACGTAGATTAACCCTGTAAACTCTTAGAGTCACTAGCATCTAATTTCTCTTCACAATATCACTCCTGAATCACATATTAAGGTCATGAGAATAAAGGAAATGATCACCAGGGTAGAAACCTTTTGATTGGCAAACAAATTCTCCTTGTCAGCACCTTAGGAAATGTATAAAGAACAGTGTGGAGAATATGCATACTGATCTTAGGGTGTAAAGGGTTGACGCAACAGCCATCAGAGAGGAAAATATCAAAAGGAGCTAATGAGAACTCAAGGAAAAAAGTGTTGAATTATCAAAAGCGCGGGAAAACGCGAGTGATCAAGTCATAGTTGGTTCTAGTTTTAAATCTGATTGGTTGAGAAAGGCGCCAGTGTTCTGGGCCAGTCACAGAGCGTGTCAAAGGAGGAGCAAAGAAGTCCTGGGTAACTTTCAACTCAGGTGAAAATTGTTTCAGTGAAGGGTGCTTGCTCTCCTGTTTGTGTCATACTTACTCGTGACCTGAAAAAAATTAAATTTATCTTTATTTCTGTGGCTCTTGATTTCATTTCTGGCGTTCATTTTATGATTTCAGGAAGATGTTAAATTTCAGTAGCTTGTAGAAAATTTTGCATCGGTCACTATCGTGTTTGAACTTTTCTTCCCACAGGAGTGATGTCAAGTCTGCATTAGAAATATTTGGACAGGCCAAGGAAGAGGGTCCTTTTGTTTCACAGGGCAGTGCACTGAGGCTGTTAAACACCATGGCCAAAACGGGTCAAACAGAAAAATTTGATAGTGGTATGTTAGCTATTCAACGTTGATCTCCACCATTACAAAATGTAGAATAGAATTTCACTACTGATCACGTTCAGGGAGTTAAAGCGACAACCTGATCATAATTTGAAAACTTTCTTCCACTTAGCAAATATTTCGTTTATTGGTACCGCCATTTTGAAAACAAACAAACAAACAAAACAGCTGAGTAACCTGGCCACTGCTGAAGGTATTGGAGTGAGAAATGGCTTCATGTAAAGCGCCTAATTATTCATACAGATCGACAAGAAGTTTCATTAAAAGGATAATGACTTGGTTACGTCATAGGAAATCTGCAAGGCTGCTAAGGAAGAAAAGCAACGATGATGATGATAATTTCAAGAGGATTTTAATAAAACATTATTGTTATTATTATGGCAGTATAAAACATCTGGATGCCCAGGTCGTAAGCACGATGGTTGGACAGCGTGAGCCGTAGCCAACTCCGTGACGAAGACTAAAACCAATATAATAAAAATTTACTAAAACCTAAATTGTTAAAGATGTGTAGACCCAATAGGATCTTACATATGAAAATGGGAAGAAGTTCCCATGACTGGAGCATTCAAAATTAACCTTTTAAGCTATTATTATCGTTATCATAAGATTTATTATTATTATTATTATTATTATTGTTATTACTATTATTATTATTATTATTATTATTATTATTATTATTATTATCATAATTATTCTTACTAACATTTTTGTAATTTTATTGAAATTACTGTTGTTGATTTATTCAGTTTTGGAAGACTGTCTTCACCATTCTGTGAAAGCAGTTGAAATCCCCACCGAAGCCCGAGAAATGATCAGAGGCCTAGTATTTGCTTGCGTGCATGCTGGAAAGACGGATCTTGCCTTGAAACTCATGCTGGTGAGTTTTTCGTTTCACTTTGTCATTCTTTGAGATGATCTCTCAATATCAACCACTTAACTTTGGCTACGCCCTGGGTCAAGATTGATGGGTATTAGTAGGGGGACTGTCCTTGTTCTTCCCAGTTGGAAAGAGATGAAAGGGACTGGGCGAAAAAATCTCAGCTCGGCAATGGACGTTTTAACCACCAAAACGCCAGCCTTTCAGGTCCTTTTAATCTTTTTTTACAATTTCCTAGTTGTCCTCTGCAAAATAGCAGAATGAATTCACGAACTCATGCGTAGTCTGAGAACAAGCGCGATCAAGCGTGGTGTTAAATGTCCTCGTTTCTATTTCAAGCACAATGCTACCTTTCCACGTCGTGCTGATGAAAAGATCTTGGGCCTTGAGAGACGTTCAACATGCAGAACTCCTCGCGAACCTCAGAGCAGAAATTGAAATAGAACTCCAGTTCTTAATCAATTTTATCCTTGTCATCGCTGTCTTGGTCTCTCAAACCCATGAATTTACTTTTTTTTGTAGGAAAATGATGTGTTCCTGAATGCAAACACACTTTTCAAACCTGCGAGATCCGCCGGCTGGAAAGGAGAGGTAAACATCCTGCATGCTCTCACAATTAAGATAGACGTTCGTAAACCATGGGCTGGAAGCGGCTTAAAACTATGCGCAAACTTTTTAATTCTGCTCAGTTTAAAAGTTCAAGATAACAGCTTTTAAGAGCACCTGAATCTGCCCACAACATCAGGTAGAACTTGATTAAAAGTAAAGGGTTACCGAACGTCGGGACACAAAATTTTAATGGATCAAATTCCTCAAGGGCAAACAATCATAATAGGCACACTGTTGACAGACAGTGCTAAGGCTGCAGAATTTCTCTCATGTTGAACTGTTACCTCAAGGGAATTGAGTTCAGGGCCGGGTCGTTCAAAGCTGGGTTAAGATAACCCAGGGTTAGTGTGAAATTTGATTCAGATCTGGAAGCTTTAAAAGAAAATTCAATTTAAATCTTTGGATCAATGTCAGTATCTGGGCGATTTACCACCGACCCCTCCCCTAACAATCAATTGATAACAAGTTAAGGTTAATGTTGGGTCAGGGGAGGGGTAGGTGGGCAGTTGCCCAGATACTGATATTGATCCAAATCTTTTTTCTTACAATTTGATGACTGAATGTTCTCAAAAGAGTAGAGAAAAATTTCTCAAAAAGGTTTTTAAACTAAGAAATAAAGAAACTTGGACTGAAATTGAACCCTGAGTTATCGCTAATCAGCCTTCGAACAACCAAACCCAGAGGATTTTAACCGTTGTGTTGGCATTGTACTTGATGTTCTGAAGTCAACAGAAGTTCTGTCGTTTTAATGATCTGATTTGTTAGGTGCAAGCTCTGTTGAACGCCATAGAATTTTTGAAGGAAAACAACGTCAGCCCCAAAGAGATGTATTTTCATCTGATAAGGGCTCATGGTGAGTGAAAAGAACATTGATTTCTATTAGTGTTCACTAAATGAATTCCCCGTACAATTTTAAACAATGTCTGGCAAACCAGTTATGAGAATTTTAAAAAAATCTGAACTAGGAGGTATGGCCCTGACTTAACGCAAAGTGTTTGATGGTCGGCAAAAATGACATGTATGGTTATTTTTTGAGGAGATTTGAGCCTCATACCTGGGCAGTGGAAGGATTAAGTCGAGTTTCCAGTTGCCTTTTATGTGGCTCATGGAACAGTTTTTATTTTGGTATTAACCCTTTCACTCCCAAGATCTCATTAGTAATGTTATTTACTGTCTAACATACAATTCTTATGATGTTAGTTTGGGAAATTTGATATTGGATCAAGTAATAATCCCATAATTGATATTTTTCTTTATTCTCATACCTACCTGCCTGATATTGTATCGATGTTGTTAGGAGAAATTCTGTCTTGGTCACCTGGGGGAGTAAAGGGTTAAATTATATTTTTCGTAGTTTGTTTGGTAAGGAGATGGAGGTCAATTTAATACATGCGAAAAGGATATATCAATTATAAACTTCGAGGAAAGTGACCTTTAGCTTGTGAAACAGTTTCATTTAAAGAAGTGATAAGCATTGCCCAAAAAGTGTTTCTCGCAAGAGTGTAAACCAGGCTCAACGGTGTCCCCCTCTGAAATTCCTGGCCGTCAAATTTGATGGTCAACATCTCAACAGGTAACAAAAAAGACAGCCTATTAAATCCGCTCTTAGGAACTCTAGGCACTGTGATTGGTAAATTGAGGAGGATTTGTGCTGCTGTACAGCTTGCTAAACATTTAGGGCTGTTTTAAATGCCAAAATCTCTCGTTATTAATTTCAGCCAAAAATCGTTTCATGCGCTTCTTGTGGGAGTCATGAATCTAGGAAAAGGTATTTTTAAACAAGGCCCGCTCTGCATGTTCACTAAAGACGCGTTGCGTGCCTATCTTATTTTAGACTTCCACCGTGACTTGGACGCTATCAAGGCAGTGTACAATGAGGTGGTTGAAGAAGGAATGGAGATGAGTGCACATTTCCATGAGATGTATAATCATATTATGATCAAATATTCTGAGAGATTACCTTCCAGTGAATATAATCAAACAGCGTCAGCCACCCAGGTAAAAGATTACATTTTGTGTACTGAACTCTCTTGAGGTGCTCGTCATATCGAATTCGAAAAGGAACTTTCTGGTTTCGTTTTTTCTGTCCGTTTGAAGGATCCCATGGTGGTCACACTAGTCTAACCTCGCCATGGTGGTCACACTAGTCTAACCTCGCCATGGTGGTCACACTAGTTTAACCTCGCCATGGTGGTCACACTAGTCTAACCTCGCTATGGTGGTCTCGCTAGTCTAACCTCACCATGGCGGTCATACTAGTCTAACCTTACCATGGCGGTCACACTAGTCTAACCTCGCCATGGTGGTCACTATAGTCTAACCTCGCCATGGCGGTCACACTAGTCTAACCTCGCCATGGTGGTCACACTAGTCTAACAAACATGGTGGTCTTAAAGATACAGGGCTTCAAAACTGAATTTCTCTAACGCAGATGTTTTTGTCACTAGACTGAAATTGATGTGGATGACGAATCTGACTTTTCAAGTGACGAAGAAGGAGCCCATATTCAGGAGTTTGAGAGGGTAAGCAACAAATATATTAAAAGAAGGAACTCATAGATTGATGAACGCGAATAAAAACTGCTGGCTGCCTTGCGCTCAGTTTGAAGTAGCATACTTTTATTTAAGATCAGATCGTTTTGCTCATGGGTTAGGCACTTCACATCTCAATATGCCTTCGTCTAAGCAGAGGTATAAATGTATGGCAGTGAACTATCAGATAAACCTGAAAGAATGCAGGAGGGTAAATATTTAAATCTCAGTAACATGCCTTTGTTGTTGTTTTTAGGAAACGCCCGACTCTGAAGACTCTAATAAAGACATTGACGAGGTAAATCTGTTTCCATAATCTCTTTATTGATTCAACCCTTTGAATCCTAAGTGAGACTACCCTCTAATTTCTACTTACAATATCACCCCGTCAAAAGTAACTTTTTTAACTTCATTTTTTCAGATGAATGACCCCAAGTGATTTTGGACGAGCAATGGAATTTCCAGGATCGTCTGACCGCTAGATGCTGAAAATAGCCTTCAGCTTGCCCAAAAGCTTTGAAGACGTCCTTTGACGAGTTACCTGTCTTTTTCATCGAATTTCAAAAGGCTCAGTGTTAAAAGCGGTTACTGCTAATTCTGGGCTACGCAAAGAAAGTATTACTTTGAGGACTTCACTCTTACAGGACTTCGTTTTAATACACTAACTTTTGCCCTAGTTGTGTGGGAATATTTTTTTTAAGCCAACACACAAATGGACACTTGTAGTATTTGCGTTTCAGAGCCCCAGTAATTAAATTATTTTGATTAAAAAGCAGAATGAACATATTGTCGTAGGGCTTGCTAGTTATCGTCTTTGCATCAAATTGAACTTTCACTACCAAGTGCTATGAAGGGGCTGTGATGCAGTAGTTACAGCGCATACGTAACGAAGTCTTTTAACAGCTGTGCGTTCAATATAAATGTTACCCCTTCTGTATTGAAAAAGCAATAAAGCGCTTTTAAATAAAGTGATAAGTGCTTCTTACATTATTTTTTGTCCACGCCAAACGCATCGGTTAATCATGGAGCTTATTAGATTAAATACCATGAAAGGAGAGGTATACACCAGAGACCTCTTTTAAACCCTCAGTCTCTTACATCAGTATGCACATTCTCCATACTGCTCGTTATACATTTCCTATGGTGCTGACAAGGAGAATTTATCTAATAACCGACAAATTATTAAGGTGGTGATCATTTCCATTATTCTCATTACTTATGTGTTCGGTGAAGCAATCAGTGATACTTTACGGAGTAACTAGATGCCAGTCACAATTTTCCAAAGTCTTGTTAGGCAGTCAGTGCCATAATTCCATTCTTACATTTTAACGGCGGAGATAAAAATCATATGGTTTTTAAAAGCTTAATTGTCTTAAACAAAGTTAATCAGTGAAACTGTGGCACTCACTAAAACAGATCACCAGGGAAAAAAGATAAGGAGCAGTCTTCCTGTCAAAAGGCACGCATTGAGCCTGAGGCTCACGCTAACAATTTTACTTTTCATGCCTTTAAGGTTCTGATTTGAATAGTTGATTTTGAGGTACAAACTGCTGCATTGGTTAAGTGCCTAGAGTAGTAATTGTATTTCTTGATGAAATTTGGTGTGCATATATTTTGAGCTAGAGCTTCCAGCTTTGATCGGTTGAAACTTCTCGGATGTAATTTGAATTTAATTTGGGGTGATAAATGATATGCATATCAGTTGAAATTATATTCTATTGAGCGTGAATTATAATTTCAGTCTGGGAAAATGAAGCAAAATTGAAAGAAACGACGGTAAACTACCTTGCGATTGGAGTGTATACACGTGAACACAGTGAGTCAGTAAAACAATACGCCAGAATCGTATGGGCTTCTCTTACATCTTCTCTTGAAGGTGCCAGGTATGACTGCTTGCCCCATCGTTTTCCCCCAACGTTTCAGCCTCTTCTGTTTAGCGTAGGTAATTAAAAAGAAAAGTAATTTTCAACTCGTGTTTGAACCTGTAATTTTTTTTTAACTTTTTCACTTTCGGTTTTTCTTGTTTCATGATTGTCCTCCGGCTGGAAATACTCGACGTCTTTTCTGATATTTTCTGCGAGGTAATTCAGTAACCTTTACTGTAACTGCATATAATGTGGATGTCTTCAAGAAAACTTGAGATAATACCTGGATCTCATTTCCATATCACAGAAACCAATTCCAAACAACAATCAAATTTTCCCTTTAGTTGAAAAGTTGAGTTGATATTATCGGCTATATTAAAAAGTTCTAGATGATATTTTCTCAGGTTTGCCATTAATTGAATATACTGGAAGTTGGAGTTGTTGCAACATGTTAACATGAAACGCAACAATAAATTTTATTGATATGTAAAAAGCTTTCATTTCACTATCTACTGGCAAGTCTTTGAATTATCTTTCAACCCAACCATTTTGCACAACTTGTAAACAACATTACAAAATAATTAATTAGGGGATGGAAAATTTGTGGCATATACGCCATGTTTGAAATGCCATGTCCATAATAAGCTAACAGGATTGAGGAGGGTGTATTTGGAAATAGGCTGTCTTGTCTGTATCATTAATTAGCTAATTGTTCCTGTTGGCAATGTTTTGATGAGGTTGAGCTGTCAGGGCAAAGGAACTGAGGATTTTAGTAGGCAGTGACATTTTTCAAACATGGAAACTATCAATGTGAAAGCCCTATTAATGTGACTGGTAACTCACTCTAATTCTGATAAACTAGTTTTAAGAAGGATACAATATTTTATAATATAAATCTGATGCATATGCTGTGCACAAAACTTTAATTTGACTTAAATTGTATAGCCAGTACCAATCCCTACAGATAATAAACTGTTAAGAGGATCAGAGGAAAAAATAATGTGCTATACATCTGCAAGATTTCATTTAATTACTTTAATTATATGAATATTAACTGATACTATAGCTAGGAGATCTAAGAATATTCAAAAAAGAAGAAAAATTGGATAAACAAGATTCTTAGAAAAAGAAATTTGTACTGATGAAAACACTGAGCAAACTTTTTTACAACACCTGCCTGTACCTTTATGGCATGTAGTAAAGTCATTTGAGTTAGTCATAATCCCGGGTTTATATGTTGAAAACACATGCAGATTTCCTCTAACCCTGTAGTTCAAGCCTGAGATGACTTTGAAATTTTGATGCAAACCTCAAAAGGAGAACAAATAAATGTCAAGTTTCTATTTATTCAATTTTATTGTATGTTGGCTTGTGAGGTATAATTGAGTCAAACATTCGTACAACGATAGATTTAAGAAATTTTCACAACCAATTTTAAGGTTAGCTTATGTGGAACAGTCACCTTCATGTACAAATTAGACCGAGTTTGTACAGATGATGTCCAAAGGAACTATCTATGGTAAGAGAGCAGACTTTCCTTTCTTCATTTAAAGAAATACTGAGGTAATATCATCTTTCCACAAGCTCCGTGGAAATTGAGAGTGAATGAGACTGATATAGTAACTATGTTATTTAGATAATTATCCAAAGGAGGATAAAAAGTAAGATATGGTCTGCACATCTCTCTTATTTTAATTTTTTGACCTATTAACTTTTGTGTTTTAATACTGTGGATGCCAATTAATTTAACTTTCATGGATCAAAATACAAAAAATGTTCTCTTCATCTACTGTATGTGCCCTTACCTTTACAGGGGAGGAAGCAGGTCAAAGTAAAAACTTGAATTAAAACAGGAGGGCCCCCATTAATTTCAGTCCTAATTAAAGGAGGATCCTTGCTTTTCCAGATTCCCACCCTTAAAACTCACATACCTTGTGACCATTTTCAGATATCAATGTTTAATTTGGGTATGGACATTGGCAAGAAACATCATGCATTAAGGAAAGCTCAAGCAAGAGTATTTAATGCAATCTAAATAATAATATTACATGTTACAATGTGGTAACTCACACATCAAAATTATATAATCACACAATTCCAAACAAAGGAAATCAGATTATTGACTCACCTAATCTTCAACTTTTGAGGGTTTAAGGTACAGAGAAATAGACATGGTAAACAGTTACAATTAATACAAAGTTGAAATAATGCAAAAAGCAAGAACATAAATTCCTTAGCTTAATAGGTTAAAAAATTGAAATAAGAGAGTTGTACACACCATATCTTACTTTTTATCCTCCTTTGGATAAAAGATATACATTACAATCATTAGACCCTATGCATCCTAGCAAAAAAAGGTCAATTAATTACCACCATAACTTCACCCAAACGTTAAAGCTTACAGGAAATCATTAATTTTTTTACTAGGTGGCACTGTACTTAAAATACTTCTACTGACACAAATGCATTTTTCTTGAGTTATCTCACAACATATGACTGTACAGGTCATGTGGAAGGTTCCTGCATGGGGACTGACATTTCAATTACCCCAGCAAACTTTAATCATCAGAATTACAAGCCAAGGTGTATTTACCAGGTGCTCAAGTTTCCAAATTAGTCACCAATTTTTTACAGTGGAGTTAACTCCTTTTGGAGGCTATCTTTAGCTTGATCATCCTGTTACATGTGAAAACATCAAATGTTACTCACATACTCAAATAATTACCTAAATGAAAATTTATAATTTTTTTAATAACCTGCTTCCCTTAACCCTTTAACTCCCATGTGTGACCAAGACAGAATTTCTCCTTACAATATCAATACAACATCAAGCAGAAAAGTGATGAGAATAAACAAAAATATTAATTAGGGGATTATTAGTTGATCCAAAATCAAATTCTCAAAACTAACATCACAAGAACTATATGGCTGACAGTAAGGAGAACTACTAATGAGATATTGGGAATTAAAGGGTTAACTGTGCTCCAGAAATAGTAAATGGTATTGAAGAGAAAGGAAAAAAGCTCTTGAAACATTCTACGTTAAAAGAAACTTTGTTATGAATGTTAATTGGGATGGCAATCAAAACATCTGTGAAACTAAAATAGCAATTACCTTTCCATGTAAACAAACCATAATGAAGCATCCCTTGCAAACTGAATTCCCAGTTTTCTGGGAATTCCTAGGAATTCTCAAAAATTCCCAATTATGCAAATGACCCTTACAAACTGAATTCCCAGTTTTCTGGGAATTCCTAGGAATTCTCAAAAATTCCCAACTATGCAAATTAACTCTGATTTAAAAAGCTTGGAATTACTGGGAATTTCTGGGAAAGGAAGACTCCAGTTTTGTGAGGACTTGGAATCCCTAAGAATTCCTAGGAATTCTCAGCTATACAAACCACCTATAATTTAAGAAGTGTGGAACTCTTGGGAATTTCTGGGAATTGAATTTGAGGCAATTTAAATACCCTGAGGTCCACATAAATTCTAAGAAATTCTCAATACCTTGAATATGAAGGTTTAAGAAAAGGAGTAATTTCAGAGGCTTAAAACTTTAGCTCAATAAAAGGTATGCTATACAAAACTTACCAAGAGATATACATACATGTATAATTATGTTTATAACTTAAAGATCAAAAAATTTATTATTCAAACTAGGTGTTAGCAAATCTTTACATTAATATGGATTTTCTCATGAACCAGCAGTCAGTTATGTTAAATGGAAATTACCAATTAATCCAATGTACTCATATCACAGATTTGCTTTCTAACTTCAAAGGACTCTTGGATTCCATGATCAAAAAATATTTTTTTTGTGATGCAAATTAATGTCTCACGTTCACTGATGTGCCAAAATCATCAAACATTCATTAGCTGTTCCTTGGTACACAACTTCCACAATAATTAACAATAATTACATTGTTATCTACACTTAAAGAACTTTGTTAGTTATGAACATAAGTTACTTCCCTAACCTACATTACTGGTTGCCTTTGTTAGAAAACCTTGGAACAGTCAAGCTCAGTTACCTCAAACACTGTCAGAGACTTTTTGTTGACAATATTTTTAGTAGAAATTTCATGCCTTAGACAAACAAATTCAACACCTAATTAATCTTTCTTTTTTCATGATTGTTGT